CATACGCAGTGTGAATCCCAACTCTCCAAGTACTAAGTTTTTAGCATTTCTTAACTTGCCACCGCTATTGACCTGCACCACATGCCGGTTGCTTCACCTTACAGAACTCTTCTTGCGCTAGATGAGGGTGTTTGGGTGCCTTTCACCTGGCTGGTTCAATGTCTCATTTGCTCGGCTTCATCTGGAAGTAAAACCATGCAAAAACATTGCAAAAACTAGGACCTAGGGGAGGTAATTTTCAACAATTTTCAACAGGTGTGCCACGGTGTGCCATTTCCAGGGACGAGGCGTCCCAAGATGTCCCTGTGCCAAGGTCAGGAGAAAAAAGAGAGAGCTCAGCACCCCAGTCTTAGGGATTGCGCCCAAGCGGAGGCTGATAACGAACGGATACATCACATGCTGCACACATCAACAATCATCAACATGCGTCATGTTTCAAAGGTTTACATCTCATGAAAGGGGAAACAAGTCCGATGATCGTATGACAGGAGGGCAACTCATAGAACAAATTCCAAGGCTTCCAAAGCTTCCAATGCCAAGAGCTTGGAAGCTCGCAGCCTGGCGCCCCAGAGTGCTGTCACAACCTTGTCCGCCGGGTTTTCAAGGTGGTGCATCCCAGCCATCGTAAGTCGTCGTAAGGAAAAAAACCATGGGTCGTATCATTATTTTGTGGATTATATATATATATACACATAGACTATAGTTGCATATATAATCATATATATATATATTAATTAGTATATATATATATAGATTATCGGCTACAAACCACTGACTATTGGGATGCACATCCTCCCGTTGACATCAATCAGGCATGGCCATTGATGCAAAATGCTCACCTGAGGCAGAAGCCGGATGAAGTTTAACCCTGGGGCGGTGAACAAAAATGGGCGGATACTATTTTGAAATATATGTTTATATGTTCAATAAACCAGATGATCACTGTTTTGGGGGCACTCCCAATTTTTACCCAGAGATTCATAATCCAGGGTTGACATTAATCTGGTAAACCCAACAATAATTTTATATAAATCCAATTCTTCGGGTAAGGTTGGAAACAACCCTATACATAGTATACTTGGAGAAATTCGGGACGGCTTATCATTGCGTTTGACACATTACTGGATACCACCAACGGCTTTCTGAAGAATTTTGGAACATCAATTGTAAGTACAATGGTGGCAGTACCTAAGCAACTCTCGTAATACTACCAGCATTGTCATGCAGATTGATAGCTATGGAATAAAATGCAATAACTAAACAGTGTATATATATATACATGTGTGTGTGTGCGCGTGTGCAAGTAAGAATGCAAAGAAACACACAATATTACTTGACAATAACAGTAGTTAATGATGATCCGATTGCTGTACTTAATGAGCATCAGCATCATCACCGGCATCGGTGTGAGACCAAGCATGGATAGAATGCGCTGAGAAGGTCCGACGGCTGGAACCCCCCTAGTTTTTTTAATTGCTGGGTTGAATCATTTTTGCATATTTTTGCCAACATCAAAGCCATCAATAGGTATGATACCCATCATCTTGTATGGGTTGATAGCTATCAACTTATATTGGGCTACCATGGGCTACCCATCACCATGGCACCATGGCATCATGGTAGCTGAAACAGCCTGGTGGCCGCACCAGGTGCGCCGCGCCTTTCGTGCTCTGCCAGTGGAGCGCTGTGGCTGCGCCACCATTCAGGTAGCGAAATGGCTGGGATTTCATCCCCAATGGCTGAGAGGTTTATCATTAAATGGGGTCCACCACATTAATTCAAAAAAATGGAAACTTTTGGTTATTGAACAATATCTTAATCCATATAGGTAAATCATCTATAATTGGCGAGGTGGCACCCATGGCTATGTGGCTATGTTCATGGCGTCTAGAGTCTAGATTTTTTGCCTGTTCACCCGCTTGGCCGGCCACGGTGAGGCTGTTTGGTCCGCCTGCGACACTTTTTGGGAGTTTGACACCGCCCATAGCGGAGCTATCACCAGAGAGGTTGGGTCTTCCCAGCCATGGGAACTATTGGGAACTTCAGAAATTCAAAATGGCAATGGGGCAATGGGTCCTCAAACTTGGGTAACCCGAAAATTGGATGTTCGACCCAACCAAATCCAAATGCAGACTAGCCATTCCTAAGGGCAGAATAAGTTGCAGAATCATTTCACCAAATTTTGAGGTTCCGTGTGGGTTTTCAAGAGGATAGCCACCTGTAGTGAGGTCCTGCCACGCGATTTGAGCTACTTAGTTTTTGCCGTGTTTGCCTATATCAAAACTCCTGGCCTATTCATGCTGGGGAGGGTCCACTTCATGCACCCCAAATGTGCTCTCAATCAATGTCAATGCCAGCGGTGCTGCTCCAGTTTGGACGATTCCATCTTGGGACACTTCACAGACATTAGATGTTCGGGATCCTGCAAGAAACCATCAAAATCTTCGGTTTTGCGGGCGAAGCAATCGTGTTTGTGGGATTGCAGGGGTACATCAACCTGATGCGAGAGTGTGCCACAGTCTGTGGCCTAAGGCTGAAGCAGCAGTCTGATCGAGACATGTGGTGGGCAAGATCTTTTGAGCACGTTTGCTCTTTTTTTCAGGTATTTGCCTTTCTCTTGTAAATTTGTCACAACCATTCACAACCAGGCTGAACATGGTATGCCCGAGGGCTGTTTGTTGATCCCGGATCCAAGTTTGTGCAAATTAAGATTTGGAAGATGTCACAAGGACAAGGATTTCAGCAAAACAGAAGGCTAGGCTAGACTGTGACCTCAAGCACCTCCCTGACCGCCAGAGCCTATGTCCCGAGGTCAATACGTTGCGCATGCTTCGCAGGGCCAGGCTGCAGGGAAGCAGCGGCTTTTGTTTTTTCGTTCGCAGCATGGTGGATCCCATTGGATCCCACTCATTTCAAATCATTTCCTGGTCAATGACCATTCACCATGGGCCATGGTGCCAAGATGTGCCAAGGGATATCGTGGGTCTGGGTTCCAACCACAGTGGGGCAGAAAACAGCCATGCCCGGAAGTTCGGCCAGGTTGGAGTTCCGCTTCCGGCGTAGTGCTGCCCCGGTGTTGCTGGAGGCATGGGCGGCATGGGCGGCATGGGCGGCATGGGCGGCATGGGCGGCATGGGCCTTGGCGAGGTGGTGATGTACCAGTGAGCAGTGGCCAAACTCCTCTGGATGACCTGATGAACTTCATGTTTCCCATTACATTACCGCTATGAATTTATAATTCACATTAATTCACATTAATGATTGATCATTATTGATCATTAATGTATATTTGAATATATTTGATATACACGAATATGCATCATGTTCCAGAATCATTTGTATCAGATGAGGGATGTTTCCATCATGTCGCCTTGTTTGATTACTGTAGCAGAGGATATCTCCCCTTTGTTCGCAGGTTTACTCCCACAGAAACAACATACACAGACAGAGAGACAGACAGATAGATAGATAGATAGACAGACAGACAGACAGACAGACACACACACACGCACATCATACAGATACTCGCATATCATCATTATACAATCATTACTGCAGTAGCACAACATCTTTCGCTTACAACCCCGTGAGCATTTCCAAACAAAAACATGCAACCAAGAGAAACATCCGGAAATCCCGTGTTTTTTTCTCCTCCAGATGTTGAAACATGTTGAAACATATCACCAACGCCCCCAAGGGCGGAGAATCTCCCACCGCGGAGGACTTCCTGCTGATGATCTGGCCCAAGGCGACCAGCGAGGACCGCGCGCGCATGATGCGCTGGGCCGAGCTCCGAGAGGCGCCATGGACGTGCAAAGCATGGCGGAAGTTGAAAGGAATCAGGACATCCAAGCACCAAATTTTGGGTTACATGGACACACACACACATACATAATCACACACACATATAATTATATATATATACATATTTATAATATATTTACAAATGTTTTTTCTTGGGGGGAGCATGCCCAAGAATGCAATAATTCTCAGACCATCCCGATTTTGGTGGGAAAACCGGCTGATACTTTCGGTGGAATCTTAGGATTGCCCAGGTAATTCAATCTTCCGGTTTATTATGTAGGCACAATTTTTGGATGCATTTGGGAGGTTCAAGGTGTATTGTAGGATTGTAGGTGTCATCCTGGCACACTCGCAACATAGCATTGAGGGAGAAAACATTACTTTGTGTTTGTATAAGTATACATAGGCGTGCTTCGACGTTCATCTTCATATCATTGGTTCGGGGATGACGGACGGATGGCCAATAGGACGGCGTCTATGTTGTTGGGCAGGATGTCCTAGTACCCGTATCTATTTACTGGAGTTATGAATGTAGTAATTGATTAACAATAATTGGGGTTTACCCACCGTTTTTTCCAGGGCACACAGTGCCATCTGAAGGGGCGCAGATTTTCCACAAGTCCAGGTGGAGCTGGTCATGTTGATCTGCGTTTAAATCTGGGAAGACGCACCCTGAATTGGGGATAAAACGTGAGAAAACTTGGCTGCCTTTTTGATGTGCATTCTGGCAAGCCAAGGCAGAAAGTGGTTGCCGTCCAGCAGACCTTTGTTGCATTCAGTTTGCGTCACTTTTGGCCATCTTGGCCCAGAACAAGAGGACATCTTGTAGCAAGGGCATCAACAAGACAAGCCCGCAGCATCCTGCAGCCACCAAAAAATGGACCGCAAGAAACACCAACTTGGCCAGCTTTAGTTGCACGCTTTCTTTTTGCAGTAGCAGCTACCAGATTTAGCAGTCTGGAGTGCCTCGCTGTCCACCTCGGTGCTGAACCGCTGAACCAGCAATCAGAAAAATCCCAGCTGTGCCCACCCCTACTGGACATCCACAACCACCACTTGGTTGAGCATTTGGCATATCATACATACATAGATCATAGGCAATACACATATTAAGCATAGCTTTCTACACTTCATGCACGAGAGAGTCATTGCACTAAGCCAATTCCGGGAACAAAACGCAGCATCAATTGCAAACCATGGCGATTGATAGGTTAAACAGGAGTCGGAGAGCAGCTCGGCAGCAGAGTGGTGCAGCAAAGCCAGGGGAGTTGTGGTATTGTAGTATCTTTCACTGAAGGATCCAAATGAAGATGTTTATAGTAGTTATAGTTTATATATATATGTGATATGATATGATATGATATGATATGATATGAACAATTTGATTTGATGTGGAACGGAGTTTGTGCGTGTTAGTATAATGTTTAAGATTTAATACATATTCCCCATCAATTAGATTCTCATATGGGTAGTTTATAGAACATGCTCTCCATATGCCTGCAGATTGCACCCAGGATAAGCTGGACTGGGCAGCAAAGCTGGGTCTTGGACCCTTAGCTGGTGCGGGTCCCGAGTGCACAGCTCGCGGCGACATTTCCTGGATTTTCTGCTCAGGTGGTGAGGTGCCTATCCCCCCAGGGGCGGAGGTGCCACGCAATGTGCGCGATGCCATGGCGCAAAAGAAGCAGGTGAAGCTCAGCATGGGAGCAGTTTTGCAGATCCTAAATTGGGGTTTGGGGGTGGGTGATGTCTGTGTTGGAAATGCCACGGGTTCGGTTGGAAATGCTTGTAGATGGGGATAGAAGCAGCAAACAGATTTTGGGGATGCAACCAGCCAAAGATATACAGTCACCGACAGAATTTTGGAAATGAAAAAAGGTTCGCGCGCCGCAGGTATCGGAAAAGGTTCGGGACCGAAACCAAGACAAAAGATTACCGACATTACGGACTTTCAAAAAAAAGAATTTTGGAAATAGCAATTTTCGGATCCTGATCCTCTAAAAAGAAGAAAAAAGTGAGACAAATGTCTACAAAAGCCTCTAATCCACGATGCAAAATTAATTTTGGAAATCTTACTTATCGGATCCTGATCCTTCAAACTACCTGGTTTTGATTGTTTTTGCAGGACCTTGGGACAAAATCCAGATTCGGTTTTGGGACCCTTATCCTCCAAACCACCTGGTTTACAGCGTATTTGCATGATTTTGGGACAAAATCCAGATTCAGTTTTGGGACCCTTATCCTCCAAACCACCTGGTTTACAGCAAATTTGCATGATTTTGGGACAAAATCCAGATTCATTTTTTGGATCCTGATCCTCCAAACATCTCCAAACCACCTTGTTTACAGTTTATTTGCATGATCTTGGGACTAAATCTAGATTCAGTTTTCGAATCCTGATCCTCCAAACCAGCTGGTTTACAGCGTATTTGCATGATCTTGGGACTAAATCTAGATTCAGTTTTTGGATCCTGATCCTTCAAAAAAAAGGATGACACACATGTCTTCAAAAGCTTCTAATCCACGATGCAAAATTAATTTTGGAAATCTTACTTTTCGGACCCTGATCCTCCAAACTACCTAGTTTTGAATGTTTTTGCATGATTTTGGAACTGAGTCCAGATTCAGTTTTGGAATCCTCATCCTCCAAACCACCTTGTTTACATTGTATTTGCATGATCTTGGGACTAAATCCAGGTTCAATTTTGGGATCCTGATCCTTTAAAAAACAGGATGAAACAAATGTCTACAAAAGCTTCTAATCCACGATGCAAAATTAATTTTGGAAATCTTACTTTTCGGATCCTGATCCTCCAAACTACCTGGTTTACAGCAAATTTGCATGATTTTGGGACAAAATCCAGATTCAGTTTTGGGATCCTTAGCCTTATCCTCCAAACATCTCCAAACCACCTTGTTTACAGTTTATTTGCATGATCTTGGGACTAAATCTAGATTCAGTTTTCGGATCCTGATCCTCCAAACCAGTTGCTTTACAGCGTATTTGCATGATCTTGGGACTAAATCTAGATTCAGTTTTCGGATCCTGATCCTTCAAAAAAAAGGATGAAACAAATGTATACAAATGTCTTCAAAAGCCTCTAATCCACGATGTAAAATTAATTTTGGAAATCTTACTTTTCGGACCCTGACCCTCCAAACTACCTGGTTTTGAGTGTTTTAGCATGATTTTGGGACTAACTCAAAATTCAGTTTTGGAATCCTCATCCTCCAAACCACCTTGTTTACATTGTATTTGCATGATCTTGGGACTAAATCTAGATTCAGTTTTCGAATCCTGATCCTCCAAACCAGCTGGTTTACAGCGTATTTGCATGATCTTGGGACTAAATCTAGATTCAGTTTTTGGATCCTGATCCTTAAAAAAAAAGGATGAAACACATGTCTTCAAAAGCCTCTAATCCACGATGCAAAAATAATTTTGGAAATCTTTCTTTTCGGACCCTGATCCTCCAAACTACCTAGTTTTGAATGTTTTTGCATGATTTTGGAACTGAGTCCAGATTCAGCTTTGTTATCGTTATCCTCCAAACTACTTGGTTTACAGCGTATTTGCATGATCTTGGGACTAAATCCAGGTTCAATTTTGGGATCCTGATCCTTCAAAAAAACAAGATGAAACAAATGTATACAAAAGCTTCTAATACACGATGCAAAATTAATTTTGGAAATCTTACTTTTCGGATCCTGATCCTCCAAACTACCTGGTTTACAGCAAATTTGCATGATTTTGGGACAAAATCCAGATTCAGTTTCGGGATCCTTAGCCTTATCCTCCAAACATCTCCAAACCACCTTGTTTACAGTTTATTTGCATGATCTTGGGACTAAATCTAGATTCAGTTTTCGGATCCTGATCCTCCAAACCAGTTGCTTTACAGCGTATTTGCATGATCTTGGGACTAAATCTAGATTCAGTTTTTGGATCCCGATCCTTCAAAAAAAGGATGAAACAAATGTATACAAATGTCTATAAAAACCTCTAATCCACGATGTAAAATTAATTTTGGAAATCTTACTTTTCGGATCCTGACCCTCCAAACTACCTGGTTTTGAATGTTTTGCATGAGTTTGGTACTACATCCAAATTCAGTTTTGGAATCCTTATCCTCCAAACCACCTTGTTTACAGTGTATTTGCATGATCTTGGGACTAAATCTAGATTCAGTTTTCGAATCCTGATCCTCCAAACCAGCTGGTTTACAGATGTTTACAGCGTAGTTGCATGATCTTGGGACTAAATCTAGATTCAGTTTTTGGATCCTGATCCTTCAAAAAAAAGGATGAAACACATGTCTTCAAAAGCCTCCAATCCACGATGCAAAATTAATTTTGGAAATCTTACTTTTCGGACCCTGATCCTCCAAACTACCTAGTTTTGAATGTTTTTGCATGATTTTGGAACTGAGTCCAGATTCAGCTTTGTTATCCTTATCCTCCAAACTACCCGGTTTACAGCGTATTTGCATGATCTTGGGACTAAATCCAGGTTCAATTTTGGGATCCTGATCCTTCAAAAAAACAGGATGAAACAAATGTCTACAAAAACTTCTAATCCACGATGCAAAATTAATTTTGGAAATCTTACTTTTCGGGTCCTGATCCTCCAAACTACCTGGTTTACAGCAAATTTGCATGATTTTGGGACAAAATCCAGATTCAGTTTTGGGATCCTTATCCTCCAAACATCTCCCACTGATGCTACTGTAGCCATAAACATGCACTGTAGCCATGGCCAAAAGAATTATGGAAACATGTCAATAGAAAATTTGTCACCTCTTTCAGGAAATAAATAATTATGGAAATGGTCCAGTGCCAAGAAGCACCCTTACATGGAAAAAAAATATATGGACATTTACCTGCAGCGCGTCACGCCCCTTCCAAAAAGGTTCGTTATACAAGTTATTACCGATTTTTGATGTGTGCATTTTTATGAGTAAAAAAAAAATATGGAAAAATACGGCCCGACGCGAGGCAGATTTTTACCGACCCATGTCGAACCTTTTTTTCATTTCCAAAATTCTGTCGGTGACCATATACGTATACAGTATATATAATAATAATATATATAATAATAATATATATAATAATAATATATATAATAATAATATATATAATAATAATATATAGGTATATATATATATTTATATTTAAGTTCGCAATTACTTATGCCGCGACTTATGCCCCAATACCCAAGTCATGTTCGGGGTTACCAGCCCTCATCAGCAGTTTGTTCTTAACTTTAAGTGTCATCCTGGTGATGGGTGCTCTACAGCATGGGGAGATGAAGTAGCATAAAACATAGGGCCTCAAATGCTACCGACTTGGTGGTCCAGAGTCTTTATCCAATATGCAATGGTGTCCACATGTATCAACTATGAATCCTGACTCAATCATGACTGAATTGCTGCTTTTTAGCATCGTGTAATGTTGCGCATCTTCAATTTTGTGGAGGACTTTCCACGATGTTCCAAAACTGAAACCTGGCAATATTTGCTCCACTCTTCCAACGTCTGAGGATTGGAAGTTTGACTTTCCATGAGTTTTTATAGTTTTGATCCCTAAGTCTATTCATTCTCCATGATTTGATCCATATTGTTCCATCATGTTCCACCATTTTCTATCCCCAAAATAGCCATGGGTTTTCTCCATGGTTACCGTATGGCAGGCCGAAGAGATGGCGGAGCTGCGCCGGCGCATCGTTTCTCGGAAGCATTCATGTCGGTCGATTTCAATAATCTGTCCAGGTGATTGAAAGACAAACAAATGGGGATAGCACGTGATAACAGATGTTTTAAAGAAATGTACTTGAGGCATTTATCAAGGGGATAGAACATAATGGGATATGAATGGAAGACTTATGGGGACAATGGGATATCAATCAGCATATCTCTGGATAAATTATGTTGCAACGTCACTGCGAAATTACTGTAAATGCTGGTTAGGATTGGGGCAAGTACTCCCAAATCGCCTGATTTCATGTTGGTGAATTGTTGTAATCTATCAAGATTATCCATTTTTGGGGATAAATGATCTAAGCGAGAAAAAGAGGGATAACTCATAGGGATAATCATAACACAAGGACTGAATCAATGAACATAGGGGTATAAAACCAACCATTATGGGATATAACCAGTGGGACCCCGGTCCCCGATCGGCAACTTTTTTTATGGGGAAAATGATGATCAACCATGAGATTTTGAGGGCGTCTATTTTCAAATGAAGCCATCTACCATCTGGTTATTTAACATAGCCATGGAAAATCACCATTTTTAATAGGTAAACTTGGTAAACCATCTATAAATGGGCCATTTTCCATGGCTATGTTAAATTACCAGAGGGTATTTGATCAGATATACCTAGACATAGTCAGACACCTAGATACCCAGCAAAATTGCTAACGGGTTTTCGAGAGTTTTGGCAGCTAACTAACGTGACGAGAAGCCTTTGCAAGATTTGATGAAATGCTGTAGTCAACCAGATCGATATGGCAATGCTTCTCAAAGTGTGCTGTTTCTAGCTTTGGCAACCTATCAAACTTTGCCATCCCACAAAGCTCTTCGGGGTTTGAAAAAATAGACCACCTGATGAATTAGGCAGGACTGTGGGTTGTGCCGAGGAAAAGCAGACAGACGTGGTTTCCACAGCGCCACCCAAGACTGAAGAAGAAGACGTGGATGTGCCTCAACCAGATAGATTTGCTGCAAATGCCTGGATGACAGGAGTGGGGGATTTAAAAGTGTGTGGGTGTGTATATGATGTATATTTCAATATGTGTCTTTAAAGAGAAGCCGTGGGAATATACACACCATATTATATATATATATATATAATATATATATATATGTATACACATACGTATGTATATAATCATAGATTTGGGATGATACACGGATGTCATGAACACGAATTCATGGAAATGAAAAATGCAACTAGTCATGTTCTACTTATTATTGCACTTAGGCCAGGAATTGTCCAAGTTATCCAAGTTGGGGTTCCCATGTTTTTTTGCCATACCCACGTGGTAGAAGGCAACACAACAACTCCAGATGTTGCTGGACACTCCTCCCGAGAACCAAGGCATCGGGATTTCTGAATCCAAATGCGGCATCCTCAGCTTCGGACGCCTCACATCACTGGAGCCCCCGAGGATGTATGGTTCACATGGTTCACCGGCCAAGGCGAAAGCAAATGCAAAGAAAAAGGTCGCACCCAAAAGCGTGGCTCAACTGCACAGCCGACATAGCCTGTACCTGGTGGATGCCTCTGTGGTGGCGTAAACTGGACTAATTATACAGTCAAACTGCGTATAAAAATGGGTGGAGCTAACTACATGTGCTTGTGTTCGATGGAATTTCCTTTTTTTTCACGAAAGCTAGCGGTAGCTAGCTGGAGTTACTCTTGCTTCAGCAAGGGGAGGGGCAGGTCTGAGTCCAACAGTGATTTTTCATTCGAACCCCCCCGAGCTCCCGGGCATTTTGAAGCGGTGTCGGAAGCAGATGGTCACGGGCTCAAATCCTGCCAGGTCTCTAGGCAATCTGTATTCAACATATCAAAATCCCATCTTGTTTCCAGGCTCATATGAACCTTAGCTTTCGTTCCCCCCCTGGGCCTCAAGTTCCACGACCTCAGTTGGAAGAGCAATACACCTCAAATCTTGGATCAATCTGTGCTGATGTCTTCAGGTACTTGCACCAGCAGGACCCTGGATTTTCATGGATTTTTGACCTTGATCATGGAATGATTCCAAGACTCATTTTAACCAAAAGAGTTGTAGACCCCACTCTTTTGTCAAGTTCCCGCTTCTATTCAACTAATTTCCAATTGATTCACCAGTTCGAAAAAAGTTGCCCGTTTAAGGGTTTAATTTATAATTAATTGATGAGATTGCACAAGTTCTTAAGCACTTGGGTTACAACCAAACCTACCTATGCCAAGAACCCAGCTTTATTTGATTTGTTTCTCTTGGGGGACAATAGTGTAACGTATGGTGCGGTTGCTGAACACCCCTGCTTGGCTCCACCCAATTTTTCAAGGGGTGTCCCCCCTTGGGTTTCACATTCACTTCGCATTCTTCACTTGTGAAACTTGTGAACTTAACTCACTTTCCCTAGCGTTTCTCATGGGCAACCTTCGTCACCCATGCCTCATCTCGAAAAAACAGCACCATCCTGTTCGGGTGGGTGTAGTGGTTTTGCGCAAAATAGGGCACCCACAAAATTTGACAACTTTGATCCTACTTAGGTGGTGAAAAGCCGATGGTTTGATGGTGAGTGAAATCCATGTTTCGGGACTAAACCACCGAGAGCACAAGCGCATTGTGGGCAGCTTTCCCTAGGTCCTGGAGCTTCGCATTGGCACCAAACCCACGGTGGTGGTGACCTCTCGTCCAGATGAGCCAGACAGGTCTGGATTCTGCGGCTGGGTAGATTGCCACCGAAACATGCAGATTTTTAATGATTTTTACCAGCCAAAACTTGGCCAGAAACAAAAACAACGAAGGTTTTTAGCCAGCCAAAATGAAGCTGCGCAAAAAAAAACAGTTGCGACGCGTTGGCGATAGAGAGAGAGAGAGGGACGCGTTTTAACATGTTTCAAGATGATGTAAACAACTGCAATGAAGGTTTATCCGGCCAAAATGAGGCCTCCAACAACTGCAATGAAGGTTTTACCAAGCTGAAATAACGCTGTATGCAACTGCAATGCAAGTTTTGCCCAGCCAAAACGACGCCCTAGCAGTAGCCAACTCCAATGACAGTTTTACCATGTTTTACCTAGCCAAAATAATGCCTTCAGCAACTGCAATGTTTTTTTTTGCCCGACCAAAACGAGCTGTCAACCAACGGCAATGAAGGTTTAGCCAAAGTAAGGTCTTAAATGAATAGCAAGGAAGGCTTTGCAAGAAGTGATGGGGATCGTCGGCAAGAATGGTATTTGTTGCATCAAACATGGAGGAATTTGCCACCATGAAATCGAATTAGGATCACTAGGTCATACTAGGGCTAGTAATTTCAAACTTTGTTGTTTTCCAGCTTTCCAAACGGGATGATGCCCCCCAAACTGATTTATCTGATTTTTTCAGCGGGGCAAAAAATATGCAAAACTAGTGGCAGGAGGACAACCTACCTGACACCCGGTGGACCGTGACTTCAAAGGATTGTGTGCCAGGATCGAAGAAGAACCGGTGAAAGATCTGAAGGCTGAACGGCGGGCGAAGCAAAAGGCTGCGACGAGATTCCAGGACGTGGCAGACCACATCAGACCACAATGCTAAAGACAGATATGATATATTTACCCACCGGCACACACACACACACAAAGACACAAATGGATAGGTGCATGATGGTGCATACGTACCCACTGGTATTTGTGATGTCGTCATTCGTCCATACCTTTCTGTGCGCGGATGTGCTTGCATATATCATATACTTGTACAAGATGTCAAGGCTCAAGGGCGTAGAAGAAAGTCTTCAGCTATCGCCCACTGACATCCTGCATCGCCAAAGGATGTGGAGGAGGAGTACTCCTACGACAGCCACGATAGGCGTCGCAAGAAGAGAAGAGGCCCTTGGATGACCATCCCATGGAGAATACCTGGCAGCCATGGTTATCATCCAACATCATCCAACTACAACTGGGGAGTCCATCAAATGTGTAATTCCATGTAATTCCCACATTCTTCCACAAAGTCCCGCACGTGCCCCAGGTCGTGTGGCCTACGACGATGAGGCTCCTGCTCTCGTCTTGGTTCGCTACTGGATTCGGTACAACAGTATTAATTGGAAAAAACACGTGCCAGAGAACCTCCAAAGAAAATCACCGGAATACGTGAAGGAGTTCCAATCCAGCAGCCAGATGCCCTTTGTAATGAGGATGCCTTTGGGCATCGCTCATGTGACAGCAGGATTCGGACCGGCGGCGGCACATGCGAAGTCGCAGTGGCCACTACTCTGAGGCTGCATGGGTTGGGGCTGGTGATGCTGGTGTGACTGCGCGGAGGATAGGCATATGAATCAAACATCCGAAAATGAGTCGCGTCGGTGGTTTCAGGCCAAGAAATGTCCCCCCAGTTCGCTATAATATCATATAATATCATATAATATCATATAATATCACATAATATCATACAATATCTTAAGATTATTTGCAACAGAAGCTTTCCAAAGGATGGAGGCCTACTTTAGCAATGGGCAATCCCCTGGTCAAACTCGGGGATCCACTGGCTGTGCGCAAAACAGGACCGGTACGGACGGCGCGACCGCAGCCGCTCCATGGATGGATGCTGGGCAGACATCTTCGAGAGGGAAACTGTCGGAGGGGGATTGGCAGCAGGAGGCCATGCTGAAATTTGGAGACCAGGGTTGTAGAATAATTTAGATTTATATTTAAATAAAGAGAGATAAAGCAATAGATCAGTCATGATAGATCTATAGTCTAGAATCTAGACATAGATTTAGATGTAGGGCATGACATGTAGGACGAAGGGAGAGAGGTATTGATTCTAGCTATAAAAGATAGATATGCAGAGTGACAGCCAGATAAATAAATACGTTGCATTCATTGAGGATACCGAGCGTTGGGAAGAATCCCAATGTAGTCATTTCGTCCATCAGGACGCAATGAAAGGAACAGGTTTGATTCGCACAATTCATCAAAATTCCGTTCCATTTGGGCACTTGACCTTCCCGGGGCTTACTGTTCTAGTTTTTTTTTTTGTTGTGTTTCTGGTGATGGAGGAGTGGATGCGTTGCTGAGGATTTTATGACAGCGATGACTCATCTGAAGTAAGAAGAAGAAAGAAGCGCGAAGAGAAGAGAAAAAGGGAGGACCTTGCCAGGGACCTTGCCAGGGACCTTCCCATCATCCTCATGATATCATATCTATTCATATGGGAGTCGTCCTAAAACCCATGCAAGGCTTTTAGTATCCGAGTGACCTCTGCAGATATGGATGTGTATGTTTTGCTGCAGTGGCGAAAGGCCGCGAAAGGGCGGCGTAAGGTTCGCGAAAGGTCTGAATACCATTATTTATAAACCTATAAGTAAAAGAAAACCTGATCATAATCTCATGTCCCGATTCTGCTGGGGCGCGAAAGGGCGCGAAAGGTTCGCGAAAGCGCGGCGTAAGGGCGTTTTCGGGTACCATAATTTTGGACAACCCCCATATGGAGGTTTCCTAAAATTTGGGTACCCCCCAAAATCATCCTGAATTAGACCATTTCAATATTGAAACCCATGGTCTTGGGGATCCCCCATTTTAAGAAACATATTTGCTATCCTAAATTTTGACATGTCGGCGATCGACCGATTTTGACTCTTTGACCCTCTCAGTCATAGTCACAGGCAGCTACATATGCTACCTCGTTCATCTATCTATGTCTAATCAAAGCTGATCTCATCTAATCAAAGCTATATAATCTAATCTAAATCTATATAATCCAGTCTAATCTTATCTAATCTAGTCTAGTCTAATTTAATCTTATCTACTGTAGCCTAATTGATCTGATCTAATCTAATCTGATCTGATCTATTCTAATCTAATTTAATCTAATCTAATCTATCTATTCATGTATGTGCTGATGCACATACACGCATACAATTGCACACAGAACCACACACACACACGCATATACATATGTGGTGATCGATCTAAAGGTCCTTGTAAGGAGTTTTAATTGCGAAAGCCGTGCATGTTATGTTGGAAACCCTCGCGAAAGTTTTTTTTCGAGTTCGCGAAAGTAAAATTTTATTTCGCGAAAGTTTCGCGAAAGTTGGGTATTACAATCATTATATGTAAAGGGCTGCCACCCACTGCCGCCCGGGGTCCGGCAGGAGAAGGGCACCAGAGAATGCGAGTAGCAGTAGCCAAGTTTCCAAAATAGTGAGGCTTTGCGAGAGCCAAACACCAAGGCCCCTGGTCTTCGCTTTTCCTTCAGTGCACCCCCTGCTGATGGCCGGGGTCTGTGAATAGGGATATTTTCGCGAAAGTTCCGCGAAAGTTATGCGAAAGAGCGGGCGAAAGTCAAAGTGAATGTTGAAGGGGGTGGGCCAGTAAACTTTGCAAAAAAAATCTGTCCTGAGAAGGGATTCCGTGATGCTAGCTGCATGTTTAAAAGGCTACCAAGAAGTGATCCGTGATTCTCTGGCGTAATTTGGCAGGTGGCGAACGAATCTTTATAAGAGGTGTTGTTGGCCAACATGGGCCCCGCGAAAGATAAACAGGGAGTTCGCGAAAGTTTCGCGAAAGTAAAATTTTTATTCGCGAAGAATGGCCGTTCCGGGATAAAGGAATTTTGATCAACAACCATGTATATATATATATGATTATAATTATATATATATAAATATTTACGCACACACACACATATATATATATATGTACGTTATATATATATATATGTACGCACCATGTATATGATATGACTCGGTGGCACCAGGAATGGAGAAAGGAATGGAAGAGGAAGAAAGAAATGGAACGACGGCGAGAGGGCCAGCCAGGCCCCGCCTTAACCTCTATTCCATTATGCTCTGGGTATCTCTCGAGATTTGCGAAATGCAGGGCACTTCATAGGCAAATGCACTCGGTAAATGTTTTGAGGCGGTTTGAGGTGTTCCATCTGAATGCCATGCAGGTGTACGTTCTTCCGATGAAGAGAGTGGCATGGATGCACGTAGGTCTGTCGAAAATGCGGGCGAGCCCTGTGTCACCAAAATTGGATGAGACTAATTAATATGATTAGAGAGAAATTCATATCAATTCAATATAATTCAATGTTTTGGGCAACCTAAAGTTTATGTTTAGATCTGTGCCGTGCTTTCGGTTTATGGTCTATGCAAGTCAATGCCGGTTTTTTGACATTTCCCAAGATCAGTGCGGTTCCATGATCCACGGTGCAGTGGAAGCCTCCAACAGGGTCTCAACAGTGCGTTCCCGGGTCACCGTTTTGATCGATCTTGTAAATGCGATTGCATATTTTTACATATCTCGCTTATAGTCATTAGGCAAGAACATTGTGAAAAACAAAGAATATTTTTAAAGCACCAAATCCAGTTATGAATAGTTATGAAACTTCTTGAAAAAAACATATCTAAGATTGATGATCTGAGCCAGTTGCTGTAGCTCCACTTGGATTCTGATCCCAGTGGTTCTGGTCAACCGCTGGATCCATGAGGTGATCCTTGCGACTTTGAAAGGCGCGCGGAGAGCGCTGATAGGACAGCAGCGCTGACAGGGTCATGGGAACACGGATAGCCCAAGATCCCAAGAAATCCCCAAGTAGCCTCTGGCAAAGATGGGCAAAGAAATGAGCAAAGAAATGGACAATCTTGTAGTGCAAGGTTGACAGCACTCATTCCCCACGACACTTCCCTCAAAACTACTTGGAAAGCCGGTTGCCAATGAATGCATTCTAGCATTTGCATAACTTTGATTAACTTTGCATACCTGGTGCCTTCGTTTGTTGGCTTTCTCCCCACTCTGGATGTGTTGTATGTACATAGATGACATACATTGTAGCCACACGAACAGCGTATTAGTGCCCAATGTGTACACAACTAGGTATATCACATCTGATCACCAAAACTGGTTGGCGTGTTTGACACACACATATATATATATATGTATATTTACATCATATACATATGCACATACAGGCATGATTTCTTTTATTTCACACAAACACACACATAATTATACGCACACAAATAAACACACACATATAATTATATATATATGCAGACACGTAACAAGTACACACACACACACGCACACACACACGCACACGCACGTATATACTCATCATATTCATCACTAATGGCTATTAATATATTCATTAATAGTGATCAAAGGAAGTTTAGGTAGAAAACTTCCGAGTTACGGGCGATAGTCATGGTCAGCATTTCCACCATCATGCCAACCACATCATACCACATCATCATGCCAACCACCCATCATCAAGTAGTTGGGAAGTGTAACAGTTCGGAAGCGTGTGAACTCACAGGACTGTAGCGAGGGCTCGGTTTGCGCTTTAAAATGTTAAAAAACTGACGGCCTCGGGGCACTTTTGGAAGATGAGGTCGGCAAAAGTGCACAGGACGTGGCGAAAGCTCGATTTCACACAAAAATCGAACTGAGGCGTTTAGAGCACTTTTGGAACATGAGGCCGGCAAAATGTGCAAGAGACTGTAGCGAGAGCTCGATTTCAAAAAAACATCGCAAAAAAAGTGTCATGTTCAGATGTTCAGAGCAGCCCCGGATTTGTGTGGCCGAAGTCCCATTGTCAGCGCTGCCCGAACGTTGATCGAGTTGGTGTGACGCTCCTGCTATGCCATGCGGGTTTGCAGCCGGCTGTGACAAAACGCACTGGCACGGCTCCGCGCAGGAAAGCATCTGATGTTGCGACGCTCCTGGCAAGCGGGATTGCAGCTGGAGGTTGCTAAACGCATTGTATCGACCATAGTGATATGCTTGCGGGATTGCAGCTGGAGGCTGGAGGTTGCTAAATGCATTGTAAAAGCTGAGCGAAGAGAAGACTTGGGTTGCAGACGCTACAGAAGAGCTAGCTGGGAGGCAGGTCAGAGCAGAAGTAGCCCAGTTAAGTGGCTGCTCAGAGAAAAGAAGTAGCTGAGAGAAGAGGTGCCTCAGCAAAAAGGTCGCTCAGCGAAGAAGTAGCTCGCAAAGAAAAGTAACCCACTCATCCATCCATCTACCCATCCATCCATCCCATCCATCCATCCACCCATCCGTCAATTTATTCACCCAATCATTCGTTCATTCTTTCATTCACTAATTCATTGATTCATTAACTCAGTGATTCATTGATTCGTTGGTTCACTGGTTCATTGATCCACTGCTTCATTGATTCATTGAGTCGTTGGCCCACTGATTTATTCATTCTTTTTCGTTTTTGGTTCATTGATTCGTTGATTCATTGTTTCATGGTTTTGTTAATTCATGGATTATTTGGTTCACTGAATCATTGTTTCATTGAGTCGTTGATCCACTGATTTATTTATTCAACGATTGGTCCAATTTCACTGATTCGTTGATTCACTGATTCATTGTTTCATTGATTCCTTGGGCCATTGATTCATTGCTTCGCTGCTTCATTGATTCATTGTTTCATTGCTTCATGGATTCATCGACTCATTACTTCACCTGTTCATTGATTCATTGGTTCATTGCTTCGTTGCTTCATTGATTCGCTGATTCCATTCATTGGTTTGGTTGTTTCGTCGTTTGCTTCAATGCTTCGTTCCTTCATCGATTTACTGGCTCATTGTCATTGATTCATCGATTCACTGGTTCATTGACTTCTTCAGTCAGTCGTGCATGGATTCCTTCATGTCCCCTCATTGGCATCTCAACAGCCATTTGCTGATTTGCTCATTCGTTGGCGCGCCTCACAACTTCAACACTTCGTTGCCTTTGCATCTCAAAATCTTTCCTATACTATAGGCCATCTTCTTCCTATAGTAGTTTTCTTTTCGAAACTTCCGCTCCGGCGCTTGCTGGGCACTATTGGTAATGACATGTAATGACTACAAACAACTGTACATTAATCTATAACCATTAGGGAGTGGAAGCGCCCGAAAATTCCTGATTCCTTGATGACCTTGGTCAGGAGCCCGACGCGGAAGACGAAAACCGCCATCGGAGTGCCCGAGGCGCAGGTGGATCACGTGGGAGGCGCGCAGCGATGGCCAGGGCATGGGGTGGATGATGGCTTAATATGGGATAGTAATCTGGGATGATAATTAGTAGAGAGAGAGAGATAGATATATATAAGATCTGACGTGGATATGCGGTGATATGACACATGAATTTGGACCTATGAATTTGAATAAATCATCAAACAAATCAATTTTTCAAGGTAATGTATGTGATCTGGATGATTTGTCCAAGATCTACGTCGGGTGGATTCCGTGCGCGGCAAGGCGTGCAGCGACGCTACGCGACTTGGCGGATGGGATGCTGGGCCATGGCATGCCATGGCAATGGCGGGTAAGGCCACATATCAAATACCCCGGCTAGGAAACATGGGCCTAAGTTGGATCAGGATGATCAGGTTGGATCTATGGTGCCTAAGGTTTTTATTTCGGGCATCTCCATTTCTAGCGGTTCATAACCCAGGTTGAATCCCGATTTTTTCTGTTGAAATCCTATTGTCTATAGTGGGCTACCAACAAATCCCAACAAATCTGAGTCTGGCCGTGTTCTGTGCCTCACGGCATGGTGCTGAATGCATCCGCACACTCACTCAGGTGGGTCAGCTGCGTTGGGGCCTGAACCGTTGGGCTAGGGGTGATGGATCCTATTCCATGTGAAACATGGAAAACATGGCAAAGGTTCCGCCCGTGGCATCCATGATCCATGGTATATATATATATAACTATATATATATAATTATATATATATATATAAATATGATTTATAAATCATTTTATCAATATCGTTAATAATAAGACACGCACACACAGACAGATAATATCATTCTACGTGAATTATATATAGTTACCATCATCCTTATCTTCCATCATTGTCCTCATGAACCACGCTGGAACGCTGAGGAGACTCCGAGCTGGGCGAGCGTTTGCGGAGGGCAGAAGAGATTCATGGCCTCAATACTCAAAGGACACGGGCCTCATGGGACCTCATCATGGAGGGATGCCAAGTGCCAAATCACGGAGCTCAGTGAACATAGGAGAGTCGGACCAGTGGTTGAAGTGGGGTGATATGCAGTGCAACTTTGTCACTGATTAGGACCCAAAATTGGGGGGCGTAATTGTCTTGGACCTGAAGCACTCCAATCTGGTCACACCTCTTGTCCAAAAAATTGGTTCAATGATGTTGAAGTTAACATATTGTAAAAGATTTCAAAGATTGATCATATGAATACCCACGTGTATGGATGTTTTTTGAAGGTAACACGGTAAAATCCATGTTTTCCCGCAACATTTCCCATACACCGCCATACATCCCCATAATCCGTGCAGGAAATTGCTGACAGAGGCTGAAGCCATTGCCCTGCTGCAGGGCGGCAGCAAGCGCCGCACCAGATGACCGGGCGTTCGGCGTTCGATGGGGGGAGCTCGGCGGATGCCAACAGAATTAGATCAGGGAACATTTACAGAAAAACACACTTGTAATGGTAAGAACCGGGGTTCCCAGGAGACAGATACAAGCAAAAAGATGCCAAAGCGAAAAACAACGCTTCCTGCAGAATCACCCTAAGATCAACCCAATGAGTCAATGATGAGGAAACCCTAAGAGCTTTGAGGGAGCACAGGGAGATGCCAATTTCGCAATGTTGATTCAGTCTGTCTTGGACACGTCAATTGGCATGCTCGTCCAACATTCATTCCCCACCTCCATGCATCTCCTGGAACCCATGAATTGGTGTATGTCAGAGTAAGTAAGACACCACATTTCCCATGCAGAAAATCAACAAGAAATGGCAGGAGTTTCCATTTTCAGGTCGGCCAGAAGGTCAAGTCAATGTCATACTGATAGCGTCATGATTCCTTACCCTTTCTGATCAAATGGCATTACAGTAATCATTAAAATGATCATTAAATCATATTAAATCTTCAAAAGTGTCCGTTTGTGCGAATGGCAGCATGTTTGTAAACCTGAAGGCATCGAATTCTTGATTTGTTGTGATTTTTGCATCGCTTGGGCTGTCCCCTGTCACTTTCATTGGATGTCACACGACACCGGAGATTGGTCAGAGAGCCGCTTTTAAAAGGAGCACCTTTGACTGTGGCTTTTGTTAAAGATGCTGTAACTGCTGCCGTGACAATTTTTACTTTGGGTCATACCTTTCATCAAGCACACCAAGACTACAAGGCAAACCAAACCACTGTTCCTCACCAGCGCGTAATTTTGCAGCAAGATATGGCCACATAGTTTTACTTTGGGTCATATCATACCTTTCATCAAGCACACCAAGACACTGTTCCTCACCATGCTGAGCAGCATAAATCTCGGATGCTGTGCCTGATTTTGCAGCCACATAATGGCCACATAATGATATGATATGTGTCTAAGCATGGCCCGGCATGGCTGATTCTTGGCGTCAAGCAATCGTAACTTTTCATCCCTTACTGAAAATGGTTAAATCATAATCAGAATCATATCACTGTCACTACTGGGTGGGGCACCCCAGTTAGTGGCTTATAAGTTATAAGTTATGACCCCAGTTCTAAATGGGGTGAGTAAGGTTGGTCCAGTTATACTTGTGGTATCTTGTGGTTATTACCAAGCTACCAGCTGGGGTGAAAAGATGATCTGAATATATCGGAATAATTCATCCCAGTTGACCTATACTTTCAGCTTGAAGCAACATGGCCCCGATGAGCATCTCCCTTTACTTTTACAAGGGACAATCAGTCATGGGGATGGGGGTCCCAATTCTCCCCAAGCAGACCCAGGTTAGATACTAGATGTGCCAATGTTTCTACGTGTTTGACCATGACTTTTGGAAGAGCCACCGGCATGCCACTGACAAGATAAGTAGCAGAAGAGATTGCTTGTTGGGTAAATCAGGATTCCCACAAAAACGTGCATCCTGCACGCAAAGCTCCAGTGGTTCACTGCCGCCATCGGCTGGAGGATATCTAGGAGGATAGCGCAGTGCTGGGTGCTAGTTCCTGTTTCCAATGGAGAGATTGTAGCTGGAGGGCCTTCCTGTGGTTAAGGCATCACCTGCTCTGAGAAACACCCAAATCTGAATCCCGTTTGGGAGGTTGCTGGGCGTGAAATGCTAGCTCCCTTTGGCATCCTTTGGCCACTTGTTAGTTTTTTTTCTTAAAGATTGGGGGTTATGTACTAGCCACCCCGTGAGAATATGTGAGAACACCAGATAGATTATGGATAGATTCAGTGAGATTACGACCCCACTTTACGAGCGGTGAGGCCAGACATGGCAAGACCAAGTGCTTTGGAAGCCAAGTTGGAAACGGTGACTGTGCCCAGAGATCTCCAGAGCTGGCTTCGTTGAACCTGCCGACGGGAGGATGACGGGAGACACTGCAGTAGGACAGTGGGACATGTTTCCCCTGAGTCAAATTCTGTTGGTTTGAGAGCCTGCCCCTCATTATTAATATTATTGCAAGATATAAATATTAAACAAAATATAAGATATTGCAAGTGGCATTTTGCTTACCCACACATTTTACAATAGTCATTTCACTATTGATTCACTATTGTTTGGTGATTTTTAATTTAAAATTGTTTGTTTCGATTTCTATCTGAAACGACTATAGAATCGACTACAAGGGATGCTGCGAGGCAGTGAGGTCAATGAAGCCAGTGACGTCTCACTTTACGCGGCATGGCATGGGTTCAGGTCTTGATTTGACATTTTGTAGGATATTTCACACTGGTGCAGTAAGGAGATGACTTGCGAAGTTTGCTATTTTAAACCAATTGGTCTCTACACAGGTAGATGAACAAAGGGACAATTCTTGAGAATTCCAGCGTTTCCTCCTTGATTTTTTTTGGACCATTGTTATTGCTTCTGAGGGTCATGTGATGTCAAGTCCATTCGTTGACGTTCCGGAACGGGAGCAGAACAGAACAGAACTGGCAGAAGACGTGTTCCCAGTTGCGTTAGAAAACAGACGATGCGGTGGCCGATGAGATGGGCTCAAAAATATTTTGTGCGATGTGGGAGATTCAGTGGTGGTCATTTTGAGTTATATATAGTAACCACCAAAAAGGATAAACATGCTAGAACCGTGAATTTTCACTATCTTATAATAATGAGGATTTTAATGGATTTTACATATTTTACTGCTCTATCTTTCTGGGGATGACTATAGTACAATTAGTAGAAATTTAGGAATGAATCTGGCAACTCTTGACATCATATGATGGATGTTCGGAAACCTGTATTCTCACTTGAGGGTTTTCCGATTCCGGACACACCTGCTCTTCCCTCGCTTTTGTGTTGCGAACGATTTCGCTATAGTGGTTCTACATGGTCCCAGAAATTGTGTGGTCATTTCCCATGGTGGCCTCCGTACGGGGCCATGGATCCACCCTCAGCACCCTCACCCTGGGCCCAGTGCTTCGACATCGTGAAGCATAACTTCGGAGCCACTGACCAGGTGCGACCATCAAAGGGCACCCCAAAGACAGTGGGGTTTGATGAACCCATAGTACCCATATTAATAGGGTGTTACTATCCGTTACTTTTTTCGCAAATTCATCCAAAGGTCAGGATAGGTTGGCATAAAAGGGTGGAGACCGCAAGACATCCATGAAAAACATAGCGGAAAGCCGCAGCTTTGTTTTCTGACATACCATGGGGACCAGATGCGTACCCATGATTGTAAAGCTGCAAGCTGTTGGCCAACCCAGCCAGGACCTTGAGCGGCTCTATAGACTGCTCAGTTTCAGGCCAGGGATTTTCCACAAGATGGAGATAGGGCATGCAAGCGGCAAAGAAGGGACGGGAACCCAGTATGAATTCTGAATTCTTTTGTATAAGTCTAGTATAAGTAGAAGGAAGGTCACACCACCTCAGTTTTTCAACATGAATCTTCAGATGACGTTGGTCGTTTAATTACTATCGGAGCCTGATGCTAGAATGGTTTTACATAATTCTTAAGCGCAAACTGTCTATGCTTCTCATTTAAAACTAACTTTGGTGTAAGATCATGGGCCCTGATCCATACAACACCTAAGCAGGGCCATTTCGCTTATTCAGATTCTTAAGCTAGGCTCTGTGTTGATCTAGCAGGCATCGGAAGATGATTTGGCCATTCATGACTTGGTCCATTAGAAATATCATCAAATATCAAAGCAGGGGCATTGATGTGGCCCCACCAGGAGCAAAGGGGGTCAAGTTCAAGTTGTGGCCAGTGAGCTTGGGCGAGCGCGGCTGCTGCCAAAGGAGGTCATCACGACCTTTGCCAGAGAGCAGTTGCACCCAGAGGGCGGATGGAACGCTGTGGCTAGCCTCGGCGTAACGGATCCCAGACTTGTTGTAAGGGAAAGCCCACAGGAGCTCCCAACATCCAAAACGGATTGCAAAACATAATGGGCAACATGAAACGCAAAAGACATGGTATGCAGAGTCTATAGATTCGTCCTGTTGGTAGGTTGTTGTGCCAAAGTAAGCGTACAAGGGGGTGTTTTCAAGGATTTCAAGAATGACAAGCGTTGCAGTTGCAGGATGCCAGGAACACATATCCCTTTTGAGCGAGGAAAAAAAATTATCTTTCAGACCCAGAATATTAAAAGTTCTTGTCCTTTTGGGGAAGGGCCTACAAGCATCGGGATAGACTATTTTCGCAGCTTCAAGAAGGTGATTTTGGAAGGCAGGCCTTCTTCGCATTTAGCCGCAACTATACGATTGCTGTCACGCGAGCGACAGCTCTTTGGAGTTCAAACTTTGGCACTTGCGTCCTCAACATATGCAATAAGAACTGTTGCTCTCTGGGTGCGGCCTTATCTTTGAAGCCGATGCTAGCATCATGAAAGATATGTCTCTAAGGCCTCGACGCCCTCCTCCAGGTTCGGCTTTCTATCTTGATCTTATGATCTAATGTGCGCCTTATATGGTCAACTCCTGTATGTTCATGCAGGCCGTATTTTTTGTTGGTGGTGGTTGGGTTGCCGTGGTTCCTCTTGTTCCTGCTCTTGTCCTCCTTGTTGTTGTTGTTGTTGTTGTTGGCGGCTCTTGTCGCTTCCCCGCAACGCCCCAAGGCAGCCACTCACATAGTTGCCATAGAAGCCATAGAATTCCCGCACGAGCCTTGTGCATGCTGCCGGACCGAGGAGACATCCCAAAGAGTACCATCCTCAGAAATTCACGATATATATATATAATTATATATATATGTATGTATGTATGTATGTAATGTATGTATGTTATGTATGTATGTATGTATGTATGTATGTATGTATGTATGTATGTATGTATGTATGTATGTATGTATGTATGTATGTATGTATGTATGTATGTATGATGTATGTATGTATGTATGTATGTATGTATGTATGTATGTATGTATGTATGTATGTATGTATGTATGTATGTATGTATGTATGTATGTATGTATGTATGTATGTATGTATGTATGTATGTATGTATGTATGTATGTATGTATGTATGTGATTATGTATGTGATTATGTATGTTAGTTATGTATGTTATGTATGTTATGTATGTTATGTATGTTATGTATGTTATGTATGTTATGTATGTTATGTATGTTATGTATGTTATGTATGTTATGTATGGTATGTATGTTATGTATGTTATGTATGTTATGTATGTTATGTATGTTATGTATGTTATGTATGTTATGTATGTTATGTATGTTATGTATGTTATGTAATGTAATGTAATGTGATGTGATGTGATGTGATGTGATGTGATGTGATGTGATGTGATGTGGTGTGGTGTGATGTGATGTGGTGTGATGTGATGTGATGTGATGTGATGTGATGTGATGTGATGTGATGTGATGTGATGTGATGTGATGTGATGTGATGTGCTGTGCTGTGCTGTGCTGTGCTGTGCTGTGCTGTGCTGTGCTGTGCTGTGCTGTGATGTGATGTGATGTGATGTGATGTGATGTGATGTAATGTAATGTAATGGTATGTATGTATGTATGTATGTATGTATGTATAATTATATATATAAAAATGTATATATATATATATTTGTGATGTATAACATTGGATGAATACTCAAAGAGGTATTGGCGGTATTGGCATTAATGCGTGCCATGTGAGACTTAAGCCCCATGTTAGCTAAATCAGAATCGGTGTGAACAGCAAATTCAGAATGAAGGAGTGATTCTTTGAGATGCAAATCATGTGAAGCAGACGGTAGCTATGTCAAAACACAATAGCCATGTTTGGCCATCCTTCAAGAGGGAAACCTTGGAAGCTGTTAGCATCTGTTAGCCATGTTAATTAGCCATGTTAGCCATGTTAGTCACTTGCAATTCATATTTTTTCAGCGGCTTGTGCTCTACCAAAATGATGGCTGGACAGCTGACTTGAGTAGCTTTGTTAGTGGTGTAAAATGGACGGTGAAGCAGCTTGATTGGTTTACCAAAGAACAGTGTGATAGACCCAGTAATCAACCATCCCCGTCCCCAAATTTACCCGAATAGGTTGTAAACAACCATCCCCCATTGGAGGTTTCTTATTGGGTTTACAGCATTACTCTGCGTTTGCATTTCGCTGGAGTGCTTGTTGGTCGCACAAGTGATGAAGATTGGTGCGGAAAACATCTTGAACCTGCTCAGTCTGTCGCAGTCATGTGTGGCTGAGGGTGTGTTTCGACTACGAGGTGCAGCTGGGCGGGACTTGGTAGATTGGTGCGACCGGGTGATTTGGTGCAAGGGCTGAAAACATCTGAAACAATGCAGATGCATGCGCCAAGGAGCAGGAAGAGAGGTAGTGCCACATGGCCAATGGATGCCAATGGCGAGTCTTGACCTACTTTTCTAGCTGTTGAACACCTATTAATGGAATCTAATGGACACATAATTGCAAGGTGATTGATGCTCTTGCACGTCGAAACTTTTTCCTACGGCAACTTAAAAGGTTGGCTTCAGCATAGGGGTCCTGGCACGCAGGACTTCAAGACCATTGTCTGGCCAAAACTTAAGGAAAGATGGGTGCGGGACTCAAATGGACGGTTTTTTCAATGTTTATTTTTGCCTGCTCCGGTGCTCTCCAAGCGCAACTTGTCTCGGAGCTGCCAGCTTGTTTGCCGTTTGGAGCCGTTCTTTCCCGGAGCCCAGGTGTCGTCTGATACCATTCGCAAGCAAAAGACCTTGATGGAGGCAGATCCCGGGGATGGGGAATGATGGGGATGGGGTCTGCAGCGACCACCAGGGAGGTACCCTCCGGTCTCCATTAAACGTGACAAGCAATTTCCCGAACTACATGGGCATTTCAATGAGAAAGTCATCTAGGTCATTTTTCATTGCCATGTTTGAATACCATGAGTAATTGATTGATAGATTGAATCTGATTTATCCACACACACATATATGATCATATATGTAATTATATATATAATTGTATATGTATAATTATATTTCATCTATATATATATGATTATATATATATGTGTGTGCGTGTGTGTGTGTTACTAAACTGCGGGTTTATTGATCTTAGGTTGGCATTGCCCTGGGTCTTAAATTTGGGTACACGCCCGACTGTCTATATCAATCCTGTCAAATGATCGCATTTTCAGCGTTTTGGTCAGTCATAATTGGGTAGTTAGGTTCTAATTTGGATCAACATCATAAGTAATTGGATGAAAAACACCATGAGTAGCTAACCAAGGTTATTAGATGAAACATATCATTAGTTTGGATGAACATAGTGGTTATAAGTAGCTGCAAGTAGCTATATAAACCCCACTGGAGCTCGTCAGGAAAAGGATTCTTTGCGCGGCGGGGTATCCCAAAGGAACATCGCCTTCCGCGCCAGACAAAATCCCGATGGCGCATGATAGGTCCAGCGGCAGAAGGCTGACATGGAAGCAAAACTGGAAGTATTATCTCATTTTCCCAGCAGGCAGTTTTGGGGTCTTGTTGGCATTCATTCAGGATTCCATGTTGCAATTTCGATCATAAAAAAACATAGATTGAGAGAGGTCTGGTGGTATCATTGAAAGGGGGCGCATTGCTTCCAGATTTGTGGGGGTGCACCTTGGCTGGGCACTTGTAGGGCCTTGAATCTATCAACTTTAGCAAGCCCCCAAAATGGAAGGTTCGACACTGAGGCACCCCAATTTTGATCCCATACCCCGTCGACCTATGCCACACTGAGTTCGGATACAGCGGCAAACTGAAGCTGATCATCCAGGACCGGGTCGATGGAGAGACAGTGGAAGGGTCGGGTGGCTGTTTACCTTGGTGCGCGCACCATGGTCCGCACTCAGCACAAGCGCCTCAGTCTCCTGGACCTCAGGATAAGCAGATTGGGAATTCGCCCGGGAGCAAAGTGTCCATGTTAAGGCAGTAGAATTGACTCAGAAGTGGCTTCAGGGCAGATGTGGTTCATGTGGTTCTTCTGGTTTATGTGATTCCTGTGGCTCTTGTGGTTCTGTTTGTTGTTTTTGACTGTTGATTGTTAGTTTTTGCATTCAACCGCATCTAACTGTCTCCCTCCCTCCCTCCCGCCTCCCTGCCTCCCTGCCTCCCTCCCTCTCTCCCTGTATCTCCCTTTCTCTCTCTTATTGTCACTGTAATTGAACCTGCCCTTGGAGCTCAAAACTGCGTGACATATTCAATGTCAGTGCAAACTAACTTGATTCACCAGATGGTGGGGGGTCATCTGAGACACAAGATGGAAATTACAGTTTGGGTGGGTCGGTCACATCATTTTTGGGATATGATCCAACATGGCAGCAAGGATGGGCGTTGCACGGCATGAATGCGTGCATATGTTTAAAATTTAAACACATGTGCCGGCTGTGTTTGGGATCATGAATTCAACGGACCAATTTAATGCAATGACCAGGAGACAGTCGTTTTGCGGAACTTATTTGAACTGGTAAAGTGATGCCACTTTATAATCTTTATAATTGCCTCGCAAAAGTTGGGTGGACCTTAGTTCCGTGGCAGTGCACCTGGCTGCTCTTTGTTTGGCTCGAGGCTGCTGCATTCAGACATGGTGTTTAGACCAAGTTATGCAATGTAGCGCGGTAGGCCGGGTCATTCCATGTTCAGTACCCGTGAACGCTCTGTCGATGTTTGGATTCCACATGATTCCACCGGAGTTTTTTTTCCTGGTGTGCTTTATTCAAAAAAGCACACATGCCAACCAAAGTGGATCCCAGCCTCAGTTGGCATCTACCACCAACCATATGGCCATATGATGCCATATGGACTATGGCAGTGTCATTTCATGGCCAATCTCCACAATCTATCAGCGCTTCATCGCGGGAGCGGCTGGTGCCATGCCATGGCCGATGACACAGATGAGGCCATGGTGATGTATCAATAATGGATTGATTAAAGGTTAAAGGAAACATCTAGAGGAAACCAAGGTGTTCGCAGTTTTTACCATCAAAATCCCCCTGGACCAATCCAATAAATGTAAAAACTCGCAGATTCCTGTGGCCGTTGCCGTATCATGTGCCAGCACAGTTGCAACGCCAGGTGCCGCGTCGTCGCAGCAACAGCCGCTTTCGACAAGAGGTGCCTCCAGATTTGCGGCGAGTATTGACCCGAAAGGCTGGCGGAGGGCTGGTGGAGGGCCGGGAGGGCGGGGGATCCAGCTGAATGGACATGGTCTGCCAACATCACACGTTAGCTTTAGGGCTCACTAATCCACGGTCCAATGGTCACTAGAGTCACTAGAGTCTGCCAAAACACCTTTTTCAAGCGCCCCTCCAATGGGAACAAAAAAGGATCTCCTGGGCTTAGATGGCTCATCTATCATTTTATTATGTTTCATTATGTTTTATTTTGATATCAAATTTGACTTTAAGCCATCCCTGTCACCCAGACTTCCTCCTGGTGAAGGGCCCATTTAGTTCTAAGCATCACTTGGTGGTCCCAAGTAGTTTGGAGATGTTTGTTTCGGCCATCATCTGAACTCTTTGGCATAGGTACCTGTGCTGAATTTTCTGAGCGTCTCCTTTGCACGGCCTCTGTTCTACACCTCCAGGTGTGGCATGATTTAGCAGTGAGAGTCTCCTGGAATCTTGCTCACTTTCCAAAACTCCCTTGAAGCTCAACATGCAACCCCAAGAATTTGCAGTTCCAAAAAAAGAAAGGTCAAGTTAAAATAAAAGTTAAATCATTTTAGGCCTGCGGGTTCTCTATGGATTTCTTGGGGTGAACCTGAAGATACCTGAAGCCTTCATATGCAAGCACAGCTTGCGAATGCCTGCCTGTCGTGCAGACGCTTGCGGACGATCATATCCTCCCATGTGGCGATCTTGGTTCACTTTGCAACTCGGCTGCACCTGGGTACAGCATGGTACAGCTCAAGCATGCCCTGGTGACAAAAAGGGACGGGGCACCAATTCCTCCCAACAGGCTATGGGTCAAAACCCTGGTACCCTTCTGTTCATCTCAAAATCGCTGGGATGTTCATCCCACCAAAATCTGGTAAGCTGCGCCAAGCCCCAGCATGCCCAGCATGCCCAGCATGCCCAGCATGCTCAGCATGCCGAGACCGTGGTGGTTGGAGAGACCTTGGCAGAATTGGAAGAGGCCAAGTGGCGAATCCAGCAATGCCGGGTGCAAATCTGGCAGGTGCGATGCTGCAAGTGGATGAACCATGGGATAAACAGCGGAGAGTGGGAAAAGGTCAAGGACCCAAATAGCATCATATCCATATCATAGTCTCATATATTCTCATGATATAATATGATATATATATATAATGCTATTTAACACGTCAATGAGAATTGAACATACTTGTAACATCATTGAACAGAACATATTGAATTCTCCACCGCACCATGTGTGGGCGCAGTGTTTCCAACCGAAGGCGGAGATTTGGGTTGTTGCTCCATCGTTGAATTAATGGGCTCCTGCAAACATACTTCAACAAGAGAGGGGGCGTCCCCACAAGTACGTACTTCAACCGCTTCTTCCTGATTGCGGGCACACTGGGCTACTAATTATGTATATATATATATATATGTATGTTTAATATACATGCACTCAGATGGATGGATGGATGGATGGATGGATGGATGGATGGATAGATAAATGGACAGATAAATAAACAGATAGATAGACAGAGAGACAGACAGACAGATAGATCATTCATAGATAGATAGATAGCTTAGATTTTAGATTAGATTAGATTAGACTAGATAGATAGATAGATAGATAGGTAGATATATATATATATATATATCTAAGATATAGATAAGATAGATAGATTAGATAGATTAGATAGATTAGATAGATTAGATAGATTAGATAGATTAGATAGATAGATAGATAGATAGATAGATAGGTAGATAGATAGATAGATAGGTAGATAGGTAGATAGGTAGATAGGTAGATAGGTAGATAGGTAGATAGGTAGATAGGTAGATAGGTAGATAGATAGATAGGTAGATAGATAGACAGATAGATAGATAAGATTAGATAAGATTAGATAAGATTAGATAGATAAGATAAGATTAGGTTAGATAAGATTAGGTTAGATTAGATAGATCGATAGATAGATAGATAGATAAGATTAGATAGATAAGATTAGATAGATAAGATTAGATAGATAAGATTAGATAGATAAGATAAGATAAGATAAGACAGACAGACAGACAGACAGACAGATAGATAGATAGATAGATAGATAGATAGATAGACAAGCATATAATAAATATATAACACACACATATATCTATATATATATAACACACACATACACACACACACACATATATATATACATACGTAAAGGCTTCATGGGCAGTTGGGTAAGTTCATCGGGCATTGCTACAGGAGTCGATGAGCGGCCCGCTGCCCATCTACTTTCGCTGCCCATCGAGCCGCTGAGATGCAGAGACCAAACAACTATATAAGCAATGGTCATGGCAAAATCATGCTTAGTATAGGAAATTATGGGAAAATCATGGTATTAAAGGGGGTTACAATATGTTATAATGGGAATCAAAGTATGCAGACCTGACTTGACGCTGAATCAACCGCACCCTTTCGACATAGACAACCTTGCGCACAGACAGCTTGTCAACAACTTAGTTCTCCAAAGAATGGGAGCCTTCTCTGACAGTGGGCTGCAAGGCTTTAGGAATGAATGTCCCTTCTTTTTTGCTGGGTTCTGCGGTCAGCCTGACTGGCCTGCGCTTTGGAAAAAACGATCAAATAGTGCCTTATCAATCCCACGCCTTGTTTGGAGAGAAAACACTTTCTGTTGGGGAACTCTGTCACGCAGGTCACAGTAGATTGGATTATGTCCTTAATTTTTTTCCTCAAACTGGCATTTTTGCCACTTGAAACGCCAGTTTTGCCACGTAAAATTCACTTTTTTCCCAGCTCAACTCCGCTCATCCCCGCTCCAGGTGAGCTGCCATTGCAGCACGAAACCTTGGTGCAGAACTTGCAGAGTCTGGCGCCCATGGTGCGCTGGGAGGAATGCCGGGAGGCGCGGGTCGATAGCACGGAAATGGATGTTGAATGGATGTTCAATGCATGTGAATGGTAGGCCAACTTAGCTACTTCAGGTAGTAAAGATTTTTTTCGCTGGTAATTGTTGTTACTTTTCAATACTGCAATACTTTTCATGCATTGTCCATTGCCAAGTTGGACTGGGGGAAACAAGTGCAACTTCCGTATGAGACGGGCTTGGCTTGAGAGGTTAATTCCCCAGTGGCAACCCCACTTTGAAAATCTTTGGAACATGCATTCCATCCCACTTTAACATACTTTAACCTCAAGTACACTGTTCCGTTCCTTTCTTGGTGATTGGTATGTCGACTAAACTTGCAGGAAAAGGAAAGGCAGTCCTTTTGGCAACACAAGAAATCATAGAAATCATGCTGCCAGCTCATTCAACCTGACCAAGATGGATCTCCTACAGTTTGCTACACTTATGGGCCCCACCAGATATAGATTGGGCTGTGACTAGCCGTAACTATGGGTTGGCCTGGGAATTGCTTTGGACTATAACGATTTACACAAAAGATGGCTTTTACAATATATAGGAGATATATGGATGTATAATATATAATGATATATATGTATACATGAATTTTCAGCATATAAAACCCCCATTCAGATATACTGGTGATTAGCTCCAGGTCCCATCCCTGTCTGAGTCGGTCCCTGCGTCGCAGATGCACTTCATCTGCCGCGCGGAGCACATTGCGTCGATGGACCCGGCGTTGCGCCCAGCGCTGCAAAAGATCTATGGCTGTCAGCCTTGGATGATGGAGGGGCTTGAACAGGTCGCAGAAGCCATGGGAGACCAGCCATCATCATAGACAATCTGCACATGGGCGGAAAGCATATGAAATATATGGAAATGTTATGTGTCTATATATATATATGTATATATATATAAATATACTTGGCTTTGTCATGGAGCACAGTGGCTACGTGGGTCTTGCCAGTACAAAGGTGAATATTTTTTTAAAATGAACTTCACCAGAGCCCAAATATTGGCTCAATACACAGGCGGAACCCAAAATCATGATGGATACCTATGCAACTCAAGCAGTTCAGGTGGAGATAGCTGACAAGAATAGGGAGATGAAGGGAGGGTATATATATTGCATATTAGTGCATATCATTGCGTTATGTCATTATGTCGCATGCAACATTTTCGATGTAGTCTGAATGGCATATCAATCACCGATCACTGGGCGATCTTGTTTTCTTGAGGGCTGTCATCCCAAGCATCCCAAGTCAACTCTTCTGAGAGTCCCAGATTTGGAACATTTTTGACCATTTTTGTATTTAGGATGTCAAAAACCATGGTTTTCTCTAACATTTCCCTTGTATTGACCCATTTTTCAAGACTACAACCATGCCACTTTTGCGTTGGGCACGGTGCCACGGTGCAGGTGTGGTACATGGAGGTGACCCTATCCCAGAGCCTTGGCGGAAAAGTGTCACAGCAGCAATGGACAATCCACGTCTATAATTGGTTGGTGGTTAACAAAGGTGCGAAATTTTGAAAAGATGGTGGTTTCAAAGATTCTAGTTTTTTTCGACATTTCCAGGCCTCTCTCTCTATATATATATATATATTTGGGATTAGTTGGGGCTATTGCCCCAAGCGTTGACCCAGTGCCACATTATAAACGAAATACTGTACACTGTATATAAGCATACGTAGTATCATAATGTGTATGCAATATGTATATGTATATATATATACATATGTCCTTCATCACAGCCAAAGGCCTTGCGTCCGAGAGAGACACAGTCCGAATATGTCCTTCCATCAAACATGGTCATGGTCCGTGACAATGATCACCAACAGAGCAACATCTTCCATGGGAACCAAGGGGGAAGGGAGGATTAAACTCCCTATTGAGTTGATTGGGGAGGAGGCATGCACCAACTCAAATACAGCATTTCCGGTCATTCTTCGTGCAAGCAACTTCCATGATGTCTTCAAAGAGTTTTTGGAAAGGGAGTCGAATGCTGTTCCGTATTTGGACATTGAGGGAGTGACTCAGCCCACAGTGCACAACACGCCATCCTGAGGATTTGCGGCTTTCCAAGTGACACGTCATTCCCGACAATTTCCACAGCGAAGGTCGTTTGTTGCGGCTCGCATGCGCTGAGAAAGATTAGCATGTTCTGGTGGAACTACGCACGATTTGACAGAGAGTTCCCCATGGTCAGGTATAGCAGTATAGCAATCTTCCCGTTATTGTTGTTCATACCTGTACGTGATTGTCAACAAGTCTCCCGAGTACAGCTCAACCACTCCAAGATGTTTGTTGTCAAGTCACCCACTGTTCGATGCCTTCCACTTTACATATTTTTACATTATGTGCCCTCTCATGTTGATGATCTTCCGTTTTCATAGGACACACATTCTCCTGAAATCACTGTCTTGATAGTAAGAGGAATAAAATTGAATTCACATTGAGTAAACATAAAATTATCATCGAAGGAAGTTTAGAAGTCAAACCTTCCGACAATATGGACAGATGAAAAGCAGAGATGGAAAGAATCAGAGAGAAGAGAAGAGTAGAAGAGAGAAGAGCAGAAGAGAGAAGATCAGAGAAGAGAAAGAGTCAGAAGAAAGAAGATGCAGGTGACCGCAGGTGCGCGAAAAGGTAGGAAAGTCGCGAAACACCGTGTTTTGCCAATGATTTGTGGCTCCGGAGAGTCGAAAAGTAGGCTCGCTAGAGCGGCGGGTGCGGAGCCAGCTGGCCAGATGAGAGATGAAAAAGTGCACGCCGTTGTGGCGCGAAGCACAATTCCAAGTCAAAATGTACAAAACACACCAGGTTCGGACCACTTTTGGAAGTTGCGATGTCGAAAAAGGGAACGCAGTTGTGGCGCGAAGCACATTTCGAAGTCAAAATTACAAAGCACCTCAGCTTCGGAGCACTTTTAGAAGTTGCGATGTCGAAAAAGTGCACGCCATTGTGGCGCGAAGCGCATTTCCAAGTCAAAAGGTATAAAACACACCAGGGTCGGAGCACTTTTGGACGCTCAGATGTGGTTTTGCGTGGCCGGCGCGGGGGATTGTGCACCTTCTCAAAGGTGAGCAAAACGTGAGGGTTTTGTAGCATGTCCAAAAACGATGGCAGGCGTGGGACACTTGAAGAGGACCTGCAAAGATGCATGTCGCGTGGCAGGCGCAGTACAAAACACATGTTCATCAGAGATGTTAGGCGGTCAAGGCGCTGATTTCCTGAGAGAGGTTGCATTTTGGAGCATCAGATCTGTAGGTTTGCTAAGATGATTTTGCGTGACAGGTATTTCGTATGACCTGGCATCAATTTTTCGTGGCAGGCTCAGTACTTTAGACAGGTGGAGTGGAAAAATCGCAAAACGCATTGGTACGAGGCCGTCAGCGTTGCACCCAACTCTCCATTTTTGAAGGAAGTCTCAGAAGTCTCGCAGAATTCTTTCGTTTTTGATATCTTCAACTTCGAAAAAGGAGGAAGTCTCGCAGAATTGCTTCGTTTCGGATGTTTTCAAGTTCAAAAATTGAGGATGTCTCACAGACTTGCTTTGTTTTTGAAGTTCAAAAATTGAAGAAGTCTCGCAGAATTGCATTGTTTTGGATGTTGTCAAGTTCAATAAATGAAGAAGTCTCGCAGAATTGCTGCGTTTTTGATGTTTTGAAAAAATGAAGAAGTCTCGCAGAATAGCTAGGTTTTCAAGCTTGCAGATAGACAGGTAGATCGATAGACAGACAGAGAGACAGAGAGAGAGAGATATAGATAGATAGGTAGATAGCTAGATAGCTAGATACACAGTTAGATAGACAGATGAGATAGATAGATAGATAGATAGATGGATAGATGGATAGATGGATAGATGGATAGATGGATAGATGGAAAGATGGAAAGATGGAAAGATGGATAGATGGATAGATGGATAGATGGATAGATGGATAGATGGAAAGATGGAAAGATGGAAAGATGGATAGATGGATAGATGGATAGATGGATAGATCGATCGATCGATAGATCGATAGATCGATAGATCGATAGATCGATAGATCGATAGATCGATAGGTCGATAGATCGATAGATCGATAGATCGATAGATCGATAGATCGATAGATAGATAGATAGATAGAATGGATGGATGGATGGATGGATGGATGGATAGATAGATAGATAGATAGCTAGCTAGGTAGGTAGGTAGGTAGGTAAATAGTCAGAGAGAAAGAGAGAAAAAGAGAGAGAAAGAGTCAGAGAGATTAATCACCTTTCGATCCCTCAGTGGCTTCGCTCTGCCATCCGTGCTTCACAACAACCAACCTCTCCTATAGGTTTCCTATTTTTGAAACTTCCGCCACCGCCTTGTGCGGTACTACTGGTAGACGTTATATAATATATATATATATACACCATCATTAATTATTAAGACACGGGTTTGGAAGATGAGTTGACCGAGTTGACCGAGTTGACCGAGTCTGGGTCTAAAGAGTGGTCAGATTTCACGGTCGCCCAGGTGACCCTGCGGCGGCCTCGGACGGATCCCTGCTACGGCGCCTTGCTGCACGTGATGTTCTTCGGGTGCACCAACCCATTTTTTTCTGAGGCGTAGTTGAATTGGTCAGGGTAATTGGACGTAATCAGTCAAAATTTGGTGGAACCACTCAATTTCGAGGCATATATAGATTCACCGTCGGAAATGACCGTTTCATATTTTCTAGACTTAGCATCAATCTAGGCAGGAGAAGTGGTGTATGTATAAGACCTTCAGGCAGTGAGAAGGTGGTGGTGACGTGCAATGATACGGTGCTACAGCGACATACGCATATCACCCAAAGTTGTGAACATTGTGGTGTCTTAACTTTAGGGATCTCAGGATCTACAGCGTCTTCCCGAACCTGAAGCAGCTCCACCTGCACATGCGACCCAACCTGCTTCCACCCATGTGTCTCTCAAACTTCGTGGCTCAACAGCAGAGGGCGACCCAAGGATGGAGGGATTCTATTGGCAAAAGATGGGGGTTTGAAAAAAAGGCTTCAATCAACGGCCAATGAGAATTGAGACATGAGCCACCATAGTGGGTCTATCATTAATGTACGATTAGGAGGTGGATGGGCCTCTTTGTTGGGGATCCTCTGCCAACCATACTTAACCCTCCAGGACTATTTAAAAATCATTCGAGACCAATTGTAAATCATTCAAGAATATATATATATAATATATATTTATTTATTTATTTATTTATATTTAAAGCATTAAAACAATTCATTCATAACAATTCAAGACATTGTTTGAACCACAAAGACCGGTGTAGAAAGAAACCAGCAAGATCCATGATGAATCAAAGGCAAAACATGTTTCAATTATATGTAATTCAATTGAAAGTATATAATATGGTCATATATTACTTGATATTTATATCTTCTCTACAAACAAGAATAAACAAAGCCCTGTCACCCTTGTGCAGCTGTCAAACAGAAGGAATGGAGCAGAGGCAATTATTCATCGAAGGCAGATCCTGTTTTTGCTGTATGGCCTCAAACATGAGATGTGTTCGGGCATTCCTGTATCGTGCGTTTAAAGCACAACGCATTGACATGTTTGCGGCCAAAATGAGGGACAGCGTGCTAACATTTCCATTGTTGCACACAGCATCGTGCGCAATGCAAAAAAACATTGCCGGTTTCGAGGCGCTGAAACAGCTTGAGAACCCGAATGTGTGATTTCAAGTGAAGGTAACCGTTACTCAACCAGTCTATGTAACTTGCGTTGCGAACCCCAGCTCCTCACCCACCACATGGTGAATCTCAGATATCACATGTTTAGGCTTCATTTGAATCCAGAAAATATTCCTACAAAATTTCTAACTAGTCCCAAGGCCTCTTTTCGTCCTCACAGTTAAAGAGGCCGATCCACCTCCCAATATATATACATGATTCTACACACACAAATATATGTATATGTATATGTATATGTATATGTATATGTATATGTATATGTATAGGCCCGAGAGGTTGCCAGCAACCAGAAAGACAGTTTTAGATTTAGATATTCTCGATCCCCACATCTCTTCCCTGTCCCCATGGCGGAATCGGCGAAACGTCTACTTGATCTACAACCAGTCCGAGAAGATGAGAGGAGATCCCCGGATCACAAGAAGTCCAAACAAGAAAAGAAAGAAGAGAAAAGACGAGAAAAAAAGGAAAAGAAGGCAGAGAAGAAAGCCGCGAAGAATGAAAGACGAGAGGAACAGGCAAAGCATTGGCGAGAACAAATTGCCAACACACCACATCGGCCATACACAGACCCCTCGGAGGAAACAATCACCCCCCCGAGACGAGACACCCTGAAGGCATACAGCAGTGCACGACCTTCAGCATCCCGCAGCAAGGAAGCAATGACAGCAGACACAGAAGAACGTATCAGCACAGCTGAAAAAGATATCAACCAACTCTTTGACGACACCGGCATGCTCTTCAGCGGCATGAAGCAGATGCAGAAGCAACAAAACTACCTGATGCAAAGAGACCAGAACCAAGCTAGAAAGGAAGCGAACCAACAAGCTATCATTACAGGCTGGCCAGTAGACGCACAAGAACAAGACCGAGATCGCATCGTAGACTGGATGGTTGGTGCCGCCTCCATCCCTGCAAGGGAATTCCTCTACGCATCACACAAAGTTCAAGGTGAAGTCCTTTCCCGAATCTCCATCCTACACTTCAGGAGTGTATGGGCTACAAAGAAGTTCCTGGAAAGCGCCCGCAGAATCACATCAGACAGACACCCCTTGCCATACTGGCATTCCGACAACAGCATTCCAAGAGACAGTTCTGGCACCCCCTACTTCCTGAGGGTCAAGCAGCAAATCTCCACACCCGACCGAATCAGGAGCATCCCCATGAAGGCATTCCTACAATTGATCAATGACACCCCAAACTGCGAATACCATCAAGAAACAAGAAACCTTCACAAGAACTGGGCTGCCAACATCATTGCAACAGAGAACGGCAACTTGTTGAAGTGTGTCTTCAACGACGCGGATGGGACAGTGAAGCTTCTCATCCGGGAGGATCTATTCCCAATGGCCGAAGAAGGATTAGCAACTGCTTGGAAAAAAGTAACAACACGACACTCAGACGAAGACTTCACAACGCAAAAAGGAAAAGGAAAGGGAAAGGCAAAATCCTCCTCAAGCACAGCCCGAGGCGTCCAAGATTACCTCTACAAGGTGCATTTGGTAAGGGTCCGTCCGCTTGAGGACGATGAGGATCCATAGGGGCTTTGCGGCTGGCCAAGCATACCGTGGAAACACGGACTTCGAAACCAAAACGACACCAATTCTAGTTTTGCTCCAATGATACCGCAGCTCTGCGGACTTCGTCACCAAAAAGAGACTAGACAAAAAACAACCGAATCCCAATTTTTAAACGCTGGCGTCCTACCTTCCATAGGTGGGCTGGGTCAGCCGCGAATCTCCCACCGGAGTTTTCTGCGGAGACGAAATGGTCTCACAACACAGCACTCAAAACACAAACTCGAATTGCCAAGAGCGAGTCATAAAAGAGGCCTACGTTCAAGAGACGCTGTAAACAAACGAAAAACTAAACGAACAGAGAACCGCAGAGAGAACAGAATTTCATACCGCATTTATAAGAAGGCTGTGTTGCAAACCCGCTTTGGCAAGGCCAAGCCGGCGGGTTTTCACAATTTGGCTCAGGATACCCCTCAGCCATGCCTTGACGCACGGAACTTCTTCCTTACTGCTGCACATTCCAGGCTAGATGGTTTCCACAAATATCGTAATAAAGAAAAGACCTTAAGTAACCCCAAAAAACCTGATGACCCTAACTATCAGCAAGACTCTGCTGCCAGATGGACTATGAATTCTTACATTAAATTTGGTTCATTGAATTGCCGTGGTCTTGCGAGTGAACACAGCGTGACCAAAAAAGAAGTATTGGTTCACTCCATGAGGAAACTCGGCCTAGATATGCTTTTTCTTCAGGAAACTCACATAAATACAAATTCGACCGAAACGATTGATTGAGGGCTTTTGTTTCATATACTCCACAAGCATAACGGATGCTCAAAGAAAACAAGCCGATAAAACCAGAGCAGAAAATACGGCTAGAGGCCGCCAAAGAAATGGAGTCCGACATGCACCCCCAATTGACATTGAACATGGAGGCACAGGTGTTATTCTTTCCCCAAAAGCAAAAGCTACACTCTTAGACTTTAAGCAAATTGATGGTCGAATCATGACCGTAACTTTGGATATGATTGGGCCGCCTCTCCATTTCCTAAATGCGTATGCGCCACAAAGCGGTACTGAGACCAGATTAAAGAATGATTTCTATGAAACGCTGGAACGTAATTTGGTCAGTTTCCCCAATAGTCATCCAACCTTCATCGTAGGAGACTTCAATGCAAGACTGCATGCCCGTTTTGAGAATGAAGCTTGTTGTATTGGACAGCACATTTTTGGACGTGGCTTGAACTTCTTGATCCACAATTCTAGCCCAGCTTCATTTGAGAACAGAAGCCTATTTGTAGAATTTTGTTTGGCACATGACCTCCACATTGGTAACACATTATTTCAAAAACCTGTGTCAAAGCAGGTGACCTTCAGAGAAGCTGGCGTGCTAGGTGGACCTCCCTGGTCCCCGGATAGATTTGCTCAGATTGATTTTGTTTTGGTTCCTGACAGGTGGAAAAACACTTTGGTTGACGTGTCCTCATCCCCTGAAATCTTCACTGAATCAGATCACTTCATTGTTTGTGCGAAATGCCGCGTCAGAAGGAAGCAGCTTAGTTCTACCGTGGTCAAAAAGATTACATATAGTCCCCCTACTCCACTAGAAAAAGCCAGTTATAACCAGTTCATTTCAGATACACTGCGCCAGGCGAGTGATGCGGAAGCCAAAACCTTCCTTGATTCTATCCGTAAAGCAGCACGTGTAAATTTGAGACCAACACCGCTCGGCAGACGTCGTTCGTATATTTCTGAACATACATGGGACCTGATCTTGCAAAGGCAAAGAGAACATGACAATGGCAATCATGATATCTTATCTGAACTTACTAAGAAGATCAAAAAAGAGGCTAAGAAAGATAAAAAAAGACATATCCTCGAACAGTTGAAAGATACCTTACCATCTAGAGAGCAATGGGCTGGAATAAAAATCATCAAAACGAAGCGGACACCCAATTTCACCAAAATGAAAGATAAAGATGGAAATAGGGTCGGCCCCCGCGGGCGTGCAGGAGCAGTTGCTGATTATTTACATGCTGCGCAGTGGAAAGCTGACATCCTACCGCCGTCAATTACTAAGAGATCAATCATCCAAAGTGACTTGCCCTATAATCTTGATCAAATAACTATGACAGAACTTGATGCAGCATTACGAAAAGCGAAGAACCACAAAGCTGCCGGCCCTGATGGCATTCAGGCTGAATTATTCAAATATTTGGATGTACAAAACAGAGCAGCTCTCCTTTCCGTATTGAATGGGTGGTGGTCCAAGGAAGCTATCCCATCAGATTTCTTAAATGCCCAAGTTGTTTCTATTTTTAAAAAAGGAGACACTGAAAACATTGCTAATTATAGACCCATCTCTCTGTTGAATGCTATTTATAAGATCTTTGCTGAAATCATTAGACAGAGGCTTTCTGACGTAATTGACCCATACATTTGTAATACCCAATTCGGGTTCAGAAAAAACCGTTCCACCACGGACGCGTTATTCATAGCCAGAAGGTTGCAAGATTTGGGAGAACGATCTGGGGACAATATCGTGATATGTATGTTAGACTGGAAGCAAGCCTTCGACCGGATCTCACACCCGCGGATGATGCAGGCCTTGGAGAGGTTGAACTTACCAAGAAAATTCAGAAATCTTATTGCAAGTTTTTACACGGACCTTTCCTTCCAAGTGAAACATGAAAATTTTCTATCGCATGCTAAATCTCAAGATGCCGGCATACGTCAGGGATGCCCACTCTCCCCATTTCTGTTTATACTCGTCATGACTGTTCTGTTTCACGACATTGGCGTAGAACACTACAGGGACCTTTCAGAATGTAGGCTTGACCAAATCAGTTTTAATGAAGTCCTGTACGCAGATGACACGCTCCTGATTTCCCGAAACACATTTGGCATGAACTTGTTGCTTCATGCCATAGAAGACGAATCAGCTTACTACGGACTAAAACTCAACCACGACAAATGTCACGTTTTGGCAATGAACGGTCACAACTGTATTCGTTTTAAAGATGGATCTCGCATGAAGCACGTGGAAGAAGCCGTTTACTTGGGCGGAATTTTGACCAAACATGTTAACATTGCGTCAGAAGTGTCCAACAGAATTGCATCAGCTATGGCGACTTGGAAGAGTTTGGATATTTTTTGGAAAGAAGCACAATGCAGTACCAGAAACAAAATTCTAATTTATAATGCAGTCATTCAATCAAAACTTCTCTATGCCTTGGAAACAATTGAGATTCCAGTGGCTCTCCTTTCACGATTAGAATCTTTTCAGTTGAAAGGTTTGCGAAAGATCCTAGGCATGACTACGACCTACATCAATCGTGCAAACACAAATGAGGAGGTTTTCAGAAGAGCAAACTTGCACATTGCAGCGAACCATCATGGAACCAAAATTGAACCAATTCAGGACATTTTGGCCCATCGTCGCATCGCACTTGCAGCGAAAGTTTTGAGACAAGACAATGACAGCCCTATGAGAATGGTCAGTTTCAAAAAAGATACCGCCGCACCTGTTGAGGTATTGTTCCGACGGGTCGGCAGACCCAGGAAACAATGGACGCAAAACACCTTGACTATGATATGGCGTAAAATTCGTAATGACCAAAGTGATTTCAACAATTCCAACGCACAACTTGCTCAAATACTGCAAGCAGCTATCAACAAAGAAATCTAGTAACATTTTCCTACCAGGCTGTATCCTGGACATCGTAACTAAGTCGAACTAATCTATAGTTCTACTTCAAGGAGTTCCTGTACTGAGGGGCAACGATGCTGCGGGGAGCCTACGGGTATGGCACCTGCCTTTCTAAGTTAGTTTCACATCCGTTTTTCACAAACCATACCTATGGCACGCAAGAAGAGAAGAAGATATGTATATGTATATGTATATGTATATGTATATGTATATGTATATGTATATGTATATATGCATATAACACGTTGCATCACTTTTGATTCATTGATCTTGGCTATTTCTGTTGGGTCCCTTGGCAGATGCTCTGATTGTGGGTTTGGTCTCAGGATGAGTATTGTTGCAGGCTTTTTGCCTTGCGACCTGTCAGATTGATTTTGATGGCTGGGGCTTCGCGTCTGCTCAAGCTGTGACATTTGACCATAGCAGTTCACCTTGCGGAAGTGTGCACATGAAAAGGCACATCTCAGATGTCATGATGCTTCACAGTACATCACGGTACTTCTAGATAGAAGAAACGGTAAGGCCTTTAGACTAGACAAAGCAGACCAACCATGTACTTTTCGTGTGCCGATGCTCCCCTTCTTGATGCTCTCAAATATGCCTTGGAGATGAGAACCCCTAATGACTCATAGGACTCATAGTGTCGGCTGAAACCACCAACATCTCCTTTCCCTCCACCTTTTTCAGCTGCTTCGGCCAAAACCCCACCCCCTTAACGTGCAGTGCAAAAAGCGTCATGGGCGTGTGCCATGGCCATGGCAGCTGCCGAGCACTGGCAAGTCCCACCTGGCAACGGGGAATGACCAAGAAGGCCCAGCTGAGCAAGTCACCCTATGTTGCGAAGGGTAGATCAAATGGGAGACTGTACAAACATTTGAAAACCCACCATTTGTAGATAATTTTCCTTGGCAATCCATGGGTTTTGATGGATTTTGGATATCTGTTTCGATTGAAATCATTTTGTGGTGGAGGGTGCATGAAAGTCATCGTGAAATGATTCAGTACATCTCTCAAACCCAAAAATTGGTTTATGATGCTGGAGGCATTCAGACTTGAATTTCCCCGAAGATCTTGCGAGATAGCTAAATGTCAACCGTCGTCGCACCAGTGTGTGTAAAGTGTTGATATTTGTTGAGCTCTGTAGCTTCTAGTATGGCGGCGCAGCAAAGTTATGCACCCCACTCCCAAACTTACTCTTGCAGGAAAAGACGCTGTCTTTCCCTATGGCCTTATTTCCCTCGACCCACCAAGAGGTTAGGAATTGTTCCAAAAAGCCCCTGATTTCTGGGTTGCCTCTTTCAAAAATTAGCAGAACAGCAACGGTCACACGCCAAAACAACTTGGGATGGACACCCAAGTGCCGAGCATTTTCAAGCCCTGGAGGCGATGAAAAAGTGGACCAAGCAGTTCATCAAGGTTCGAGAAGCATACATCAAACAAGGACAGCTTGGGCTCGATGCAAGAGGATGCTCAGGGATCGCATGGTGGTAAGCACAACATGATAAAAATTGATCAAAATTTCTCCACTTTGGACGCCTCAATTGGAGCCATACGCAGAACCCCCACTCCTGTACATAATCGGGCGGTTGTGGATGGATGTGGATGGTGTCCCCATATGCGGGCAGTTGGCAGGCATCCTAGCACCATTGCATTCCTTTCTTGATGCGCAGTTTCATCTTGTTACGAGCTTAATTACCCATTTCGAAGCAATTTCCTCTGGGTCAGTTTTCCTTTAAAGCCATCAAGCCCCCCCCCAGGGGTGCCCACCTCCAACCACCAATCACCAGCCGCCCAGACAAGAGCCACGCGCGGCCGCTCTATTGGCCTAGCGTCCACCTGGACCGCGGCGAGAAGACGCCCGGCTGGGACCGCAGTGGCGCTTCAGGGCCCGAGAGGGGCGCCCTGAGGGCCTTCGCGCTGCTGCCGGGCTACAGCTGGAAGAGCCATGGCATGGAGGGTGGAGGATGGGATGTGGAGAAAGGGTGGCTCAGCCTCAGTTTGTTTGTAGATTATTGTAGATTCGCAGGTTGTTGCGGTATGACCCTAGTTCCAAGGAATGATAACCAAAGTTGTCGCTGCATGGTAGTGCCTGGTAGCGGGTATGATTCTGATCAATGACCGATAGTAAGTGCTGGTTTCCTGTTTTGGCGCAAGCTCGGAGCTCGGCAGTGACTGGCTAAGGAGCCGAAAGAGGGACAAGTGAAAGTCCAGAATTCTGAGAGGCGGCCGCAGCCAATTTCAACTCGATGACCCACAACTGCTCAACTCGATGATCTCGATAGGTGTCCAACACCTAGAGTCTCTAAGAGTCTGATATATTCTGACTTTTCCTGAATATTTGAGAAACATTTGCAGCTTGAGAAATTAACCAATGGACTCCTAGCCACTGGAGTGGAAGCAATGCAGCCAGCATGCCACCATTTCCAGGTGTTTGCTTCTGTTCTTTGCAACGTCTCACAACTGTAGTGTTTTACCAATGGCCGAGACAGAGCAGGAAGCATACAGTAAAGTGTGCGAAATGGTCGGTGAAGTGCTAAGGTATCCATGATTTGCGACTGGAAACTGCCATGGACGTCAGTCTTCTATATATTCTTGTGCAATTTCAGCTGCCCAATCGGTTGCCATTTTATGAGATACAACCAGCTGCATGTAGGCCCTGTAGGCTGATGAATCCTCACATATCCTGACCATGAGGTTCAAAGTACTCGTAGGATCAAGTGCGCGGTGTGAATTACAATGAACTTGCTTCAACTTGCACTTGTAAACGATACACCTTGGTTTATTATGACCAGATTTGAGCTGTGTGAAGCCTTCCGGCATGAAGTTTGATAGGGATTTGGTGGTATGTGGTGCATGACCAATAGAATTTTGATGAGTGAAAGTCTCCGTGTAAGCAAGAAGAAATAAGAAGCATACGGGTAACCAAAGAACGGATAAGACTGGTGCTATTGATATTGTTTCATCCCCACCACTCAGTTGCAATGGTGGTTGGGTCATGGCCAGCCCCAAACGAGTCTGGCACGTGCACTTACTAAATCTACAAGCTACAAACTACAAAGCTATATATAAACTTAAACTAATTGTTGAGACCGGTGACCTTCCAGTCAACACCCTCCTAAACATGTTTGAATGTGTACGTGTATGTATGTATATATATATATATTTCAAGAAAATGTATGCCAGTACATATATGAATTAACAACATCTCAAATCATCCCAATAAAAATCTAAAGATCCCAAACCGGCTGAGATTGCGAAACTCCAAGGTGGCCCTGGCAGATTTCCGCATCAGCTTCGATTTGGCCCCAGGGACTCCACTGGGAGATGGTGTGGAGGGCAGTTTTTTCATGGAAACTCGGCGCAAGGGTGGGGGTTGGTGGGGAAGCGGGGGAAGTTCAAGGGAGTTGCCATCCAAATCAACACAGACCCTGCCAGTTATGGGATTCTCGGGGTCTATGTTAGTTGGGGAGATGGTTGTCTATTCTTTCCCCCTTCCTCCTCCTCCTCCTCGACCTTTGAAGACCAAAAAATGTCAAGTGCAAAATGGGCATCTAAGTGACAAAGCTGGGGATTCAATGAGCAAATATTGCAAGCTTTCTTTTTGCACACGCAATAGTCATTTCTTTAAGGGGAGCAAAAGTCAGCCGACTGAATCACTTTAGGTGAGGGTTTAACTGGCAAAGATGGTGTTCCACTTGTGTAACAAAAACAAGGTACTACAACGCTAGCCAACTTAACCAACAATCAACAAAATACCAGGATTTAGTGGACAATTGAGATTTGACATGATTTGACCAAAAAAATGTCGTTTACCATGCTTTGGGCGACGCAACCAAGAGAGTTTAGATTCACGCAAAACCTATATATTCGGTCCCATGCCTTGATGTCGGAGTTTCTGTGCAGATTCTTGCTTTGGAGACAGGGGTGGTGACCTTCAGCGGTTCTGCAGGCAGCCAACTTGTTGAATTTGCCATTCTCTTGTGAAGGCGGGACAGCTGCAGGGTATGGCGCGTCCTTGCCACATCTTGCCACTGCCCAGAGACAGACAGGCAGACAGGCAGACAGGCAGGCACACAGACATACCACAAACCAGCAAGTCATTCGCCACAATTCTGGTGGCAGGTGGCATGTTTCAGCACCTGCAAAGACTGCAAATGAACCTTTTTCTTCGCGGAGGCTGGATCAGTCGGGACTTAATGCCGCCCATATTCACTAGTTGATCAGTTTGATGGGCAGGGCGGATAGGTCCTGCGCACGAAGGACCTGCGCACGAAACCCAGTATGTCTTCAAACAGTGCCAAAGGCGGAAAGCTAAAGTCAGTAAAAATGCCGTAGCAATGTGGATAACGTGGTAACCGCACTAATCAACCAGACCCGGTTTGCTCAATTCTATTCAATTCTACCATTTGAGGGTTTTGAACAACCATGACCCAAAAGGGGTTCTTTTATTGGATTTAACCCCACCCAATCGTCGTCGTCATCATCATCCCCTGCGACCCTGGAGGCTTGGAACCCTTTGCTCGAGCCTTGCGCTCCCAGGCGCCATCTTTGAAGCGCTTGGGCACCACCTCCCTGCAACTGCTGCGGCTGTTGGAGGCCAGGGGCGCTGGGGCTGCTGAAATGGGAAGGCCGTTGGTTTGGTTTGAACAAATATGAAGCATGAGGAATTGACAGGATTAAGCCAAGGCTTGGTGAGTATGAGTTGGGATAGATATCAGTTGGTCAATAGGAGTGGAATGCCCACAAGGAATCCTTAGGTCCTCAGACTAACTACTGTAGGTCAGTCAAACATATTGACCGTGGCTCTTGGTGCAAGTGTCAGCAGTCATTTGCCCCCACAGTCATCAGTGGAAATGCAGCTTCCTGAAGAAGCAACACTGAAATTAGGGGCTTCAAGGCAGCTTATGTTTCCCTCCTCCAAGCCAGGTGCACAAAGATTCCTTCAAATTGGAGGAGGTTGTTGTGGTGATGGAAATTGAGGAGACAATGCTTATGGCCAGTATGCTTGCTACGCTTGTCTCATCGGCGCACTATCCATGTATTGTTTGACGATAAAAAGCAAAAAAAGGCTCGCAGCATCTCACAGCTATATAATAGACATCGAGGGATAAATCCGCAAGCATTTGCGAAAGTAATGTGAACATTGTGAACATGCAGGTCGAGACACGATTTTTCTTGTGGATACCCAAGGCACAGCCAGATTGAGAGCGCACCATTCCTTGGATTTCACGGCTTTGCTAGGACTCGCTGAGCCTTTTCAACATGTTGCTGCCGCTGTCTATCGCTGGGAATCGCTGCAGCCTGAAGAGGCGGCCCTACAATGATCTACAATGTGGTGATCCTTTTTCCTGATACCGAACCGAAACATTGCCGAACCATGGCAAATCGAAAATCCTCCAAATCCATCCAAATTCCCCAAATCCTTATCTCCATGAGCAACAGACAAATTATATATATCAAATTATCCTGTAGTGATTGTTGCTTGGTGGTTTCGTTTTTGTTTGTCTCAATGTCCCCGCACGACAGGAATGATTGAGTGATTATTTCTCGTTTCCATGTTCTAAAATTAGAATCTTCATGGCTGGCCAAACACAATTTTCGGATGGTTGATCATCCTTAAATAATTACCATGTCTGCAGGGCCTCCCCCCTCAGTTATAAGTTTACAACCTTCATAACCCCCAACTGTATAGAGATATATCTGCAATAATTATTCTACCATAAACATCCATAAACCATAGTTCTTGATAGTTCTTGAAGTTATAAACTCCCACAAGCTTATTTAGCTATTGAGGAGGGGACCCTACCATTTTTTGGGATTTCATGGTTGGAATTCCACGGTTTCAGGCTGGGGCTACACATGCAGGCGCCCGATGGCTTGCTGCCACCCCACGAGGAACCTTGGGGCTGACATGGGCTGACCAATGGCCATAGAATGCCATAGATCCAGTGTGGCTGATGGTCATAGACATCATAGATTTTATTATATTCTTGTAATAGATTTTGATAGATTCTATGATTCTATAATTTGATGATTATTGTGATGCTTTGATTTTTCACACTGAACATGGGAATTTCCATTGCTGTGTTTGACGAGAGTTTTGGAGAACCAATCAAACGTAACGTATCGTAACCAATTGAACCCCCTAAAAAAGAAATTGCCATGAGGTGATGGTCCCAGGATGTCCCAGGAAACCAAACCCAAACCAACACTGGATGAGTCAGAGGTCATCAGAGGTCCAAACTCAAACTGGGTGTATCACCTGAACTTTACCGCAGCGATGGGTAGGGTCGCACCAAGAATTCTGGCCAGGCCTTTCCCTTGCTGCAGTTTCTTTTTTTGGGTGTTTTCAACCGCAATGAATGGAGTTAGAATGTGGGGAGGCAGTCCGTATTCGGATTTTTGCAACACCAATGGGTTTGGTCTGGACTGCCTCTTATTTTCAAACCTAGCTGTATATTATGGATCTATATGGATCTTAGATTATAATGGATTATATATTATATGTATATATTATAAACATCACACACACATATATATATATACATATTGTATATATACGTATTATATACGTGTATATATATATATATATTCATATTTTAGAGCTGACGCTCATCGTCGGCTCCGCCGGATTGCTTGACTCTCGATGTCATTGCAGGGTGGGCTTGAAAGCTGTTGAATGAGGACCTGCTGCTTCAGAAATATATTCCTTATATTTCCTTATGTTTTTTTGAACATATTCATGGATGTGTAAAAACTTCTGTGTGAAAAAGCTTCTGCGTGTAAAAGCTTCTCCGTGTAAAGACTTCTCTGTGCAAAAACTTCTGTGTGTGAAAGCTTCCGTGTGTACAAGCTCTCTGTGTAAAGACTTCTTTGCGTAAAAGTTTCTGTCTGTAAACGCCGAACGCGCCTGTGGGTTAAAGCTCTCTGTGTAAAGACTTCTTTGTGTAGCGGCGTCTGTATGTAACAGCTTCTGTGTGCAAACGCCCTTGTGTGTAAAAGCTCCTGTGTAGAGGCTTCTCTGTGTAAACGCTTCTGTGTGCAAATGCGTCTGTGTGTATAATCACTTCTCTGTGTAAAAGCTTCTGTGTGTAAAAGCTCCTCTGTGTAAACGCGTTTGTGTGCAAAATCTCCTGAGTGTAAAGACTTCTCTGTGTAAAAGCTTCCGTGCGTAAAAGTTTAAAAGCTCCTCTGTGTAAAGATTTCTCTCTGTGTAAAAGCTTCTGCGTGTACAAGCCAGTCTGTATAAGGACTTGTCCGTGTAAAAGCTTCTGTGCGTAAAAGCTTCTGTGTGTAAACGTGTCTGTGTAAAAGCTCCTCACCAGCAGCATTCATCATTATATTTTCTTGTGTGCTATCCTCTCGTCTCCTCCCTCCAGCTTTCTTTCGGGCCACACTGTCGTCTAGTTTCAATGTGTAACGTCGTTAGAATGCCAAGAACATGTGAAAGCATCGCTCGTTTAAAAATTGAACATAAAAAGCGCGCAAAGTGTTGTAATTTGCAGCATTTTGCGCTGTCAGATGGCAAGAACCTGCGTAAATACCACAGTTTTAGTCCCCGAAGGTGGATAAAACACTGTTATTTACAGGGTTTCGCTCACGTCACGATCTTCGATTTTTTGAAAAACGGCTAAATACAGCGTTTTTTTGCATTCATCAAGGCAAATCGGTTCAAACGTCGGAGGGTCGCGCATTTGTCAGCGCACTCGTGTGGAGCCGGCGGAGCCGAATTTAAGGGCTACGCCCCGTACGCCCCCTGCCGCCAACCCCTGGAGGTTCAGCCATCTTGATCTTCGAGGCAACTAGAGCGCGGACAAAGCCTGCGGCTGGCAGCTGCCTCTGCTTAACGTTGCTTTCTGAACGGACAAGAAATTAACTCCAAATTCTAGCTCGCAAGCCTCCAAAACCTTGGCCTCGCAGCACCGAAACACCATGGAACAAAAGGACGGACAAAGCCTGCAGCTGGCAGCTGCCTGTGCCTAACGTTGCTTTCTGAACGGACAAGAAATTAGCTCCAAATTCTAGCTCGCAAGCTTCCAAAACCTTGGAATCGCAGCACCGAAGCACCATGGAACTAAAGGACGGACGGTCAAAAACTGGCTCCAAATCCTAGCTTGCAGGACAAGAAACTAGCTTCAAATTCTAGCTTGCAAGCCTCCAAAACCTTGGCCTCGCAGCACCGAAACACCATGGAAATAAAAGACGGACCAGGCCTGCGGCTGGCAGCTGCCTGTGCCTAACGTTGCCTTCTGAACGGACAAGAAACGCAAATTCTAGCTCGCAAGCTTCCAAAACCTTGGCCTCGCAGCACCGAAACACAATGGAACTCAAGGACGGACAAGGCATGCGGCTGGCAGCTGCCTGTGCCTAACGTTGCTTTCTGAACGGACAAGAAACTAGCTCCAAATTCTAGCTTGCAAACCAGGTTCTTGCAACTTGCTCGCTTGTTCTTGCAGCCTAGCTTCAAACCTTAATTTTGCTTGCCCTCCCGCCCTGCTGAACAAAGTCGGATTCAGAAACTCCACTGGATTCAGAAACTCGGGATTCAGAAACTTCACGTCGGATTCAGAAACTACTTGTTACTTGTCAAATTCAGAAACTATTTCGTCAGATTCAGAAACTATTTCCTCGGATTCAGAAACTTTTCGTCGGATTCAGAAACTGTTTCCTCGGATTCAGAGACTATTGTATCCCCTCTGGGCAATGCATTCGTGGTCATGGTCCGTTGAACTTGAAAGGATCAAAGCTGCCACCCCTTCAGGCCATTATATTGAATGAACGAATGAACAATAGAATGATAGGCACAGTAGTAACCTAAACCTCTTGCAATAAGAGATCAAAACTGCCACCCCCTCTGGCCAATATATCGAATAGGATCTTAACTTCAGCCTATCTTCATGAGGGAGCAAAACTGCCACCCCCTCTCTGAGCAACACATTGGTGGGTATAGTCCGGTGAATTTTAAGGGATCCAAAATGCCGCCCCCTCTGGCCAACATATGGAACAGGATCTTAACTTCAACTTATCTTCATGAGGGATCAAAACCGCCACCCCCTCCGAGCAATACATAGGTGGGCATAGTGACCATTTTTTTAATAAGGGATCAAAACCGCCACCCCCTCTGAGCAATACATTGATGTGCATAGTAGCCAACACTTACTTTATCTTATTTTCATAAGGGATCAAAACTGCAACCTTCTCTGGCGAATATATTGAATAGGATCTTAATTTGAACTTATCTTTATGAGGGGATCAAAACTGCCACCTCTTCTGGCCAATGGAAGAGGATCTTAACTTCAACTTTTCTTCATGAGGGATCGCCATTGAAGAGCTCAGGGGATGGTGGAAAATTAACATCAGCGTTCTGTGGTTGTATCTCAAAAGTTTCCCAATTCCAGGGTTCCAGTTTCCGAAAAATAGTGTCTGAATACAGCTCCCAGTTTCCGAATATCGCTTTCCAGTTTCGGAATACAACTCCCAGTTTCCGAATACAGGGTTTCCAGTTTCCGAATACCAGTTTCCGAATACCATTTTAGAGTTTCCGAATACCACTTTCGCGTTTCCGAAGTTCAGTTTCCGAATGCCACTTTCCACTTTCCGAATACCAGTTTCCGAATCCCAGTTTCCGAATACCACTTCCAGTTTCCGAATACCACGTGCCAGTTTCCGAATACCACGTGCCAGTTTCCGAATACCACCGTGACCCTGCTCCTGCACTGCTAGCTGCCAACTTGCTCGCTTGTTCTTGCAGCTGGCCTTCTTCGTGCGCATGCTTTCTGAACTGACTAAGCTCTTTTTGCCTGCCTTCCTGCGCTGCTAGCTCACTCCTGGCGTCGTGCTTTCTAGCTTCTTGCTTCTTGCAGCTTGGCTCTGGCATCTTGCATCTTGCAGCTTGCCTCTGGCATTTTGCACGCTAAGCCTCTGGCAAGTTGCAAACTAGCCTCTGGCATCTTGCTTTCTACCTTCTTGCTCTTGCCCCTGCTTCTTCCTCATCTTGCATGCTCTTGCCTCTTGCTTTCTAGCTTCTTCCTGGCTGTTTTCTTCTTCTTGTACCTTGCTTCTTGCCCGTGTGTTCTTGCAGCTGGCCTCTTGCCTCTTGCCCCTCTTGTCCCCTCTTCTCTGACTCGCTCCCCTGCTGTCGGCAGGGGCTGGCGGATATTACACTATAATTAAATTATATTATACTCTTTTAGATTCAGGACTCAGCTCCAGCTTCTGTCCCTCCAGGAAGTGGAAGGCTTCCTGTGCTCTGGCTTCCTGTCCCTTACAGACTGCCTGGCTGAGAACAGCTTTATCCACTTTACTCAGAGTCATGCGCAGCTGGTGGAGACAGTGCCCTGCTGTGCTGTCGTAGAAATTTGGGACGGGCAGTTGAATCCGTTTTTGGCGGTGGGCCGGTAGGCTCCCAGAACAGAGCCCAACGAAACATCCCCGCATTGGGGGATTAACCGGCAATTTTAGGGACAATGATTTGTAAATGTGTGGTTCCCCCAATATTTTCAGAGAAACCCCTATGAATATTCCACTATACCCCTATACCCTATGAATTCCGATCATATCCCATGGTCCCTATCCTATTAAATCATCATAGATTTCCAATGAAACCATTCAACCAATCATGAAACCCATCATTAAACTCACCAGTATCCATTAAATCCATTATAATATCCTCATTAAATCCTATTGTATAAATCTTCATGAACCTCCCATTATATCAATAGGTATCCATTAAACCCACCATTGCCTCCTCATGCGCCAGGTCTTCTTCCAGCTCCCCTACGTGGCCCCTGAGCACTTCTCTGCCGACCTGGCGGCCTGCGGTTCGGAGGGGCCGCAATCCACCCCGCTGGAAAGGCACGTGGCAATGACAAAACGCCATTGGGGAATTTCCCATTGAAACCTTCATTTACGAAGGATTTTTTTATTGCTATGTTTGATTTCAGGAGGGTATGTCTGACAAAAAGCGGTTCACATGATCAAATGCGCTTCCCCCCGAATCTGATTATATAATCACCACCCCCTTGGGCATGATTTTCAGGGGGGGACGTCAAAAATGTAAGTTACAATTTTGTAGGTACCCCCCATAGGGGTAAAATATTGTAACTTACCCCCCCTTGAGGCACCAAATCCAGGGGGGGGGTAGGGGGTCAGGGGTATTGAAAAATGTAAGTTGGAACCTGGCAGGTGAATAGTTACAATTGTTGATCCCCCCCCCAAGGGGGGTTACTAAAATGTAAGTAAGCACCAGGGAGGTGCTAAGTTACATTTATGAATCCCCCTCCGCCTCCCCCGCCCCTCCCCTCCTCCCCCCCCTTCCTCCCCTTCCCCCCCCTAGTGTTTCACTATCTTTGGTCACTGTGGGACCCTCTGTCCAAACTTTTAATGAGGAAAAATGCCAAATGACACATCACAAGATTCCATCATAATTACTGTTCCCAGCATACACCCACAAAATGTAATTTGGCATTGCTGAGGCCTCTTTCCTGTGGGGTTTTGGGATCTTGCAGCAATGTTGGGGGACCCTGCAGGAACATTCAATCTCATCAAATGATCCCAATGCTGGAAATGAGCAACCAATGGTGCACAGGAACCGTACTAATTGTAAGTTGGGGGTCCCCAGGCGTGAAAAGCCTAGTGTTTCACTATCTTTGGTCACTGTGGGACCCTCTACCCAAACTTTTAATGAGGAAAAATGCCAAATGACACATCATAAGATTCCATCATAATTGCTGTTCCCAGAATACATCCACAAAATGTAATTTGGCATTGCTGAGGCATCTTTCCTGTGGGGTTGTTGGATCTTGCAGCAATGTTGGGGGACCCTGCAGGAACATTCAATCCCATCAAATGAACCCAATGCTGGAAATGAGCAACCAATGGTGCACAGGAACCGTACCAATTGTAAGTTGGGGGTCCCCAGGTGTGAAAAGCCTAGTGTTTCACTATCTTTGGTCGCTGTGGGACCCTCTGTCCAAACTTTTAATGCGGAAAAATGCCAAATGACACAACATAAGATTCCATCATAATTACTGTTCCCAGCATACACCCACAAAATGTAATTTGGCATTGCTGAGGCCTCTTTCCTGTGGGGTTTTGGGATCTTGCAGCAATGTTGGGGGACCCTGCAGGAACATTCAATCCCATCAAATGAACCCAATGCTGGAAATGAGCAACCAATGGTGCACAGGAACCGTACTAATTGTAAGTTGGGGGTCCCCAGGTGTGAAAAGCCTAGTGTTTCACTATCTTTGGTCGCTGTGGGACCCCCTGTCCAAACTTTTAATGAGGAAAAATGCCAAATGACACAACATAAGATTCCATCATAATTACTGTTCCCAGCATACACCCACAAAATGTAATTTGGCATTGCTGAGGCCTCTTTCCTGTGGGGTTTTGGGATCTTGCAGCAATGTTGGGGGACCCTGCAGGAACATTCAATCCCATCAAATGAACCCAATGCTGGAAATGAGCAACCAATGGTGCACAGGAACCGTACTAATTGTAAGTTGGGGGTCCCCAGGTGTGAAAAGCCTAGTGTTTCACTATCTTTGGTCGCTGTGGGACCATCTGTCCAAACTTTTAATGAGGAAAAAGTGCCAAATGACACAACATAAGATTCCATCATAATTACTGTTCCCAGCATACACCCACAAAATGTAATTTGGCATTGCTGAGGCCTCTTTCCTGTGGGGTTTTGGGATCTTGCAGCAATGTTGGGGGACCCTGCAGGAACATTCAATCCCATCAAATGAACCCAATGCTGGAAATGAGCAACCAATGGTGCACAGGAACCGTACTAATTGTAAGTTGGGGGTCCCCAGGTGTGAAAAGCCTAGTGTTTCACTATCTTTGGTCGCTGTGGGACCCTCTGTCCAAACTTTTAATGAGGAAAAATGCCAAATGACACATCATAAGATTCCATCATAATTACTGTTCCCAGCATACACCCACAAAATGTAATTTGGCATTGCTGAGGCCTCTTTCCTGTGGGGTTTTGGGATCTTGCAGCAATGTTGGGGGACCCTGCAGGAACATTCAATCCCATCAAATGAACCCAATGCTGGAAATGAGCAACCAATGGTGCACAGGAACCGTACTAATTGTAAGTTGGGGGTCCCCAGGTGTGAAAAGCCTAGTATTTCACTATCTTTGGTCACTGTGGGACCCTCTACCCAAACTTTTAATGAGGAAAAATGCCAAATGACACATCATAAGATTCCATCATAATTACTGTTCCCAGCATACACCCACAAAATGTAATTTGGCATTGCTGAGGCCTCTTTCCTGTGGGGTTTTGGGATCTTGCAGCAATGTTGGGGGACCCTGCAGGAACATTCAATCCCATCAAATGAACCCAATGCTGGAAATGAGCAACCAATGGTGCACAGGAACCGTACTAATTATATATATTTTTTGTGTATGCTGGATTATGCTGGCGATTGGCTGGGAATTGTTGGGCATCAAGGTCAGTGCCACACAGCCACACACCTCAAAAATGTAAGTTACAATTTCTGATGTTGCCTCAAAAATGTAAGTTACAATTTTCAGGTTTCAAATGAAAAAAATCCTGGATAGCGCCTCAAAAATGTAAGTTACAATATCGAGGTAACCTCAAAAATGTAAGTTACATTTTTGAGGTAGCATATGCCCAAAAATGTAAGTTACAATTAGTCCACGCCCCCCCCAATAAGCAGTAGGGATATTATATATATATATATATTTGAATTTATTTGATGTTGGCAATTCTTTTCCAAATTTGGTTTTAATACTCTTCAGCAGCTGGTGTGCCCAGACAAGAAAATCAGACCATGGGATTATGTCAAAGCCGCAGTGTTTGTGGATGTCGTATGTCATTTCTTGGGGGTCCATTGTAAACCAGGGCCCATGTCAAGTCGACCAAATGGCGCAAGTGATGGGCGTCTCCCAAGGGGTCCGAAGGTGAGAACAACAATTTCTTCCAAAGTGTCCTTCAGAATAAAGGAGGCCGGTAGGCACAACAGAATTGCTACGATGATTGATGGGTGATGATTTAATCACTATAGTTCAGTATCAGTGAAATTGGTGGATGACCCACACGATCGTTGCTTATTTGATGCATTGTCAAAGGCTGAATAGTCAATGATTCAGTGCTGAACTGCTCCCCATTTCACCGGTCCAGCATCCCAGCAAGAAATATCTTAGCTAAACCCATTTGGCGCCTACTTCATCAATTTGACAATGCCATTTCTTGCGCACGCCTCAAAATTCGTGCAACTTGAATCCAAACTTGTGGGTCATATGCCAGATGTTTGGGTCTTCCTCATCGCTGGATTGATCCAACGCTTTTGGTGGTTGACCTTACATTTTGTGGTTCTTAAAGATCTTAAAAGCTTCTAAAAAAACTTCTGCTTCCGTTAATTATTCTTCTTAAATCATCTTAAGATATCTTCAATCTTTACGCTAATCGCCAACCACTCGCATGTGACTCTATTTTTGCTACAAGATCATGTTTCATCCCATTTTTCCATTCATCCCATTTTCCCCATATTTTTCCAACTTTTTCATGGGTTTCTTGCAATTTTTCCCAGGTTTGTCCCGCCCTAGCAGCGGCCAGGCCCTTGCGGCTGATGGAGGCCCTGCCCTCCTTGCGGCCCAGCGGCACGCTGATCTCAGGCCAACTGAGGCCCAGCATGGCGGAGGCTCAGGCGGAAAAGCTGGTTGATAAATAGGTTAAGTAATTAATATAATTGAACCATATTGAACCTTAGTTATCTTTTGTTTTATTTATTTATTGCATGTTATTACTATAGGTTAATCATTTATTATTATCGCAGTAGCTATCATGGTTAATTGTAAATATACTATAGTGGGGGGATAATAGTACCATTTTTTTGAATATACTTATTCTGGGATAAGAATTGGGACTATGCTCATTCTCCCAATTATAACCCCAAGTTAAGTCATTATTATTGATAGAGCTGGGATTACAATAACACTTGGGACAATAATCATAGTTATATATTGGGGATTGAGATTGGGAGAATCAGACAATGATAATTGGGATATTGATAATGGTTATTGGGATCATAAATGCTTATGATATTTATCATTGAGATAATGATCGTAGTAATGGATTTGGGATTATAAATTAGGATTATATTCAGATACTTAAGTAATAATATATTAGTAATGTAATCCCAATCACTTATCTATGTAATCCCAATTGCATACGCCAACCACATATATATATATAATCATATATAGTCACATATATATATAATTACGTTTAAGTATTTAATTATATATATATATATATAAATATGTTTATGTATATAGTTATATGCAGAATTATGTTTATGTAAATAAGTATATATAATTATATGTATAATTATATATGTATAATTATATATATATATAGTTAAGTAAATATTATTAATGTAATTGGGAATAGTTGGTTGGTACTATAATTCCAATAATGATCCAATAATTTGCAAAAACCAATTTTGGTAATTATTGGGATTCTCAGATCATGATAATTGCGATAATAATAATGATTATAATAGTGGGCTCATAACTACTGATAAGAGTCATTTTAATACTTATCACTGGAATTGTCATGATGCTAGTAATATAATTGGGAATATAACATGATTATAGTTGGGATTATAAAGTAGTATATAGTTACCCTTCGGTTATTTAACATAGCCATGGACGCCATGGCCCGTGTAGTTCGAGGATTCATGATGCTGATGATGTACCTATTAAACTGCTGATTTTCTATAGCTACTTGAGAAATAACCCGAGGGCAAGTTATTGTGAATATACTTGGGAATAGTTGGTTGGGAAATGTTGGGAATATAATCCAATAATAATTGGCATCATATCCCCCTCCATATCCCATGTTATCCCTATAGTCTAATCTAATCATTGGGGTTTTATTATAAATGCAGATATGTATATATAGCCTCGTCCCAGGTCCTAGAACTGCGCAAACCCGAATTAGGTTGGTAAAACTTGTCAATTCCGTGACGAAATTTCGTCGCAGAATTGACAAGTTTCATTAGGGTCATCATCATCATCATCATCATCATCATCACATCACATCATCATCATCATCATCACACCATCATCATCATCAGCATCATCATCATCATCATCATCATCATCATCATCATCATCATCTGCAAGTTCACATGAACGTTAACATCCCACCCCATCCCCCCCCACCCCACGTGCGACATCTTGCAAGTTCACCGTTAACATCCCCCCCCCACCCCACCCCGCGTGTGCGTAGCATCAACTGCTTCTGCAAGTTCACATGAACGTTAACATCCCACCCCACCCCGCGTGTGCGTAGCATCAACTGCTTCTGCAAGTTCACATGAACGTTAACATCCCACCCCATCCCCCCACCCCATCGTATGTAGTTCCAGGACCTGGGACGAGCCTATATATACATATGTATATATATACATACATATGTATATATATATATGTATATATATATACATATTAAGTATCAACTATTATAGCATCGGGATCATTTAGGTCATCAACATTGGCGGAGCCCAACCATTGGGATTCTCATTGTGAATCCATTATTGGAAATATAATAGTTATAACATGTTATAACAGTGGCTATCCCACTAATATATGTTATCACTATAGCCATTGGGATTATCATTGTGAATCTTCAATGGGGATTATAACATTGTTATAATAGTTGAAGGTTATTAATTCAAGAGAACAGAGCAACTAGGCAACGAGATAGACGGAACATTTACCCTCGACTAATCAAAGGTGGCTGGCTGGGAAATCCCCGAACTAAATGGATCATTTATAGATGTATAGTGGGTTTTCCATTGCCATTAGTGATATTTAGATGGATATTTTTATAGATAGGACAAGATAGACGGATATATTATTGTCCCCCAAGATGGACGGACGGACGGATGGATAGATAGATATATGCAATTTCGACAGTCAATGAAGTTTCTATTTTTTTGAGGGTTCCATGTATCATTACAATCATGGAGTCAGCGATTCATGATTCATGATATCGTAATTATCGTAATTTGTGCCATTGAATATAGTAAGGGAAATCCAAAGGTGCAAAAAACCACCAACCACCAATTCAGTCGGAATTAAGCCAGCTTCGTGGCAAAGTGAATTCACATAACACACGAGAAACCAGTGTGGATCTCGGAGAAGCAACCATAGGGATTCAGAGGCAATTGTTCGGCAGTCAAAACCAAGTCTGGTGGTTACGGAAATAATCAAGTACCATCCACTTGCCCAAATTTTGACCAGCAGCATCCAATAATTAGTTATAGAGTGCCATACCAATAAAGCGCCTTTCTGCATCTTAGCAGCATCCATGGGGATTTTGGGCCACCAAGGCCAATATGGGCATGATACCCCCAAATCGATCTAAATTGATCCAAATGGTAAAATTGGATAAATTGGTAGTGGTTTAACAAAGGGTTTACAGCGTTATACACTAACTAGTGGAGCGGCAAAAATGGCAAACCAGCAACAACAGAGTAGGGACTCAATGGTGCCTCATATGTATCTGCAAGGCGAGGCGGGGAGGCTGTATATGCGCAGACACCGAGAGTAACCAACAAGCGACGAACCAAGTGCCCTTCCGACCTTGAAATCCCAATTGTTCAGCCAACCGAAAGTCAGTGAGACTCCAATCAGCACCCTGGTCTTGTGGTAGATGTTTGACTCAATCCCAATCACAAAATGTTGATATATATATATATATACTATATAATATATACCCAGTTGAGGATATCAATCCACTTCACTTCCAAACGGCTTTCCTGGCCGTGACTGAGGAGTTGGCGTCGCAAAAGCCAGAGCGACACGACTTGCCGCCCGGCATGAAATTATTTGGGATGCAGGTAGGGAGAGGTCCTTTTTCTAGGAGGGTCAGGGCCCCTGGTTGCTGGGTTTAGATGGATTTAGTACGTATGTATGTAATATATATATATAAAAATATCACAAACTTTCCAACAGGATGAGAGTTGTTAAGTGGATGGTAAATAGTTGATGTTTTGATGGCAACCCTGAATACAGCCGAAATATACTAGGATTAGGGACCTTAGCTCCAAAACTTGCATGTGCTGCGTGGGCGTATCGTAGGCATCATCCTAATGAGCGTAGTTGAAAGCTACAAGTTGGACAGAACCGCATGCGCAGTATCCTGCATGACCATCCCCAGAAATGGATCAAGATCCTCAACTGAGGCATGCAGTGCTCCCCGAAAACATGCAGATGAAGCTGTGCCTTGGCAGGTGTTGGTTTTGATCCGCGCAGCCAACCACCATAGATACTGTGGATGGATGGATGGATGGATTGATGGATGAATGGATCTAGAGAGCCACGGAGATTAGATTGGTTTCGGCTGGATTATACACAGTAGATCAATTGATGTGCATGCGGGTGTCTATGGAAACGCTTTATACGCTTACATGATATACATATGTGCACATACCAATGCCTCCATGTGCATACACATTTGTCACATTTGCGAAAACACACACACAAACACGCATGTGCATAAATTCAATATTATAATTAAATTCTATAATGCATGTGTCCATAGTAACTACTGTATATATATATAGTACCATAGGGTTATGCTGGGATTAAGTGGGGTTTCAATTAGGCCCACCGACCGGGAGTCCAGTGACCAACTCCTCTGGGCCGCTGAGGATGCACGTCATTGACAGCCTTGGCAATTGGAAGGAAGAAATGGGATTCCGGAGCTAGCTGCGAAACTGCGAAAAAACACTTCCGGCGAAGCTAAGGAGAGAGATGTGAAACTTTGGTTTAAAAAGAAATGATAAGAAACCCAACAGAATTCGCCATGTTACTGTATAGATGTACCATTTGTTTCAAGTCAATAAGTCCTTGAATCAAGCATCTTTTGGCCTTGTCCCGTAGCAGATCATCTTTTTGAACAGCGCTGCAAGACGCAGCGCCACCAAAATCTGTGTGTCGTGGGACCCTGTGGCACCATGGGGTGATGCGGCAGACAGGCCTAAAGATTGGTGCTTTCAGATCTCATTCTTGAATGCCATCCCGATCTTTTGGATGATATGCAATCCAGCACTTCCGAGCCTGAGGGATGACGAGGGGATGGATGGCTCCCACAATCAGCTCCTTGCAGGGATCCTGAAGCTGTTTTACCTGCTGGATTGTCAGTCTGTACTTGCATTCTCCGCATCATCCATTTCCAAGGACACTTTAGGTGTACACAGTGTGCACACTAGCATTGTCAAGGGGCACATGAATAAGGTCAGCCATATGTGGATCTTCGCATTCACACCCCAGCTCATGAGGTGTGGGGGTCCCAAAGGTACTGCAAAATGCAGCTGCCGCGGCCGCGGTCGAAACGTAGGATCAACGGCCGCACCCAAAGTGGTGTTCGCCCCGTCCGTGCGTCCACCCGTGCTTCTGGTGGAAAAAACATCTCGATCGAATCGGTAGGGATTCAGTATCTGGGATGCAACATTAAACGCACCGAAAATGGGTTGGAGATCATGATATGACAGGTGAAGATGGTCTGATTCTAAGTTCAACCGAGGGAATCTGATATTGTTGAATCATGCTAAATTATTGTCTAAATCAACCATCCAAGGTCAGCCATGAAGATCCCGTGGCCATTGCAGCTGAGGCTTCTTCACAGACTGAGTGCCGGATCCGGCACCTCTACTGGCAGCCCAGCATGGAGGCACTTGCTATTTGAAACCCCAATTTTTCGGGGTTAATATGGATTAATAATGATTAATATGATGATATAATCATCTCTTTTGAGCCATGGGAACCCTAGGACACGTGTAGATCCTCAACGTAAGGACATGAGGGCCTGCACAGCCTGGAATTTTAGCATGATTTTACTGTAGGTAGCAGGTCAAGAGAAGCCACTTCAGTTTGATAATTGCATCAGCAGTGGCCGATGCAGCTTGAATCGACGGATTTTTGACGTCGTCACGGCATCTTGCGGCCATCTTGAGAAAGCAGCCTGGGTCTGTTTGAATTGTAACCTTTCAGTTGTGAGGATACAAAGAACTTTCCACAATGGTATGCCAGTGTTGCTTTGTTTGATGCATCACTCTTCAGCTTTCCGCTTGCGAATTGCCGCCTGAGCTGCTTCAGAAGCAGCGTTTCACATGCAGCCCCCTCCGTTGATGGTATGGCGCAGCAAGGCACAGGCAACTCATCAAGGCCTCAACAAACGTAATCCTTAATCCTTAGCCAGATTACGAATTATCATATTTTCGGATTATGTGGTTTGGACATGTTTGGACGGATTACGGATTGAAAGCCACAACCCCTGTAAAGGATGATGACCGGCATGCTGATTTGAGGAAGTTTTTCTTGGGTTTCGTTTGTGAGTGTGGTGTTTGGATTCGTTTTTGCGATCTATCAGAGCTCATTTTGACTCCTCCGTGTTTTGGTTTTCCCTCTCTGTCTTGAGCGCAATGCCTTGCAAGTCCGGGTTGCAACAGCGTAGCCACCTTTGCGGCCTGGGTCAAAGAACAACTGAGTGTATCTGCTGCTAGCCACAGCCCACAAAAGTTGCAAATTCCCAAGATTTAGCTCTCCGGGGATTGTGGGAACCTTCTACCTGTGTTCTGTACGCACATGAAATAAATGAATGAGGAACCCAGTGTACCCCCTTAACCACAGCTGCCAACCACAACCCCCAAAGTTGCAAATTCCCAAGATTTAGCTCTTCGGGGGTTGTGGGAACCTGTCTACCGGTCTTCTGGACGCAAATGAAATAAATAAATGAGGAACCCAGTGTACCCCTTAACCATTTTATTAGATGTAGGTTGCAAGGTCCCAAGTGGAAATACAAGGACTGGACAGGAGGCACCTGCACGTGCTTCAGACGAACAGCTGCTTCCTCTCAGATGATGCATTTCCTTATGCTGAAGGTGCTGCCACATCTGGCCTCGTGTAAAGCGGAAAACAAATTTCTACAGGCTACCTCATAGCTCGCCAAACGACAACCCCCAAAAGCATCCAAAAGCTAGAAATTCCACACATTTACCTCTTCAGGGGTTATGGGAACCCGTGTGCTACGCAAAAACGAAGCGCAAACGACCAGGTTCACAGGGTAAGGTTTCAATAGGTTTCAGGGGTTGTGAACGGGTTACGGATTAGAACGGTTTACGGATTCTTCGGATTGAGCCCTTTTTTCGCATTAGCAGCTTTACGGATTAGTTTTACAAGCGCGCGCACTTTGATGAGCCCAGCCCGGCGCCGCCGCTCTCAACCATGGGAGCTGCCAGATTCACCAAGTAAATTTTAGAACTTAGCCAATTGGGACATGAGTGAATCAGCTCATTGCGATCGAGCTCCAGAAAAGGTGAGTGCTCAAAACCTGCCAAGCGAGGCACTGGCATCTGGCTGGTCATGGTTTACCTGGGGAGGTTGGAAAGGTGCCATATTCACGCTGTATTGGTTGGCTTGACGAGGTGATGAACGATCTCGTGATGTCCATCCTTGCGGCTGATCCAAACTAGCAAGGGAAGCTGCTCCACGGGAAATTTCTCTAAGGCCACTGTGTTGATCCCCTTTGGTCGCGCTTAGTCCATACAACTGGCCACTGTGTCTGTCTCGCCTTCTCGTGCATCAACATTTTTGGAAAGCCGTGAAACGGCACGAACCTTAGCGGGATTTCCAGGGCGCAACAGACAAAGGTCCAATAAGAGCGCTTATTATATATACTGTCTAAATCTGTCTAATTAGTTAAATTAGTTATCTCTACAAAGTCTGAACCGTAATTTCTCGAATTTTCTTGATATGTACTGTATTGATGATATATGGTGCAGGTCATTTGAGTGGCTGCACATTTATAGTGCCCGTGATTTTCATTAGGGCCCCTCAGCCACCTTGGCAAGACCACCAGTGGGTGCCGATGCCATGTGGCACCGGCCATGTGCTATGGGCAACGCCATCTGACCCACGACCATGTGGAAGTAGCTTGGCAACGGTAAGGCATTCGCCCCCATAAATTGAACGTAGCACCTCTCAAAGGGGTTTCCAAGTGGATATTGCCACTCTTAAACGGGAGCCCCGCAGCCTGTCAAACCCAGCAAACCTGAAGATTTGAGGCTCCAAAATGCAACCCCTCTGAAAGCGCTCTTTGCAATCAGTTCATTTGTGGTGAAATAATGGATGTTAGTCGATATCAATGAATAGGATGTTGTTGGGATAGTAGTGGTGTCCCTTCCGAACTTCCTCAGTGAGGCACGACTACAGGTGGATAGGCCGATCACGTGGTTGAGCCCGTGTGGACCTTGGGTGAGCCCCTGCAGCTGTAGCTTCCAGGGACACAGATGTTCTCTAAAACAGTCGCATCTATTTGGATCAAGGTGTATCACATTTGACGCTGAACGAGACTTTCACAGATTTAACTGGCAAAACAAAAACCGAGTGATCCGCTGTTGCACTGTATCTATTAATCGCAGTTGTCAGTCCTATCATGTTCTACCATCTGTTTACCACGTCAGACTGAGACCCCAGCTCTTGGCCGACCCACCCTACAATTTGGCGCTCCATGGGTGCCAAGTTTTGGGCCCGGGATGTTCCATGGCAAAGTTCCTGGCCCTTGGCCTCTTCACCAATGCTGTGCCAAGCAAAGGCTCCTGTCATATCCTGAGGGTCGTTATCACGCGAACGGCAAGAGCTAGATCAATCCTTTGATTGATGCATTTGGATCATTTTGGATCTATATTATATATATATGGTTTAGAGCTTCAGTGGTATTCAGCATGTTGAGACTGGGCATGGCTATGCGTGCAGTGGCCAGTCTTTGACCATCTCAGGCCTTTGTGGCTGTCCGCATGCTGGAATAATGAATGCATATGATACTGATGCAAGACAATGTGCTGGATGCATCTTCTGACTTCCAGACCTCTAGGTCCAGGTTTTGTTGTTTGGCATCTTCATGCATTTTTGGTGGTGCCTTCTGTCGCCAAATGAGTGAATACCTGAGCCAATTATGCTTAACTTGAGAATTGATTCTTCAACAGTGAGTACCCATTAACCGTTCGTTCTCAAGAATTGACTTCAGAGTTGATGCCTTTCATGGGGCTTGCATCTGATAGAATTAACTCTGGATTTAATTCTTTCGAATTAAGTTGAGCGCCTTTTCCGTTTATTTCCCCCTTTCCAAAAAGAATTAAATCCAGAGTTAATTCCGTTTCCTGCTGGTCATGTCAATCTAGATTCTTCACATGTGGGCTTGAAACAACATAGATTCTTCACCATGTCCAATGATGTCCAATGCAGATCCAGTAAGGTCAACATGAATGAACATAAATTGACTCCAGAGATCTCCCAGAGTTAATTCATGTTGATTCTTCCTTGGGGTCTCTGGAGGAAGGTGCCCAAACACCTCCGGTGAGGCGCCGCCGCGATGTGCCTGGCCGGCCCAGGGGCACGGCTGCCGCCGGCCGAGACCTGGCGGCAGCAGCGCCGGGCGGCGGAGGCGTTGAAGGCCGAGGTCTTCCTACTGCTGAGCTTCAAAGGGGTGCCTTCGGTGATGGGAAAACTGCGAGTTTATAGATTTTATAGTGAGAAAAGTTCATAGATAATTAATAGACATAATAAATGTGGTGAATAGCCAAAGGTGGAAGGTGAACTAATATAGTGATCTATAGTGTATACTGGGAAACAGCTATGGTGAAGAATGGTTCATAATTTGCGTTAAGGGATAGAACCTATATGTGTTAACTACAGTCTATAATGGGAAAAACCTTATGGCCAATAATGGTTCATATGTATATAATTTATTATAATTTTATGTTAGAAGGTCTGGTTTTCATTTGGGGATGGTTTATGGCATTGAGTTTGCCGCATTAAGATCTTTGAGGAAAGGGTTGTCGAGATAGATGAGTTGCTGGATAATATTAAGTGTGTTAATGAATTAATTATCTGAGAAAATTACGTCATGTATTCGCGTTTTGTTTTCTGATCCCGAGAAAAAATTGTAGAGGGATTGGCCAAGCATGGCTTGTATCCTCATTCCATTTCGGACTGCTTGGAATGGTTTTTGGGAAGAGGTTTCAACTTAGGGCAATTTTCTTATATACAGTATAATTGCGGAGGCTCCAAACCTTCTGAAAGTGATCATCGATTGGCTGATCTCAGATTATGTCTGATTATTTTTAGTAGTTTTTCCATGTTTTTCCGACATATTTTCTACTGGGACCTGGGGCACTTTGCGATTTAAAAAAAATGGGTCTCCCCAAGGCTGGATGAGAGATCACCCGAGCATTTTTCGGTGACAAACACTGACCCTTTTTGCACTTTGCAGAAGGTAGATGACATGAACAAAGAGAATCCAGCTGATGCACACTGGGTCAAAGAGGCGCCGTTGGCCTGAAAGAAATGCTGTTGAGACTGGCTATGGACTTCCTTGTTGACAGATTGGGTGCATCCCAAAATGGCGAAGAGTAGCCACGTGTTTTGTGCGCCTTCTTACAGTTAAGTAGGATGAAATAGGCTGAAATTAAAATTAGTTAGATGGGTTGGGAGTGGCAGACCGATGTGTGGCATAAGCTGCCCTGAAGGTAGGGAAATGAAATGGCATTGCACATCCAACCATACAGTGCCTCTCATAAGAAAGGGCAATGCTCAAAACCACAGGAGGATTATTTTTGTGGACCAACCTCTGCCACCTCTGCGGCTGGTTGAGATTTCCATCAGGCCATTGCCGCTGCGGACACTGGGACATGACTGGAAACTCTGGCAGGTCTATCACGCTTATGATGGTCGGGGACGACAAAGTTTGGTGTCCGACTATCATCGCTTTGCCCAAAATGGCTCCATTTTGGAGGACGATTTCTGCGTAGTTGATCCATCCCATGGAGGATGTCAGAGCCTGACATAGGGATGTCTCTGGGTCCCTCGAAAAGTGTAGGTTTCCGTTGTATTTCCGTTGTATTTCCTGATATTTGTCTTGAGGGGTGGAATGAGGTTCTTTCGCAGTCCAGCATCCATCAGGGGGATGGCACCAGAACGAGCAAAGACCTTTAGACTCCTTCCCTGTGACCCCATGATGAGGGCTAAGTTGACCGCACAAAAATATTGGTGAAATCACTGACGAGCTTGTTCATCTCATGCCAGGACTACAAAGAAATTCCTGGCAGTTTCTTGGCACCTTTGCTGATTCTCGCGCTATATATTTTCATCAAGAACTTTCTTTGATTCATTTCTGGTTGGTATGATCCAGTGTCAAAGCCCCAAACGCTGCTCAATAACTAATAAAACTAGCAATATATAATCATACATATATATATAACAGCTCCGATCTGTGCCAAGGACCCTCGAAGGGCGCAACGCTTTCCACCTACGAAACTTGTGGCATTGTTATGAGCTCCTCATTGAAGAGGCGCTGCTCGCAGCGGGCGATGCCAAGCAGAACCGCTTTTCAACATGTTTCAAGAAACATGAGTTGTTTCATAATATTGTTTCCTACTACTGCAGACCCCATTTTCTATTTTTTGTTGAGGGTACCACTCCAAATCATTCCAAATCATCAGCCAGGGTCAAGGCAAGGGGAACGCGTTCCGCCACTTTCTATCATCAGGTTCAATGGATGACGGCATGACGTCGTTGCGCATACACCTCCAGCAATCATGGCGGATCCAACCTGCACTTGATCAAAATAGCCATTTCCAGATCAAAAGCATCAACCCCCAAGCCAATTTTTTTGGAGGGCCTTCAGCTGCTCTGAACTGGTGCAAGCGAGTTTAGCTAGCAACCTGGCTGCCCTGGCTGCAGGAGAAACGTCGGGGCCATTCCTTCGACTATTGGATTTGGACGCGGCTGGACTGGCACTGGTTAGCACCGCCACCTTCACTGGAGGTCTTTGATTCCCTTCCAACCGCTGTGTGGATCCCTGATGGGTCAGATTGGGATGGCATCAATGACCGTTCCTTGCGGGGGAGAAGTTTTGCTTTTTTTTTTTTCTCATTTTTTCCTCTATTGCGATTATTTTTACGGATTTTTGTGATGTTGCGGATAATTGTAGGGTTTCGCACCAGCAAGGTGATGACAGAGTACACCACTCCAGGATCCATGTCAATCCGATCCCCAGCAGCATGTGAGGCTTTGCCCTGGTGCCAAGACGCTATGGCAAGGCCTACTTCGACCGATGGCCCGGGATTTTGAATGGCAGCCTTTATTCCATGATGCGTGCGGCAGCCCCCCCAAAGCTGGAGTTGTCTCCAAAATTTTTTGGAGGCCGGGTACCTTACAACCTCGAAACATGGACCAGAAAACCTGGAAACCAAAATGGAGCATCCCACAACAATGAGCCAGCTATAGCCTAACAGGAATAGCAGGGCGTCGAATTTGATGCTCTTCTGTAGAGACCCTATCATTCTTGAGAGCGTTCCACATCATGTTTCCTCCTGAAATCGAGCTCTTGGAACCTTAATAATTTTTGGCAGGATAGCAATAGCGGACAAATCAGCCAAGGTCCTTGTTTTTCGGTATTGATTAATCCGCAATCATTTTTTCTTCTTGTCCACTCTTCTTGGCCAAATTCTCACTTTGTCTCCAAGGTTCATGACTCACAACTAAATTGCTCATCGCAACCTGCAAAAAGGTAAAATTTTGCCAAATTCCGAACTTCAACAAATTCAACTGTCCCCCCCAATTCACTATTACTGGGGCTCCCTCACTACCTCGTAATCATAGGTTGAGCATGAGGTAACCGTAAAAAACTATGGTTATATGAGCTACAGCCAACATCAATTATTGCAGTGAAGAGTGCGCATTCGAGAGGTCTCTATTTTTGGGACATTGAGCTGAGGTTGGGAAAACGACAATACACTCTTCTCAAAGCGCTAGCATGTGCTTATGTTTGCTTTCAAACTTTCATCCTTTTCTTATGGTGCAGGTGATTTGATGCTTTATATAGTAGACATTAGTAGGCATTCATTGGGATTCACTGGTTCACCATTTGTTGAGATACGCGCCATGTTGGCGGGAAGGACAAGGTAAGCAAGAACAATGCGAATACTATGGGTTCCTCTCTTCCTCCATCCCTCTTCGTTTTTGCTTCCTTTACTGTGATAGAAAGTGATATGTTTCGATCACCTTGTTGTCGCTACAAACACTGGAAACCGATCATGCGCTTTGCAAAAAATCATGATTTGGGGCCATGAGACAGATATTGACCGTCGCCCATATCATGTCAGTTTTATGCATACATAACTTACATATATAACATTATATACAGTAACTATCTGGATACAAACATAACAGTGATTAATATCAATTAATATCAGCTAAAATTGCCAGTGGCTGGTGCCCCAGCTGATTTTGAGACCCAGGTCCCGAGTGGTCGCTGCTGGCGGCTTTGCACTGGTGGCGGGTCCCTGTGCGCCGCTTCAGCGCCACCGGCGCGGTGCTGTGTTTGAACAGCCGCCGGGCGCGCTATGGGCGCTGTACAATGCCCAGGACGGAGGAGGAGTTCTCCTTCAAGTCGTTGGGCTGTATCAAAACCGAAGAAAGGTAGGGACTTGAATATACTTGAATGGATTTAAGCCGATGAACATAGACGGGCTAAATGAAAAAAACATATTTTGGCCCAGTGAAGATGGACGGTTTTAAGATGGTGTAATGTGGTTTGACGGTTTAAGGTTTTACTATGTTTCAAGTACAGAACCAAGCAAAATCAGGGGATTCATAGGGATTTGAGATGATTTGAGATGGTAATGGGAGTGCAGCAAGTCAACCCATGGAGGTTTGACAATCAACTGGGCTACCAGGGTTTTGACCAGTTCGCAAATGGAGGAAAGGCGGGAAACGGGCATGGAAGTTCTCCATAGCCCAACTAGAGAAGCAAGCTTGGGACACAAAGGAATTGAGTGGGAGTATGTCTTTACAGCAAGTGGTTTGTTCTGTTTGGGAGTCTTTTTCGGGGTGCACTTCTGCAGGGGTTTCTGACTGCTGTTGCTGTTGCTCCAAGTTTCTATGAGTATGCAAGCTAGCGCTGATCAACAGACACTGCATATCATCGACTCTGAATGTTTTGGATGGCATGGATGGCTGTTCATATTCCTATATATTCCTAAAACCTACCGCAAAAGATGAACCTAAGATAACCATAGTGCCATATCTGTGGCGGCAAGAAGAAACCTCGGTGGCTGGTCAACTTTGGTCCCGTCACCTCCGTCATCGTCATCCTCCGATCTTCAACAAGAGTCTGTCAACAGGTGTTATGCGACATCCCATTGCGGTGACATCCGCTTCATCCGAGGTATAGCGCAGAATTCAGTGAAGCCAGCGTATCTTGACTGAGCTTTGGAGAATGGATGAGAATGAGCGAGAATTGTAATTTGAGGTTGAAATCTCTGCATGATCTGCATGTCTTTGTAGGCTGGCAATTGGAGATATTTGCCTAGTGCATCTGGAGCTTTGACGTCCAAGTTTTGTCATGGGACCTGTGACACTGCCGGACACTGCCGATAGATCTGCCCTCCCGAGCCCCTATAGTGCCTACAGGTTGGGTAAACCTTTTGGAACCAGAGTCTGAACATGTCGGAATATGTCAGAATTATTTTGCTTGCCAATCGTATCATGCTCCCAGGCTACTTTTGTAGGAATTCCATGAAGTCATGAAGTTCTGATCAATTTTAAGCAATTTCGATCCGAGCCGCGTCACACTCATACAACACAGGCATAGACAGTTGGTATTCAAATGGTGAAGTGGTCAAGCATAGGTATTCAATGGTATTCATATAGATGGCCAATGAGAGACTCAATGAACTTTCATGATTTGTTGGTTCAAGCCAGGGCAGCGTCGCGCGGCTGCAGATGGGCTGGTCCTACGCCTTTGGACCAGCGCCGTTGTTTGATCCGCCTTGCTTTGAAGAAGTAGAGGATCAACAGGAGTGCTGCAACCGCAGGCCGGGTTCCGAGTGAGGTTCAACTGGTTCAACTGGTTCAACTGGTTCAACAACTGCGCTGAAATTGTTCAATGGGAGCTCCAGTTAGGCTCCAAACACTGCATTGAGCGCTTTGGACTTGAATAGGGCATTTCATTCGGACAGGGAGAACATTCAAAGGCGAGATGCCATTTGATGAAGAGAGCGAGAGAGAGAGACAGAGAGAGAGAGGTGCCCTTTGATTTTGGGCTGAAATTGCAGCTTTGTTCAAAGTCGGTGCTTTCTTCCTATGACAGGGTTCACGGCGTTGCTGGCAACCCCGAGTGCTGGAGCGACGTCTTCGACCATGCGCGGTGCTGCCAGCAGAGACATGGGCTCTACATTTTGCCCAGCGTGTCAAAAGCATCAGATGCTCAACTGCGTAGTGGCATCAGTGGAAACCCTGGGAGGTGATCACAACTGAGGATTGGCAAGATGATTCTGCTGATTTTATGATTTTTATGAGAATTCTATGAACTTCTGATCCCAGGCAACCAGCAGTAGAACCAATCCATAGGTTCTTGAATTTGCTCATTGGAACTTCTAGTAAGTTGATATAAGATGATACACGGATATATAAGGCATATGCAAAAGCCCCACGGTGATCTTCGCAACAGTGACAGCAGAACTCCCACCCATCAAGTAGTTTGCCGCATAGACATGCATGCAGCATGCGTGCATACGTACATTCATACATACGTACATGCCTGCATACGTGTATATAATACATAAATATATATATAATTACATATATTACTGTATGCAGAGAGCGGACATGATATTCAGACTTGGATCTGGCATGATCCCTGGAGACTATACAGTACAATGAAAGATATAATCGTATGATTTTTGGCCTTATACTATACAACATAATATAATACAAAAAAATATAGTTTAATATATCAAATATGACATAATATGATATAATCTAATACAATATAATAATAAGATATAAAATATCATAGTGTACTTTAAACTTTAATATGATATAACAGAATAGAAACAAAATATAACCGAAGGAAGTTTAGAAGTCAAACTTCCGACAATATGGACAGATGAAAAACAGAGCAGGGCAGAGGCAGAGAGAAGAGAAAGATTAGAAGAGAGAAGATCAGAGAAGAGAAAGAGTCAGAAGAAAGAAGATGCAGATGCGCGAAAAGGTAGGAAAGTTGCGAAACACTGTGTTTTTCCAATGATTTGTGGCTCTGGAGGGTCGAAAAGTAGGCTCGCTAAAGCGGCGGGATGCGGCGGGTGCGGAGCCATCTGGCCAGACGAGAGACGAAAAATTGCACGCCGTTGTGGCGCGAAGCACATGTCGAAGTCAAAATGTACAAGGCACACCATGTCCGGACCACTTTTGGAAGTTGCGATGTCAAAAAAGTGCACGCCGTTGTGGCGCGAAGCACATGTCGAAGTCAAACCCATGCTCGGACCACTTTTGGAAGTTGCGATGTCGAAAAAGTGCACGCCGTTGTGGCGCGAAGCACATTTCGAAGTGAAAATGTACAAAGCACACCAGGTGCGGACCACTTTTGGAAGTTCACATGTCGAAAAAGTGCACGCCGTTGTGGCGCGAAGCACATTTCGAAGTGAAAATGTACAAAGCACATCAAAACACTAGGGGTTCGGACCACTTTTGGAGGTTCAGATGTCGTTTCGCGTGGCAGGCGCACGGGATTGTGCACCTCTTCAGAAGTGAGCAAAACGTGAGGGTTTTGTAGCATTTCCAAAAACAATGGCAGGCATGGGACATTTGAAGAGGATCTGCAAAGATGCATTTTCCGTGGCAGGCGCAGTACAAAAGACATGTTCATGAGAGATGTGAGGAGGTCAGAGTTGATTTCCTGAGAGGGGTTGCATTTTGGAGTATCAGATGTGCAGGTTTGCTAAGATGATTTTGCGGGACAGGTGCAGCACTTCGTATGACCTGGCGTCAATTTTCCGTGGCAGGCGCAGTACTTTAGACAGGTGGACTGGAAACATCGCAAAACGCATTGGTACGAGGCTGTCAGCTCTGCACTCAACTTTCCATTTTTGAAGGAAGTCTCGCAGAATTCTTTCGTTTTTGATGTCTTCAACTTCGAAAAAGGAGGAAGTCTCACAGAATTGCTTCGTTTCGGATGTTGTCAAGGTCAAAAAATGAAGACGTCTCGCAGAATTGTTTCGTTTTGGACGTTGTTATGTTCAAACATTAAGGAGGTCTCGCAGAATTTCTTCGCTTTTGATCTTGCAGATAGATAGATAGATAGATAGACAGACAGACAGACAGAGAGATAGCGAGATAGACAGATAGATGGAAAGATAGATAGATAGATAGATAGATAGATAGATAGATAGATAGGTAGAAAGATAGATAGATAGATGGATAGATAAACAGATAGGTAGACGGATTTATAGATAGATGGATAGATAAATAGATAGGTAGACGGATAGATAGATACATAGGTAGATAGATAGATAGATAGATAGATAGATACATGGATAGATGGATAGATGGATAGATAAACAGATAGGTAGACGGATTGATAGATAGATGGATAGATAGATAGACAAATAGCTAGAAAACTAGACAGATAGATAGGTAGATAGATAGATAGGGAGATAGACAGACAGACAGATAGGTAGATAGATAGACAGATAGATCAGTAGGTAGGTAGGTAGATAATCAGAGAAAGATAGAGAAACAGAGAGAAAAGGAGAGAAAGAGAGAGAGAGAGAGAGATCAAGCACCTTTCAGTCCATCAGTGGCTTCGCTCTGCCATCCCTGATTCACAACAACCAAGCTCTCCGATAGGTTTCCTATTTTTGAAACTTCCGCCGCCGCCTTGTGCGGTACTACTGGTATAACATGATATAATATGCTTTACTTTTACATACTACAATTTGCAATATCAAAAATAATATGATATCATACCATATATAATAGTATAATACAATTTTATATGTCATATACTATAGGATAATCAAATGAAATTAAACATGATCTAATACAATATAACTTAACATAATATAATATAATATAGGTACGCATTGCAGTATTTGGTTTATTCAGATGTGCACACACACACACCCATGTTTACAGGCATTCTTCCCCTGATCGGTAATGGAGATGTCTATTTACATGTCTACATGACTATCACAAATATGTACGCACACGCACACGCATACAATCACACAATATCACATACATATACTGTATACATATATAGTTGTTATTGCAAAATACGGTGTAAATGCACATGTATTATATATATTTAATATACATACATCTCTCTCGCGCTCTCTCTCAACTATATATCAACCATGCTGACATAGAAACATGTGTAGATGGAGCTGATCGAGGGAAGCCTTGATGGCACCAAGGAGCTTCTGGAAAGCGGTACCTGGTTGGCAGATTCCGGTTCTTGGGCGCGTGTAAGAGCCCCCAACATGCCGTTCGAACAAGACTGGAATTCCAAGTGTGTGGTTTTGGGATCAACCTTTGAAAGAGGTGTGGCTCCAAAATCTGAGATCTTCTGAAGTTGCACTGGCTCGTATGTGCCCATGGGTTGGAATCCAATTTTTGAACTCGCTGCGAAGCTCATAGTTCAAACTTGTTTAATATGTTTAGATGAAGTCCTGCAGTTCACGGACGATTTGCTGAAGTTGTGGAGTTTGGTTGGGTCTGGTGAGGGTTGTCAAATGCGGCCTCTCAGGTACTGTGCCTCTTTGTTGGCCTGTGGTGGCAGCAGTGAAACGTTGTGTCTTGCGAGAACACTTAGAGACAGTGTTGGCCGAGCGAAAACGACCCTCCGACCGGTCGGCATCAAAATGCGAGATGCAGGTTTTGCAAGACTAGCTTCTAGTGGTGGTATGTTATGATTGTTCAAGGGTCCAACTTAAGGCATGTCCTAGATCTCCATACGTGTGGTACCAATATTGGCAGTCCGCAGGGCGGATGTCTTAGATATCCACCCGAGTTTGGGCACTTGATTCGCCCAAGGTCGATGTGGTGCTGCTGGCGATTTTTTGGATGACCTGATACGTGACACGTGACCACAGTCAGGGGTGACATGGGCCCAGTAAGAATTTCAAGAATGGAACCAATTGAAACTGCAGGATTCTGGGATATTCTAATGTATACCTGAGCGATTTTGCAGTGACTTGATTTGATGTCAAATGATGTCTCCGGCCTCCTGATGTTTTTTCTCAAAGATCTGGGACCCTTAAAAACATCCAGAAAATAAAGGTCGAATTTGGCTGATGTTAAAAAACATAGCATAAACGAGAGAAGCAATCGAGCCTTGTGGAATTTCTTTTGTCGGTTTCCAGTGATGCCTTCGTGAGTCCCAGCGATGCCATGGCAGGTCCTTGGCCCTTCGGGCGATGTCCTGATTCTTGACAGGGCCAGGGCGGCGGATTTGTGGGGCCACTGGAGACTGAACTGGGATAGTAATCAGACATCAATGGGGTGAGATATCAGCTATTAATGCACATCAATTATTAATGGGATATTAACAGGATATAAGTGGGATATTGATGGGATAAATCGAGATATTACTGTAATACTGGTATTAAAGTAATATCAATATAGATATGACTGGGATATTATTGGTGTGCTAGAATGTGCTAGAGGGATACCACTGGATATATTGCCGTATTGGGATACTACTGGAATAATCGGAAAAAAACACATGGTTTGTTTTGGCAAGGCTCCTCTGAACATAGGATTGTCAAAGGATTGCCAAAGGCATGCAAAGCGAGTCTGGAGCTAGATTGAAGAAGGCAACACGACCAACAGCGAAACAGTCAACAACCCCCCATCCTCCGGGATTCCTTCCTTTTTGGTGCAAAGAGCAAGTGAATGGGAGTGTGCAAGGGCTCCACACAAAGCCAGGCTTGCTCCAGAGTTGGGGTGCCAAGATCCGACGTGCGTCGCATGATTTTGGATCATTTGGCACCAACAGGCGCTGATATATCACCACGTCTCTCCATTTCAGGTAGGTCAGTTGTACTGTATATATCCTGCATATTTTCCCATCAGTTCGCCATTTTGTTGGACATGTCATCCATGATATATATCCATATATGCAAACATATGCAAATATATGCAAATACGTACATATAATACATGCATAATTATACACCCAAATTACTGTAATTCCAACATACAGAGATGTGCAGATTATGTATACAAGAATTCATACATCATTATATATATATATATATTATTATACAAACGGCATATACACACAAACACACACAAACATATATATATATATTACCCTCTGGTAAATTAACATAGACCCTGAAAATAGTCATTGTTTAGTTGAAACAGATCTTCCAACCCCTAACTGCCAGGGTCTATGTTAACTTACTAAAGGGTATATATATATAATTACATATATATATGGACATATATGTGTATATATACATATGTATATATATACACATATGTATATATACATATACATAGATATAATTATATAAATAAGGATATATATATAATGCAATAGAATACGCACGAACTCAGGCAATTGCACAACAAATTCTACATTTTGTTGATCTTCCAGGTCACCCAGGCCCCCAGCACCGGCGCCGCCGATGGCGGCGCGGACTCTCAGCATTCGGAACTAGATTTTACAACGCCTGGAGATGCTTGGAGTCATATTGCGCATAGATAAATGAAACCTATATATATATGTATTTACATATCTGTATATATTATATATATATGTTTATCTAATTCATGTAATTATAAATGAATTAAAACTTGCCAATATGCACATGTATAATTTGCACGTGCACAGATATTTAGAAGATGTTTGACATGTACACATTGCACATCTTTGATATATGCACATGGCTGCCTACGTATGCAACAAGGGAACATGCCGTTGTTTGAACCTCAGATCTTCGGCTCTTGGAGGCCGGTGGCACTGTTGAGTTATTGTAAGTGGAGATAATCGGCAAGAGCGGGATATTTTTTTGAAACATAACATGTGAACTGTGATGTGAAGAAAGTAATTATAGAATATCCATGAATATTCCAAAGTAATCCAAAGTATATACTGTATATTCTATACATGGTGCTGACACCTCGGCTTCGCATGGGGATTGTATATGATTGTATCCCAGCTACCTGGCTGTTGATCCCAGCTTTTGCATTTGAATGGGACAACAGTTCAAAACACAGTATGTTCCTGTTTGTTTTAAACATATCCACCACCGGTTTCTAGCTTGGGTCCCATCGGGGCGCCAGAGCTTGACGATCATCCCACCAATCCTGACTGATCTCAGCCCTCATCATCATTCTCCCCACTGAAATGGCATGACATGGCATTTTTTTGTTGAGAAATCCTAGCCAGTGGTTTGGAGTGGTTTGGAGCTATGATACTTGTTAAATGGGGAGCCAAGGATCTACCAAGAGTTTCGCAACCACATGATAGTATTACTATCATGTGGTTGCGAAACTCTTGATAGTAATCCACTACTTTCGAACTTGTGCAGGCAAGATCTACATTGCAGACACCTCCAATCATCGGGTGGGGAGCCAAGGGCTGCCGATGAATTCCATGTTGAGATGCACAGTGCTGGTGACCCCTGCGAAAAACTGGGAATGTCATTGACAGTATTGAGACATCTTATGTAGAAACTAAGTATTTACCTTAACTCCCTTCGTCAACCTAGATTTATCTGAGAGATATCAGACAAATATCATAGAATATTGACTAAGAAATACTTTAGGGCAGTGTAAGAAAGATGTGCAACAGCGTCGGGCTCGGGGCTTGGCATTCTTGACCCAGAAACGTGGCTCTTGGGTTACGTTCTTTAAATATTTTACGATCAGTTTCCATTTAAGCACACACACATACATATATATATATCCCCATTTTGAATCATTTTGGCAGATTATATATTAATCCTGTCTGTACACTGTATATAGTTTTTTTTTTTTTGCGGCGACATCCTGCCCCCCTAGGGTTTTACGCCGAATTTAAGCCTTTGACCCGTCATTTCGCTGGAAATTGCCACCTTTGACCCCATACGGCACTGCGGTTGTCACGGCTTCGCCCGCACCTTTGAGGTCATGTGTTGGCAACTTGGAGGGGCAACCGGCACAGAACTTGTGGCTGGGCAACATCGTGCGTGGCGGTCAACATAGTCACATTCTAGGTCGGCATCATACTGTAATTTTGTTAATTTCAGTGGTTTGTAGACTATAACTATACATCATATACATCACACATCATACACTGTTAATTACACAGACAGACACATCATACCACATCATACAGATACATCATACATGCACGCAGATCATTCATTCATTCAGTCAGTCAGTCAGTCAGTCATTCAGTCATTCAGTCATTCAGTCATTCAGTCATTCATTTATTCATTCATTCATTCGTTCATTCGTTCGTTGGTTCATTCGTTCGTTCGTTCGTTTATTCATTCATTCATTCATTCATTCATTCATTCGTTCATTCATTGATTCATTGATTCATGCATCCATCTCCCTCGCTCCCTGCCTCCCTCCCTCCATCCATGCACACATTACATTACATTACATTACATTACATTACATTACATTACATTACATTGCATCATATACATATCCAAAACATATCCAAATGGGGAGACGCTGTGCGTTGGAAAATGGTGGAGAGAACCTCAGCTCACATCCGCCCAGATCACGAACGGACCAGCCACAGCTCGAGGCCCTGCTGGCAGCGTTTCCCCAAATTCAGACAAGTTTGCGAGATCAGACTCTTCAGCCTGCCCCCAAATCATTCCAAATCTATTTTTGCTATTGACTCCATTGATGATTGATGTTTTTTGATCGTTGTTCCTTTGGAGGTAAGTTGAGCACACCCACTGGGGTGGCCTTGTCAGATTCCGGCAGCGAGCTTGGCGGTAGGAATGGGCAAGCCAACAGTAGACATGTGGTGCGCAAAAAGGGGTATACCCGAAATCCAATGATTTATCATCATTTTCCCTGTTAAAAGGGCAGTTTCAGGGCATTCACCATTGTCGGACAATCCCGTATGGTTGGTTCTACATATTACCTATATCCAAGTATGCATATATTTGTCCAAGTATACTCCCGCAACAGTTTGTTAAAAGTCCATATGTAAAGATGTCATTTGTACAACTACGCCACTTTTTGAAGTATCCCCTATCAAAATTGCCATATAGATCCATATAGGAGGTATTCGGCCTCATTTGGGTATAGATGGCGGTCCACATGCAGCTGCGAAGATGGCCCAAATGCTCGGTGGTTTCGGTTCCGGTGCCATATAATAAGCATCATTCTTTTGGCATAGCATTTTACATGCTTTTACTGTCCTATCTATACTGGCAGGTATGCTATTTTCCACAATTGTTATAATCACAATTAATCACATAATTATATAATGGTATATTACACACACACATTTCATATATATATATTTATAATTATATATATACATAATATGCACATTATTGCATGAATATGCATGCACGCAGTATGTTTGTTCTCTTTTCCATCCTACCTAGGGCCTAGGATGATGCAATCACTTTGATACCATTTTTGGGCCTTTGGGCTGGGTTGAAAACCAGCAGATTCACAAGCTGCCCAAACTCAGAAGGAACAAGGCGGTGCCGTAACTCACACGCACCTGGGGCGTCGCTCATCCATTTGACAGGCGAACAAGGCGAGAGTGAAACTGATGGCTGAGGTCAGAACTATTGTTTTTTATGGGTAAAGATTTAAGGTCTCTGGTAGAACAGACTTGGACATGTTCAGATGCAAAGAAACAACTATATAATTAATTGCTTGTCCCACAAGACGTGATCGCCGAACCCTGCTTATGACATTCTCAAGAATCAGATGTTGAGCACCCCAACTGGTAATTACGCCCCACTTGGTCCACAAAGCAGCAGAGAACGGAATACCCAACGCAGAAGACTTGCTTCTGCCCTGCCGGGGGGGTTGGGCAGGCAATGGCAACGGCTGTTTGCTGCCGGCCATTTGACAGCTGCCCGGGTGATGAGCGTCAGAAGCTCAGAACCAGTTCAAGGTCAGAATGGATCGAGGCAGCAGAACGTGAGTCGGATAGAGAAGTCCAACGAGTTCGTCTGAAAATAGGATACCCCAAGACTTCATGATTAACATTGATTAATATTGATTATATAATTAACATTTTCACAATTAAAGTCAACCATTTTTGGGCATCCCCATTTTTGCACACAACAGCCGTGCAGGTGAACCCACCGCCCCTGTCAGCCCTTCAGCTGTTCGATGGCCGGAGTGCCTGGGACGTGCGGAGGAGCCGTCACACTGGGTGGAGGGAAAAATGGCAGGAAAACCATGGGGAAACCCATGTCTGGGATGGTGGAATCATAGTTTCAAGATGATTTCAACATATTTTAACATTCATGATTCTGATATATTCTGATCATTGATGGACCCACCCACGATTCATGATTTGGATATTGTGGCTTTTAGACTTGTTTGTTTCGATTTGTATGCCCGGGATTCGTGTTTTTGGAATACACATGGCCATCCAGTCAACATGGCCCCCCCTGACAAAACCCTGAGACTTTTCCGTTGGGTGCTGCATTCCACTCAGTAGTTGCTGGTGAAAGCCACAATATATGTCTGAAAATAGGAGTCTGCTACCCTTAAATCAATTCAATTATCCTCTAATCATAATCTTCCCATATTTCACACCGAAATAGCACGAAATCGCAAGGCTTTCCACGGAATCCCTTCTATGGCCATCCAGGAGGATCCGTTCCTGTTTGACGCGCTTTCGCCGTGTCCTTCCGCGCTTGGATTCTCAGAACCAGTGATGCAGAGCGACGCCAGGGAGGTGCGAGCAGCCGGCTGAAGTTTGGCATATGAATTTGTTGTTTGGTGGTTGCAAGTAATGGGCATATTAGATTATGGCAGATATCATGGCTTATATCTATATAGTTATTATTCTTATGGTATATTTAATATAGGCAGCCCATGACAGTACAGTATAGTCTAGGGCTCATGAAGTTGCTAGACAAGATATTCCAAACTACAGCATGTTGATCACATTTTTGCCACTTGGTGGTGGGAGAATCCAGATGACAGATGCGCACCCATCATCACCATGCCGAGGTCACAAGTAGAAGTCCGCGCCCCAGATGCTGCTAGGACACCACTGAATTCCAACAACTAAGGGCTGTCCATCTATTCATGTACACAGAGATATGATATATGATCAAAGATTTTGATTCTATGCTGTGGTGAAGGCCGAAAGTTTTTTTTTAGATATTAAATGAAAAAATATACATGAACACACGCACAGACATATGTATATATATATACACCCTGGATTTCCAAAGCCCATTTTAAACATGTTCTTTCTGGGAAAGACCATTTCACGGTTTTTGGAAACGGTCTTTCGCAATCACGGTATGGCTTAGTTCAAGCTTGTAGATTATCATTCGTTAACATATTTTAGACGATGTTGCATCTCACTGCATGTAGAGACAGGCTCATCCATGATCTGAGCCACGTTTCATGTGGGGCCCCGGCTTATACACAGACAACTAATACGGCGATATGGGCGGGGTGTGCAAATTTACAAGGAGCAAGGGACTGTTGAAACCACAATGTGTAACTGACATGAAATTGTGCAGTTCAAAACCCCAAAAGGGCAACATATTCCAAATGAATATTTACCGATTTTAGAGTAGCATGAATATAGAAATAGATGATAAAACAGAAGAAGCCTGGCAGCAAACATTTGCTTTCATATAGATACTCAGAAGTTTGCTGCTTTCACCTGGGGCAACTGAAACTGGGGGATCGATTGTTCCTTTTGTCCTACTGAGTCTTTTGTCTGCTAGCTGACAATTTGTCTTGGTCCCATTGATGCTGGTGAATTTGCGCTTAAGACCTTTCCATTCAACGTGAGAAGTGAATAAGACAAACAAAAAGACAGGGATGAGGCAATCTGGAAAGAGAACAACAATGCAAAGTGCAGTGGGAGCAATTGTAATATAATCATCACCATTGTCAGAAGCTAAAAAACTTACGGTAACGACATTTAAATATGTGGAGGGCGGGCCAGACCGCAAGGCCCCGGAGGTAGTATAAAATACCAGTTCGTATATATAAATGTAAGTGCAGTATGTTTAAATGAATTGGATTCCGTATGCTTAAATGGCTGGGCGGGCCAAGGAAAACCTTCCCGGAGGTAGTCTGAAATAGCCGGTCGTATATTTAAAAACCCGCATATTTAAATGTAGTTACCGTAAAAATATGTTCCACAAAACTAATGAACTCATAGGTCAAGAGGGGGGAGCTAGCCGAAAAGGATAGTGGCCACAATGCCTGGCACAAGTGAGCGCTTCAATGTGCAACTTCAAAAATTGCAATTAAAGTCAATGCTGAACCAGAAAGCAAGTGCAACACGCACTGTAGTCAATGGGTCAAATTAACTACTTGATCTGGCCAAGTATTGCCCAGGTTTGCTCTGATAGACCGTAGAATGTTTGGTTTCAGTGAAGTATCCTGACTTCGGTGGACGTAGTTCCAGTATCCTAATATGCGGCTTTATCTAAGAATGTGAGTGACAGTGGCATGTGCCAATTGTTATGAAGCAGCATTTTGTGTTTTGATATCTGCATGGATCATTCAATGCTTTTGCACACTCATGTGCCACCTTATACGCAACTATGGCAAATTGCCCCGCGAATCTAAGACCCATACCTAGCTTCTCTGCTAGATAATGGTCCAGTCACACTGTGCTAGGGATCTGTCACCTGCACAGTTAGAGCGAGAAAAGAACTGTTAGTAGCAAATTTTGGCAGTTGTTGGTGCATTTGTCTTTCACGGCTAAGAACGGCCTTTCACGGCTAAAAATGGTCTTTCACGGTAATTTTGTTCATGTGCGTTTCGACTGCACAGGCTCGCACAAAGTGTGGGCCGCGGTTTGCCTCGGTTCATTTTTCATTGCAGGCGCAGTACTTTGTAGACCTTGACGAAAAAGTGGCTGAAACCCGCAGCCTGTGACTTTGTGCGTGTCGGATCGCTCCAGTTGTGGCGCGGTGCGCTCTCGTCGTGGTGCAGTGCGAATTGTGAAATCGCTCACGCAAACCTCTCGGCACTTTGTGCGTGTCGGATCCCTCTCGCTGTGGCGCGGTGCTAATTTTTCGTTGATTGTGTGCGATCCTGGTAAAGAGCCCTGATGAGTTCTCTGGCAAGCGTTTCATGGCGCAGTCTGCGGGGTCCGTGGTATATGAGGATCGTGACCACGTTCTTGCAGCGGTCCTTGTGATGTTGTGACGATCATGATGAAATCCTGTCAGGGGTCCTTGCACAATCTTGCACGGGTCCTTACTAGTAGGAGAAGATCTTGTGGAGATCCCGGCGAAATCCTCGCCCTAGCATGATCTTGTACAGGCCCTTAACTTAACAGAAGATTTTGTGGAGATCCCGCTGAGGTAGTCCCGATGAAGTCCTTGCATGAAGATCTTGCAGGTGCCATGTGGCAGAGGTGCTTGTATGAAAGCTCTTCTGGGATGCTCTTGGAGTTTCTTGCATCAAGATCGTGCAAGATCCTCTCCAGCAGCAGCAGCAGCTCCTTTTATGACGATCTCGTATCGTATGATCCCGTGGGATTCGTGGGATTCTCTGAGGGGTCCTGGCATGAAGATCTTGGTCATGGTCTTTTACAATTCCTTGCGAGAAGATCTTGTAAAGATCCTGGTGAAATCTTCTAAGAGGTCCTTGCAGTGCATGCTCTTGTGCGGGTCCTTGTGGGAATTTCTTGTGGAGATCTTTGTGACACGCTGTCAGAAGCTTTAGCATGATCTTGTACGGGTCCTTGTGAGAAGCTCTTGAAGAGGTCCTGGTGCAATCCCCTGGGTGTCCTTGCATGATCTTGTACAGGCGCTGGTGAGAAGATCTTATGGAGATCGCGTTTAACTACGTTGAAATCCTCCCCAAGAGGTCCTTGCATGTCCTTGCATTAAAATTTTGTAGATGCTCTGCGTTGGTGCTTGGTGCTTGTATGAGAGTTCTTTTGGGATGCTCAGTGGAAGTTCTTGTATGAAGATCTTGTAAGATATAAAAGGTCGTTCTTTGATGCTCAATTGAAATGTTCTACGGTATGAAGTTCTGGTATGAGGTCCTGGTGCGTTGACATAGCGGTGCTTCTTGTGCCAAAACAACTGCAGTTACGATAACATCATGTTTTAACCTGATCTGTTATTGTTCCATAGCTACTGTTTCTGGTATTTGGTAAGATGACATCCCCCCACACTGTTTGGGGATGTTTGGGGTCTCTTGCCAGTTTTTTTTAAATAAGAACAATCCAATGATTTCATGGGGTTTAGTGTTTTTTGGTGCTGGATCGACATGCCCGGTGGACCTGAGGCAACTACAGTGGGAAACCCCGCAGCTGGTGGTACAGCGAGGCAATCGTTTCAGGGGCAGTCGTCTTATCTAAGGCACTTCGGTCCCGGCAGTGTATGCACATAGTAAATTAATGTAAATTACCTGTAGCAAATCACAGCAATTGATTCCAATATTGATTTATATTGTATGACTATCAGGCGCACGGGCACACACACAAATGTACCCAAAGGATCGTAAAGGATTGTGTAAGTCTACAGTTGCCACGATGGATTGTAACATGTCTGATGCATTGCAAGTGTTTATTTTTTCTTTACCGTTGTTTTTTTCAGGGCGTCTACAGAAACCATGGTAGATCATGGTAGCAACCCCTTCAAGAATGATGATACTGCAAAAAAACATGATATCCCACCGTTTGGATATTATATGTTTCTAGATGTTTTTCTAATTGCCAATGTGCGCGTTGCAACTAAACCCAGTGGGTTTTCTGCCTTTGGGCCTCGAGGATTGTCTTATTTTCCATGCTGGTCGGGAAGATGCTCCAAACTTGACAGTTCACATCTCTTTCACCTTGCATGATACCAGTACGCACCAAACAGTCTTCATCCATAAGAACGGGACAATGGGGGTGTAGATGAAAACATTGGAATTCTAGGACAATAAACAACAATGTCTAGCATAGTTGGAATCCAGCCTCAACGGGAATGCGACCAACACAACCGGGGTTCACAGCATGGCCGCCCCCCAACTGCAGCCATTTTCTCATGAAGCAGACGGCAGCATCCGGTGCCAAATCAGAGCAGTTTCCTAACAACGGCAGCCATGGCTCCGCGGATTTCGTCCCATGCTTGGTGCTGGTCACATGTGTGGTACCTTGCATAATCTTGGACGGATGGATGGACGAATGGATGGAGGGACACCCTCCGGCAATCTAATTAGCAGTTTGCCATGGAAAATTTGCATTTTTGTATAGGTACTAGTATATACAGTATATATGTTATTTATATGAATGGGTTATTTCCTGTAGCAAACTGTTGAATTGCGAGAGGATACAATTTAGCTGCCTACTGTAGTGGTTCAAACATTGGTGACTTTTCCATTGCTGCCTAGCATGGTGAAATCCCAGTCGAGCAACATGTTGGGAATGTTGGGATCGTCTCCAGCCACCATCCCGGCGGCCTTGGATCCCTTGGATCCATTGGATCCATTGGGAGTCGGATTACTGAGGCCAGCGTTCAGTATGGCGTCCAAAGCTTCAGTCTCTTGATCATGGCCCTCTCACTTGCTCTGGGCTTGACCATCGTTGCTGGAATTCCAAAGGCGCACAGACAATAGCCACGTCAATTCCAAGATGATCATTGCATGCTTCCATTGGAACAAGCCTCAGGAGTAGTACTCATCAAAGATATATCAAAACTCCTTTCGTCATGTTTTCTTCGTCATGCTACCCCGCTTGATGGCTGGAGGGTTTGCTACGGTGGTTCACCACCTCTCTGGCTGGTGTCTTCCTCACCCTGGCTTCCTACGTGGACACCATGGAGCGGGTGTCAGCAGTAGCAGGGATGCGACTGTTGTGAAGACTCTATATATATATATATACTCTGGGAATTGGTGATGCCGCCATTTTATGCAATTTTAATTTTGATGGGAAGACTTGTTCTCTCCTACTGACTAGGTGGTGTGCCAACAATTGCCAACATGTGTATACATAACTGATCATAAATGTGTATATATGTGTGTAGTGTCAGTATGGCGATGTAATGTGACGTGTTCTGACATGATGTGATGCATAATCAGCGCAGTGTGAATGCGATTCAAAGTGATGCAATGCGGTGACTTGTTATGTCATGTAATGTTATGTAGAATAACATTTTGAAATATTATGTAATGAATGCCTGTATGTGTGAGTTTTTGAGAAGCGAAGGCCAGCGAAGGCATGTTCATTGGGTACCCAGTTTTGCAAGACCCTGATAGTCTGATAGTCCAAAAGGACGGGTGGGAAGACCAAACACTAGTCACAACGCAGGCAACTGGGGTGAACTGGAGCTTGCGTACCCCCTGGGTGTTGGAGGATGATCTTCTTGGAACAGCTGCTACAATCATCGCTCTCCCCCGGCAAAATAAGATCAAAACTACGGCATTATCAACTCAACTATACTTAAAAAATATGGTTTTATGAAAAAGCTTCCATGGTTGTGGGGGTTACCTTTGGGACGTTTTGGGGCATCCTTAGATTTCCATGACACTTGGGAATTTGGAGGATCAGCCAATGAAATGGGACGCGGAAGCCGTGGCGCCCGCCGGGCCTGTGACGCATGCGAAAGCTGTGGAGTCAGCTGGCAGCTTGCCACAGAGTGCGGTGGTGCAGGAGAACACCCAGGCACAGATTGGTTGATCTGGGGCGCAGGCTTTTTGAAACGTGAATGTGCAGGCATATGTATGCGCATACATACACATAATTACATACACATACATACATACATACTTACTTACTTACATACATACTTACATACATTATCATACATTACATTACATTGCATTACACTACATTGCACATTACATTGCACATTACATTGCACATTACATTGCACATTACATTACACATTACATTACACATTACATTACACATTACACTACACATTACATTACATTACGTTACATTACATTACATACTGCATACTTACTCCATGCATGCATGCATGCATGCATGCATGCATGCATGCATGCATGCATACATACATACATACATAATCATACATACATAATCATACATACATAATCATACATACATAATCATACATACTTACATACATACATACAGACAGACAGACAGACAGACAGACACAGACAGACACAGACAGACAGACAGACAGACAGACAGACAGACAGACAGACAGACAGACAGACAGACAGACAGACACACATACATACATACATACATACATACATACATACATACATACATACATACATAGTCATACATACATACATACATACATACATACACACATACACATACACACACATACATACACATACATACACATACATACACATACATACACATACATACACATACATACACATACATACACATACATACACATACATACACATACCTACACATACATACACATACATACACATACATACACATACATACACATACATACACATACATACACATACATACACATACACATACATACACATACATACACATACATACACATACACATACATACACATACATACACATACATATACATACACATACCCACACACACATACATACATACATACATACATACATACCATACATACATACATATATGCATGCATACATACATACACACATACATACACACATACACACATACACACATACATACACACACATACATACACACATATACACATACACACGCAGGCGTACACGTATACACGCATACACGCATACACGCATACATGCACATATGTATCTCTCTATCTATTGTATATGTATGTATGCAATGCAATGTAATGGAATGTACTGTAATGAAAGGTAATGTAATGTAATGCAATGTAATATCATGTCATGTAATGTCATGCAATGTCATGTCATGTCTTGTCATGTCATGCAATGGCACGGCATGGCATGGCATGTCATGTCATGTCATGTCATGTATGTTTGTATGCATGTATGCGTGCATGCATGTATATATATATATATGTATATGTGTGTGTGTTTGCGTGCGTGTGTATAAATACGAATGTGTACACCGTTGCCACATCATGGATGGACATCCACATGGGGTCGTTCAAAAACAGGGTATGCCGTTCTACGTTGTTGGCAATCAGGTGCTCTAGTTCTGAACAACCGCAAGTGAAAAAAACATAACCATAGTGGAGGATAGCCATTGAAAAGCACCTCGTAGCATCTCATAGCCACAAAAAGTAAACTCCAACGAAAGTAGTGCCAAAACTCTCCATCCAAGAATTTGGCTCCGGTCGTCACTCCCACAATTGGATGATGGGAAGTTTTGTTCGAAAGCGGTTAAACCAATTTTTGGGGCGGGTAAACCCATGGTTTCCTGTGGATTTCCCATGGTTCCGAAGCCGGCCCTGGCCAGGTAGAAGCTGTCCCCTCTGCCACCCCTGCCAGTTGGACGGGTGAGACGCTCAGTGTGGTGTTGCCTTGCGCCTTTGAAGGGGTCTATGCCTCGCGGACAGTGGAGTCGGTGCGCGTTATTGGTGGTTTGGGTGATGGGTTGGCGGCCAACTTACAGGGGATTATTTGTTGTGAAACTATAGACCAGAATTATCGTGAAATCGGGCTGGTGATTTCACAGTTTTTGTTTTTCTTTTTGTCTTCTATCTTTGTATACTAGGATGAATTGGCTACAGAATTGTTTTGGGGGTTGGAGGTTAGACACGCCAATCAGCAATGTGGGAAAACGATGGAAAACCCAATAAAAACATCATAATCATATAATTTTATGATTTCGGTATTTTTATAGATCGGTATAGTATAGCCCTGGGTGTGTTTCCTTGACAGTATACTGTACATGTTAGAACACAAACGGGAAAATCGAGATAGAAACTGGGATGCAAAGGCCGCACCTCCAACCCACAGGTGGGATTTGAACCGAACATGGATATACTATTAGTTATTAGTTATGATATTATGAAACCAGCAAGAATGGAGAATCTTTGGTAAACAAACCTCCGGGACTGTGAACACACCATGTCCAACGCTGGTGATTTTCTGAAGTTTGCGAAGGGAAGCTGATGGAAATTCACAGGGTGAGACGGAGGAACATCGGAAAAAATCTTGCATTTTTGTTATCTCATTCAGCGAATGCAAGTGGCCCCAGCTTGATTTTATCCCACAGGATGTGGCTTAGTTATAAATAAATATACATATATATATATATTATACCTATGCCAAAAAAAAAACGTGAAGCTAAAAGGACATCAATATCAGCAAAAAAATGAAGGAAGCTCCTTCTCCAGCACAAGGTAAAGCCCAACAGCTGATGAGACACTGTGTAGGCAAATCGACACTTGGTATGCTAAAGTAATTTCCCTCTGATTCCCAAAAGGGGACTTGTGATATACAGTATTGCCCATGACGGTACATACTTGCCATGTCTAGATTGCTTTTCTTGTTTTTTCTCCGGTAATTACATGCGAAGCACACCATTGTTTTTCTCCAAACAGAGTGTCCGCACTGAGGGGCTTTTACAGTAGGTGTTAAAGGCCAGGGTTTGCCATAAATTCTCACATGAAAGTTCCCTTGTGAGATGTCCATGTGCGTTTCGACTGCAAAGTGTGGGCCGCGGTTTGCCTCGGGCTCATTTTTCGTGGCAGGCGCAGTACTTTGTAGACCTCGACTAAAAAGTGGATGAAACCCGCAACCTTCTCGTGACTTCGTGCGTGTCGGATCGCTCCCGTTGTGGTGCGGTGCGAATTTTGATATCGTTGAAATCGCTCGCGCAACCCTCTCGGCATTTTGTGCGTGTCGGATCGCTCTGTTTGTGGCGCGGTGCTGATTTTTAGCCGGTTGTCAGAGATCCTGGTAAAGAGATCTTCTGAGTTGTGTGGGAAGTCCTTCTTTGACGATCTTGCAAGAGTTGGTGGAGTCTTAAAGGTCCGTAATGTATGAGGCTTTTGACCAAGGTCTTGTGAGAAGATGTTGTGAAGATCCTGATGAGGTCCTTGCATGAACTTGGGCAGGTCCTTATGAGAAGACTGATGTCCTTGAAGAGTCCTTGCATGATCTTGTACAAGTCCTTGTCAGAAGATCTTGCGGAGATCCTGGTTAGATCCTCTCCAACAGGTCCTTGCGTGAAGATTTTGCAGATGCCATGTCTTAGAGGTGCTTGTATGAAAGCTCTTCTGGGAGGTTCTCGTCTCAAGATCTTACAAGATCCTCTCCAGCAGCAGCAGGTCCTTTTATGACGATCTTGTGGGATTCTCTTAGGGGTCCTGGCACGAAGATCTTGGTCAAGGTCTTGTACAATCCCTCGTGAGAAGATCTTGTAGAGATCCTGTTGGCATCCTCCCCAAGAGGTCCTTTCATTAAGATCTTGAAGACGCTCCGCGCTGGTTCTTGTATGAGAGTTCTTCTGGTGTGTTCCTAGAAAGTTCTTGCGTGACGATCTTTTAAGATCTTTTAAGATCCTCTCTATGGAAGGTCCTTCTTTGACGATACTTGTTTGAAATTCTTTTAGGTGCCATAGTATGAGGTTCTGGTAGGACGTCCTGCTAGTAGACATAGCGTTGCTTCTTGTGCCAAACAAGTGCCTGCACCTGACCCGTTACTGTTCCAGAGCTTCTGTTGCTTGTATCTGGTACAGTGGCTTCCTACCCCCCACAATGTTTGGGGCCTCTTACTGGTTTAATTGAATGATATTGAATGTATATATATATATACACCCCTCGGTAACATCAACCAAGGCAACACCATGCACCGTCAAACTACAGAGGTTTGAGCAAATGCAAGGAAAAAGGGATTCAATGGGTTTCACACATGTCATGGTTGGTGGGTAGGTCAAGTAGTTGAAGTTGAGACAGCAAAGGCACCAGCACTTTGTTGGTTTGGCAATTGCAGGTATGGCAGCACACCAAGAAGGGCCGCCTAAAAGAGATCATTGTTGTGGATGAAGCTCGGTGTAACACGAAAAATGGGTTTGGAAACACTTCGAGCTGAAAGAGAACACACGCCCTGCCTTTCTTCATGACATGCGCGCTGTTCCCACAAATTTCCGTGTTTGTTTGTTTGTTTGTTTGCTTGTTTGTTTGCTTGTTTGTTTGTTTGTTTGTTTCTTTGTTTCTTTGTTTCTTTGTTTGTTTGTTTGTTTGCTTGTTTGTTTGTTTGTTTCTTTGTTTCTTTGTTTCTTTGTTTCTTTGTTTGTTTGTTTGCTTGTTTGTTTGTTTGTTTGTTTCTTTGTTTCTTTGTTTGTTTGTTTGTTTGTTTGTCCCGTGGTACAACATGACAATCAACTCAAATTAACATGTGTTTGTGCATGTTTGTGTGTGTGTGTGCGTATGGGTGGCCAGCGCCCCTCATGATTTTGCTGTGTGGACATCTAATTCGGTGCTGACATTAATGAACGTGCCGAAAAAAGTGCACACCATAGACTATGACAACTTAAGATCTATTATATATTTACTTATTTCATTTGATTACATTGTATACTTTGGCCACCCACTTCCCCACCAGTCAGTTAACCCGTCCGATTGGTATCGATTGGTTCTGTACACGACTGAGGATGGCAGTTCCCCCAAACTGGTGCTGGACCTTCACCCACCTCTGCGGGTCACTGCCACATCGGCCGCCCCGCAGCCGGCGGCGCTACGCGGCAGTGATGTGCCGGCGGTGCGGCTGTTAAGGCTTCAGGGGGGTGAAACGGGTTATTGCAAGTTGGCAGCCTCATGATGCAGAGGATTAGGTCAATCAGACGGCCTGCAAAGCCTGCAGGGATCAAAAAAATGTATTGTTTTCCGGACCAGTATGGATGTTATCCCAATTGACTCTAATTAATTTTGCCAACTGATTTATTTCTTATAAGTGTGTGTGTGTGTGACGCCATTCTTGGCCCCCATGGCGTCAGACACGAGAAGACCATGGGTTTGATCGCCGCCAAGAAATCCGGTGGAGATGCTGCCCTTGGGGATGTCATTGTCTTCTTTGATTGTCACGTGAAACCACGTGATGGATGGGAGGAGGCATTCCTGAAGCGCACTGCAGTTTGTCAAGCAACCTTTTTCGCCTTTTTTCTCTTTCTTCCGGGCCCTGGAAGCTGGGATAATCGTGATAATCTTGGTTTTAAGGTTCCCGGAGGAATTTGAGGGAACTTCCAGATGACCACTGGGGAGATTTGGATCTTTCGGGAACTTCCAAGCTTCCTTCCCGGTTTGTAGGATGTAAGGTCTGATGGAAAAAAAATGCCTTTATTACCTTTATCGAATATGTTCTGCGCAAACGATGTAATGGAAACACAGCAGTGAAGAAGTCGTCACATGAACCTAGGTCTATATCAGTCTGTATATGTATGTGTATGTATGTAGATACACACATGTGAGTATGACAGCTTCAGGTACCGATACCCCTGCATCTAGTACCATAAACCCCTCACTGCACCATGGCAGCTGTCAGGTTGGTCACACGCCGATGCATATCGGCTCTGGGCCCTGTTTCAGGAATTCCTTTGGCCAATAACGGCTTCTAGCCATAGGCGCGTGGTGAGACTGCGCTGCTGGGCCTGACTGGCCTTGAACAAGGGTGGAAAAGTCCGCCGTGCACAAATCGAGAAGTGTAACTGTGCCTTTGAAACTTGTGGCTGAAGCTGTGGGCTACCGACATTGGTAGCGGAGCCTGAGCGTGACAGGCCAGGCTCGGGCTCCAGGACTTCTGGGTGCCCTGGACTACTTCCTGCGGTTGTTGGAGACCCTCTACTCCTTGGACGTCACCTTCACCCCAGCTCTACAAGCTCTTCGGGCAGTGCTTGGACCTCTCCTTCCTGGTGGTCTTCTACGTGGACACTTTGCGTAACTTCGAGACTCTTGACGATGACGACCTTGTCTGCGAAGGACATCGTAGTGACCTGGGATGGTGAGCCTAGCACATGGGCAGACTATAGCCGCAAGGTACGACTCCAATGGGAGAAGACTGAAAAGTGGAAGCGCAAGCTTCTTGGACCAGAGTTGGCTTCCCGACTCTCAGGTCGTGCTTGGGCGGTGGTTCCGTCTTTGGATCATCGCTTGCTGCAGAAGAAGAACGGCACCAAGTACCTTTTACGATTTCTCAGAGGTCGGTTGTGCCGCACTGCTGTCCCAGATGCCGGCGCAAAACTTGAGGAACTCTTCATCAAGATGAAGCGTCCGGCAGGGATGACCATGAGTGAATGGGCCAATCAGGTCCAAGAGTCATACAGAAAGGTTCAGAGAGCCTTGGTGCGAGCAAGACAAGTGAGCAAGCGAGAACCTCCAGGACAAGCTGTGGGATCGACTGCAACGCGATCCGAACCTCAAGCTGAACCACCGAGTCCGCAGAGGGTGAGAACTACACCAAGACCTTCCCCACATCCATCACCACCAACTTCTCCGAAGGAGACACCACAAGATCGAGGAGCACAACTTTCGGGACAAGATGACGGTCGTGGTGGAGCACTTCATCCGGAACAAGGAGGATATGATCAAGTACCTCAAGAAGATCCTTCTGAACCAGGACAACAAGAATGGACGGATGATGAATGGCGTCAATGGTATCGCCAACGTCGAGGTGGTTACGATGATGGAGCTTCTTCGTCTTCGGGCGAGGACTTTGCATGGGATGAACTTGAAGTCGAAGAGGTGCATGTCCTCCCAGACGAGATTCTGGGATGGCTGCTTTTGAGAAGGGCTAACCTGAGTGCAGCCAACAGGTTAGCGGTGCAAAGCAGTGTCCAGAACAGCCTGTTCTTTCGGGACATTGAGAATGCGCTGAGAGATCAAGAGGAGGAGCTGCTTCAAGCAGATCAACATCGACTTCCCCATCGCAAGAGGACTTACTGGGTAGAAGATCAAGGTGTTTGGGGTCTACTAGTTTCTGAGGATGCAGTAGATGATGCTGCTGCAGAGATTCACTGGGTTGGATCCCATCTCCCTGCGGAGGTCTATGTCCCTGAGTATGCCGACGAGGAGAACGAAGAAGCTGAGGAGATTCACTGGTCTTATGACTACGATGGTTGGCATGGACATGTTCAAGATGTCTATGGCGCCTGGTTTGAGACTGATGGCTTTGGAACCTACTGGAATGAGGATGACTACTCCGACCTGACACCGGAGCAGACGAAGGAGTTGGACGAGGCCTACGCGGTCTATGAGAACAAGATGAGGACATTCCAGCAGTCCAGACAGTTCCAACGAGCGAAGGGCAAGAGCCGTGGTTTCTATCCCATCAAGATGATGAAAGGCAAAGGCAAAAGCAAGAGCAAGAAGGGCAAAGGAAAAGCGAGTGGAACAGGACCTTCATCACCGACCAGCAGGCCTATGTTCATGACCCAGTCATCGAACTCTGAGGTGATGAATGTCTCTGGCAACAACAATGGTGGCTGCTTCATCTGTGGAGAGAAAGGACATGGCTTCAGGACATGTCCAAAGAGATCTGATAACCGAAGTCAAGGTCCTCCCTCATCGTCTTCAAGACCAATGAGGAAGGGCGCATACTGGGTGGAGTCATTGACACCCAGCTCTTTGGACACTGTGTTCATGGCCATTCCGGAGGATGAGAACGAGGCACAGAATGACTTGCAGATTGAGGAGAACTTCAACGTGGACTTTGCCAACGACGAGCACGACAAGCCGATCCTGGACACCTTCAACATGGAGAACACCTTCAACGTTGTCCCTGCCTTCAACGTTCCTGAGGAGGAGAAGCCAGAGCACTGCATCTACATGACGGAGGATGCAGAGGTGATCAACGACACCACTGGCTACGGTGTCCTGGATTTGGGGGCCACTGAGACGGTGTGTTCCCTCGAGGCTCTTGAAGGTCTCATGCAACGTCGAGCTCAAGTACATGGCATTGCAGAACCTGTTGAGGTTTTCTCTGGAAAGGATGCCACAAAACCTTTCCGATTTGGCAATGGAGCAACTCAGGTATCTTCTTCCTTTGTGAGGGTGCCTCAAAGACTTGGCGACCAGATGGTGAAGTTAGGTCTTTTCACCTTGGATGCCGAACGTGTCCCCATTTTGCTGGGCATGAGAACTCTTCATCGCCTTGGCACTATCATAGATGTGAGCGGCCGGTGGATGGTGCTTTCACGAGTTGCACCGTCTGTGAAGATCCCACTCGGCAAAAGTCGTGCTGGACACCTTTTGGTCGACCTCACTTGTGACTGGCTCAAAACGAGTCAACCTTTACACGATGACTCTGATTCGAAGGCGGCATACATGGTGCAGCCGCTCAGTGAACTACACACTACATGTTCAACCTCATGCACGTTGCACACTTCATGCACAACATCATGTGACCGTTTGTCATCAGTTGTAGATGAAGTTGCAAGGGTTTCAGAAGCTTCAGCATGGGTTGTCAGTGAGGCCGAAGGTGAATCAGGTGAACGACATGAAGAACATGACTTTGATCCAGCGTTTGTGGTCCACTCAAGCCAGACTTCACAGTCATCGCTGCCTGAAGTGGATCAAAGCATGCGGGACTACATCCTGCGACAACTTGCCCACGATCAAGCGCATCGCACTGCGTTCTCTAGCAATGGCGCCGAAGAAGATGACCCAGAGCCTGAACCACAAGGACGTAGCTCCCCAGACAGAGAAGTACGACTTCACACGGACGCAACAGATGAACCCAGCCGACCCGAGGGCTCTGGGAGCTCCGTGCTGGGGCGAGCACACTCCTGCTGCTCCAGGACGAGGAAGTGTGACGGGATCAAACCGTCACGCGACATGGACGGGATGCAGTGTATGTCATCTGAGGTTGACATACACGCCGGCGTTTGGGTCCCACGGACTCTGCCGCCAAGCAGGTCCACTGGCGAAGGACGTGGAGACGCAGGTGGCGGTGAAGAAGCCGGAGAAGGGATCATGCGAGCTGATGGATCGCAAGATCGGGCTGGATGGAGCCGAGCGCTCCCTGGTGAACCGCCTGGAGACGGTCAGACGACAGAAGGAGGCATGGCAGCAGGTGCAAGACAAGAAGAACCTGCACAAGAACCAGTCTTCCAAAGGTTCACCATCGGGCCCAGAAGCATTGGGCCATCCGCCCAAGGCATCACCTTCAACGCCTTCACCAACACCAGCAAGTGGAGCCGGCTATGGGAGCGAGACCATCGACCTGACAATGAACGTGACGCCAGGCAGAAAGGCCAGGAAGCCTCAGGAGTCAGCAGAGGACTTGGAGTACCATCTGCGACAACAGCAGCAGGAAGCGGAAGAGTGGACTCAGGTCAGTCCACCGGAATCACCACCATGAACAAGAGGACGTCTTTGGACAAGACGGTGATTCTGGAGGAGCCCAATGTTTCACCGATGACATCGAATTCGACAACGAGCTCTATGACCCGAACTTCGCCCACATCATTGAGGAGTTCCGGGTCCTTGCATTTGAGTACACCCTTGGATGGCTATGAGATGGCCGATGACGACACTGTACAGAATGACATCAACAGAGCTGTCAAGAAGAAGATGTCGTCCAGTTTTTCACCAGGCATTTTGCCACGCAAGAAGAAGCCGAAGGTTTCATAGGAGTCAGAAGATCCCGGAGAAGGTCTGCGACTCAGCAAGGAGGAGACTGCATTTCTTGTTACGGAAGCCGAGACCTATGTGGAGGAGTACGAGGAGCTCTTTCACAGTGTCATGGCCCACCAACAGAAGGAACCCTTCAAGGTGATGGAGATCTGCTGTGAGGAGAACAGTGGTATCACGAAGGCAGTAGAAGCTCTTGGAGGAAATGGTATAAGGTGTGGTCTTTTCAATGGCTGCGACCTCAACAAGAATGCAGGCTTCAACAAGGTAGTCAAGATGTTGCGCGATGAGAAGCCAGATCTACTTTGGATCTCACTGCCGTGTGGTCCAACCAGCAACATCCAGGAACTCAACATGCTCACCCCTGAAGGCTTCAACAAGGTGCAGGAGAAGGTGAGAAAATCGAAGAGACTTGCAGCTCGTGCAGTACATCTGATGGAGATGCAGGTGGCAGAGAAACGGGATGTTGGCCAAGAATGGCCGCGCTACAACAAGGCTTGGCAGTTCAGGTCCATACAGGGCTTCTGGAGAAGCGTGACAACGTATGAGGCTGCAGTGGATGGCTGCGCCTATGGACTACGAACTGACGAAGGCCTGATGAAGAAACCCTGGAGGGTAAAATGCACTTCAAAGAACATCTGGCAACTGCAGCGCCTATGCACTTGCGAAGAGCCACATGTTCCATGTGAAGGAGGCACCCGAACTAGAGCATCAGCGCTTTACCCAAAGGCTATGTGTCAACAGGTGGCCAGGATTGTCAAGAAGATTCATGAGGAACAAGAACAACAAGTCTTTGCTGCGCAGGATTCTTCTGACAACGATCCTGACTGTCTCAAGCAGTTCACTGACCAGGAGCTGATGAGAGTGGCCAGAGAACTGATGAGTCTTCACAAGAAGCTGGGACACCCCAGTCGACAAGCCTTTGTGAAGATGCTGCGTGACAGAGGAGCGTCTTCAATGGTGAGAACCATAGCCTCCAACATGAAGTGCATGGACTGTGAAGAATCCCTGATGCCACCAGCACGCAGAGCTGTGACCCTGGAGCATGCAACCCAACTTTGGGAGGTGTTGCAAGTCGACAACATGGAGTTCACTGTCGACGACACGACCTACCACTTCCAAGTCTTGGTGGACGAGGCTTCAGGCTACGGGGCAGCAAACTTCTTCTTTTCTCATCCTGCCCGAGAAAGCCGCTGTCCTACTGGCATGGAAGTTCTTCAACAGCTACATCAAGGTTGGATCCAGTACTTCGGCTACCCGCGATGCATCAAGCTGGACAAGGAGGGTGCCCATCGCAGCAAACAGCTGGATGAATGGGCGGAAGCTCATGGAGTTGAACTTGAAGGAATCCCTGCCGAAGCACATGGACAGATTGGAAAGGTCGAGAGGCCGATTGGCACTTTGAAGAGGAAGTTGTTGGCTCAACTGAGATCTTCATCAGCACCGCCAGAACTGGCAACATGGGCCATGGTGGCAGCACACAACACCATGTCCAACATTGGTGGCTACAGTCCTATGCAATGGGTATTTGGTCGCAATCCCACTGATGGCGATCGACTCCATGATGGACCCGATCTACCCTACTGGGCTGGAATGTCGTCAGAGGAGAAGATGCGACAACGTCTTCAACTGCGACTTGATGCCGGACAGAAGCACCAAGAGTTTACGCTGAATGAGAAGATCAAACAGGCCAACAACACCAGGATGCCCAACTTGGTGAACTACCACCCGGGTGATCTTGTCTTCTACAAGCGCTACCAGCCACCTCAAGACAAACAAGAACGTTCTCACATTCCACTTGACATTCCTCGGAGGCGTGTGGCTCGTTGGTATGGTCCTGCGAGAGTGCTGGCCCTGGAGACCAGAGTCACCTATGATGGAGATGGACGATCTCCCAAGCAGATCGCTTGGATCATTGCCTCTGGAAGACTGAAGCGGGTGACTTCACAACAACTTCGTTTTGCTTCAGAGCGAGAACGTGTCGTTGCAGAATCTTCCAGCTCTACTTTGGCTACACCATGGACGTTTGGAGACCTGACATCGCTGATCAACAAAGGAGAGTTTGATGATGTGACCATGACTCACAAGCAAATGGTCAGAGACACACAGAAGAAGCGAGCCGGTCCCATCACGTCTGGAATTGATCGCTCTGGACAACAGAAGCGGATCTTGGAGGAAGAGCAGGAAGAAGAGGATGCAATGTCAACGGGGCATGGCGAGAACAAGATGCCACGCCTTGAGGATGAGCAAGCTGAGGAGTCCGATGGCTATACACCATCAATTGCTGACACTGTCAAGGACGATGTTGACATCGATCGCATGATCAACGACCCCGAATACATGCCATTTTCTTCACAGAGCTCAGGTCCACTATTTCAACATCCTCAGTTCTTGGAGGCACGTCGCCGCCATGAACGACTGGAACGACCTCACCATGTGCAAAGAGGAGAATTCCTACGACATGGAGAAGTTCCAGATTCTACAGGAGAACATCACGCTCACTACATGGATGTGGATGAGACCTTGCCTGCCGGTGACTTCGAGGATTTGGTTTTCGCCGTCACCATCCCCGCTCCAAAGAATGAGGACGAGTGGCGGGCCATTGTGAAGGACCCGAGTCGCTTTGTGGCGAAGAAGGTGGCGAAAGGTGTCGAAGTGAGTTGGCAGAAGCTGAATGTACAACAACGTTCAGCCATGACAGAAGCAAAAGCCTTGGAGATCAATGAGTGGCTGACTTCACGTGTCTGTGAGGGAGCAATTGGCAAAGTACCACAGGATCGGTTGATGAAGATGAGATGGGTGCTGACGTTCAAGAGCACCGACGATCCTGGAACCCTCAAAGCAAAAGCACGTCTGGTCGTGCTTGGCTTCACAGACCCGGACGTTGGATTGGTCAATGTCCGAAGTCCTACCCTCAGTCGCCGTGGTCGACAACTGATGCTCCAAGCTACCAGTCTGAATAATTGGGGCTTTCTTAAAGCCGATGCAAAAGCTGCTTTCTTGCAAGGTGGTCCTACGCAAAGTGTCAGGAACATCTACGGCAGACCGGTCAAGGAGCTGAAGGAAGCACTTCAACTTGAAGAGGATCAAGCTGTGAAGTTTCTGAAGTCCGCCTATGGGCTGACTGTGGCACCGAGAGACTTCTATCTCTACGTGGCCGAGATCCTCAACAAGCTGAAACTCTCAAGACTGCAAACGGAACCATGTATCTGGCGACTACGAGCTCCAGATCCTCAAACCCAAGAACTACGAACGATTGGTCTTGTGGGAGTGCACGTGGACGACTTCCTACTCTGCGGAGATGAGAAGCATCCAGCATGGGTGCAGTTCCTGGAAGACTTCCACAAGTCCATGAAGTGGAGCCCGTGGGAGACACCGCCTCTGGTGCACTGTGGTGTCCAGATCGAGGAGACCTACCACAACGGCCTCCCTGGTTGGTTCTTACACCAGAAGGACTTCTGCAGTGGCATTGGACAAGTGATTGAGGACGGTACCACCAAGGACCTGACGGAGTCCGAACGGCACCAATGCCGTGCAGTCCTTGGGGCCGCCCAATGGAGAGTTTACCAGACAGCTCCACATCACGCCGCCAAGCTAAGCCATTTGCAGAGCATTCTGCCCAAGGCCGACCGGAAGATCATCGCCGAGGTCAACAAATTTGTGAGGGAGATCTTTGGCCAGAAAGACATTGGCCTGAACATCTACGACCTCCAAGCACAAGACCCAGATGATCTGGTAGCTGTGGCGTGGTCCGACGCTGCATTGGCCAACAGAGTTGACCTTACAAGTACTGGTGGCATGCTGATTGGCTTCGTTCACCGGCGCATGGTCGATGAAGGACAACGTGGCCCTGTGAACGTGATCAGTTGGAGCAGCTCCAAGCTGCGCAGGGTATGCCGCTCAAGTCTGGCAGCCGAAACACAGGCATTGGCCGAAGCAGGGCCGGAGCTGATGTTCGTCCGCATCCAGTGGCGGGAGATCCTGGGCGACGAGGTGATCCTTCGAGACCCGGCCGAGACGGCCAAGAAGGTTCGCGGAGTTTTGGTCACCGATGCCAAAGCCCTTTATGATGCAGTTCTTCAAGGTGATCTGCCCTCCTTCAACATGAAGGACAAATACTCGGCTTTGGAGTTGCTGGTTCTTACCCAAAACCTGGAGAAGCAGCAGACGAGCTTGAGATGGGTGAATAGCTCTCAGCAGTTGGCTGATGGCTTAACGAAACCATCTGCTCAAGATGCTCTTCGTGCCTTTCTAGCAGGTGGGCAGCAGTGGAACATCTTGCACGATGAGACGTTCACTGCAGCAAAGAAGGTGCACAAGAAGCTGGCGACCAAGACTGAGGATGATGGGCCAAAAGAGCCTGGAGACCCAACGTGGCTCGACCTTGTAGTACCTGCACGACGTGTGACCACGGGGCATGTGAGTATGACAGCTTCAGGTACCGATACCCCTGCATCTAGTACCATAAACCCCTCACTGCACCATGGCAGCTGTCAGGTTGGTCACACGCCGATGCATATCGGCTCTGGGCCCTGTTTCAGGAATTCCTTTGGCCAATAACGGCTTCTAGCCATAGGCGCGTGGTGAGACTGCGCTGCTGGGCCTGACTGGCCTTGAACAAGGGTGGAAAAGTCCGCCGTGCACAAATCGAGAAGTGTAACTGTGCCTTTGAAACTTGTGGCTGAAGCTGTGGGCTACCGACAACACACACACAGATATTATATATAATTATGTATGTATGTATTTCTTTCTTTATTTATTTAATTACATGTTTCAATAGAGTATGCAAGTTTGCACGCCATCACAGCAATCTGAGTACTATTCCTAAGCCGGGGCTGCATAAACAGAGGCAGATGCACCGAGCCGGGGACCATCGAACCATGGTGGTGCCCACAATTACAGCTCTGAACCCAGACACCTGGGAAGAAACTGCTGGGGCATCAAGCACAGCCTGCTGCCTGGCGCTGATTTTTGGATGTTTTTGGATTTTTTGATCCAAATCCTGAACCGCGGACTGGGCATGTATAAGAATAGATCAGTGCTGTTGTCAGAACAAGGGGGTTCCGCCAAGAACCACGGGTAGAGGCATCAACAGGTGAGGGAACTTTCCGGCTATGACTCTGTGATTTGGGTGGTTGGGCCACGGGGAGCAGTCTGAAAATGTTTCTGGAAGTCCTATTCCATCCGAATAACATCCATCATTAAAAAGGGCTACTCCTAAAAGTTGCTATCCTTGCAAAAAAAAATCTGAAAAGTTTTCAAAGATTCAAAAACATATCAAAAAACAACTGAAAAAAAACAATCCACGCATTCCAAAACGAATTCCAAAAATAAAAAGCACGCAAAAAAACAGGAAGCCACGGAACAAATTCCACAAAAAAACAAAAAAATGACATATTCCAAAAAACGAAAAAGTTTGAACGAAAAACTCGAAAAAAAAGAAGAAAAAACGATTTTGTTTTAAAACAAAAAGCAGAAAAAATCAACAAAATCCCCGTTTGGGGCTCCTGGATGAAAACGGTGAGCTGGAGCCTCATTTTTTAACCCCATTTTAGCCAAATTTAGGCCCAAGAATGTTGGGCCTCAGCTTTCTATCTTTTGGTCCCTTTTTACATATTTTAGAATTTTGATTTTAAATAAACCATGAAGCCAAAGGATTTCATCCGAGGGAACACCTCTTGAGAGCATTTTTGCAATAGGTTGGGCGCAGGTAGTTTCAACCACTGAAGCTTACTGAGAACCATTTTGGCCTGAAGGTTGCACACAGGTTTTCATTCGACCGTGTCTTCTTGCAAGGCTCGACATTTTTGCCGCCTATACGGTGAACATTGAAATTTTGAGAGGTGTATCTTGGGAGGTTGGATGAGGATGGGTTTGCAAAATTGAGCCAGTAGTCGTGTTGTATCTTGGGACGTTGGTACAGGATGGGTTGGTGCGTGGTGTAACATTGTTAGTTCAAAACAGGGATGTGTGAGATGAACAAATTCGGATCGTTGTGTTTTGGGACGTTGGTTCAGGATGGGTTGGCTCACATGTGTGGTGTAATATGGAGAGCTGTTCCGGCTTAGGGCCTGAGATTTTGTGGTGTATCTTTGGAACGTTGGTTCAGGATGGTTCAGGGTGGGCACACATAGGTGGTGTCATCTGTTCCGAGTTGTTCCGGCAAAGTTCAAAACAGGGATGTGTGAGATGAAAATTTTCGGATTGAAGTTTGTAGTGTGTCTTGGGACGTTGGTTCAGGATGGGTTGGCACACATGCGTGGAAAACAGGGATGTGTGAGATGAAAATTCCCGGATCTGAAATTTGTAGTGTGTCTTGGGACGTTGGTTCAGGATGGGTTGGCTCACATGCGTGGTGTAACATGGAGAGCTGCTCCGGCAAAGTTCAAAAGAGGGATGTCTGAGTTTCCAAGTATTTACATGCCAACAAGGCATCAGTTTAAAAGCTTCAGCAGACACAGAAGCTGGGTGGGATGAAAAGGGTGTGGTTGACCGTTCTCTGGGGAAGTTTTGATTTTATAGTTTAAGGTTGTTTTTTTGAACAGACACTGAGCACTGCTGTTTTCATCTCTTGTGCCATTTTTATCTTTAATTTTCAACATGCCCCAGAGACACTGAGTTTAATCTTTTGTACCTTGATTTTTCATTTTCAGAAATAGGGGTGTGGTCGGCTTTTCATCGTTTCACTTTTTTTTGCTCATACCTTGGCCCTCTAGGTTTTTAAACTAGGTGTTCGGGATGAAAACCTGGTGCTGCACCCTAAGTTGAACGCCCAACGGGGATCAACAAACAATCAAAATAAAAATTCAAAAAAAATCAGGAGAAAAAACAAACAGGCAAAACAGGCGCACGCGCGCAAACTGTTTCTTTCGTCGCCAAAGGTCCAGGCCAGGTTTTTTTTTAAGCACCTGGTTTGCTGTGCACTCCCCTATTTACCTTTGGGAACTTGACTCATATGGATGCTGCGTCAAAAAATCACAGCCTAGCACGTCCAAAGACATGCCAGCTCATCAAAAATCTTAACGTGGTAGTGGAGATTGCCAAAGCCCTCCTTATTGAAACAAAGCCTTCCGGATTTCCCGGGGAGGGGATTGAAAATATGGATGCATTTTTCGAACAGGTGTGTACAAGACATCCCTGATCTGGCTCATGTTTGGATTGCGACAGAAATATTTCCAAAAGAAAAAAGGTACCGGAGGTCACTGTAGCCAAGGGGATATTTGTGTGCCCCTGGATCAAGCATGAAACGAAATATTCATTCATCTCATCCGAAAAAACAACAAAAACTAAAAAAATCTAAAAACTTAAAAAATAACAAAATCAAACACACATCAAAAAAATAAAAAAAAAAACATATTTGAAAAAAAAAGGAAAAACAATTCGTTTTTTAATAACAACAAATCTTGAAATCATCATTTGAAAACAACCTTTAAAAACATGAACGAAAAAGTATTTTTTGGAATGAAACAAAATAATTGGAATGAAATTGCATTATTTGAAATGAAATTGAAATATTTCGAATTAAAATGAATAAAAAGGAATGTTCCAGGAGTGTCCCTATGACTATGAGGAATGTCCCTCTCCATAGAGAAGAATCCACTAACTATCGACAGTCGATGTAATGTTTGTACGTATATAATTACATAGAGTTTGGCTGCCGGGCGGAAAACATTCCTACTGTTTGTTGGATCCACTGATGGTATCGGTGGAGCCACATCCTTTGAGGTTTGGAATACGATATGTGCATTATGGAATGAATAAATATACGGTAATATAACACACCTGCATATGTGTACATACATTACATGCACCATGCACCACATATGAATCCCACTTATGTCATGTCTTTGATTGCTTTGATCGTTTTGGTTGTAAATATCATTACTATTCCAAGGCTATATGATGTGGAACGCCGATTTTACCTGGTTGGTTCAGCCTGGCCGTGATGTACCCATCATGAGTGGTGGCCTGCTGGCTCTCAGCAAGAAGTGGTGGGAGGAGAGATATGGAGAGATGATGGTTTCAACATGTTTCAACTTGCAAAGTGGCAATGTGTGGCAATCTTACATGCCATCTTCGATCAACCAAGTACAGTACGGCTTTTTGCAAATCAAACACAATTTCTTTACAATTCACACCTTTACTGGCGGCCGCTCACACGGCCTCCGCGCTCCGCCCTACTCAGCCCGCTGCCTCCCCAGAAGCCCGCGCCGCCCACCGGCGAACTCGCGCGTGTGCCCAGGTGCGCCTCGGCGACCTCCCCCGCGCCTCTACAGCGAGGCCCAGCTGCTCCAAGAGCTGCGCCGCCTTCCGGACTTTTGCGCCGCACCTTGGGCGCAACACCTGCTGCGCACTGTGCCCCCTTCCCTGGCTCATCCATACGCGTCGGCTCACGACGACGCCATTTGGGCTACTACTCTCTCCGTACTCCTGGGTGAAGAGGCACCGCTTCCGGACACGGCCCGCGCCATCGCGTTCCTTCCTGCCCGTCTCGGCGGCCTGGGCCCAGTGCGCGGTGTGCTCAACGGCCCTCGGTGGCGACTGGATCGCGCCGGCTCTCCCGGCTGGCGAGGAGCCATCCCTGGCGCTGATCCTCGCCGGCGCTGAGCCAACAGGGCCCAGTCGCCTACCGCTTCGGTGACGCGCGCACCGCTGCAAAAAGGTGCGAGGAAAGAAAAACAAAATCACATGTTCAATCCTCCAAATTGGAAGGCGGAGCTGTTGCTTGGTGCCAGACAAGCGACATTTTGGGTGTCCTACATTCCAGCCCCTTGACCACCCTTGGCCAATTCCCAACTCCAACTTTCCAGGAGACCGGTGGCTACGATGACCACATGATCGCCTGGGGTGGGGAAAACATCGACCAATCCCTGCGCAGTTGGCTCTGTGGTGGTCGCATTGAAGTGGCGGAGGGTGCCTTTGTTGCGCACATGTGGCGTGATCCCAACAACCCCAAGACGCGGCTCAAGCACCACGGCAGAGAAGGGAGAAAGGGATGCTTGAGAGAAGATACAGGGGGTTTAGTCAAGTTTAGTCTTTAGTCCTGTTGAGCTAGTGCGGGATGATGGCGAAAGATTACTGCAATTTGGAAAAAGTATTTTGGAGTTTCACCAATGGCTGTAACGAAGCAAACTACTGGAAGATGGTTCTCCATGTTTTTTTTTGCCCGGCCCGTGCCTTGCAGAGGTACACCATGCCAACAGAGGATGTGATGCGAAACAAAGCTCGGGCAGTGTCTGGATGGTTGTGGCCTTTCTCAAAGAAGACCTTCAGCACCTTTCCCGAGTACGAGGTGGGCGGCGCGAATCGGAGCTCTTGAGCCAAGAGTTTTCGGAAGGGATGAGCAGGAATGGTTGAGGCGTAAGTTTGCCTGTTTATTCATTTGTTGGTGCCGACATGTGCCCATCTACAGTATTGAAACACATGAAACACGTGATACATTTGGATACATATGGAACGTTCTGATATACAGCGTGTACTGTAAATACTACACCACAAAATCATAGACAGGTGTAACTACACATGCGCACAAAAATAGGCAAACATGTAATATTAATACTGTAATACATAGGGGGGGCGTGTGCACATGTCGCGCACACGCACACACCCACACCCACACCCACACGCACACGCACACGCACAGACACAGGCACAGACACAGACACACACACACACACAGACACACACACACACACAAAGACACACACACAGACAGACAGACAGACACACACACAGAGACACACACACACACAGACACACGCACACACAGACACACACTTGCTCAGAAACAACATTGCGAATTTTGTTGTGGAGTGCATCACACGTGCACAAAACAATCCCTTAAAAACTGCCAGGAAAAATTGGTTGATCCAGCGTGAATTTCAGTGCGAAGTAAACTTTCTACGTCCTTGCTCTGAGGAAGGTTCTGATGTAGCTGAACCAGTTGTAAATAATCAAATAAATCCAGATTGCGACAACAGTGCAGTAGGCAACCCTCAAGTGGAAAATATCGACGTGCCGGTTCTTGGCTTAGCCGGTCGCCATTGACGAAATTGAAAAAAATTGAGCAGGTACGTGGATTGAGCGTCCCCAATCCATATCACTGTGCAACAAATGCGTCTTCATTGGATGGAGACATCTGAAGCACACTCCATCCCCCTGCTTAATAAAGGAAGTTTAGAAGTTTTACATCTTTTCAGATGGTCCACACACACGCCTCGCTGCCGCGAGGCAGTTTTGGCAACTGAGGTCCCGACAATGAGATGAAAATGAAGAAGAAGGGAAATGAGAATGATGTGAAGGTGACAATGAGATGAAAGTTACTTAACCAGGACGCAAAGAGGGGAACGCAAAAGAAGAGGGAAAGAGCAGACACCAACACATGAAACCTAGCCCAAAACGGGCAACCCTGAAAAGGCAAGGGAAAAGAAAAGCGGAGGCCGACGGAAAACGGACAAAGACCAGCGGAGGAGGGGGAAGACGGAAGCGCCTGAACCAACCTGCCGCGGCGGAAACCTACAACAACCTCAGCACGCGACGGGCCAAACCTACCTGGAGAGAGGAGAACGCAAGAACACATGAAATAGGGGCCCATGGGGAACTAGTTATTGACATGATGCATCCACAACTCATGCAGTATTCGTGATAAGGCTCCAAAGCCCTCGGCTTTCAAGTCACAACCCTCTGGACGGCTTACGTGTTCAACCCCTGAATTAGGTGCACAATTTCAACCTCACCGAGAAACCAAAAAAGGAAGTGGCCAAACCTGGAAAGCATGTCCTGTAGCCTTCACATGATAACATGTCAAGTGGAAATGTCGAGTTCCGTACTCTCTTGAGCAACGTTGAAAAAACGGATGTTAACGTGGCTTCCAACTATGCAATTCTGCGAAAAAGAAAAGAGGCCCAGTACAGCGGCCAGTTGTTCAACCAGACGACTTCGACAAGGTGAGAATCGAAAAAAGGCCAGCAGTTCACTTTACTTAAACGAATTACTAATTCAAAAGTGTAAATTCAGACATCGATTTACTGTCAATTGTTAGCCTGGAAAGGCTTTCCCCGAAGGGTTCCTGCCAACTTGACGTATACAGCAGGAATGACACACTTGCTCAGAAACAACATTGCGAATTTTGTTGTGGAGTGCATCACACGTGCACAAAACAATCCCTTAAAAACTGCCAGGAAAAATTGGTTGATCCAGCGTGAATTTCAGTGCGAAGTAAACTTTCTACGTCCTTGCTCTGAGGAAGGTTCTGATGTAGCTGAACCAGTTGTAAATAACCAAATAAATCCAGATTGCGACAACAGTGCAGTAGGCAACCCTCAAGTGGAAAATATCGACGTGCCGGTTCTTGGCTTAGCCGGTCGCCATTGACGAAATTGAAAAAAATTGAGCAGGTACGTGGATTGAGCGTCCCCAATCCATATCACTGTGCAACAAATGCGTCTTCATTGGATGGAGACATCTGAAGCACACTCCATCCCCCTGCTTAATAAAGGAAGTTTAGAAGTTTTACATCTTTTCAGATGGTCCACACACACAGACACACAGACACACACACACACAGCACAGAAAGACGCACGCACGTGCAAAGTTGTAGTCCTTTGGGCCGGGTACCAGGCATTCTTCAACGGTGAAAACAGCATCGGTGACCTCAGCAATTTCGAACAGCTCAAGAAGAAGCTTCAGTGTGCAGACTTCTCGGCGTATATCCAGCGCTTTTCGTACGTCTTCATTGATGGTGGCCTTGTTCCAGAAACTTGGCACTCCTTCGTTCCAATATCTAATTATTGGATGCACACACAAAACCGCCACACTTCATTTGTAGTTTTGGGTCGATCACCTCCGAAGCAGCGTGTTTAAGTTTGATAGCAAGAAGCAGTAAGTAAATTACTAGCAAATAGAAACCCAACATTTTTATACATTTTCTAGGTTGACCACATCCGCGTCCGCATAGCATAGTGGATACTGTAATATGTGGAATGGTGATGAATGACATAAATGTAGAATTCAGCACTGGGCTCCAACGCACCCTTCCAAGGAAAAGATCTTTCAGCTCCAGGAAGAATCCACCGGTCTGTGTTTGGAGCGTGAGGTTCAGGATTCACGGAGTCACAACATTGTCTTGGCTCCTTGTGTGAACCTGCAGGGAAACAAAGGGGTGCTGGAAACGCAGATCTGGCACTTGGCAAACCGCGACCATTCCCTGGAAGACGCGCCCTGTTGCAGTGGCATCATGAACTGGAACTTCCTGTCGCTGGGCGAAAGTGCACGTTAGAGTCCGTTAGAGTGTTCCTCAGGATGTTCCCTAACTTCTTTTATGAACAGATTTCAGAAATTGGTCCAAGACTTGCTGGGCAGTTCTGTCAAAGTGCTGACCCAGTACTTGTGACAGAGCATGGTTCAATTCTCAAGCCTGATGCATCTTTTGTGCGGCTCAAAGCACGATCAAAAATATCAAGAGTGTCATTGTTCTCCTGAATAACCACATAGATAAACAAACTAAATTAAAGAAATTAAACGATCAAATACCATGGATAAACATGGATAAACAAATTAAATAGCCACATGGAACCTCGAGTTTAGGACACCGACCCTGCAGGCCACGTCGATTTTCGGGGCCCAAATCGGCACCCATCAACCTAGGCAATGCCTCTCTGCACCGGGCAATCGAGCCTCAGTGAGAACGGAGGAGTGTGACATTTCTGGCCACAATGCAGGGCAGCACTTCAAAATTGCTGAGGAGATGGTGATGACAAGTGGGTGAAGGTGGAGGCGTCATGAAACATCATCAAACAACATTCAAACAACTTGCATAAGACCCCTTGGCTCCTTATCCTTCTTCGTCAGTATCAACCCGGTAGCTGCCTGTAGCATCGCTCATCCAACCCCCAGAGCGGATGCTTCTCACCAAACAAAAATGGTCACTTCAGAATTTGTTCGACCTCAGAGACGTCAGCTGATTGGCACAAGCTTCGCATCCAGCTTCCCGTAGCTGCCGTAGCTGTAGTGTAGCTGTTAACAGCAGCCATGCGGGTCTCCCTGTGCCTGGCCTTCGCAGCCTTCGCAGCTGCCCAGCCGGCGCCGCTGCTGCAGCAGGTTGAGGAGCTGCAGAAGGAGCTGTCACAGCAGCGGCAGTTGATTCAGGAGCTGAAGGAGACACGCCGTTTGCAGGCGGAAAAAAGCGAAACTCAGTGATGATTTCAGATGGTGAAAGGGGCTGATTCTTTGTGCTTCAATGATGTTCAATCCTAAACATGTTTCCCGAATGCGTAGCAAGGGTTCCCGGTTCACTCTGGGGGTCTGGGGGTTGAGGGTGTGTTCGCTCGACGTTGCCCGTTCGCAACCGTCCAAAACCGTTCGCGCGATCCCAGTATGGCCGTGCCTATGGGAAGTTCTGTAGAAGGGGTCACTTTTGGATGTTTCCAGCGTCGCGTAGCTGCGTTTCGCGTGGCAGGCGTGGCATTCAGACGTGTTTTGTAACGTGTGGAAAGTCGTTTTGTGTGGCAGGCGCAATACTTTTGCGACGTTTTCAGAAGATGCGTTGCAGTTTTCGTGGCAGGCGCAGCACTTTGGACGTGTCCATCGTCATTTTTCGTGGGAGGCGCGGCACTTTAGACGTGTCGTGTTGCGTGTTTCTTGCGAATCGCATTGTCAGGGCTGCGTCAAGTAGCGACAAGGTGCAAATTCCGTGGCAGGCGTGGCATTTTGTGAGATGTGATGAAAATTGACGGATGCCTCGCACAAAACATCGATTTTGAGGTAGCAAATTTAGAGGTTCCTAAGAAAACTCGTGGGAAAACGTCGATTTTGAAGCTACAAAGTGTGAAAATTGGAGGAAGTCTCGCACGAAATGCTCGTTTTGATGCTCCCCCGTGTCTCGTCTCGAGTCTCTGCTTTTCCTGTGGCCGCGCCGTGTCTTTGGGGGAAGCTGCAAAACCGCTCCTTTTCGAAGGTTTCCAAGCAGGTTGTAATGTTGTTTTGCGTGGCAGGCGCAGCACTTCAGACATGTCGCATTGCGTGCTCTACACTCCACACTCCACCCTTTACACTTCACACTCCACACTTTACATTCCACACTTTACACTCTACACTTTACACCCCACACTTCACACTCCACACTCTACACTTTACACTCCACACTCCACACTTTACAATTTACCCTCCACACTTTACACTCTACATTTTACAATCTACACTTTGCACTCTACACTCCACACTTTACACTCCACACTTTATACAACTTTATACTCCATACTGTACATGCTGTACTTTACACTCCAAACTTTACAATCCGCACTCCACACTCCACACTTACACTCCACACTTAACACTTTACACTCCACACTCTACACTCCACACTCTACACACGACACTCCCCACTTTACACTTTACACTTTGCACTCCACACTTTACACTTTACACTCCACACTTTACACTCCACACTCTACACTCTATACTCCTCACTCCACACTCCACACTTTACACTTTACCCTCCACACTTTACACTCTACACTTTACAGTCTACATCAGTCTACACTTTTCACTCTACACTCCACACTTTACACTCCACACTTTACAGTCTACACCCTACTCTTTACACTTTACACTCAACACTTTACACTCCACACTCCACACTTTACACTCCACACTTTACACTTTACACTCCGCACTTTACGCTCCACTCTACACTTTCCACTCCACACTCCACACTCTACACTTTACACTCCACACTCCACACTCTACACTTTACACTCTACACTTTGCACTTGACACTCTACACTCTACACTCTACACTTTACACTCTACTCTCCTCACTCCACACTCTACAGTTTACACTTTACACTCCGCACTCTACACTCTACACTCCACGCTCTACACTTTACACACTCTACACTTTCCTCTCCAAACTTCACAACCTATACTCCACACTTTACACTCCACATTCCACACTCTACACTCCACACTCCACACTCTACACTCCACACTCCACACTCCACACTTTACACTCTACACTCCACACTCTACACTTCACACTCTACACTTTACACTCTACACTCCACACTCCACACTCCACACTCTACACTTTACACTCCACACTCCACACTTTACACTTTACACTCCCCACTTTACACTCCACACTCCACACTCTACACTTTCCACTCCACACTCCGTACTCCACACTCCACACTTTACTGTACACTCCACACTCCACACTTTATACTTTACACTCCTCACTCCACACTCCACGCTTTACACTCCTCACTTTACACTCCACACTCCACACTCTACACACCACACTCTACACTTTCCACTCCAGACTCCACACTCTACACTTTACGCTCCTCACTCCACACTTTACACTCCACACACTTACACTCCACACTTTACGCTCCTCACTCCACAGTCCACACTTTACACTCCACACTCCGCACTTTGCACTCCACACTTTACGCTCCGCACTTTACATTCCACACTTTACGCTCTACACTTTACACTCTACACTTTACAGTCCTCACTCTACACTCCTCACTCCACACTCCGTACTTTACACTCCACACTCCACACTCCACACTCCACACTTTCCACTCCACACTCCACACTCCACACTCTACACTCTAAACTTTACACTCCACACTCTACACTCTACACTCTACACTTTACACTCTACACTTTAGACTCCGCACTCTACACTATACACTCGACACTTTACACTTGACACTTTACACTCTACACTCCACCCTTTACACTTTACACTTGACACTCCTCACTCCACACTTTACACTCCACACTCCACACTCCACACTTTGCACTCCACACTTTACACTCCGCACTTTACATTCCACACTTTACACTCTACACTTTACACTCTACACTCTACACTTTACACTCCACACTTTACACTCCACACTCCACACTCTACACTTTACACTCTACACTATACACTCTACACTCCACACTTTACACTCTACACTCCACACTTTCCACTTTACACTCCTCACTTTACACTCCACACTCCACACTCTACACACCACACTCTACACTTTCCACTCCAGACTCCACACTCTACACTTTACGCTCCTCACTCCACACTTTACACTCCACACTTTACACTCCACACTCCACACTTTACACTCCGCACTCCACACTCCACACTTTACACTCTACACTCCACACTCTACACTTCACACTCTACACTTTACACTCTACACTTTACAGTCCTCACTCTGCACTCCTCACTCCAATCTCCACACTCTACACTCCCCACTTTACACTTTACACTTGACACTCCACACTTTGCCACGCCATACTTTACACTCCAGACTGACTCTACACTCCACGCTCCTCACTTAGCACGCCACCTTCTCCCATATTCCACAGTCTACGGTGCACTGGTACGGTAACAGGGGAAAAATGTACAAGACTGTTCAAATTCAAATAAACTGTTTCAGAAAAGTGTTCTGCGTGACTGCATTTCCATGTGTTTGGACACCTGTACCATTAACATATGTGTGAGCATTCGGGTTCGTGGGCTGCATCTTGTTTTTGATTTGTAGATGGTATAATTTTTCATATATTATATACTGCAAAAGGCTATATCTAAAATACTATATGAATAGGCAATTGGGTGCTAATCAGCAATTGAATAATCATATTGAATCATGATTCAATTTTGATCATTCGCGCAATTTTTTCATATAATAGAGTATGTTCCATTTCCATTTTTTTTTTGTGATGATTACTGCCCTTTCAAGGGGGTCCCGGTGTCTCAAGAACCAGGAAAGCATGGCTGACAAGATCACCAAGTTGCAGGAAACTGATTTGGGACTGGGTGGAGCCCTTGATTCAGCCTGGCTTTGCCTCTGTGGAGCTTTGGTGATGTTCATGCACGCCGGCTTCGCTATGTTGGAGACGGGATGCTGTCGTGCCAAGAACGCCTCCAACGTTTTGATGAAGAATTTGGTGAATGTTTGCTGCGGAACCTTGGGCTGGTGGAGCATTGGCTGGGCTTTGGCCTATGGTGAACAGAACGGCAATGGTTTCATTGGAACCGACGGCTTCTTTGGTTTCGGCTTCTACACACGGGACAAGGCCAGTGGAGTGATCACACCTGTTGAATGCACTGCTGATGGCTGCCAATCGACTATGTTAAGCTGGTTCTTCCAATGGGCGTTTTGTACTGCCGGTGCCACCATTGTGAGTGGGGCAGTGGCCGAGCGTGTCAAGAGCCCCACTTATGCCGCCTTTGCGTTCCTGATGACAAGTTTCATCTATCCTATGGTTGTGGCATCAACCTGGGGTGGTGGCTGGCTGGCCTCACTTTTTGGCGTGGGCTACATGGACTCCTGGTTGGTGGTTTCTGGATGGATGTTTATGGATGTTTATGGATGTTTATGGATGTTTATGGATGTTTATGTGGTTTATGGTGTTTCATGCTGGTTTAGTGAGTGGTTCTGACTTTTGTTCAATGTCCATCGAACCTGGGATGATCCCTATTGAAAACACCAACCAGGACTTTGCAGGGTCAGGCGTTGTGCATCTTACCGGTGGCATCAGCGGACTTGTTGGCACTACCATTCTGGGAGCGCGTACCGGGCGCTTCACCAACCCAGAGGAGTTCGAGTGCCACAACCTGCCATTGGTTGTTTTGGGTACCTTTGCTCTTTGGTTCGGTTGGTAGCTCGGATTTGCTGAATATGTTTTAACTATTTTTAACTGTTTTTACTTTTATTCCATTCATTATATTCATTAATCCAACAGAAAAGGGGGCATCTACTGGGAACGTGCTATGATATTTTTAATGGTGCCACTAAGCAAATCCAAGGTATGGCTTCAACCCTGGCTCCACCCTTACCATGAAGTCAGGCAGTGATGGTGCTTTGGCAGCTCAGGTGGCCATGAACACCACCTTGGCTGCGGCCACAGGTGGTATCACCGTGTTCCTCCTCCGCTACGTCATCATGCACAAGTACGATGTTGGCGCCTTGTGCAACGGCATCCTGGCCGGCTTGGTGTCGATCACCGCGGGCTGCGGAAACATGGAGAGCGGAAGTGCCGTTGCCACCGGCTTGATTGGAGGTGGGCCTGTCCAACAATTTAATCAGGTACCCGGGTACCCGGGTCCCCTCAATACCGTCAATACATCTTAATCCTGGATCCTTTACTTAAACCGGATGGTTCAACGTGCAATTGTTGATATTGTTTGATCTTTGTCTTGTATCGTGTGTCGTGTCTATAGACAACCCCAGGCTTTGTGTATCAAGCAGCATCGATGCTCCTTCAAGCGCTGAAGATTGATGACCCAGTGGATGCTAGCCCGGTCCACGGCTTTTGTGGAGCCTGGGGCATCATAGCAGCAGGCCTCTTCGACTGGGGTCGGGGTATCGACCACTACCATGGCTGGAGTGGATTCGGATGCATGGAGAAGGATGATGGTGGCTGCCAGACTGGCATTGGTGGCACTGCCATTGGGGTCCAATTCATCATGGTCCTGGCCATTGTGGCATGGGCGGGAACCTTGTCTGGCATTGGTTTCTTCCTGTTGAAAATCACTGGGGTGCTCCGCTACGGCACTCACGTGGAAGAGGTGGGCATTGATTCTCATCACCACTCTCCACCAAAGGCCTACGCTTTGGAACCCAAGTCTCTCTCCCCATCAAAGGTCTATTCCACGATGACCTCGGAAACCCAGCCGAGCACGGTCTGAGCATCAGGACATTGCTCAGAGTCAGAGGTCAACAGGTAGCAGTTTCGTGCACATGACCTACCTGTTTGAGTGAGGGAAGTGGAGCTTCTCATGCAAGGAGTGCCTGCAGTGTGTGAAATCGCATTGTAGTAGCACGGTTTTTGTTCCTGTAACGTATTTTATCCATCTTTATCCATCTTTATCCTGTGAATAGCAGGATTGAATTCGAGCCAGTTGCCTGGCAATTTAGTGCCTTGGCTTCCTTTGATGATCCCTTGGAGCTTCAAGGGAGGCGCACAAGTTTTGTGGCCGCATCGCACGCATGTGGCCCAGAAATCCGACACCACACTTCTCCCGTGCCACGGCTTCTTCCATTCCATCGGAGTCAGGCCCTACACCGATCCGACCCTGCAGCCACGGCATGGCAGAAAAGACTGTTGATGAAAGTTGACTGTACTGAGTGAGATTGGTGTGGTGGATCAGGGCTAGTTAGCGGCTAGTTACGGAGATCCTTTACCGAACTGAAGGAACAGGTGAACACAATTGAACACATTTGCAAACTGAACATAAAACATGCTGTGCGATTTGTTGGACTCTGCCTCATCCCCACAAGGGTAGTAAATGGTAGTAATATATACTCCGTAGCTATAAAGCACCTCAACAAGAAGGATAGGCGACTTACCCATACGCGACTTACCAGGAACAAGGTCAAACAACAGACAAGAGACACTGCAAAAGAGAAGGAAAATACAAAGATCCCTCATATCAAGGTGCTTTCAACATTTACGTATTTATATAAATAATGTTGCAAGTTATATTATTCGATGATTATCCCTGTTGAATCATATCAAATCCTTATTATAGATTTCCATCAAATGCCCATGAACCACTGCACGGCAGGAGGCCGGTCACTATGACCCAGTGGAAAACAAACAAACGGGCCACTTCAGAATTTGTTCGACCTCAGAGACTTCAGCTGATTGGCACAAGCTTCGCATCCAGCTTCCCGTAGCTGTAGTGTAGCTGTTAACAGCAGCCATGCGGGTCTCCCTGTGCCTGGCCTTCGCAACCTTCGCAGCTGCCCAGCCGGCGCCGCTGCTGCAGCAGGTTGAGGAGCTGCAGAAGGAGCTGTCACAGCAGCGGCAGTTGATTCAGGAGCTGAAGGAGACACGCCGTTTGCAGGCGGAAAAAAGTGAAACTCAGTGATGATTTCAGATGGTGAAAGGGGCTGTTTTCTTTGTGCTTCAATGATGTTCAATCCTAAATAAACATGTTTTTTGATTTGTAGATGGTATATGATTATAGTTAATTGTTCATATAATATATAAGGCTATATAATAAATACTACATGAATAGGCAATTGGGTGCTAATCAGCAATTGAATCATATTGAGTCATGATTCAACTTTGATGATTTTTGCAATTTCTCACATAATAAAGATTAATAAAGTATGTTCCATTTCCATTTTTTTTTTGTGATGATTACTGCCCTTTCAAGGGGGTCCCGGTGTCTCAAGAACCAGGAAAGCATGGCTGACAAGATCACCAAGTTGCAGGAAACTGATTTGGGACTGGGTGGAGCCCTTGATTCAGCCTGGCTTTGCCTCTGTGGAGCTTTGGTGATGTTCATGCACGCCGGCTTCGCTATGTTGGAGACGGGATGCTGTCGTGCCAAGAACGCCTCCAACGTTTTGATGAAGAATTTGGTGAATGTTTGCTGCGGAACCTTGGGCTGGTGGAGCATTGGCTGGGCTTTGGCCTATGGTGAACAGAACGGCAATGGTTTCATTGGAACCGACGGCTTCTTTGGCTTCGGCTTCTACACACGGGACAAGGCCAGTGGAGTGATCACACCTGTTGAATGCACTGCTGATGGCTGCCAATCGACTATGTTAAGCTGGTTCTTCCAATGGGCGTTTTGTACTGCCGGTGCCACCATTGTGAGTGGGGCAGTGGCCGAGCGTGTCAAGAGCCCCACCTATGCCGCCTTTGCGTTCCTGATGACAAGTTTCATCTATCCTATGGTTGTGGCATCAACCTGGGGTGGTGGCTGGTTGGCCTCACTTTTTGGCGTGGGCTACATGGACTCCTGGTTGGTGGTTTCTGGATGTTTATGGATGTTTATGTGGTTTATGGTGTTTCATTCTGGTTTAGTGATTGGTTGTGACTTTTGTTCAATGTCCATCGAACCTGGGATGATCCCTATTGAAAACACCAACCAGGACTTTGCAGGGTCAGGTGTTGTGCATCTTACCGGTGGCATCAGCGGACTTGTTGGCACTACCATTCTGGGAGCGCGTACCGGGCGCTTCACCAACCCAGAGGAGTTCGAGTGCCACAACCTGCCATTGGTTGTTTTGGGTACCTTTGCTCTTTGGTTCGGTTGGTAGCTCGGATTTGCTGAATATGTTTTAACTATTTTTAACTGTTTTTACTTTTATTCCATTCATTATATTCATTAATCCAACAGAAAAGGGGGCATCTACTGGGAACGTGCTATGATATTTTTAATGGTGCCACTAAGCAAATCCAAGGTATGGCTTCAACCCTGGCTCCACCCTTACCATGAAGTCAGGCAGTGATGGTGCTTTGGCAGCTCAGGTGGCCATGAACACCACCTTGGCTGCGGCCACAGGTGGTATCACCGTGTTCCTCCTCCGCTACGTCATCATGCACAAGTACGATGTTGGCGCCTTGTGCAACGGCATCCTGGCCGGCTTGGTGTCGATCACCGCGGGCTGCGGAAACATGGAGAGCGGAAGTGCCGTTGCCACCGGCTTGATTGGAGGTGGGCCTGTCCAACAATTTAATCGGGTACCCGGGTACCCTCAATACATCTTAATCCTGGATCTTTTAATACTTAAACCGGATGGTTCAACGTGCAATTGTTGATATTGTTTGATCTTTGTCTTGTTCCCCACCTGCCAGGTGAGGGTTGTTAGATTTTATCAGAGCTGTTCTCCTCCTCCTCCGCCTCCTCTGCCTCCTCACCCGCCGCCTCCTCCTCGCAGTCCAGATCCTAGTGGGCACAGCCGGACCTCCACCGCGAGCTCCAGATCCCAGTGGGCACTGCCGGACCTCAACCGCGAGTTGCAGATCGCAGTGGGCACTGCCGGACCTCAACCGCGACTTCCAGGTCGCAGTTTACTGCCGGACCTCAACCGCGAGCTCCAGATCCCAGTGATTCCCAGTGGGCACTGCCGGACCTCAACCGCGAGCTCCAGATCCCAGTGGGCACTGCCGGACCTCAACGGCCAGATAGAATGCCAGAAGATATGCCAGATGGAATGTCAGATAGAATGCCAGAAGATATGTCAGATAGAATGCCAGAAGATATGCCAGATGGAATGCCAGAAGATATGTCAGATAGAATGCCAGAAGATATGCCAGAATGCCAGAAGATTTTCCAGATAGAATGCCAGAACATATGCCAGATAGAATGCCAGATAGAAGGCCAGAAGACTTGTCAGATAGAATGCCAGAAGATATGCCAGATAGAATGCCAGAAGATATGTCAGATAGAATGCCAGAAGATATGCCAGATAGAATGCCAGAAGATTTGCCAGATAGAATGCCAGAAGATATGCCAGAACATATGCCAGAAGATATGCCAGATAAAATGCCAGATAGAATGCCAGAAGATATGTCAGATAGAATGCCGGAAGATTTGCCAGTAAGAAAATGTATAAATGTCATGGTGGGGATCACACGAAGTAAAGTAATTTTTTGTGTATCCCGCATTTGTATCGTGTGTCGTGTCTATAGACAACCCCAGGCTTTGTGTACCAAGCAGCATCGATGCTCCTTCAAGCGCTGAAGATTGATGACCCAGTGGATGCTAGCCCGGTCCACGGCTTTTGTGGAGCCTGGGGCATCATAGCAGCAGGCCTCTTCGACTGGGGTCGGGGTATCGACCACTACCATGGCTGGAGTGGATTCGGATGCATGGAGAAGGATGATGGTGGCTGCCAGACTGGCATTGGTGGCACTGCCATTGGGGTCCAATTCATCATGGTCCTGGCCATTGTGGCATGGGCGGGAACCTTGTCTGGCATTGGTTTCTTCCTGTTGAAAATCACTGGGGTGCTCCGCTACGGCACTCACGTGGAAGAGGTGGGCATTGATTCTCATCACCACTCTCCACCAAAGGCCTACGCTTTGGAACCCAAGTCTCTCTCCCCATCAAAGGTCTATTCCACGATGACCTCGGAAACCCAGCCGAGCACGGTCTGAGCATCAGGACATTGCTCAGAGTCAGAGGTCAACAGGTAGCAGTTTCGTGCACATGACCTACCTGTTTGAGTGAGGGAAGTGGAGCTTCTCATGCAAGGAGTGCCTGCAGTGTGTGAAATCGCATTGTAGTAGCACGGTTTTTGTTCCTGTAACGTACTTTATCCATCTTTATCCATTTTTATCCTGTGAATGGCAGGATTGAATTCGAGCCAGTTGCCTGGCAATTTAGTGTCTTGGCTTCCTTTGATGATCCCTTGGAGCTTCAAGGGAGGCACACAAGTTTTGTGGCCGCATCGCACGCATGCGGCCGCGAGATCCGACACCACACTTCTCCCGTGCCACGGCTTCTTCCATTCCATCGGAGTCAGGCCCTACACTGACCATCCGACCCTGCAGCCACGGCATGGCGGAAAAGACAGTTGATGAAAGTTGACTGTACTGAGTGAGATTGGTGTGGTGGATCAGGGCTAGTTAGCGGCTAGATACGGAGATCCTTTACCGAACTGAAGGAACAGGTGAACACAATTGAACACATTTGCAAACTGAACATATAACATGCTGTGCGATTTGTTGGACTCTGCCTCATGCCCACAAGGGTAATATATACTCCGTAGCTATAAAGCACCTCAACAAGAAGGATAGGCGACTTACCCATATGCGACTTACCAGGAACAAGGTCAAACAGCAGACCAAAGACAACAGACTAAAGACAATGGATAAGGAAAATTCTCCTCACTTCAGGTTGCCTTCAACATATGCATACTTAATCATACTTACATATACTATTATAAATTATATACTAGTATTTTATATTGTATGTCCCACCATAATTATTCCCAGGATTTCCCAGGTATAAAAATCATATCAAATCACCATTAGACCTACATTAAAATCCGATCAACCACTGCACGGCAGGAGGGTGGTCCCTTGCTCTGGCGCGACGGCCAAAGCTGCCTGGCACCTGCCAGTCCTGAGGAAGCGCCAAGGAGCAGCTTGGGCCGCACCTGGCTTGGCCCAGACAGGGAGATGTATGAGCTACTTATACATACATACATACATACATACATACATACCTACCTACCTACCTACCTACCTACCTACGTACGTACGTACGTACGTACGTACGTACGTTACGTACGTTACATACGTTACATACGTTACATACGTTACATACGTTACATACATACATACATGCATGCATGCATGCATGCATGCATGCATACATACATACATACATACATCCATGCATCCATGCATGCATGCATGCATCCATGAATGCATGCATACATGCAGACATGCAGACATGCATACATGCAGACATGCAGACATGCAGACATGCATACATGCATACATGCAGACATGCAGACATGCAAACATAGAGACATGCAGACATGCAGACAGCCAGACAGCCAGACAGCCAGACAGAGACAGAGACACAGAGACAGAGACAGAGACAGAGACCGAGACAGACCGAGACAGACCGAGACAGACCCAGATAGACCGAGACAGACAGAGACAGACAGAGACAGACAGAGCCAGACAGAGACAGAGACTGACAGACAGACAGACAGACAGAGAGAGAGAGTGAGAGAGAGAGACAGACAGAGACAGAGAGGGAGAGACAGAGGGGGGACAGAGACAGAGAGAGAGAGAGACAGACAGAGACAGAGAGAGAGAGAGAGACAGACAGAGAGAGAGAGAGAGACAGACAGAGAGACAGACAAAGGGAGATAGAGACAATGAGACAGAGAGGGAGAGAGGGAGAGACAGACAGAGACACATGAGACACATGAGACACATGAGACACATGAGACACATGAGACATATGAGACACATGCGACACATGAGACACATGAGACACATGCGACACATGAGACACATGAGACACATGAGACACAGAGAAAGAGAGAGAGAGAGAGACAGACAGAGACAGAGAGAGAGAGAGAGACAGACAGACAGACAGACAGACAGACAGTGACAGAGAGAGAGAGAGAGACAGAGACAGGGAGAGAGATAGAGACAGACGTGACGTGACGTGAATTGACGTGACGTGACTCGACGTGACATTACACTGCATTACATTTGATTTACATTGAATTCCAGTACATTTACATTTAAATTTACATTTACATTTGCATATACCTTTACATTTACATTTGCATACATTACACATTAATGTTAACATCAAATTAATGACCCCCCCGCCCTCAAACATGACCCCTCCGCCCTCAAACATGAAGGTAACGTAAATAATCCGGAAGCCAAGCAATGGCCTAGGGTCCCTGGATTTTTTCCAGACCTATGTGACGCCGAACAAATTGCCTAATTGAAAACGAATACATAAAGTGAACTTTCTTTCCACTTTAGTATTCGCAAGTGAATTGCCTAATTGAAAACGAATACAAAAAGTGAACTTTCTTTCCACTTTAGTATTCCCAAATGAATTGCCTAATTGAAAACGAATACATAAAGTGAACTTTCTTTCCACTTTAGTATTCCCAAATGAATTGCCTGGTTTAAAACGAATACATAAAGTGAACTTTCTTTCCACTTTAGTATGCCCAAATGAATTGCCTAATTGAAAACGAATACATAAGTGAACTTTCTTTCCACTTGAGTATTCCAAATGAATTGCCTAATTGAAAACGAATAATAGGAAAGGAATTGAGAAACGAATTCAACCACCAAAAATTTAGACCCGTGAAATCCAAATAGTTTATTTAGAGGAATGCAAACATTCATTATTATTTTGATGTTAAGGGTCTTCAGGACTGCCCCCTTTTGCGCGATTGTTTTTTTGCATTTTTTTGAAAGGGTTTAGTAAGGAAACTGACCCTGAGAGCCTTTTGGTTTTTTCCCGAATGCGTAGCAAGGGTTCCCGTTTCACTCTGGGGGTCTGGGGGTTGAGGGTGTGTTTGCTAGACGTTGCGTTCACGGTCGCAACCGTCCGCAACCGTTCGCAACCGTCCGCGTGAGGACCGTATGGCCGTGCCTGTGGTAAGTTCTGCAGAGGTGGTCATTTTTGGAAGTTTCAGACGTCTCGTTGCTTCGTTTCGCATGGCAGGCGTGGCACTTCGTGACATTCAGACGTGTTTTGTAACGAAAGTCGTTTTTTGTGTGGCAGGCGCAATACTTTTGCGACGTTTTCAGAAGATGTGTTGCATTTTTCGTGGCAGGCGCAGCACTTTGGACGTGTCCATCGTCATTTTTCGTGGGAGGCGCGGCACTTTAGACGTGTCGTGTTGCGTGTTTTTTGTCAATCGCATTGGCAGGGCTGCGTCAAGTGGCGACAAGGTGCAAATTCCGTGGCAGGCGTGGCATTTTGTGCGATGTGCTGAAAAATGACGGAGGCCTCGCACGAAACATCGATTTTGAGGTGCCAAATTTCACAGGTGATGTTTTCGGGAGACCCCCTTCTGCGAATCAGCAGAAGCAAAGCCTGGTTTTTGAACAGCGTGTTGGAAAAGTATTCAAAATGCAGGGATCAAATTCGAGCACCTAAAAACCAAATCTCAGAGTGACCTTGTCTGCACTACATTACACAACACTACGCTACACTAATTACATTACATTACACTACAGCTACAACTACAGCTGCAACTGCAACTACAACTGCCACTACATGACACTACAGTACACTACACCCATTACATTACACTACACTACAACTACAACTACACTACTTTACACTACACTAGACTACACTACACTATACCAAACTACAGTACACAACACTACAGTACACTACACCACACTAATTACACCACACCAACAACCAACCTCTCCTATAGGTTTCCTATTTTTGAAATTTCCGCCACCGCCTTGCGCGGTACTACTGGTAGTTTGACTTAAAACTGACTTGTTTTTGGGGAATGTATCTGGTGGCTGCTTGGCCTTTTTTGACTCAGGCTGTATACTGGGGGAAACTTGTCATATTGACCAAGATTGCCGAGTTGGGAATGAGCAATCCTCATTCATGTCAGTAGTCCTGCCATTTTTGACACTTCTGAAGCTCATGACTACCTTCCCAGGGGTCCATCGCAAGCTCACTGTTTGATCACCTGGAATCATGTCATAAAATGCTCATTCACTTCCACACCAGTCCATAATCCAATTTGTAGCCTCAATACCATGCCGGATGCATACCGGTACTGTATGTGGCCGGTTCGCGGCTGTGTTGTTCACTCCGGTTGTGAGCCATGCAAAGATGGGATATGATATTACATATTTCATTACAATATGCATCTACATAGTTCAATTCTAAACGCAGTATCAATAATAACACATAATATATATATACACTTAATAACCCTGATGGAATGATAACACAATAGCAACATATTCTAACTTTAAAAACGATTAATTTATATATTTAAGTATATATATATACATATATATGAATCATAATGTAACAATATTTTAAACATGTTTTTTCTATGATTGGAGGATCACCTGTTCATTCTGACATGAGTCATATTCCATGAGACCCCCCCCGGGTGGCAGCTGAGGCCGCTTCCAAATGGAGCTGGAGCGTTGTGCTGTGAAGGTGGAACACCAAGATCAAGGCATACGCCTGCGGATCGAATCTTGGGAAAGTATGACAGCATGGTGATTACCCATGGCTACAAATATGGTTAATATAATGGAATTATATACCCCAAAAAACCACACCAATGATTGCCTGTGGCTATAAAATGGCTGATGTTGCTTCATAATTTCATGGTGATCAATGGAATTATCCAAAAAAATGTGATTGATGGTAATTAACTATCCAGTGGTTATTAACCAACGATGATATGGGTGGGATTTTGTTGGGGATATATTATAATAGGGTGTATCACCAACAATAGATTGATTACCTTCTGTGTAATCAATCATGGCCAGCTACAAATGGGATGGGTGTGTAAATGAAAAAATCGCACAACTAAAGGGGGATTTTCCATCTAGCCATATTTGATCACCAGGGGGTGACACAAAACGAAAACTAACGCGACCTTGTGGACCCGGTGTTGCTCTATTTTTTGAGTGATCCACTGAGATATCATCAAAAACCTGGAAAGATGGGGCAGTTTCACCAGCAAGACCTGAGATGCTTTGTGAACAAACGCAATGTTTGAAGGGGAAATGGACAGAAATCCAAGTTGCCTGGGTGTCCTATGATATTGCCCCTTACAGCCAATCCTAGGATCGTTTTATCAGTGGTGAAATTCGGGAAGCCCGACGTTGGATTTAAGATTATTTAAGATGTATCGAATATAAAACATAACCATGTTATGATTTGCAAGATGTTCCGGACAATGTAAGCCAACAACATGAGAAGGGCACCGCTTCACAGAGCAAGGAAGCCTTGTACTGTATGGTTTGTGCTTCCATGGCAGCCCTCTCCAATTCGGGATCATCCAAGGAAAAAGATGCTCAGCTCCTGTGTGTCACGGTCTCTGGCGATAGTGAGAGTGACTGGATGAAGCTTTCAAGTATTGTATTTTTTTTGATCTTCACCGCATGTCTTCCTGGCGAAATGATTCCAACCACCAAACAAATTACACTAAATACCGTGCCCGAATTTTGTTTGAATGGTCCTTTGCATTTTTCGCTCATGGTTTCGCTTGCCATCAGGTGAGTATTCTCTTGCCTTGCGCCAATGTGCCGCAGAGACGGATGGCTTCGCATGGCGGCAGATTTTTTCCACGGTGAAGGTCGCGACCGGGGCAGTGCAGCTGAAAGTGGAGAGCGTCAATGTGTGCCTGGATGCTGGACAGGGTAACAATGTTCTGGCATATGTTTGCTGCTTGGGCGAAAACTTGGAAGCTGACCTGTGGGTCGGAACTGGGGCAGGAGGGGTTGAAGACAAGTTGTTGCTTTTTTGGGGGGCTGGGAAAGCCAAGGTTCGGCAAAGAGTTGTTTGTAATGATGGGGTATAGCCGCTTGGACGCCCGCTAGACACTTCCCAGATCATTTGAAGATATCTTTGATTCTCCTGTGATTGATCCACACATGGGGCACAGTCATGATAATATTTCAAGTCTAACTCACAGCAAAACCCAATCCCTGAAAAGCACATGCTCAGGCTATGACAAGGAGAATCCCAATCAGATGTGGAGCATTTCCGGCTCTCATTTGATTTGGGAAGGCGGTCCAACCAACAGTTGTCTTCACGCGGTAGAGGAGAGCCAGTTTGGCGCAATCAAACGCAATCAAACAAACGGCCAAAGGCTCCAAGGCAGTGATGGTCTGGCCATGGGAAGAGACGAATAATTATGGTTTGGCACATTTTGGATCATTTTGGCACACCCATTTGCTGCGATGGCTTTCATGTTTTTCAGTCTAGAAAACTCTTGCCCGGTCAGAGCCTTTGTTGGAGTTCCTCCTCCGCACTTGACTGGTAGGTTGTTTGGAGGGGCTGCCTGCCTCCAGATTACCAGATTATGTAATGACCAAGGGACAGAAATTCCTGTGTGAGAATTGAATCGTTGATGAAGTGGAATTCTTCCCTTACTTTCAGTGGATTGAGAGAAGGAATTTCCCACCGTGATTGGTAGCATGGTAGCATGAATTTCTTTGTCGCCACAGTTGATCAACACCCATGATATATATATATATACATATATATATATATATCATGATATATCACCCAATTCCAGGTGTTCTTATCCCATTTATCCCTTCCCCACAATATTTCTACCCCACCATGGCCCTGGAAAAATCCCCTCCCCGGCCCAGGACGCCTTGCGATTCCGCAGCCTCCCCGAGCCGGATCCCCTGTCGCTGGCGGCATGCGCGGACAAGCCCGGCCAACGGATCCGGCGTGCGGATGTGAAGTCGGACGGGACGCGCCTCGGCCATGGTAGAATCAACAGCAATGGGGTAGATACCATGGTAGATTAGTATTGATTAGTAGGTTACATGGTAATTAAATACCGTTTGAATGCCTTGGAAATTGGCATACATACTGACATAACTATACATAACTGTCATAACTACCTATATACCCTGAGGGTTACAACAGATCATGAGTGGATCAATTAGGGCTTCGTGTCAGAGGCGTGTGGTTTTTTGAGGGTTTTCATTCCAGAGATCATTGAAATGATCATTTTATATAACCTTTGTTTTGCAATGGTCACTGGAGTCAGCCAAGCATTCGGCTGCGTACGGAGGAGTAAACGTGACTACAGCAAGGACCTGAGCAGTAACATGTACAATGAAGGTATGATACGGCCCATGGAATGCTTCAAGATCATTGAATCCAGCGGAAAGGTTTGCTTCGATATTGGCACAATAAGCAACATTGGGTGGAAATAGGCATGCATCTCCTATGTTGAACTGGATCCTTCAGATGCCTTGGGGATACAGGGATATACAGGGTACGAACGGCACTTGATACATCAACAAGACAACAAGTGAGGGACCCGTCCTTCATGTCATAAACTTGATCTTTCAACCCATTGTATCCCATTGTGTGAGGTATGCCATCCCAAATTAAGAGCTACAGTAGACCCTGAAAATCACCAAATTTTCATGGAAAGTAATCTTCCAACCCTCAACTCATGGCAGGGTGGCAAAGTCGCAGGTTTCTACTGAGAGACGCGGATACCGGGAAATGTTTGGTGGCAAGGAGCAATGCCGGACATCATGGGAGCTCACTTGGGGGTTGTCTGAAAATGAGAAGTTTGCCGAATGATCATTGAAGAATGGTGGATAATGATGAGAATATGTATATAGTACTTCATTGCAAATTGGGGGTACGTACTTGTACCATCTTGTACCATATTTTAAGACAAACCCATTGGAATTGGTTTAGGCACGGGGTCGTACAATTTCATTGTTCTATATACAGTATCCCTAAGCAGTATCCCTAGGTTGGTCGTGCCGACTGTGTATGTCCTTCTTGCATTGGCTTGTGCGAAACCTTTCGGGGGTGTAAAGCATCGAAGGATAGCAAAGGCAAAGCCATAAAGATTTAAATTCACTACCAGGGTGGCGACCATGTTCTATCTATCCAAGCCATGCTACTGGAGGAGAGGACCGGAATTAGAGACTCCATTGAGACTCGCTGGTTGCGACGACAATCATCGATTTCGAGAGCTGAAAGATCGAAACCAGGTCCAACACGTCTCGTGGCGAAGCAAAAAGGACAATGCTTTATATGTTTTTTTGCCCAAACAGTGTGGCCACACTGAAGGGGTTTCTGACGGTAATTAACAGTTAAGGCCCAATGTTCAATCGAGGTGGTATTGGAAGCGTCCGGCATTTTCCCTGTAAATTTCCGCACAAAATGCCTCTTGTGACATGTCCATGTGCATTTCGACAGCGCAGGCTCGCACAAAGTGTGCTTCCCGGTCTTGGAATCGGTCTTCCTCCTCAACATCATCCTCCTCAACTTCATCTTCTTCCTCCTCCTCAACGTCCAAATCATCATCTTCCTCCCACCGTCATCGTCATCATCATCATCATCATCATCATCATCATCATCATCGTCACTATCATCACCATCATCATCATCATCATCACCATCATTACCACCATCATCATCATCATCACCATCATTACCACCATCATCATCATCATCATCACCATCATCATCATCACCATCATCATCATCATCATCCTCATCATCATCATCATCCTCATCATCATCATCATCATCAACAACAACAACACCATCATCATCAACATCATCGTCATCAACCTTGACATCATCATCAACATTATAATGCATGATTTTTTTCCCCCCGCGCTGCTTGGGGTCCCTTGCCGGGATAACATATTGTTCTACCATGTTCTACCTTGTTTTGTAAGATTTCGGTGTGCCCAATGCAGAAAAGCCACCCAACCCCGATCGACCAAGTTCGGGTGATGACTTGGGACATCTTGGGACACATGTTTCAGCCCTTGCGCTTCAGGTTGCCACCGGCTTCTGCTTCGATTCTGGTGCTGGTCCTCCAATTCTCTATCCCTGCCATGAGCCAAAGGCATTGCGAAAGCAACGTTTCCAGATCGTGGACCCTCAGCCAGCCCTTGATCGGGTTTGGGGGTGGGTCCTTCTCACCCAGGATGGTCTCATCATCACTTTCTATGACAAAGCGCTTAGGACACTAGCTCCATGAGAAAAATCAAAGATTCTTTGTGTGGCATTTGATCTTGATCCCATCAGTCAGGGAAGGCTAAACATGGCTAAACCACATTGAACACACAGGCTATCACAGGCTTGTGGACACTCCGAGGATTCCCCGGGCTGGGTCCAGTTCATGCGCGGCTGGGTACCTCGCCGGAACTCGGGGAATCTCCGGAGAATTGGCAAACATGGTGGGGCCCCCACGAAAGTTTGTTGTTTCCTGGGTCTTTTCATTTCTTGGGGGTCCCTATAATCCAATGCTTGAATATCTTGAATAGTTTCAAAAATTCTTTGATGTCCATGCTACCTGGGCCTATGATCTCATTTTATTCAACGACTGCAATATTTTTTGGGTGGATGTGGATGGGTTCAAACAAGCAGCCAGTAATGGAATGAAAAATCCATACTATTCGCGACAAAGCCGTTGTGCCGAGGTTGCCTATCCCATCCAATTTGCATCCATGTCACGTCATTTGCTTCATAATAGAATGCGATAGAATGTGATCTCTTGGTGTCATACCCACCGTCAATTTCACCTGGCAATTGAGCATCCCGCATTCATGTACTTGTACTTACTTGTCTAATTTTATAATATAAATTATAAATTAGCTGTCATGTTTTTTGTCCAGTGTCAGGTTTTGATATCGGAGATTTCCATAAATTCATGGGCTATATTTCCAACCCACAGTATCAGTCGTTGTACAAAACGCTGATCTCCACTTCGCCCCCAGGACGACAACGGCCGCAAGCGCTTCTTCGAGCGCTGCCTGGACCACCAGCCCGCGCCGCCGCGGCGGACGCTGCTGATGAGTTGCCACGAGGCGCAACAGGCGAAGATCACCTGGCGACGGGTGAATCAACAGGCGATGGGGTGGTTTTCTGGGGATGGGGGATGGGGGATGGGTTTTGGATGGTTTTGGAGGAATGGGGGGATGGGGAAGATGATGTGGTTGATGTTGGATGTTGGAGATATTTAAGATGAAATGGGGCCAGTTGAGGAAACGATGATGCAAATGGGTCCAATCGCTATGGTCTAGTTATGATAAAAATTCTGATGATGTATTTTCGTTGAAACTATTTATATATATATACACACACCGCAAACATCATCCTAGGTGGGCTGGTCAGTTGGTGTTCCCCTGTTGATCACATACATTGAAACGATTTGAAACGTATTGAAACATGTTATAATTTGACGCAAATTCATGCAGATATATTATACGTCTAATGTATACAGCTGTATGCAGTGCACCCGGACGCAATCACCTGCATTCGGGAAATCAATATGTCGTATTGAATGGACGCCAGTACTCAGTCACACATGTCCAGCGCGAAGCTGTTTGCGAAAACAAATGCTGCTGAAACTACACGAATCATCATGGCATGAAATTGATTGCGATGATTCTATTCACATTATTCACCCAACTGTTACTGCAAAGTTCCAAGGCCTTGGATAATGAGAGATAATCAGAGATATTCCTATGTAGGCTGGTTTGCAGGACCATTTTTGTTGATTTCTGTTGCTCACAGGAACCCCTGGAGTGGCAACTGTGGAGGGAGAATCCCAACACACGGAGCAACTGAACTGCAAAACCAGGATTCGACGCTTTTCCAATGTCCATGTGACATGTTCCAAGTAGTTATAAAATGTTGTAAACGTAGTTATATTTGTTTAATATGCATACATTTAATTCATGTTAATTCAATAGCATGTTGTTTGATCCGTTTGTATGGAAGGCTTTAAGATTCACCAGCCTCTTCTTACCAAACCCATATTGCCTCCAACTGTTGGGATAGAAATGTTAAACTTGTTCAATTGGAACTGGAAAATCAATCCCCCTTACCATTTCCACTACTAAAAGGGTGAACACGTGCTTGGTACCATCCTCTGATTCGTGGATAATTCAAGCAAAAAAAATGGACCCGTGCACCAGTTTTTGTAGTAAAAGGGTGTGCACTGTATCTTGTAGCGGCGTTCCATTTTACACTCATAAATCGGAAACGCATTTTGTAGTGATTTATTTTGGGATGCGTTGTGTCGTGCCGGAAACCCTATAGCCCTCTTTTACCAGTCATGCTCGGTCACATGAACATATAGCTTGGACCCTCAGACCATTTTTGGCTCTTGACTCACGATTATTTCGTGGTAAGATGAGCCCCCAAAAATTCGAAAAAAAACAAATAAGGTAGAGACTTTAAGACGGAAAAATGGGACAGACTTGGTTTCAAAACCCATCAATTGAATTTGAAGTTGTGCGCTCAGATCGTTTTTAGCTCTGACGATTGCAGTTCAAAACCTCTGCGCCGTGCTTTTGTCACACCTTTTTTGGCCATCACATGCGATTATTAATTAAAATCTAAATCTATCCCATTCTACTAGGTTCCTGCTCTTTTTGTCCAATAGTCAAGTTTCACCCCAGTTCAACGAATCCATGCTCAGAGTTCCTTTCACCCACAATGTCACAAAGCACAGATTCGATGCGTGATGTCCTAGTTTCTGGATGACTTGTGTCATGCACTGCATTTTGTAGTGACACACGCGTGCACAACCTTTTGTAGAACCTTCTGTGCCCCCCTCCAGATAAGCCCCAAAAAGTTCGAAAAGCATGCTTTTTATGTAGAGACTTTAAGAAGGAAAAATGGGACAGATTTGGTTTCAAAACCAATCAATTGAAACTGAAGTTGTGCGCTCAGATTGTTTTTGCTGCCCCATAGCTCTGACGATTGCAGTTCAAAACCTCTGCGCCGTGCTTTTGTCACACCTTTTTTGGCCATCACATGCGATTATTAATTAAAATCTAAATCTATCCCATTCTACTAGGTTCCTGCTCTTTTTGTCCAATAGTCAAGTTTCACCCAAGTTCAACGAATCCATGCTCAGAGTTCCTTTCACCCACAATGTCACAAAGCACAGATTCGATACGTGATGTCCTAGTTTCTGGATGACTTGTGTCACGCACTGCATTTTGTAGTGACACACGCGTGCACAACCTTTTGTAGAACCTACTGCGCCCCCCTCCAGATAAGCCCCAAAAAGTTCGAAAAGCATGCTTTTTATGTAGAGACTTTAAGAAGGAAAAATGGGACAGATTTGGTTTCAAAACCAATCAATTGAAACTGAAGTTGTGCGCTCAGATCGTTTTTGCTGCCCCATAGCATTTCCCCTAGTAAATGCTATGACCCATTTAGTAGCGAATCATTATTTTCATTGTAACCCGTTTTCACTACAAAATGGTTCCGTAAAGTCGTTTTGTAGTGACCGACATTGGCTTTTGATCCATCATAAAAACACCCAAACCATTTTGTAGCAAGGGGGGTTGGTTCAGATTCAAGCTTCATTTTGTAGTATAAGGCTGTGTTTGTAAACGGTTTAGTGGGCACAACTTCTCTGCAGAATGCACACAGGGATGAAAATCATAGATCAATGATTTTGCTATCGCGAATGGCAATTGAGGCATTAAAGACAAACCCTGCTGATTGGTTAAAATTTAGAGGGTTGCACTAACTGGTTTGGAGATTATGACAACCAACAATGGACGGGGTACCCATTAACTAGCCAGTGTAATGGGATTGGACAAGGATATTTATCATGGCTTGATTGTTCAGTTTCCGTGTTGAATTTCAGGGGCAAGTGCTACAAAAGTCATATATAGATGAGTTGCTGTTGCCATCCCCAGCCATCCCCAGGCGCTGGGGTAGTACAGGCTTTTGGGAAGGTTTGTGATTTCGCCGATGGTTTCTAATGAAGTATGTATATTTGTTTGGCCTTTATCTTGCAGCCCTTCCCGGGATGATACCTATTGAAATATTGATGATTATTATTTATTATCATGATGGTGTTGATGATGGTGATCAGCGCTGCTATTATATATATATATAATATTTATGTTCCATTGTGCTCCTTCTATAATGATAATGATGATCCCAAAGTCACCAACCCGTCATGATACATAAATGATCATAAATGCAGGTCGGGTAAACCGTGATTTTTCTTGCCATATGTATATAAATGCATGTAGGGATACATATATATATATATGGATATATCATAGCCAGCTGAAAATGATTTGAATCGTGCAGATGCCCATCCAAGCTTCGCCGTAGTCAATGAATTGGCGCAGGGTTAGAACATGTTAGAACTGTGATGTGTTTCGAATCACAATGGCCAAACATCCGAGGTATATACATCCCAATTTTTGGGCAAACTCAAGTATCATTGGAAAGCTTACCGCATATAATTATACATCTTCCAATATAGCTTCCAATATAGCTTCCACTATATTCATATGATATCCCCAGAGGGTCTCCTGTCCATTTTGAGGCAGACCTTTGGGAGGGGACATGGCGCCACCACGATGACGCCGCCTCTTCAGGCCGCACCAGCAAGTCCGAGGCCATCCGAAATAGTCTGTTTTGCAAACCATCATAGGATGTCATATTACGTAGTTATATATTATATGCATATCTATACATACATATTAATGTGGGTTATATATATATATATTGCTATGGTGCTTCAAACATCTTCAAGCATCTTCAAACCATCTCAACCACACCATTCTGAAACATCCCACGATATCGCACGCCCCAGAAGTAGATGCTCTTCATCTCGGAGAACCTGACCTCGCCCTGCCCCACCTGGACCCATGCGGAGCCTGGCCTCGCGGCCACCCGAGTCGCGGAGTGCCACCTGTGACGGCGGATCTTCAAGCGCAATTGGGCGTTTCTTGGGAAAATGGACCACTTACCAAAGAAACCTTGGGTGGGTCATGTAGCTTTTTTGGCAGCTTGGATGTCGATGTCAACCATTTGGTGCAATCATGTCGGTGGATCGCCGGTTGCTGGCCACAACCGTGATGGACCATGGGACCAGGAGGTAAGGTCAGTGGCCTTCTACGGTAGCTACCGTGGGTAAACAAATTTGGCAGTGGAAAATGTTGTATGAATGGTCGTGTTTTTTTTCGTTCCACATTAACCAGTTATATAGACCAATATGCCTATAATTACTTCAATAGACTGAATGTTTTGTTAGATTGTTAGATGACAGAGTTCAACGAATTCCCTCTTGAGCATCCACCGTCAACAATGCGCTGTTCAGGGGGCGAAGCAGAGGGACATTTCCTTCGATGTGTCTTGGGCTCAGATACTACAAGAACCTCGTGATGAACCCAAACAAGGGGGATGTGTGCAGAAGGATGCAGTAGGAAAATCATTTGCTTCAGGGATGGCCATTTTTGGGGGTAAGGTGTGCGCATTTTGAAGCTTCAGCTCCCATGTTCCGGAAGCCGCACATGCTATCACATGCCGCGCTGTACTTGACAATACCAGTGAGGATTCATGGTGATGTATGGGCACCAGGGCAGTATGCAGCAGGCGAGTCACAAGTTATCTAGGGGACTAGGGAGGCGTGGGCTTGCAACTGGTATTTTTGTTGGGCTCCATTTATGGGGATGGACAAAACCTATGATACGATATTTGGTGGTGATAAACATCCAATAATATGTATGCATATTTGATTTTCGCCATGAGTACAGGGCTTTGACCAATCCTATCCCATCATATCCCATTGCAATATCTTGGCCACAGAGATCATGACTGATTGGCTCAACCGTTCTGGGCCTGGTCCTCCAAGCCCACACCCTGCCCCAAAGCCGATGTGGGGTTGGGATCAGTCCAATCCTAAACTAAACTGGACTCAATTGTCTTCAATTTTCTTCTAGATTCTAGACATTTCTGGATTTTTTGGAGAACTTTGTAAAAAGTTCATCGCCCTAATGTCTTTCCAAAAAGCTCAGTGAACTTCCGTGCCAGGCTTCATCGGCTCACGAGACCTGGTGGCACAGTACCAACGCTTCCTGCTGCGGAACGGGATCTCCTCGCCTGGAAGCCCAGGGGTGGAAACAGAACAGGGACGTTTGATATCAACATGAAGCAACCAGAGTGGGGAGTTTGATATCTACGAGTTGAACAAGTTGAACGATTCAACAGATTCGTGAGATGTTTGTGGCAGTCAGCAGGCAAGTTTGAATCCCATGGGTTTTCTTATGTTCACACCTTCTGTTCGTCTACCGAGCGAGCTTGTGGATGTTGGGTTTAAGCCGACTAGGATGATAGGCGAAGCTTGCAAATGCTGAGATCCCCAAATACAGTGGAACATAGCGGAAAAGATTTGGAACACTAAGTTTGGGGAGGAAACTAACTACACTCAGGCATAAACTCAGCTGAACATGAGCGTCTGACTGGGCATCAGTTTCAGCAGAGCCAGGCCTTGGTGAACGAACATCAACGAGTGCCTTGCCAGAAGAAACGCGCTGGGGCCCCTGGGGCATGAAAATATCATGAGATTCCCTCAGATCATGCCTGACTTCAATTGATAATGAGACTGAATGAGGCTGAATCTGACTAACTTTTGGATACTTTTGGGACCTTTGTCCCTAATTCTGGACACACCTGCTTTGGAGTGTCAGTATCCCGTTTTCCGTGGCGAAAATGATTCGGGTCTTCAATGACTTCAAGGTTGTTGAGCGATGGCCACCCCCCACTTTTGGCCGTTGAATGCAGGTAAATATACCGTGTTGATCCATTTTTTTGTTGATGAGCATCCCATCATCGTCGATTATTGCACCCATTATTGCTGAACACATCCCAACAACTGGTATGCCCAGTTCTTGTTGGTCAATACCCCCAATTGTGTTGATCGATGTCCCAGTTTATTGATGTTTATACATAGTTCCATTTTTTCCTTCGTTTGGTGATGTTTGATTGGTCAGCATCCCCAATGAACTGCTTGTTAACATCCAAATTCTGCTGGGTCATGTCCCACACATGGCAATGGACAATGTTCCCATCTAAATACCCATTTATATTCATTTATCGGGAACTTCCCATGGCCATATTTCATTAGGGAGCACGACATGCCCAACCAAGGGCCAAGGCCATTATCACAAGGCTTCGGACCTGATATCGCGGACGCTGGAAGGTGCGACGATTTGTCAGGACAGCGGATGAAAGAGAACAGCCACTGGGTGGATTTCCGGTTATTTCACCTAGGAATAGAACGTGCCCATTTCAACAATCATGCGAATCATTTGGATTTTTGTTTCTTTAACAGCTGGAGTGGGCATCCCACAAAGAAATACAAAGAATGGATCACTGGTTTGATGCCGGAAACTACAGCTTTCACATGCTTTTCCACAACTTTTCCCATTCAAATGCAGCATGCCGAGCCTTGATTCCACGGCAACGGAATGCTTGGAACATGTCGGAACCTCCTGGAGCTAGGACCCGCCAAAGTGCCGAGTCCTCAAAGGGAATTGTCCGAGGTCCTTTGGGATATATCAGTGGTCCATGTTTCGAGTGAAGCGCCAACCATTCAGTGGGATTTGTGCAAAGGCTGCTCGCATTTTTCGTGACTATGATTAATTGTGCGTTTTCCACCTTGGACTCTTGGACGTTCATCACTGCACTATACATATGTCTATATATATATATACTAACTTGTTTGGCTGCTGCTGCTTTGGTGCGCATGAATAGTCAGCATGATTCAACAAAATCATCGTTTTATATTTTGGTGACTTGATCTGTTTATGTGTGCTCTGTATTCATTATTTTTGCACTCCTTTGAAGAACATTGGTTGGGGCATGGTTGGGGCCGTCTTCCAGTCTTCCCCTACGCATTCGATCCATTGTCCTTAGGTCCCTGCTCGCGCTGCTCGTGTTGGCCGGGCGAGTTGAAAAGGAAGCGGATGGAAGCGTCCAGAGTCGGTTGCGCTGGGTTTCCTTTGAGGAGAAAAAAGCAGAGACTCAGAGACATCTGAACATTACTGAATGTTTGTATATATTTTGTAAATTATAAATGCTATAAGTTTATTTCACTTCTGAGAATATTAGTTCCAACAAACATATTAGTCATAAACCTATCATAGTTGTAGTCATGCCGAGTAAAGACAACCAAGAACCCTGGGCTGTTTGACCGAGGGTTGCAAAAGCTGCAAAGGTGTACGTACAATCTGAACCTTTTCTCAGACTTGCCTTCCAACAAGTCAATTAGTGTCTCATGAAGCCACTTCGGTCCAATGAAGGTGGATAGACAGAGAAATCCATGTGACTGTGAGCAGTATTCAAAACCTCTGTTGGTTGATTAATTGAATATGGGATTATAATACCCAACAATTTCAGGATTATCATCATCATCCATTATGATGGGAATCCCTATTGACCAGGCAGTATACAGGAACAACAGATGGTTTTGAACACTGCTCATGTCACGATGATTTTTGTTCATGTATTGAATGTAATTATGTAATGTAAGGTCCTCGTTTCAATATTGGTCACCGCATTCGAAATTGAATTGGACGAAGATGGTTGCGTCCTGAAAATAAAGGCTAAAACATGGCCAACATGATCGACTGCGCTAGGGAAGCAAATTGGTTTCGGAATCGCCAAATGTGAAACATATTAACAGACACTGCATGGTATTGCACAACCTGCTGTCACATTACACGAGATTACTAAGCACTCGCATCATCCAATCGTATCCAATGGTGTTGTATAATGTTGTATATAGCTGCATGATCCTACCACTCGGGTTAGAAACATGTTATATGTACATATGTAGAGGTGCAGTGGTTGCCATCCATTCATGCATGTTATTGCCAAAACTCTTACCATGACATGCAATCACTTATCAAGTGGGATGATCACACAAAAGTCCATGTTACTTGCTGTTGTCATCCATATTGTTCATACATATCTTAAATAAGGTTTTATCTTCCGTTGATGATCATTATACATACCAGCTGTGTTATTCATTCTCACTGTCATAGAATTGGATGATGGGAGAATTTACAGGAAACCCCTATATTTGATGGTAAAAACATGTAGATTTTCCTGTGGATTTTCCCTTAAAATAATCCATTCATACTGATGTGTGTTATGAACACCCAGGTGCTGGGGCCGCCACGCTCTACGTGGTCGAGGGCAACTTGCACGTGCGGAAACACGGGGCAGTGGGCAGCGAACGGCAGCGAAAGTTGAGAACAGTTGAGGAGTCAGGGAAGGAAGAGCAAGTCATATTGGGATTTACCTATAGATTTTAGAACCAACAAAGGATTCGTTTTATTAGTTGGTTCTATCGGCATTGATACTAATGAATTAAATCCCTTGTTTATGTCGAATCAACCTTGTTTTATCATTTTGTTCAGTTTGACAAGTGGTGGCGGGCATGGCACAAGCTGGTAAATCATGGCCACGCTAGGTGGTGTCGATTGCCCTTTGCTGTTCTTCCCCACTTTGCATTTGCTTCAGAAGTGGAATCCCCAACGAAAACGCCTGTGCTTTGCTCGCTTCTGAATCGTGGAATTTGATGAAAAACATGGAAACACTATTTCTAATGATTCCTAATTTCCATTAATTTCCTAATTTGGGTTGATAGATTTGCGAATGGATCCAGTCTTTCAATACTGCATGTAAAATGATCAATTCAATCACACCAGTCTAAGGCCCCAACCATCCAGGTCCGATTGTTTGTCATCATTTTCCCTAGGACATTTGCCAGGTTGGGTGTGTTTCATACATATGCAACTAATATAGTAGTTTTAAAAACAATGATCTAAAAAAATGGTTTCATTTCAGTATGCCTGCCCCATTTTGAGATTGCCATGTTTACTTTCCTATGATTAAGGCTGGGTGTCGTCCAGTGGGTGGCTCAAAGCCATTCACCGAAGTACTGGATGCCAATCATCAACAGGCTGTTGTCATGGGGATTCAACATGATTCAACGGGAATTCACGGGGATTATAGGAATGAGTGCTATAGGAATATTATAGGGAATATTATAGGGAATTATGGGGGAATTATGGGGATAGTTATTACGTATGTTGTAGTGCTATTTATTTCATGTTGATTGGTTCTGGTGCTATAGGAAGAATCATGGGGATGGTGGATTAGTGATGGCCCCGCGCCCATCAGGTGAGGGCTTTCTCTACGTCTCGGACACAGGCGGCCACTGGATCCATTTGGCCCTTCGAGATCGACATTTTGAAGACATGGACATGAAGTTGACAATAACCAGAGGGCAACTCTCTAAAACTTCAGCTGAAGTTTTTCAAGAGTTACCCTCTGGTTATTTAACATAGTTATGGCACATGGCCCATTGATACTATAGATTATTTATGGCGTTTTATCTATTAAAAAATTGTGATTTTCCATAGCAAAGCGTTAAATAACCAGAGGGTAACCATTCCACAGCGTTTGTCGAAATGTCGCGGCTCACAGCTTGAGCCTTGCCGCGCTGCGGGCAGCCGCGGGCAGCCGCGTTGCTGCGGGCAGCGCCGGGATGACGTGGATCTTGCGAATAGCTCTTTTGGAAGCAACGTTTCTTGGATTTTTTTCTGGGGTTGGGAAATTTTGGCGGTTTAGTAGATGGGTAGATGGGAGTAGCATACTACTGGTGGTCGTTCGTCGTTTGGATTCACGGAGCAGGCTGAAGATCTCCGAATGTAAAAAGACAGTTCGAGTGGGCAGATACTTTTATGTATATAATGCCAACATCGGATTCATCAACCCCCCCCCACCAGGTAGGTAGGGGGGGTACCTTCTGGCTAGTTTCTTGACCACCCCTTAATAATGAGCAACTCTGAACCATAAAAAATTGGATATGGCTTACGTCAATTAGATCTTAATAGAATTCTATTGGATTTGTTAAAATCTCATGGATCAGAAAGGTGGTTGATTAATGGGGGGCAAACCCTGGTTATTAATGGGGGGCAAACCCTGGTTATTAATGGGGGACATGGGCTCATGGGGGGTTACCCTTTGGGAGCTATCCAAACTGATGATTTGTATAAAGATTTTAATTAGAAATCGATCATTTGGGGAATAGTCGTTTTTTGAAATTTTCAATGATCAACTTAAACATTAAGTATAACAATAATGATTAAAAAAAAGGTAAAAACAAATTGGAGATAAATAGAATTGGAAATAAAAATTGTTGGAAAAAAATGATTTCAGCACTGGTTGTTTTTTAATCTGGGGGGTTTATTAATCCTGGGGGACCACCTTTTTTTAATTACATTTTTTTGGGGGGGCAGAAGGGGTTGATTAATACCGCGGGGTTTATTAATCCTAACTTGACATTATATATATATATGAAGAATCCTCAGAGTTGCATCAGAATCCATGAGAGGTTTGCACGGCATGTCATTCATGTAAAGGACGTATGCAATGCGTCAGACAGGCCTAAGCCATAGTGGTTCGAGTTTGCAGCAAAAGGGTTTGCCTTGCACTCGCTGTTGACCGCGTCCCAGCGATTTCAGTGGCACCGGAGCTGTTGGTTCGATTGGGCATTGCATTTGCATCTGCGCTGCTTCGCTTGCTTGCTCTTTTGGCCACCCCTCTTTTCCTTTGACTTTGTGTTGGGTGATTGCTTTGCCGTCTTCACATTGGTCTTGGAATTTGAGGGTATACTCCAGGTCTTCTACCACTTCATTTCTGCCTAAGGCATTGTTTTGGTGTTTGACCTCAAGCTTTTGACTTTGGCATCATCGTTGGGCCTTCCTTCCATTCTTTGTCATCGCTCTTGCGGAGCTCTACGGCAAGGCTTGGGTTGTGGAGAACATCGGTGTGCCGGGGTCTGGATTTTTTTCACCCCTTTGCGCACGAACTACCGTGCCAGGTGATAACTAGATCACCACCTTTTGCGAAACCTTCTTGAATCAGGGCTTCAACTTGCACCTGGTCTTTGCGGAGGTCATTGCGTTTTTCTTTTAGGCCATTTTGGCCATCCCCTTCTGCTTGAACCCAATGGCAGAAGAAGGAAAGGACACATCGTCCTGGTACAAGGTTCCCACGTGGTCAGGTGATCCTTCAGAATGGAGGGCATTCAAGCGAGAGATGAGCTGGTGGATCGCCTCACTTGATCCAATCAGCAGTGGCAAATACAACGTAGCAGCTCGTTGGGCCCTGAGGCAGTCGGGTGTCGTTAGAGCAAGATGTGAAGAATATGATCCGGCTGACCTTGCAGGTACACCGGCCGTGGAAGGAACCGACCCAGAATCAGGTGAAAAGGTTGTTCTACAAGCAGCTGACCCTTTCAGCGGCCTTCAGAAGCTTCTCCGATCTCTGGAAGACAGTATGGGGAAGACAGCACTGGACAGAAAGGGCGAGCTGCGGAAGCAATTCTATCAGAGCATTCGCCGGTCACCAGGCGAAAGGATTGCGACGTTTTGTACACGCTACAGAACCTTGACAGGTGAGATGAAAAGAGAAGGAATTGTTTTGCCCAGCGAAGAGCTGGGATGGTTCCTGAAGGACCGTTTGGGTCTTGATGCCTTGCGTGTGCAGCTACTTGAGACAGCACTTGCAGGTCGCGAAGAATATGACCAAGTTGAAACCGAGGTTTTACGGCTCTTCAGAGATTTGCATGTTGCTGATCCTTTGATGAAAACAAAGCCATTCAACAACCATGGTGATCAGCGGCAGACTCCCTTGCAGCGTTTCTTGAGTCAGCCCCAGCAAGGAGCTCGACAAGGCGCACCTTCCAGCAGCACTTCATCGCTCAAGTCTTTCAAAACCTCCAGCAGTTACAGGTTCAAACCGAGTTCCAATGCAAGCAGCGGCAGATCTGCTTACGTTGTGGAAGACGCCGATGAAGGCGATGAGGAAGAATGTGATGAAGAGCTGGTGCCAGATGATTCTGGCAATGGTGTTCCCAGCCTAGAAGAAGTGTTGCAAACGGAGGCTGAAGTCCTTGCAGCTGAAATCCAGGAGCTTGAAGAGTCAGGTGAGGTGGAGTCCTCCATTTTGGAAGGCCCTTGAGACGGGCGTCGAACAAGCAGCCGAGTCCCTAGTAACCATGAGGGAGGCCCGTTCCAAAATCAACGAGATCAAAAAAGATCGTGGATACCACCGCAACTCCTCAAACTCCAAAGTGAAGTTGAATGGGAACCAGGTTGAAAAGAAGAAAGGAAGAACGCAGTGTTGGGACTGCGGCGAATATGGCCACTGGGGAGGAGACAGTCAGTGTCCAAAGCCTGGAGCCGGACTTTTCAAACCCAAAGGCGCAGGCAAGAAATCTTCCCAGAGCAGCAGTGGTGGTGGCAAGCAAGTAAAGGTCGTTGAAACTTTGAACACCGAGCATGTGTTTGACGAGAACGAGAGCGGCCAGCATGAAGTTTTGATGGTGAATGTTGGAAGCCTCCCGTTTTCAGAGGCCTTGGCATCCTCAAAGCAGGAGAAGACTGGCGCGCCTGGACTTGCGCGTGACAAAGTCCTTGTGGGAGCGCTCGATTCAGCCTGCAGTCGCACATGTGCAGGTGATACATGGTTGAAACACTACTTGCACACTTTGAAGATGGCACCGCAACCAATCCAAGATTTGGTCATCACTGCCCAGGAAGAAGAATTGTTCCGATTTGGGAACGGCGGAACGCAGAGGAGTTCCGTGAGGTACCGTTTGCCTATGATGGTTGGTGGCAATTTGGTAGCTGTTTGGGTGAGTGTCGTCAAGGTCCCCAGTTTAGGTCTTTTACTTGGTCGTGATTTTTTGGATGGAATTGGTGCAGTTGTGAGCTTCACCAAGCAGAAGCTGAGACCTGACTTCCTTGATGGCAAGCTGATTGACTTAGCCCAAGTCTCGGCAGGACACTTCGCGCTCCGATTGGTCCCTTCAAGCTGGCCCAGGCTTGGTTCTCATCGTTGGCGGCGTTGGGGTGAAGATGGGATCATTGAACAGCAGTTGTCAGTCAGTGATTGGTTTTCAAAGAAATTTCATCAGCCATCTAAACAATTTGATGTTGATGTCAGCACCCATGAGCATCTTGTCACTGAGAAGGGTATTCAAGCCGCACAGTTTGCTTTTATTTCAGTGCCAATGTCGGTGGCTTCTCCGGTTCAAGCAATGTCTTCATTGACAGCGCAACCATCTACCTCTCTGAGGACCCCGACAACATCTTCTTCGACCAGTGATGCCCGTGGACGTTTCAAAGCTGACAGCAAGGTGGCGAAGATGGCTTCTCAAGCTATGGGCAAGGGCACAATGGCACGCCTATGGATTGCTCTTATGGCTTGTGCAGCGGCCATCAATCAGATTCCTGCCTTGCCCGTATCCAGCGACAGCCTCTGCAGAACAATGGATCCAGCAGACGAAGGACATGATGGAGCGAAAGCTCATCGTTGCAAAACATGGCAAGAAGGTGCTGGACCAAAACTTGTGTACGGCAAAGAATCTCCAAGATTGCCGGACTCTCACCAGCCGATTGGGCTGGGAAGTTGCGTTCATGGAGGATCCCTTGCTGGATGGCCTGCTGGCAGCCAAGTCAGCCAAAGGCCAAGCGGCCAGAATCCGAAGAGCAGTGATCGAGGATGCGAAAGCCGAGCTGGCCGAGCTGAAGTCAAAAGCACAGCGAGAAGACGCTGCGCGGCAGTTGATAGGGCCGAAAGGCGGTTTGCCGACCTTGAAAGCCGATCTGTTGCGCCTTGCAACTCTCCTGAAGGTGGATGTGGACGACTCCATGAAGGTGGAACAGATCAAGCAGGCGCTCAAACCAGTGGTGGAGCTGCTCAAAGGTCCACCAACGGCAGCCAAGAGCAAAGCAGCTGCCGACTCTGCGGGTCAGCGCCGAGGAGCCAGGCCCAAAGCCTTGCAGCATGGCCCAAGAAGCTCTTCAGCCGAGCCAGAGCCGGCACTTCCAGTTCCAGGTCCAATCAATGCAATGCCATCGACTTCAAGCCAGGGATTGACCCAGCACGACATCGAAGAACTGTTTCTGCGCCAAGATCAAAGAGTGCAGACTATGCTATCCCAGGCAATGCAGCAGATGATGGCGACCATGCAGCCGCTCCATTCCCAAGACGTTGCAGCAGCCTATGTTCAGGCAAGTCCTCAGAACTATCAACTGACGGATGCGGAGATGGAAGAGATCAATGGGCTGCACCAAGCAGAGCTTCAGGAAGAACGTCTTTGGAACGAGCATGGCGAAGAGTTGGCCTGGATGACAATGCAAGAGATGGAAGATCTTCAGAAGCAAGATCTGGAAAGATGAGCCACCATGGATTTTCTGGTCTGACCTCATCCCATTTGGACTCAAGACCTCTTGGACTTTCTGAGGCCAGGGACGATGGATTTCGAACCCCTGGGGATGAGGCAGATTCTGAGTGGCGTTTCGATGCAGATCGCATCAAAAAGGGGCAGGCACTTTTGATTTCACAAGCTTGGCAGAAACATGATCGAGCCAGGCGACTCATTTCCAAGGGCGACATTCATGCGGTCATGGAGGTGGACTGGAAGAGAGAAATGGAATCCTACATGAATGAGACCTTTGTGACGTCGTTGGAATTGACGCCCAAGCCCCATGATGGTGTTTTCGTTTCAGAAGTTTTCACCACTGTGCAAAGAGTGATCAAGCAAGCTTCAGCCAAAGGGCATTCAGTTGGTTCTGCTTTGTCTTTAGAGACAGGTTGGGATTTTCGGCGATTGGCTGATCGAAAAGCTGGACGTTTGGTGGTGGAGAAGGAAAAACCCTACCTGCTGGTGTTGGCGTTTCCTTGTGGCCCATGGTCAGCACTCATGCGACTCAACCCTGCGCATGACTTAGATGCCAGACGTGCTGAAGGCATCAAGCTGATCAAGTACGCCATTGAACTGGCTGAGCTTCAGCTATCCCAAGGAAGACACTTCCTGCTGGAGAACCCCCTCACTGCAGAATCCTGGTCTTTGCCCCAGCTGAAGAAACTTTTGCAACGTTTGGAATGCCATCAAGCTGTTTTTGATCAATGTCGTTTTCAGCTCCGTGGTCCATCTGGTTTGCTTCACAAGAAACCTACAAAGATTGCAACGAGCTCTGAAGCAATCGCCCGGAGGTTGGATGGAAGACGATGTTTGCGAGATCATGAACATGAGCATGTTTTGGGCGGTGGAAAGATTACATCAGCTGCTGGCCTCTATACCAAGGAGTTGGCGAATGAAATCATTCTTGGTTTGGAGGAGGAATTTGAACAGTCTCAACGTCGAGCACCTCATGAGACCATGGCCGTGGAGGAGGGTGACATTGAAGATGATTTGGATCGCGAGATTGATCCACCTATGGAGATGCGAGATTTGGAAAGCAGCGATGATGAGGTGAAAATTGCACCACCCAACATGAAGATTCCGGCCAGTGTGAAAGAGGCAGTGCGCAAGCTTCACAACAACACTGGGCACAGGTCCAACAAACGCCTGGCCAGGGCGTTAGCAATTGCAGGTGCTCCTTCGACAGCAATCATTGCCGCCAAAACTTTGCAATGTGCTGTATGCCAAGAACGAAGAGCGCCAAAAGCAAGGAGACCAGCTACCTTGCCTACACCTAAAGATTGTGGAGACCAAGTTCACATTGATATCTTTGAGGTGGAGGACCTGACCGAAACACGTTTCTATGCTGTGCACATCATTGATGCTGTGAGCCGTTTTCAGATGGGTGAAATTCTCGCCGACAAATCTGCAGACTCAGTGGTGCAGTTTGTGAAACGGCGGTGGATGCCGATTTTTGGCCCCCCTCGAGTCCTAGTCGCAGACCAAGGAAGAGAATTCGTCTCTTGGAAATTCGAGGAGATGGCGGCACAGCACAGCACTTTGTTGTGGCATACAGCAGTTCAAAGCCCGTGGCAGAATGGAATCTGTGAGAAGGGCGGCGGAATTTTAAAAGCAATTGTGGCAGCAGTTGTGAAAAGCCAGTCTGTGGTTGGACGTGAGGAGATGGAGACGGCCCTTCAAGAAGCCATCACGGCTTATAATGCAGACATCAACGAGGCCGGAGTTTCTCCTGCCCAAGCTGCTCTTGGACGACAACCAAAGATGACAGGTGACGTTTTGGGAGACTTTGGACAGCGGTTAGCTGAACATGGTTTGGTTGAATGCCGGCCGACAATTGCCCGGCAGGTCGCAATGCGGGAGGTGGCAAAACTTGCAATGCTACGTCTTCATTTTTCACGTGGCCTTCGCCGAGCAGAGCTTGCACGTTCCAGAACCTCCACAGTCACCCAAGAGCTTGAGCCTGGCATGATAGTTTACTACTATCGCATGTCCAAGTACAACGCCAAGACTGGACCTTCCAAGAAGAAGCTTTCTTTGAAGCGGTGGCATGGCCCTGGTTTGCTTGTGGCCTTGGAGGGGCATGCAAATTGCTTTATCTCCCACAAGGGGCAGTTGGTCAAGACTGCGCTGGAGCATGTGAGACGTGCCTCTACGATGGAGCAGATCACCGCCGATGAATGGGAGCTTGCTGTCCAAGATGTGGTTGAAGCGGCTATGAGAGACAATATCCAACCCCTTGAAGTTGAGCCTGAAGTGTCGGAGCCTGCAGCACCAGCACAACAACCACAACCTGAACAAGCTGATCTTCCTCAAGTGCCAGTACAACCTCAAGAGCTTGCCGCAGCAATGCAATCAATGGCTGCGAGTGCTCCTCCTTCAGTAAGTGCACCACCATCAAGGAGATCCAGTTTGTTGAGCAATTCATTGCGTGGCCGTGGTGGTTTGGTGAGCCAACCTCAAACACCTCTCCCACCTGTACCTGCGTCTCCCAGACCGGGTAGTGGCAGAAGTTCGCGCATTGAAAGTGCAGTTGGACGGCTGATGGAAGATAGTGAGCGCAAACGAGCGCCCGAAGTTGCAACAGAGATTCTGCAAGATGCTGAGCGTGAATCACGCGCGACTGGTTCTGCTGACCTTCCTGTTTCTTCACAGCCTGGTGAAACAGTTGAACATGCCTCCATGTCAGTGGAACAGGTGATGTCCGGCAGCCGACATCCGCTGAGCATCATTGCCGACCTTGCCAAGCAAGATCAACAAGATCCTTTGGAGCATGCGGTTGAAGACCATGGTTCTTGGGACGGCAGATGGCCGACACCTTCACGAACTGACTGGGAGACTCATGAGCGCTACGGTTTGTCGTGGCCTTGCAGTCGTCCAGAAGTTTACGCAGTTCAAACTGCACGCAAGGAATACAAATGGAAGGAGATGCAAACCGAGGACAAGCCGCACTTCAAGGAAGCTGCAAAAGTTGGTTGGCAGGCATGGGTTGACAATGGGGCGGTTGAGCTTTTGAACGCCCGTGATGCCCAAGCAGTCCGCGCAAGACTCAAAGCTCGTGGGGAACAATGCAAGATCCTCATTCCAAGGTATGTCTACACGGACAAGCATGATGGAATCAGGACATCCTCCAGACCATTACCTCTGAAAGCCAATGCCCGTTTGGTTGTGCCTGGATTCCGAGATGTAACTGCTTACACTGTCCGTAAGGACGCTCCAACATGCTCAAGGGTAAGTTTTCACTATCTCTTGGTCTTCAGCAGTTCAAAGCGCTGGCGACTGGTGAGTGCAGATGTGAAAGCAGCCTTCCTGAAAGGCGAGGAGTTCAGCCCTGGTGAACGTGACCTTTACATTGGCCAAATCAGAACTGGCGATGCAGATGAGCCTTGCCTACCTCTTGGAGAAGGACAACTTGCCCGCCTGAAGAAAGGCATTTTTGGGTTGGCAGACAGCCCCCGGCGCTGGTATTTGCGCCTCCACAAGTCTTTGACTCGACTTGGATGGCAGCGCTCAATCATTGACAGCGCGATGTGGCTTCTTTGGAGCGACAGTGGCGAGTTGGAAGGGCTGGTCATCAGTCATGTTGATGATTTGCTGATGGGCGGCAACGCCCGTGCCAGAAAGCTGTTGGATGAGCTTGGACGAGAGCTTGGGTTTGGCAGTTTGGAAAGCGGCAGTTTTGTATACTGCGGCAAACGCATCACGCAGGACGAGGAGGACTTTTCCATCACTGTGGACATGACTGAGTATCACGAGAATCTCAAACCGGTCCCAGTTCCTCTTCACCGCAAGCGTGAGCCTGAGTCACCATTGACACCTGGCGAGCAGAAGCAGCTGCGAGCGATCCTTGGAAGTTTGCAATGGTTGGTATCTCAAGTGAGAGTTGATTTGGGGTTCCAGCTATCTACGCTTCAAGGAGACCGTCAAGTGGTCGGCACTCTCTTGCGAGCGAATGCCTTGGTGAGACAGGCGAAGCAAAACTCTTCATTTGCATTGCGCTACTTGCCCATGGACTTGAAGTCTTGTGGTTTGCTGGTTGTGACTGATGCGTCACTTGGCAATGTGTGCAAGAATGGCAGTGCAGACGGCAGCGTTTCTGACCGAGTCTACAGCCAGGCAACCTACTTCATCATGGTCGCAGACAAGAATTTGATGAGTGGAAAGCCAGGTCGTTTCAACTTGGTGGATGCGCGAAGCCACCGACTGGGAAGGGTTTGCCGCTCTACTTTTGGAGCGGAATTGCTGAGCTCTGAAGAGGGCCTTGATGCAGGGCAATACGGCCGTGGAGTTTTTGCAGAGCTGATGGGATATCCCATGGAACATCGTTCTGCTGAGCTCAGTGCTGAGCAAATTCCATTGCAGCTGGTGACGGATGCCAAGGACAACTTTGACAAGTGCAATAGCGACACGCCGACTTACGGCAGTCAGAAATCATTGGCATTCACCATTGCTTGGTTGCGCAGTGCCCTCAGAAAGGAGAACACCACCATGTCATGGACGAGCACACAAAACATGTTTGCTGATGGCGGGACGAAGCTGATGAAGCTGGAGCACATGAGCAAGATCCTGCAGTCCAATGAGTGGAGCGTTACGTTTTCACCCAATTTTGTGAAACAATTGGTCAAGAAACCGACCAAAGCAGCCGAAAGGGATTGTAGCAAAGCCTTGATAGGTAGTCCAGTTGGTAGCGCAGACCCAATGCACGGACATTTGCTGAATCTAGGAGATCAATTCGGATGGCACAGGAAAGACCAATATCTTGTGCATGTAGCCAAAGATGCAAAAGCATGTAGGACGCCAGAGCCTAGAGCTGAGTCATCGGCATTCCCCTTGAGAAGCACGTATGGCAAGTTTGTTGATTCCAATGGAAGTGGGGAATGGCGAAAATTAGAAGACAAAGTCCCTTATGTCGGATTGCCCAATAGACATGGCGCAATTGGCGACACGGCTGCGAACCTTTTGACAATTTTCATGCCATGGATTCTGAAGCAAGAAAGAAATTTACCAGCTGAAGAATCCTCAGAGTTGCATCAGAATCCATGAGAGGTTTGCACGGCATGTCATTCATGTAAAGGACGTATGCAATGCGTCAGACAGGCCTAAGCCATAGTGGTTCGAGTTTGCAGCAAAAGGGTTTGCCTTGCACTCGCTGTTGACCGCGTCCCAGCGATTTATATATATATATATATGTGTGTGTGGATATATTGGGATGTATTTAGGTTATGAAGGATGAATGATGCAAGAACTATTTGAATTATATAATTATATAATATTTATATATATATACATATGAGCATTTAGGGACCCAAGCCAACCATATTGGTTCTAAGTACCTTGTTGTTGTTCATGTTTTTCCGTTCTAAATATCAGGTGTTTTTCCTATTTTTGTTCTAAGTATCAGGTTTCCGACATGTTCTATGTTGAAGTTGAAGCTCGCGTTTTTGGAAAACAAAATCTAAGTGTTTGTCCGTCACTATACACTTTGGATGACCGATATCGAAACGGGTAAAGCCCTTTCTCTATAGGTTTATCATAGTTTATCATCTAAGAGTTGCACATTACAGTTGCATAGTGATGGCATCAGGTACCAAAACCCAACTGATTGGCCCCCAGGCTATGGCATTCGGCAGCAGAAAATTTGGGTTGCTACCACTATGGCTTTGCTTTTACGATGCTTGACCTCAATGGTTTTGCACCGCATCTGAAGATATTCGATATATGATGATTATTGTGTATCTGATATGTATGTGTATATATATATGTATGTATGTATGTGTGTATACACATATATCTATGTTATATATATATATGTGTGTGTGTGCGTGTGTGTAGGCAGCTATAAAGATCAAACCTGTGTGCTTTACTTTAGATATGAATGAATAAATAGATGATTAATAAACGAGTGTATGCACACATATTCACGCACAATATATTATATATTTATATATATGGTAACGACATTTAGATATGTGGAGGGCGGGCCAGACCGCGAGGCCCCGGAGGTAGTATGAAATACCAGTTCGTATGTTTAAATGTAGTTACGGTATGTTTAAATGAATTGGATTCCGTATGTTTAAATGGCCGGGCGGGCCAAGGAAAACCTTCCCGGAGGTAGTCCACAATACCTGGTCGTATGTTTAAAAATCCGTATATTTAAATGTAGTTACCGTATATATATATATATTTAAATGTAGATACCGTATAAAGAAAAGCGCAATCGCCCCTCGGGCCATGCCCACTGGCCGGGCCAGCCTAGCTCCACTTGCCAATAATTGGCTTTGTGTTTCTAGAGGAACCAGTGAACAGGATTCGTCTTGATAACTTATTGCATGGCAGCTCATGCCATCCGTACATCTCCGTACTTAACATCTCTTGGTGGCTATTAGGATCTGGATATTATTTGGATGATGGGAAAAGTTTGAAGAAGCTGGGGATAGCAGATATTGATACATATTGTAATTTCATGTAATTTCCATCATGTTTAATATTTGACTCTGCTGGCACATGCCCTGCGAGGAACCCTTTGACAAACGTTTCGGGGAATCCCTTCCAAAAGCTCTCCGCCTATGAGCGCCTTGCCGGGGACAGATATATACAGATGTAAGATCAGCACGACGTGAACGATGACGGGCTACTGCATTGTCAGGCGGATGTATCCTAACTTTCATTTTAAACGCATGCTGATGAGAAAGGGGTTCATGTTTCAAGATTTTAAGGCCGCTGTGCTTGATTTGTCAACCTAGTCCAGGTGGGGAATCAGGAAAACTTGCAACAGCTGTCCATGTGAAGATGGTGGAAATGGAAATTGGCTTAGTATGTGACGGGACGTGGATGTTCATCTCCTCTTTCGCGTATCAACCATCCTATCCACCATGAGGATCCATGAGAATCCATGAGGACCATTGTTTCGTGGTAGCCTAGGTGCCAGATACAGTGCAAGAACACCGTTGGCTGCTCCAACTTTGGTTTCTATCCTGCTACTTGGTCATGGCGGGGTATCAACATGTCGTGGCGGGCCAACACAGAGACTTACGTTTGGGTAATTTAAGGGTTTGCTATGGACCATCACTATTTTGAAATATTTTGAATAGGTAAACCATCTATGAACCTATGGGTTATTTTCATTTATTGTCCATGGCAAAGCTCTAGGGCAAACCGTTTGAAGCCCTGGCAAAAAGCCAAATGTTAAACTAATTACCAGAGGGTATGTTGAATGATGTAGTTTATGTGCTGTAATGATAAACTAACATAGGTATGGTAATTAAAAATGTGTGATTACATGATGTAGTTTCATGTGCTGTACTACTGTACCTCTTCTGTGAGAGCTACACAGCTACACCGCCAGGCCATGGCAGGCCCTTTCCCGGTTGAGATTTGCTCAGGTCAGCGGTTCCTGCTACGTGGGCCACGGCGGAATCCTCTATGCAGCCAAGGGGGCCGTTGCAGGTCCCAAGGAGACGACTGCTAAGTGCTCATGGATGTGTGATTTATATTGATATATAAATCGTGTATATATATTTATATTTTAATATTTACGTATAGATAGATTAGATAAATTAGATAGATAAGAAAGATAAATAGATGGATAGATAGGATAGAAAGGATAGATAGGATAGATAGGACAGATAGGACAGATAGGATAGGTAGGAAAGATAGGATACTGTAGATAGATTAGATAGGATTAAATCGGATTAAATAGGATTAGATAGAATTAGATAGGATTAGATAGGATTAGATAGGATTAGATAGGATTAGATAGATTAGATAGATTAGATAGATTAGATTAGATAGATTAGATAGATTAGATAGATAAGAAAGATAAATAGATGGATAGATAGGGTAGAAAGGATAGATGGGATAGATAGGACAGATAGGACAGATAGGATAGGTAGGAAAGATAGGATACTGTATATAGATTAGATAGGATTAAATAGGATTAAATAGGATTAAATAGGATTAGATAGAATTAGATAGGATTAGATAGGATTAGATAGGATTAGATAGGATTAGATAGATTAGATAGATTAGATTAGATAGATTAGATAGGTTAGATAGATTAGATTAGATAGATGAGATAGATGAGATAGATGAGATAGATGAGATAGATGAGATAGATGAGATAGATGAGATAGATTAGATAGGTTAGATAGATTAGATAGGTTAGATAGATCAGATAGATCAGATAGATCAGATAGATCAGGTAAATCAGATAGATTAGATAGATTAGATAGATTAGATAGGATTAAATAGGGTTAGATAGGATTAGATAGATTAGATAGATTAGATAGATTAGATAGATTAGATAGATTAGACATATTAGACCTATTAGACATATTAGATAGATTAGATAGATTAGATAGATTAGATAGATTAGATAGATTAGATAAATTAGATAGGTTAGATAGATTAGATAGATAGATAGATAGTTAGATAGATAGATAGACAGACAGTAGGATAGATAGGATAGATAGTATAGATAGGATAGATAGATAGATAGATAGATACATAGATAGATAGATAGATAGATAGGATAGTTAGATAGGATAGTTAGGGTAGATAGATAGATAGATAGAGATAGATAGAGATAGATAGAGATAGATAGAGATAGATAGAGATAGATAGAGATAGATAGAGATAGATAGAGATAGATCGAGATAGATGGAGATAGATAGAGATAGATAGAGATAGATAGAGATAGATAGAGATAGATAGAGATAGATAGAGATAGATAGAGATAGATAGAGATAGATAGAGGTAGATAGAGATAGATAGAGATAGATAGAGATAGATAGAGATAGATAGAGATAGATAGAGATAGATAGAGATAGATAGAGATAGATAGAGATAGATAGAGATGAATAGAGATAGATAGAGATAGATAGAGATAGATAGAGATAGATAGAGATAGATAGAGATAGATAGAGATAGATAGAGATAGATAGAGATAGATAGAGATAGATAGAGATAGATAGATAGAGATAGATAGATAGATAGAGATAGATAGATAGAGATAGATAGAGATAGACAGATAGATAGAGATAGATAGATAGATAGAGATAGATAGATACAGATAGATAGATAGATGGATAGATAGATAGGATTAGACAGGATTAGATAGGATTAGATAGGATTAGATAGGATTAGATAGGATAAGATAGGATAAGATATTTAAGATAGGATAAGATAGGATAAGATAGGATAAGAAAGGATAAGATAGGATAGGATAGGATAGATAGGATAGATAGGATAGATAGGACAGATAGGATAGATAGATAGGTAGGTAGATAGATAGATAGATTAGATAGATTAGATAGATTAGATAGATTAGATAGATTAGATAGATTCGATAGATTCAATAGATTCGATAGATTAGATTAGATAGATTAGATAGATTAGATAGATTAGATAGATAGATAGATGGATAGATAGATAGATAGACAGTAGGATAGATAGGATAGATAGGATAGATAGGATAGATAGGATAGATAGGATAGATAGATAGATACGATAGATACGATAGATACGATAGATACGATAGATTAGATAGATTAGATAGATTAGATAGATTAGATAGATTAGATAGATCGATTAGATCGATTAGATCGATTAGATCGATTAGATCGATTAGATCGATTAGATCGATTAGATCGATTAGATCGATTAGATCGATTAGATCGATTAGGTCGATTAGATCGATTAGATCGATTAGATCGATTAGATCGATTAGATCGATTAGATCGATTAGATCGATTAGATCGATTAGATCGATTAGATCGATTAGATCGATTAGATCGATTAGATCGATTAGATAGATAAGATAGATAAGATAGATAAGATAGATAAGATAGATAGATAGATAGATAGATAGATAGATAGAGAGTAAAGTCCGATTGCGCAACTCCGCTTGCGCAACCCGTAGGATTGCGCAACTCTGCTTGCGCAACTGCTTTTGACAGATTGCGCAACTCCCAGGATTGTGCAACTCTGCTTGTGCAACTACGCTGGCCGGATTGCGCATCTCTGCGACTACACTTCCTCCAAACAATTCCAGCCCCCATAGAACTTGAAAATGACACGTGCCGTCCACAAGAGCAACACAGTATCAAAATTCCCACCCCCATGGAACTTCAATGTGACTTGGCGTGTCCAAGGTTAAGACGATATCAAAATTCCCACCCCCATGGAACTTCAAACTGACTTGGAGTGTCCACAAGGCTAAGATGATTAAGATGATATGAAAATTCCCACCCATATGGAATTTCCAACTGACTTGGAGTGTCCACAAGGTGAAAAGATATCAAAATTCCCCACAAGAGCAAGACATTATCAAAATTCCCACCCCCATGGAACTTCAAACTGACTTGGAACGTCTACAAGGTTAAGATGATATCAAAATTCCCATCCCCATGGGACGTCAAACTGACTTGGGTGTCCACAAGGTTAAGGCGATATCAAAATTCCCACCCCCGTGGAACTTTAGAGTTTCACAATACCAGTTTCACAACCTGACCAGAGTTTCACAATCCGGCTTTAGAGTTGCACAATCCTACTTTATATTTTCACAATCCGAATTTCAAGTTTCATAATACAAGTTTCACAATCCGTGCGGCAAGTTTCACAATCCGTCTGGGAAGTTTCACAATCCGACCGGGAAGTTTCACAATCCGACGTTGACCATAGACAGATAGATAGATTGATCGATCGATCGCTCGATCGATAGATAGATAGATAGGTAGATTGATAAATTGATAGGTTGATAGATTGATAGACAGAGAGAGATAGAGATAGAGATAGACAGATAGAGATGTATAGAGATAGAGATAGAGATGGAGATGGAGATGGAGATAGAGATAGATAGATTGATTGATAGATAGAGATAGATAGATACATAGAGATAGAGAGATAGATAGATAGACAGACAGATAGATAGATAGATAGATCGAGATAGATAGATGGAGATAGATAGATAGAGATAGATAGAGATAGATAGAGATAGATAGAGATAGATAGAGATAGATAGAGATAGATAGATAGATAGAGATAGATAGAGATAGATAGATAGATAGAGATAGATAGAGATAGATAGAGATAGATAGAGATAGATAGAGATAGATAGATAGAGATAGATAGATGCAGATAGATAGATATAGATAGATAGATAGATAGGAATAGATTGGAATAGAAAGGAATAGATAGGAACACATAGGAATACATAGGAATAGGTAGGAATAGATAGGAATAGATAGGATTAGATAGGATTAGATAGGATAAGGTAGGGTAAGGCAGGGTTAGATAGGACTAGATAGGATTAGATAGTAGGATTAGATTGGATTAGATAGGTTTAGACAGGTTTGAATAGGTTTAGATAGGGTTAGGTAGGATTACATAGGATTAGATGTGGTTAGATAGGATTAGATAGGATTAGATAGGACTAGATAGGATAAGGTAGGATAAGGTAGGGTAAGGTAGGATTAGCTAGGAATAGATAGGATTAGATAGGATTTGATAGGTTTAGATAGGTTTAGATAGGTTTAGATAAGATTAGAAAGGATTAGATAGGAATAGATAGGAATAGATAGGAATAGATAGGAATAAATAGGAATAGATAGGATTAGATAGGATTAGATAGGATTAGATAGGATTAGATAGGATCAGACAGGTTTAGACAGGTTTAGATAGGATTAGGTAGGGTTAGATAGGATTAGATAGGTTTAGATAGGATTAGATAGAGTCAGATAGGGTCAGATAGTATCAGATAGGAATAGATAGGAATAGATAGGAATAGATAGGAATAGATAGGATTAGATTGGAATAGATAGGAATAGATAGGATTAGATAGGAATAGATAGGATTAGATAGGGTTAGATAGGATCAGACAGGTTTAGACAGGTTTAGGTAGGATTAGATAGGATTAGATAGGATTAGATAGGATAAGATAGGGTCAGATAGGGTCAGATAGTATCAGATAGGAATAGATAGGAATAGGTAGGAATAGATAGGAATAGATAGGAATAGATAGATAGATGAGATAGATGAGATAGATGAGATAGATTAGATAGATTAGACAGATTAGATAGATTAGATAGATTAGATAGATGGGATAGATTAGATAGATTAGATAGATTAGACAGATTAGATAGATTAGATAAATGAGTTTTTTTTTACTCTGTGTGTGTGTGCAGTATCTAGTAAACCTAGCAATGGACAATTGACGACAGTTCCAGGAGTGTCCAGTGCTGAACAAGGCCTGCACGGAGCTGGCAGATGCCAGTTTCCCAGGGGACACGCCGCCGCAAACCATGCAGGCGTGGGATCATAAAGATCACGGATACGGAAGAAACCATCTGAAACCCTGTGGTTTATTCACGTCGCTTCGCGACGGCAACCGCCCGCACCGCATCGTTGGGCAGCCGCTCGTAACTGCCAATGATGTCGGCCATTGAGACCAAAAACATCCGAAAGTACTGATTGTCGGAAAAAAAAACGCGAAGAATTTGATAGCCATGTATAGCGGACCAACGCAGTTCAAAAAATAAGGAAAAACATGAAAAAACGGCGAAATTGCTGTTATTTACAGTGTTTTTGCGCGGTGAGAAGCAGAAACCACTGCAAATACCATGGTTTTTGAGGGTCAGGTGGCCAAAAACACTGTAGTTTACAGTGTTTTTTAAACCAACGTCAAAAAACACTGGTATTTACGATGTTTTCATTCACACCGTAACATAAAACAGCGTAATTTACGAGGTTTTTGGAAGTTTTGAAGCTAGCCGTCAAGCATGCAGAAAACAGAAAAACACTGTAAAAACCAGTGTTTCTGCTATCACAAAACGACGAAAATCAGTCCGAAAACGGGTCCAAAAACTCAAAAATCCGCCTCCGGGCCCGGCCACCTGCGGAACCGCAAAAAAAGATGTTGCAAACCAAAAAATTGAGGTCAAAAAGTTGAAAAACACGGGGTTTTTTCACTTTTCGCTTGCCGATTTTGGACGGGCGCGTTCACGAACAGGTGTCTTCCGTACTGTTTTTTACAGTGTTTTTTGAAGGCGAGCGTCACGACCTATCAAAAACAGGAGGTTTTGGCCGAAAAATGGGACGTAAACCTGTAACCTTTTACGAGTGCCATCCGGAAGATCACGCCCCAGCACCTTCGGTGCGGGCGGATTTAACATGATAGCATTTAATGGGCATGTATGGGCATGTTAACATTAACAGTTATATAATAACGATCCATTAATGAATGTTTTATCATCTTCACCATTAACATGGTGCGTGTAACAATCAAAAGACATGGGGATGCCCAAAGTCAAGGCCAGTCCTAATGTGGAAAAGTCAACGATCATCCGGAAAAAATTAGAATTTGCTACTGAAATGGTGCTCTCCAGCAAAACAGCCTGGTGAGGTATTAATTTAATTGGGCCTGACATTGTTATCATTATTCCGGTACCATACTGGAGAACAAAATCACCTTTTTGGGGTATGGCTTACCTCCACAATGGCAAAACCATAGTAGATGGATGTACTGTAATATATACTGTAGCAACTCACAACAAGATAGAACAGTTGGACCTGGAAATTAGTTGAAATTATGGTCAACACAGTCCTCTCCTATTTTTATCGGGGTTACTATGGTTTGTCCAACGTCCATTTTAAAATTGAAGGTCAACTGCCATAGTCATTTGTGGGTCCCTGACCATTCGATTTTTGGCAGCTGTGAAGCAATTCCCATAGCGGCCATTCTAATGATTTCCGTGTCTGTCGTCAGCAAAATTTGTTCCCGTATATATATATATATATTCGGGTTGGCCTCAATCAGATTATGTAAATTTTAATCATATGATTGATTTTTTGTCTCAATTTGGCTTTGCATTTGGTGAATGAAATACAGTTGCAAGATGTTATAAGAGTTATTTTTTTCAGTCGCATACAACCTCTCCTGCTTCGCATCCCTGGCAGGCATGGCCAGGGGGTGTGCAGCCCACGCCTTTGCAGTGCTGGCCAAGAGCTTTGCATGCGATTTTGGGATGGTCCAAAAAGGGATGCGTCCCATGTGTATGGCGGGTTCACCATCATTTTCTCTATGAACATTTCAAAAATTTCACCATATTTTTTGAACAGGTCCTTTCTGGAGGTCCAAACCCTTCTGGAACAATCATTGTACGAAAATGGGTAGCAATGGCTACACAGTTGAGGTATGTTGGGGTTGGGTCCATGATTTAAGGGATGTAACATGGTAACTACAACATATTACAACTATAGCTGGTCCAGCCATGAAATGCCCATAGCCAATCGAGATCCTGACTGCTAGGATTGTCCCATCTCCAGCTGCTGTTGGAGCATGGAGTTGGGGGACGAGAGAGCTGGTGGCCTCACAATGGCAATCCCTTTTCTCAAATGTAAAATTTCCAACCACCAGATTTGAAACCCTGGTTTAGTATGGTTTAGTACTGGATTTCTTCATTTTGAAAGGGTGCCTTCTTCGGTGTGTATCTATAAAAACTAGAATGAACGAAGGCGATATGATTTTGCAGAAGTGCCAAGGAAGATCAGATGGACTCCTCTCTCGTTGTCGGAACCAGACGGCCATAGTCCTCGAAGACACTCAAGATGGATGGCCGGGACAGTGTGGCTCGGCAAGCACGTTGGTGACCTAAGGCAATGTGAAGGGGAGGGCACAGCCATAGATATACATATAAATATACGGATACATGTTACTTCATGTTATACATATACACACATATATATATACACACATACATATACACAGGACCCCTGGGATTGCGAACCTACTCACCTCATCTAACCTCAAGTATTAACCACTTGCTAGCTCCACTGCTCATCCACGTATCCAATGGTCACCCTGGAATCCGCCACCATCAAACTTTCAGATTAGCCTTTTAAGGTGATGGTTTGGTCAAGATCACCGATCTGAAGGGCAACTTGGGCTACATTAGACGCTGCATCGGCCAACTATGTTGGTTTCTATTTGGAGTCAGCGGAATGGTGCAGGGCCTTTGGGCAATGGCGGTTGCACATTTTGAGCATGGGGATCATGGGGCATTGTAAATTTGGCCAGCCTTGGCCTTTTAGAGAACAGATGTTTTACTCGCCAACTTGGAGCTGTTGAGCCTGGCCCAAATTCAACGCTTTCCCCACATTAGTCTCCATGAAGGTCCAGCGAAAGCTGGGGGGCAAACACTTGGAGCTGGGGTGTTCCAAGTCGATGTGTTTGACCGGGACCCCGCTTTGCGAGGTCCGTAGGAATCTTGTTGAAGCTTTTGCCAGCAAAGCCGCAACAGTATCCGTACGAAGCACGAACACTAGACATTGTTGCTTCACAATTATCACGAGATATCATGAGTATAGTAGAGTTCCCACATAAAGAAGCGACAAGACCTTGCCTGCATCTGCGCATGGAAGCGAGATCGCTTCATTATACTCCATTTACGTTCATGTGCAATATAATTATGGACAATTAATTATACTGATGCGACACTGATGCGGGTCTAGAAAGATAGAGCAACCTGAAGCCACCAGGCTACCCATCCACTTATGGTATGCTCGTACGCCTACCTCAAAACATCCACTCAAATGGCAGCTTCACTGGTATATTTGAATCTAAATAAATAAACAAATAAATAAATACACACGCATACGTATATATATATATACGCGTATACATTTGTGTATCCTTATGCAGACATGAGTGCCTTCACAGTGTTCCATATGTGGATCGCAACGTGGATGGCATGGATGGCATGACCAGTTCACAGCGTGGATCGCAACGTCCCAGGTGGCGAAACCTGCCAGACACGCTGCATGTTGACCCCCTTGTGCTCGGTGTGGGCCATCGAGTCCACCACAGATCGCTATGGGGCCACCACCTGCTGGCATGGCATGCTGGGATACAACTGCACCTGGGGCTGGAAATGGATGGTGGATGGATGGGGAAGGGGGCACCTTCTGGAAAATTCATGGAAATGGATGGATGTGAAGGGTTGCAGCTTGGCTTGGGTTGTTCCTGCATTTGGTTTGCCAGTAGAATTCGATTATTCAAAAGATGCTGCAAACCAACGAAACCAAGCGCCAGTATCTATATATATATATATATGTACAGTATTTATCAGATCAACCATATGCTAACCATGGGCAAGATCCCTCCATTGATCCTATCGGCCCAATGATGATCCAATCTTAAAGTGGAAGTAGCAATGACTTTCATGTGACCCTTTCATGTGACCGTGGAGGCTTGTGCAGCTTTTGGATCTGTGTTTGGCTTGCAGGTGCCATCAGGTGCCATGGCTGCTGGCTGCTCAGGTTCCTACAATCCAACCGGCATGAGGCCAATAAGGGCACAGAGACTTCAGCACGGAACTTATAGGCACGGGACTGTTTGCGTGTGTCACCATGAATTCGCACGGGCCTGGATAAGCATTGGGTTTGGATAATCATGGGGTGGTTTGGATCATAATTTTGTAGTTGGGTTTGGATACGTTTGGATAATCATCATCGGATAATAAGTAAGGACCCCAGTTTGGATATTGATTGGGTGGTTTTGGAATCTTTTGGACGTTTTGGGCTTCTGATGGCTTTCTTCAACTGCTACTGTATTGACTTGTTGCCGCCCCAATCCAGCCAATTCTGCCATGCCTTTTGGGATGTTTATCACTTGGACTTGGGTTCAGTGTTGCAACACCATGTGACCAAGGTCGGGCCGATTTATGTCACATGTTTGGTGCAAAAGCTCTGACATGTAGCCCTCTGACTGAGCGGGGTATTGTGACCCGCAACTGCCCGGCCACAATCCCAGGTGCAAGGGGTCCTAGAAACTCACTCTCATAACCAAGAATTGATCGTATTTTATTGAGGCAAACTCATATGCCCACGCTCTAACATATGTTTTGCTTTTACAATATTTTACATATCCAAATGCATCCAAATGCGCCACAGCGTATGTGGATGAGTATTTCAGAATGGTGTCCGCCAGACCCGGGTCATCCAGGGTCCTGATGAATTCGGCGGGCGTGCAGCTGCTTGGCCTGCACAACAGCTTCCGTCACTTGGCTGCGAAACCCCTGTTGGATGACGATAAGTGATGAACATGAACAGAGGGTTAATAACCATTAATAACCAACAACTATTGATCATTAGTTGATGTTTCATTATCATCTACTGGTTGATGATCCATTGTGGGAACGGATGGTTTTAAACACTGCTCAACTCCAAAATTAGGAGATATGGGCATTGGGGGTTTAATATTTCCTGCACCCCTACTGTATCCGATCCGACTGGTGAATTTTGGCGTTGCTCAGGTGGCACTGTCTTCAAAAACTGGGAGGAAGGTGCCAAGCACTGTAAGCTGGAGTGCAGGTCTTTCCTTTTGTGCCAGTTCTGGCAATATTCTAGACACTGAGTTGCACTTCTGAAGGCTTTTCAGGGAGCCGGGTGCCATTTTGGGAGCCAAAGATGATTCCTTGATCGGAAGTGGCCATTCTTGGGTAAAGGCTATATATAATATATATAGATATATATATATATAATTTATATATATATATAATTTATATATATATATAATTTATATATATATATATATATGCTAAAATCCGGTCAGATTCTGATGACCGAACCGCCTCGCTGGGGAATTGGTGTGATTTGCCCAGGTGTTTACGGAGATTGCCAGGTATACACTAGTGACCTGAATAAAGAAGACGGGTTCAAATGTCACATAGCACGTTCCTAGCCCGTGTGAGAGCTTGAACAGCCCACTGTAAAGTTGCACATGATGCGCATGCTTATGTGCCCAACAAGTATGATTTGGAGATTGAATCCAAGAGAAGATCTTACAGCGTAGCATCAAGCGTGTGTGTGCAAGTGCAAGAGAAGATCTAACAGCGCCGTGGTGTGCCCCCCCCACCCCATTTTCCCCACCCCAAACATAATAATATGGTCATTCGATGACAACCTCTAACTGACGGGCACAACTTCGAACTGACATGCGAACCACATGACGAAATCTACAACAGCGCGGTCGCCTGACAGGCGCCGTCACCAAAAACATACAGATACAGATATATGCATAATATATATATATTATATTATTATATATAATTATATATAATTATATATAATTATATGTATATTCATGATTATATATGGAGAGAGAGAGAGGTACACAGATAAGGTCAGATTATATGATATATATATATATATACATATATATTCGATAAGAGTATATAGAAGATAAGATTTGATTAGATAAGATTAGAGACGGTTAGGCAAGATTGGATAAGATTAGATAAGATTAGGAAAAATTAGATAGATACAAATACACATGTTCTTTCCCCTGGCTGTCGATAGAGGCCTACAACAGGTTTTCCTCTCAACCTCCGCTGCTGCGCGCTTGAGGAACCTATGGCTGTTTCCTGGAGATGCCACAGAGGAGCGAGGTTGGATATCCCTTGACCACCACTGGGCCCTTTGCAAGTGTGAACAAGATCCTGGGCCACGAAATTGCACAGGGGTCTAGCTTCGCTGAGCATTTGAGCAGTCAAAGGTCGGGGGGAAGCCATGGGAAATACAGTACTCAAAGGACAACCGGCTGGCTGGCACCTACAAATATGTTGTTGTTTCATCGTTTCGATCCTTGCAGCAACAAACATAATTCCAATGCTGATGTTTCAAACCAAGGACTTGATACCTTGGTTGCCACTCGTGTTGTTGAGCCCCCACGACTATAGGGTGTGCTGATTCGAACTGCATTGGTGGTTGCAGTTAAACTCACTGAGGAACAGCCAGGCTGCACAAGATATTTTGGCAGGCAGGATTTGCTTTGAACCTACTTTGATGGTCCTGATTTGGGAGCAGGAACTCATAGGAAACCTTTGGACATCCCCGGCCCATCAGAGCGCATGCAACGAGCATGGATACGGGATGATATCGGATGATATTGGGTGTATGCCCCGGTATGGCTGAACACGATGCACCAATATCATCAATATCAACCCTCAAAGCTATGAAGAAATGAAGAAACCAACCCATCGCCGCAGCATCGAGGCGAGATGATTCAGCACAACTGCATTGGCGAAATGTCGGCGATTCCAACGGCGGCCCCTTCGGCGGAAGAGACACGCTTGGTGGTGCCAGGAATTAGCCCCGGCACCCGAGCCCCCAAAGGACGGGCTGGGGCCATCAGCTTCAAGGTTTGGACCCCTTCGGGTTTCCACGGACAATCATATATAGATAATCAATAATTACTGTAGTTTGATTTCATCATGCATTCACCAGGCATGTCTGAAAATGGTGGATACCCCCAAATGGATCCCAATGCCCATTTAAATAGGAAAAATGAATAATTAAACATGATGGTCATCCATTGGATTTGGGAGTACCTTATTTTCAGACAAACCCGACAATATGAGATGATATGTTTCAATTGGACATGCTCAGTCACCTGCACATGGATTTCAACTCACCTCGGGAGCCGCAGAATATCATTTTCAACCATCCCAGTTGATACTCTGATACTCAATGACCCGGCCTCTTCCCATATCATCCCAAATCCTCAGTTTCTAAATGTTATCCTCCAGCTATCTCCAGTGGTTCAGGTGTACAATGTTCGATGGCGGAAATCATAGTGATATCTCGCATTTGGCAAAGCCAATCCCATAAACCATGCCCAATATTTCTGTACCATGGCTGGGATTGCAATGATCCCCAAAGAAATGGATAGAAATGGTAGGTTCATGCCATGGCCAATGGGTTTAGCACATTCTGAACAATTCTGAACCATTATGAATCTTTTAGCACCATTTGTTCCATGGGTTCATACTGTACATTAATGGTTCATATTATACAATATCATGGGTTTATTTATGAACCATCAGTAATTAACCATGATACTCAACCACTTCGTAAACCATATAAACCATCATTCATTACGAATCATGACTATTAACATCATATAACCATAATTATGAACCATATTTCCGACCAACCTCTGGAGAGGAACTGGTTGGCCATGGTGGGTCACCTTCTTAGTCCTTTCGGCGGTGTGTCTATGCCTGGCCGTGGTCAGTGCGGCGATCTGGATGGGGCTGGAGGACGACCGTGGGAGGGCTGGCTTTCGGGGGGTTGCCCATGTGATTTTGTGGCGTAAACAACGTGAAACATAGGGGTTTGACATGGTGGGGAGATCATAGGTTGTCATGGGGTATCTAGTTTACGCTCCAGTAAGCATACCAAAAAAAGAACAAGAAGCTACGGAGAAACCATCAGGAATGTAGATCATTCACAAGGGAAACGACCATGGATTTCCATAGCTATGTTATATATGTGTTTGTTATTTAATTAGTTAATATTATATAGTTATATCAGTTTACTGGATGGATATACACAATAAATCACAATAACAACGTGTTTGTCCATTTTTGGGCCAACGCCAAGCTGGTGGTCTGCTCCATCCCTACCACTTCTCCATGCTGGGACATTTGGGACATCTGGGGCGATGACATGGCTCCTATTCGCAAAGGCTTGTGCACGAGGGGGTGAACACTGGATCCCATCCCCATTTGATTTTTTCCCACTGAATTGAATATTTGCTTCAGTTCCCCTGTGATACCCATGTTGTACACTACTGTGCTTTCTAAAGTGGCATGGAAAGATGCAATACCCTGTTGACATACATACATACATATATATATATATATGTATACTGTATATATATATGTGTGTGTGTGCGCGTGTAATGTATGCACTACACCTTTTATACTGCATTTGTCTATGTTTATTTGCTAGTTCTGCTGGTTTTGGTCACCAGGAGCGAAGGAAACGCGGCCTGCACCAAGGAACGCGACGGCCACTGTGGCCCAGCCACCAGGATCCGCGGGATCTATGACGCCAAATGTTAGATAATTACAGCACTTAAACATCCTTAAACCCTGGTGTACGGAATCCACTGGTTAATTTGTTTGTTGAGGGTAATTAGTTGAAATCCACATTCTTCACCTGTATGAAATGCGGGTCCCAAAACGATGAAATGCTTGACAAGGATGTGGCACCTAAGCATGTTCTTAAATTTCAGGAACCAACTTGTCTATTTGACGCTTATGAGACTATATAATCAAGCAAAAGCCTCAGATAGTGGATCTAGTGGTTTTGTCCATAGAGTAGCCCCAGTTTTTTTTGAACTTGAACTAACAACCATCACATCGTTGATTGTGTATATATATATTATATATCCAAAGGCAATCCCGTAAAACATCGCAGTGTCTATGCCCATTATCCCAATAAAATCGTTGTAGTTTTAATGTCCAACGGGATGGGCGGTCCTGGATGTAGGACCCCAAAGCACATGGCTATTCCCCAGCCGCACAACGGCATGCGGCCCGGCAGTTTTGGGTTGGGATGGGCCATCTTGAACCATCAGGGCCACAGGGGTCAACCAAGCACAATCCTTTGAGCAAACAAGAGTGGCTGTTAAGCAAAGGGTTGGAGCAACAAAACAGTGAAACTTCAACAAAAATCGGGATGAAACAAGCAGAGAAGGGATGAGTCAAGATTTCATGCCGTGGATAGTGCAGATGGATGGGTCCATTTTCTTGGGGGTGCTCCATGTTGGCCCGTTGCATTGACCACCTCAAAGATCGCTGCAATGGTTCAGAGGTTCAGTAGTGACCCAAAAGTTTTGCCACCAAGGAGCAGTCTTCCAGCTTTATGCAGAACATCCACATGCCCCAGATGCCCTTTCAGTCTGGCTTCCACATGCCAGGTGCGGTGACCTGCTTGGTGGTTTGTTCTTGGGAATCCAGATAGCGATAGATAACGTGGATTCGGGAAAGGCCAGTTTTGCTGGACATGTCTTGGCATGTTTGACGAAAACCATCGTCCAACCATCTTTGAGCCATACTGTACCCAAAGAAGGACATCCAGCAACCTGCGACATATTGCAGGCTACCAAGATACCCACGTTGGCTCTGGCAATGGACGAGCCCCAAATATGCATCCAGAAGCACATGGACAATCGCGTGGAGGTCGCTACTTCTAACGGTCTATTGCTGCTGGTAGTGCGTGGCAGCGTGCCTCGGAGCCGATTTGATACTTCAGATGATTTGCAGTCATGCTGAGTCTGCAACCTGCATGATTTCTCAACTGTTGGGGGTCGCCGCTATACCAAGTTTGAGATCTCCACTGACAAGTTGAGTCAGACCAAACCATTTTGCTCCGTTCTCGACTCATAGCTGCAGGTACCATCTCAGCCACGCCCGACTTCCGCGGGCCGGCAGTGCTTCACACCACACAGTTGTGAAGATCCGAGTGGCTGAGAGGGGCCTGAGCTGAGACCGGCAAGGCACCAAATGGTATGATCCCAGCGCACATTGCCATTGGATTGGATATATCTTTGTGAATGATTGGATAAGTGTTTGTTTCATTTTTGTTTCTCCCAATGTAGCTTGAAACTAACTATATATATATATTATATATATACAAATATAAATGGAGGGATCAGCAAAGGTTGGCCATGTTGATTCGTGTTGTCGTACTGGTGATGATTGTGCACACCATGGGTAGTGTCCCAACCCCTAAGAGCATAGACAGCAAATGCCACAGCATCACCCGGCCAGTGCCAATCTCCGGTGTAGCATGTCGGGATGTTTGTGAGTTTCCACTGGCTCAGCACTCCATAGCTCTTTGATGGGTTGTGGCGGTTGTGGGGTTTGATGAGCATCGCTTTGTGGAATCACTCTTGGTCCAAGTACTAGTATGACTGATTAAGCGGAAGCAAGCTCATTTTTATTCTGAGCTATTGCAGTGTTTAGGCACACGAGATACCAGTATCAGCACCCATTTTACAGGACTAGGAATCATGAAACGTTGCTAGGTTTGTGTCTTTGATAGGGGGGGATTCTCAACTACATCATCAAAAAGTGGATAGCGCAACACATTCGGAAAGCAGTCAGAAGGCCTCCATCACTGCAGTCACTGCGCCTCCATCAACTTCCTGCGGAGACACTCGCCTTCTTCAAGAATCGACTATTAATTAATCGACTTGTGGGATAATGCACCATCTTATAATGGGTATGAAATGGTATGAAGTCTTCCCAAACATTTCCGAGGAGGTATTTCAGCTGGATCAACCGTCTAGTTGCACTTGAATGCCATCTGCAAATGCTTCGTTACAGGCACCGAATCACTTGAAAAAGGCGTGTGCCGAAGCAGCCGGGGATATTGTACCACCTCACATGATGTATTCACAGCTATTGGACCACCCACTGCCTCGAACGAATCAGTGCCCAAAATCCCGAAATGCTGAATCGCAATCAATCTGGGTTGGCTCTAGCTGTGCCTCTACAGAAGGGGAAAACACTGGAGCCGCCTTGAAGATTTCCCAAAGCCCGTGAAGCCTTGCGGGTCCAGGAAGGGACTCAGCTTGGGTGTGCCCGGCAACATCCTGCGCTCATCTGCAACTCAAGAACTGCCCTGCCTGCCCTAGCCTAGAGGGCCTAGAGCATCCAAAATAGTGGTGCCCACCAGCAACTGGCTCATCTTGGCACACTGTGTGTGCTGGAATCCTGTGCAGGCCATCATCGCGTTCAAAAGTTCGCAGTTGGCAACTCAGTCATCGCCCCTGCAAGAGATTGGAGGGAAATCTAAGGGCCATGAATGACCAATAGGAATTCATAGGATGTTCGTAGACAGGCACTTTCCGCACACATAGTTGGTGCATGTTGGTCTACAATTACTTTGAGGCAATTTTGGATTGTACCTGATTATAGCCCACGGATTTTACGATAGATCTTCCCTTAACAGTTGCTCAAGAAAACAAAAGAAGCATATTGTATTCCCTTAGCCGCCTGCCATCTTATGCAGGAAACGCAGCAAATCCATTCAAATTATCTAAAATCACCTAATATCTCACCATACAGTCCAGTTACCCTCTGGTAATTTAGCATACCTATGGAAAATAGAATCCTTAAATTCCTTAAAAAATCTATAAATAGGCTATTATCCATAGCTATGTCATAGCTATGTTACTCTGTTAAAGTACTGGGTACTGTAAATCCCATGAACCTCCGTTCAATACATGGGTGTGTCTGAAAATGTTGTGTACCCCGAAAAACCCAATGGTTTTGCTGATCATTATCCCGTTTTTAAATGGCTATAATTGGGGGTATACCCCATTTTCAGACATACCCACATCTAGTCTTGATCTTTTCGCTTGGGAGTTGGTTTTGGGAGTGTGAAATAAAGTGCCGCAGTGCGGTAGAGTCTGACATATTTGCTTCCCCAGATCCTTGTCCAGGTTGAGTCCGGATTTTAGCACAGACGAATACAGAGCTTGATGCATTGAAAATAGTGAATCTCAAACTGTTCCACCAATAAGATCCCTGTGATATCCCTATGTTTACATCTTACCTTCCAACGACTGAGATAGGGATCCTGTGGTATCCTATGGTGATGTAAACAACCGCCTGGACTGTGGCTAGCCATCCGCAAAAAATCCTGGCTCGAGTGCATCCAACGGCGGTGCGAAAGACTCGGCCCACACGTCTTACACTTCTTGCACTTCTTGCACACTTTAGTGGCGAGCATGCCGGCACGTGCAAAAACGGTTCTGACACGCGGTTTCTGAATCCAATTTGAGATGCTATGCAATGATGCATAGGTTTAGGGGGCCGTTATTAGCCTCCAGCAGACCCCCCTCTCCAGTAGCTGTGAAAGGGCGTCCGTTTGAGCAATTTCAGCCGCTTTGGCCTCTGGAAGGGCTTGGGAGAAACTCGAGGGCCGTGACAAGAGTATCAAGAGTGAGGTGCATGGATGAAAGCATCAACAGACACAAAAAATGGTTTCAATGCAACTTTTGTGTGGCTGAGACTATTAGTAAATCAACAGCCCTATGTTGCGATCAGAAGACGATCCTGACGACCATGACAATGACGATGATGATAATGTTGATTTTTAGAAGATGAGAAGGAGGAGGAGGACACCGACAGTGTAGTGGTGATTTGGTATGATGGATAAAATTGATACCATTGATGTTTGTGATTGATGCCATTGGTCTCAATGATGTCATTGATGTGCTAGAATGTGTGTGCCTTGAAGAATAATCTGGCCATCCATTTGCCTACCCAACATCATCTAACATTTATATAACTACCTACCTACCTATTTGTTTGTTTGTTTGTTTGTTTGTCTGTTAGTTTGTTTGTCTGTCTATCTACCTATCCTATCTATTTGCTTAAGTACCTATCTCATCCTATCTTAACCATTCTCCATCGGTCTCTATTTGTCTACATGCGTCTAGTTTATCATCTTTATCAATTTGTATATGCATGTGTGTGTGTGTCCTCATGTGTTGGTAAAGAGGGTGATCACGGAGAACGGCAGCTCCTCAAACCTTGAGCCACAGGATGTCTTCGGCTGGAAGTGGCATGGGGAGTGACTTGGCAGGGATGGACCCCTGGGAAAGCTGGTTGATTTGAGAATATGCAGGATATAAGATTAAAGCTGAAGATGTATTACAACAGACTGGGTTTGCGGTCTGAGATTTTGGTGCAAACTTTCAGTGAACCTTTCACTGCCTTGGTAGGCCCGTATCAGGCTGACCCCAAGCAAGGCAGGGCGGATCCAATTGGCTGCTTGCGGCTGGCAGTGGCCAGGTTGAGATATCCAGATCCAATGGAATATCATGGTTGAACGGGTTAAATCATCATTAAAATAAACAACAGATGGTGTCGCATGATCATTTGATGGTTGGGGTATCCCAAGTTTATATGTTTCTACACGTGTTTGGATTCAAAATGAGCCACCAAACAAGTTGCACAGTTCAAAATAGTTCACTGTATTGGGTGTACGCATTGTTTTTTGTCAAAGGCATCCAAGGGAATCACCGTGTTGAACTGGCAAATCACCTGCAAATCTACTAGCCTCCACGGACATGGGCACTGCCGGACCTCAATCGCGAACTCCAGATCTCAGAACAGATGCCAGAAAGAATGTCGGAATATATGCCAGAAAGTATGTCGGAATATATGCCAGATAGAATGTCATATAGAATGCCAAAGTATGTGCTGGAAAGAATGTCAGATAGAATGGCAGAATAAATATGCCATATATACTTCCAGATTGGTGTATGTCAGAAACTATGTCAGAATAGTGTTTCAGGGTGTGGATCACTGTTTTTTCTCGGGGGGATGCCATAGGGTGGCTATGATTTCTTTGGCTTGAGAATGTTTCATCCACTGCCAGGCGGGCCAAGCAGCGTGACCAGTGGTGCTATGGCACAGACCACTGGTGCGATGGCGAGGATAGGTACACCACAGCAAGACAGTGCCCTGGGCAGCAATGATTCAATCGATGTCCTGGTGGGTGCCTTCAAACATGTTGATGCCCTCACCGGGTGCAAAACCCTACGTGTGAGTGCGATGTACAGGACTTTTCAGTAGGGGATAGTATGGATAGTAGGGGTGAGATGTTAATGGTTGGGGAGGATGGGCTTCGGTAGGTTTCAGTGGAGTGGGATGGGGTATTGGCGTTCTTGCACACAGACTTGATACACATTCACACGGACTTTCAGATCTTCTCTTGCATATTCACAGACTGAAGGCTAATCAAAGCTGAGAGCCCAAGAATTGCAACCCAAATCCCGCTGCCGCTTTGGCTTTCTACAAAATCATCCAAAACATGTACCATTTTGCAGACCTCCGAAAATGCACATTGAAGAGCATGAAACACTGTAAGGATCTGCAAGGGTTGCTCAATTTCAACTCCAATTTGCGCGATTCCGTACTCGACGGGATGCTTATGTATGTTTGATCTTCTACATCCTGAGAGTGGGTTGATGCTCCCGGATGACGAACCAGGGTCAACATGGCTCAGACTATGGATAAACCAAAGATGAACCAGGATAAGACCATAGATTTTGCGAAGATGATGTGTATATATACAAAAAATGTATATAGAAATGTGTGTGTGTGTGCGTGTGTGTGATCCCGTGTCTCGTGCTCACAGCCCCACCCCACCCCATATGGCACACCCCCCACCCCACACCACACGCACAGGGGGTGATACATAGACATACATATACATATACATATACATATACATAGACATAGACATATACATATACATATACATACAGTATATATTTGCACATACACATACCGTGTGCGTATATGCACACCCATGTATATTATATTATATACATACTACTTACGTATATATAACATATCTGATTGGTGGTTTGGAACATTTTTTATTTTCCATAATATATGGGATAATCCTTCCCATTGACTAATATTTTTCAAGATGGTTGAAACCACCAACCAGATATATTGTATATTACACGCGTCTTTGTATAATTTTGATATTATCTATATACATTTAGGAACCATCACCATCCGGGGGGGACCACCAGACGCTGGGCCATGCATGTATGTATATATATATAAGGTATGTATATATATATATATACGTTATAATACACGTATAATCGTATATATATAATTATATATATATAAGATGTGTAAAGATATTAAAATATATTAAATATATTTCAGTTATATATATATATAGGTCCAACCCTCCAAAAGGGAGGATGATGCACCGAACCGTCGTTGCCCCCCGTTGAGGCAATGACTTGACAATTAGCCGCGCCGAAAGCGCGCGGCGGGTGTTGGAAGCCCGACGGAAGAAGCAGACGCAGAAGAACGACGATCCCAGCGGTAGCAGCGCAACTCCTGGCATGGGTAGCTTGGACGACAGTGGAGTTAACCAACAAAAAGATTAGATTTAAATGTAACAACCAGTTTCATCAGTTTCAATAGTAGATATTAGATTAACATGGTTTGATATTAACAATGATATTATGTAGATCATGATTCAATACAGTTAACAAAACACGTACCCTAGCGTAAACTACCATAGGTGTGGTTTTAACCCATGGGAAAAACCGAGGAAGATGATCCACAATTGATGGCGAGATGTTTTTGAAGAGTAGGAAAACGGAATATAATCGGGATAATGGCTGGACAAACATTATAACAACCTCACTGCAACGTCACCCGTTTTGCTGAACTTTTCAGGCTGGTGAATCTTTATGTCGTTTATCCTTCATCCCGAAACAGTTTCCATGTTGATGGTCATAAATCCAATTGGTATCACCCATTTGTGGTGCAAATCATCCCATGGCATCGTTGGTCCGCCATGAACAAGCTCCAATTTGTTGATGTCTTTGGAACAAATAAGTCCCGAAATGATGAAAATAACTTGAGATTGGGTGTTGGTTACCGCTGTTACCCGTAGGTTTGCCAGATTTATCACATGTACAAACGGGTCTGACATGTCTGACCCCGCGCTTTTGTTGGGTTTATCACTGTTGGGTTTGCAAACATGTTTTCTGTTTTGGTATTTTTATTTTGCTAGATAGTTCATAGCAAATTGCATCACCCCCCGTATCCCCCCGTTCTGAAAACCATCTATATCCAAGTATGGAAATTTGGAGTTGAATTCCAATTGTTGACGCCTAAATCCCAATGTTTGGTCGTTTTAGTGGGTTAAATTCCCAAGAGGAAAGTCGTTTATATCACCACATATCACCACTATCTATGTGTCCTAGAGCCATGTGGTAAAGTGAACCCCAGGCACCCAAGGCATTCCAGAATCAACGACGCCGACATCGTCGCACCTTGGCGGAAGTCACGGTGTTTCCGCAGTGGATGGTTTGCAAAGATGGTGATTTTAAATTCCGAAAATATGGATGAAGCCTGATGAAGCAATGTTACTCATAAAAAATGTGGGATTGATCAAGTGAAAATGGATGAAAATGTGGATTCAAGCGCCATAAGCTTGCAAAGTGCAGAATATGTTAGAAAGAGAAGACGGGGAATTTATCAGCCCGAAGTGGATCCCTTGGTCAATGAACAAAAATTAAGCCGCAGAGGATCGCAGTTTAGTAGTAATTAGTAACCCTTAATAATTGCTGTCCATTGTCCACTTTGTTTTTGGCTTCCAAATCTTGACACGTACCCACACAATCAGCAACCAGCATCCACTGACAACATGACTGGCTGTCCTGCAATTGGATGAGTTCGGCGGGTCATTGAGGTCCCGATTTTGGAGCAGCATCATTTGAAAGATGACCACGACTTGATCCATATTATACATATTGCTGGTTGACTTCCCACCTTGGTATAGCATAAAATCATCTCAAAACGCCTCAGGGGCGTGTCGCAGATGCTGGGCGGACGACTCCTGCAGGGCATTCACGACATCCTCATGGTGATGGATGAAAAGGTGAGTGAACACTTCAATGATAGCTGGGATTTATAGATGTTAAAGAAAAACGCTGCAAATACATGGTAGTTCAATCATGTTCAATATATATATATATACACATACATACATACATATATATATATATAACTATATATATATGTATGTGTGTGTGTGTGTCATGGGTTTTTGAGCCATTCCCACCTTTGTCATTCTGTGATGTGGTTTGAATTGCAAGTACTATGGGATGAAATGCCAAGTAGTCCAAGCTGGCAGTGGAATGCCTTCATTGTCATATAGATTATATGTATCCAGTGATGTCCATTGCAATTCCGGATTTTCTATGTCATGTTAAATCGAGGATACGTGATGATGCAGATTGATATATAATGATGAATATATATATATGATTATATATATACACACACATATATATATATAGTCATGTGTGTCATCAAGAAACGATGGGGGGTTGCAATCATGGATAACGGAAATCACGAGGGCGAAAATCTTGGGACGTCGGCTTTTTTCAATGGAGCTATGGGGCTATGGCAATAGCCATGGTTTTTGTTGTCTGATTGTTTCGATCTATTGTGTGGTCATTACCTTCCGGCAATAAAACTAGTAAATGGTGATTTGAATGGGGAAATCATCTATAGAATGTGGATTTTCATGGATTTTCCATTGCTATGTTTGATTACTAGGAGGCACATGTCATTATCCAAGCAAAAGTATCCCAGAGAAGTCTGCTTTGAAATTCAGCAGTTCCTTTTGGTCCGTTTCCGGGCAGTTCAAGGATGTTCTACATGCATACATATCATACATATCATACATATCCAGATGATGTGATTTGCATTTCCTATGTACTCTCTGATAGAAAATTCCGCCGCCAAATCTCGAAAAAAATTGCTCCGTCGATGAACCGTGACGACTCGATGCAGGTCGAAAACCTTGTGACGGACGTCAACAACATGCGCGCAGACTTCCAAGGCGCTGCAGAAACGGCCTTTTTGGAATCAGCGTGGTCCACCACTGATCTTGGAAGTGCGTGATGTCACGAGCCAAGCATCAATATCAACCTATGTGTGTATGCCTGTGTATATATATATATGATATGATATGTGTGTAGTTATGTATGTGTTATGGTTTTGATTGAAAAGGGTGGAAGCAAAAAATATGTCAAAATCTGGTTTCTCATCATGTTCCCGCTTCAAATGGTCAAAAAATGGAGGCCCATCCCCGAGTGTAAGACTTCTAGATCTATCGATCGATCTATATATATATATATCGATCGATCTATCTATCTATCGATCTATCGATCTATCGATCGATCTATCTATCTATCTATCTATCTGATATCAATCTGCATCAAAAAAGTGCCATGCCCGCAATATTATGTGTCAAACTATCCTAATTTGATACATATCGACCCATCAAACCATCGATGGTTCGACCAACATCAGCGCCAGGTCTTCCACAGGAGGGCGCAACAGAGAGAAAACTCAGTGAGATGCTGGGCAGCACTGGGGTTATGGAGGTAGCCAGGTAACTGAAACAGCATTGAACGCCGCGAAGCGTCATGAAGATGATTGTTTTTTATTATATTCAATTATTTGTTTAATCTGTACATTTTGAATCAATTTGATTTGTTGATTTTTTTTTTGTTGATGACTTGAATTCTGAATATGGGCAGGATGGAACTTCCAGCTGCGCTGTCATGCCTGCACCACCTGGGCATATGCATGGCTACAATCATTGAACCATGGAGGCCACATGAAACCATATATTGAACCAGAGTAAACCATATTAAATCACACACACATACATACATATCTTATATTTTATTATCTTATACTATATTATAGTATATATATGTATATATAATCATATTATAATCATATAAGTATATATATATATTGATGCAACCATAGGTGAACCATCATAGGGGAACCATAGGGAATCCTTGAAGCATACTGCATGGCCAGCAGATCACCTCAAGACCACAGGATTCAGTCCAGAGTCGACATTGGCTTTGCCACGATCTTCTCTCAACTGAAATATTATCATGCACATCCGCGCCCAGAGGGTACCGTGGCTGGAAGATCGGCCAGTCGCTGAACTTTGGATTTGTTTTTGTTGATATTTTGTTGGGTGAAAAGGATCTGATGTTGGGTCAAAACAAAGGGAGAACCACCTGCACCAGTGAGTTTAGATTACCAGTGAGAGGATGTATTGTGGTAACCTGAGAGGGCCCCACGCCTGAAATTCGAAGATCAGAAACATAGTGTACTAGATGGTTGCTCAGTGGGTGGACAGATGGGTACATTTTATGCAGTGTTACTGATGGATGTGGGGGGGCAGCCTCCATATTCTACATCATTGATCTTGCATGCCACGGACATCATACATGGCGAGGGAAACTCGGCCATGATGGCTGCTTTTGGCTCCATGGTAGTAGCAGACGCACCCAGGCAGCAGATGAGAAGCCACCACATTCCTGCAGTCTACATCCCCAATGCCAGTTGGGTGAACAGAGTGATTACACGGTTATTATACATATATATATATATACACAGATTAAACATATTATGTGTAATTATTGTCCATGCCTTAGACATTTCCTGGATACTCTTGGATATGAACCCATGCTTCGCATCCTTATTGCTTCAAGTAGCTGTGGAAGGCCCGAGGACACCCAAAGGGTCAGCCGTCTGACACCATGGCCGCCTGGGATTTGTGGGACCGCTTGGAAAGGGTGGTGCAGAATGACAGCCACCTGGCGGGAGAGATGGGCTGGATGGAGATGCCTTGGGACTTTCTGACGATCATCAGGTTATATCAGGTTGATCTCGGATTTGAGGCAAAAAATGTTGAGGAAAAGAGAAATTGGGGCATTGCTGAAAACACGACATCATTTCTCTGCTTCGGCCATGTTGAGTTCCCCTTGCAAGGCGAGCCTGCGCTGTCCATCCGAGGCTTCATGTCGGCCAACGATGATTTCCAGGCCCTCAAAACGGCCGTGCTGAAGCAAGGCGATGCCCTGCCGGCGCAGCGCCAATATGCTACCCTGGCCTGGGACTTTGTGCTGGGATTTGCGCAGAAGAAGCTTGGAGTCGGCCCGGTGCCAATGTGTTGAAAGGGAGTTGGAAGTAAACCAGTAGGCTTCCATAGGCTTCTCAAGATGGGAAGATGGGTGTTTGGCAGATGTGTTTCTGCATGTTTCTGCTCTCTCAACTGCTTCTGCATTTTTGTCCTCGGAACCCCTTGGGGAGTTGGTATTTATATTGATGCATTAGACAAGCAACATCATGCATGTGCGTTCTTCTTCATGAAGGCGAGGCCGTTTACGTTGCTGGAGTCTGATCACCATAGGCCAAAAGACCAACCTACAGCGGAAGGTGTTGAGGTCGCAAGCAACATTGGTGTTGTTTGAATTAATATATGTCATGTAACTATATAATACTACATAATACTATATAACACTATATATATATAATCATAGTGTATTAATATAATATATATATATGTATGTATACAGTACCAGGTTCCAATGTGTCACTGGATGCACCATGGTGCGCATGGCTGGTTCATTCCCAAGGCAACCCTTATTTTGCTTCCGGCCAGCCAAGGAAGACCTTCTACAGATCTCATGTTTGCCAGGTGGTTGCGGGGCTCTTGGCAGACCCAAATTTCAGACACGCCTATGCCAGCAACCCAGAGTTTCGGAAGACGCTTTGGCTGAAACGGTTCATGGTGAAGGTCCATGTCTAGAAACCGAAAAGAAGGCCACAGAAAGAACAGGTCCCCTTGGGATGTTGTTCAAGTTGGGACGTTGAGGTCATGCTGGATTTTGATCTGTAACTATTATTTCTTTCTGTCGATCAGATTGGTATGTGCGTTCTGTGAAGTGGAGGCATGACAGGGTCACCGCCCTGCAAGAAGCCCGAGAGTAGCGACTTAATCAATGCTGGGGCTGGGACCCATCAATGTTTAAGCACTAATGACTTATTCCACTTGGTTTCAAACGATTTACATGTATTTTCAATCTTTCGATTCAACCTCACAATACCTCGCAAAATTGATGGGGGTGGCCAGTCGGCATCAGTCGGCCTTCTGAAAATTTGCCTTGGTACGACGTCTGACTTCCCGCTGGCCTCGCCAGGAAAGCCACTGAGCTGCATGCAGACGTGCAGAAGGCGCTGGCCGAGGTGGACGCGGTGGAAGACGTGAAAGCTCCAAAGCCTGTGGAGCCACCCAAGCCCAAAATCTCGGGAAAGGAGCGGCGCTTGGGGCATGGGGTGTGCTGGATGACATTGCAGTGGAACATACCAATGTTCAAGAGGATAATGATCCTGTACCAATGGGTTTCTGTTGCCAGATTGGCTTTCCAGATGGTTCTTGCTATTTTTTGGCGAGTATCCAGCATGATCCCATATCGTATTATTTATTTATATATATATACGTACAATGTGTATATGTATATAAGTAAGCGCGCATAGCTATATATATATAACTTGATTATAACGTGGTTTTAATACACCCAAAAATGTGTGTATATATGCATAGACAGGTATGTCGTATGCATGTGTGTTTTGGTCTTTTCTTGCTTGCAACCCCTGCACCTTTCAGACACCGTGTCGTGATCGTCGCAGGAGGCAGTGTGGCCAGACTGGGAGGCCCTGGAGGCGGCGGTGCGGCTGGATCACTTCATGGGTTCCAACGAGGAGTTCCGCGTCTTCCGCCTGGCCGTGCTGGTGGCCCGGCAGGGCGGACGGTGGTCTTTGGTAGGGTTAAATTGTGCAGGAAGAAGAAGGAATGGGAAGTTGGCATCAAATTTAGCGATTTGCCATGATTTGACGGCCAAATATCGCCCAGTCATTGTTTGTGCAGTTGTGAAGCTTAAATAGTCAAATATGTGCAATTCACCAAAAAATGACTGGTTGTTGAGGTTGGATATGTCAAATGTTTATAAATGTTTGTGACGACACATGACGTCCTGAGGCCGCCGACCCTGTTCAATTGGCAGCTCAAGTGGCCCGTGCACCGTTGGTGTGGCAATTTCTCGTGGGCTTCGGGGAAAAGAAAACCTTGTACCGGTCACAGATGGCTGAAGTCGTTGGAAACTTGGCTGAAATCATGAGTTTTAAGGAATGGTGATGATTAGGTACGCTTTATGAGGAGTGCTGGCAGTAGTTTCAATTCAGATTTTACAGTAGGTGGCTTGTTTTAGTAATTAGTACTTGTAGCCAGTCATCTCCGCATGGTTCCAACCCGTTCAATGCTTTGCCACCTTTTCTCTGGCCGACGCGCAGACAGAGTCTGCGAATTTCTCTGGCAGTTGAGCAGCAAGGGTGAAGCAAGCTACCTCAACGATCCTTAACGCACGTCTGTCTAAAATTGTCTATAATATATATATATATATATAATCATATTATATCACATATATATATATATATCATGCAGGAATGGAGCTCAGTCTCCACAGCCTGGTGAAGATCATAATAGCATAGCTGGTATATTCATCCCGCCCATTCCGTTGGTGTTACATTGACCAGTTAGGACCTATCCGACCTCCATCCGACAGGAATCCTGCGGCAAGAGAAGGGCTGGGAAGAAAGCTTAGATGCCATGCGCCCCCAGATGCAGGAGTGGCCAACTCATGCCACTCTTGGCGAACCATTTGTTCGAGGGACTTTCGAAGGTGTTAAGCCGAGTCAAGCCGAGTCAAGCCGAGTCAAGCCGAGTCAAGCCCTTTGAGAATATAAAGATAGATCTGGATGGATCAATTTGATTTGAAATGGTGTGACCGTATACACGGCTGCCCCAAGATTTCGAGACTTTCTCGGGGGTTGATACTAAAAAGGTATTTATATATTATTTTGCCATATGTTGCTGCTATCATGCCCACATGCTTTCTTTTTTTGACATGTTATATAAACGCCAAAAACATTAATTAATGAATAAACTTGAATAAACCAAATGCTTTCACTTAAAGACCAAATAACATTAACCACATTAAACCCATGAGATCCCATGTTTTAACACTTCCAAAGAACAGATGAATCAGGAAAATCCCTGATCTCCAGGATCGCCTCAGAGCCCTTCCGGCCATCCTCCAACAAGCCCTGGGCGCAGACCATGCAGAAGCCGAAGAGGCCTCCAACGCGGCGAGTTTCAGCTGCTTGGAGGGGATGTATCCCTCAGATGAACCATGAGATATACCAAAGATACCAAAGATACCAAGAATACCAAGATTAACCATCCAAGACCATGTTAATCCAAGATTATCCCTCATGAACATCAGATGTGATTTGATGGGGAAGATGACGAAATATGATGAACCAAGATTAACCATCAAATTATAAGGTGCCATGGAAGATGAATGGATGATTTTGATGGCTTTATCTGCCCCAAATTTGGATACTGTAAATTTGGTGATGTTCATAGGAAAAATGATGATAAACTAAGATGAACTAAGGAAAATGTGGTGTTTACCCCTGCTAATTTATGGCAATGTAAGATCGCCATGAAACATGGCCATGGAAATGATAGGTAAATCATCCACTTTTATGGCTGATTTTCCATGGCTCAAATTACTAGAATGTATATATTATATGGATTTATCCTGATTTTAATGAGAAAATGATGATGATTGAGCATCAAAGCAGCCAACAAATTATGGTGGTGCCCTATTTTGAGAGAAACCTCACTCTTCTCTGGGGGTGGAGAGAAATGTCATTAGAAATTAGAGAGCCATCAAAAGAACAGATATTTTGCTATTTGAGAAGTTATTTGTTCTTTTGGAAAAAGCAAATATCTTATTGAACCCCCTACATATTCAGAAACTGTAGATGTATACATCATATATATATATGTATAGTTTACATATGATATTCCAGTTTTGTTACATATTTTGCATGTGTGTTTTCCAGTTCCAAGGGTTTCCGGGCAATTTTTCACCCGAAAAAACGCTGGATTTGGGGACTGAGGTCCAGACGTGGAGCTCGCTTCGCCTAAGGAGGACATCGGCTACAGCAGCCCCAGCTTCGAATCCTTGGAGGAGATTGTCAACCTAACTGCCCTAACTCATATTAGTTACACCAAAAAAAAACATGATCCCCTTAAAGTAAGATGTTGAAATCCCCTACTCGAAAAATATGTTGGTTACGTGTTTTAACCGTGGTTTTGTTTCGGGAGGGTTCAACAATGAACAGCAGAAGGGATTAGGATAGAAATCTGCCCAAAAATTTGGCCCAAGGTGCGCTGGGATGATCATTCAAAACATACTTTTGTGGATCTCTTTTCTCGGGCAACATGTGTCAACCAACATTTTTGTTAAGAACAATGTCACTGTACCAGGAGATTGACAATTGGAACAGTGAAACTTTACACTTTGGGGATATGATTTTCCGGTTTTGAACCAGCAGGATTATATAAACTTCCGTCGGTGAATTGGCTATGAACAGCCTTGACCATAATTAAGCATGGCTGGATGGACAACCTCTATTTTGAAACAAGATCATCTACCATTTGCGGATCCTTCATTTTCAAGCCAGCCAGGTATTAGATTGCCGGAAGGATTACGACATTTAATTCGAATTTTGGGATAATGAAGCAATGAAAATGGCGGAACAATCCGATCCCCCTGATATTAAATCAACCCCTACAAACCCCGGTTTAGTATTGAACCTATTCAGTTTGTGAATGGCTAGGAGCGCTTGAAGTCCATGATGGGATTCATGGAGGGCCTGGCCGGCAGTGCTGAGGTGTTGGGGTCCCCACTGGAAAATTCCAAGAAGAATCGAAGTGTTGATGGGAAAAGTATGGGAAAAACATGAAAAAACATGTGTAACTGTAGAACTTTAACAACAGCTACCCTCTGGTAAATAAACATAGACCCTGAAAATCACCAATTTTCAATGGAAACTAATCTTCCAACCCCTATCTGCCAGGGTCTATGTTAATTTACCAGAGGGTATAACAATTCTACAATTTTGAATCAATCTCTTTTGCAAAAATTGTAAAATCTCAACGGCATAGTTTCACCGTAAGGCCAGGTGATATTATTTATGAGGTAATTTCTCTGGTTGCGAATGAAGCCTGGCACAGATCAAATCCACCTGCTTGGCTCATGTTCATTGGTCTCAAAAGAGATTCTATAATTACGACTATCCAATTCACATATGTTCCGCGCTGGTAGATGCAGATGCATGTTCTGTAGTCATATGACCCCAGGTGCCAGTAATCCATGTGTTGCTGCCAGGTTTGCTTGAAATTTCCAACACAAAAAGCCATTAATGTAGGGACAATGTGGGGCTCCTTCGTTGGCACCAGGCACCTCCCCCGGCGCCGGAGTTGGCACCGGAGCCTGCGCCAACCCCAGCGGCACAGCCAGCACAGCCAGCACAGCCAGCACAGCCAGCACAGCCAGCGCCGGACAAGGCAGAGCAGGAACGATTGGAGGAGCCGTGGTTTCAAAGCGGTCCAAAGTTTATCTGGCAACGAAAGAAAAAGTGACAATAAAATTCAGGGGTTCCTGGATGATAATAGAAACTGGCTGGTTGTTTTTATGTTTTTTCCCCCTCGTATTGATATTATATATGTATGTGTGTGTGTTGAACAAACATACATACATTACATTACATTACATTACATTACATTACATTACATTACATACATATGTGATGATGATCCCCAAAGACGAGCATATGTTTGGAATGGGTTGAAACCATCAGACATGCACACCTGGATGATCCCTGCTCAGGACGTTGCGACGGTGTCACACGCCAGGAAAAGAGGATAAAAACTTCACAAAAAGAAGGGATAAGTTGTATTAATATACATTTAGGACAAATGTTTTATGTATATACATATGTTAAGAAGGGATATAATAATACAGATAGTATTCCAGTCCCAGATGTTTGCTGAATGGTTGGGAACACGAATGAAACCAATTGAAACACTTTCCATATCATTGCAGCGGTTAAATATTCCTCATGAACTTTTTCGCATGCTGTCCAACATCACCCAGACGCCCCCGTGACAATCCTTCATTTTTGGATGGTGGCTTATCTCGTGTTGCTAATGTTCTAATTGTTTTCCGCTCGTTTTATGTTTTTTCCCTGCATTTCCATGGAAATCCAATGAAATCCATGGAATATGTGTGTGTTTTTTTGGATTTCTACACATAAAAAATGGATCCTAGTCCTTAGAAAATAGTATCCATTTTCGCGGTCCGTTTCAACCGGTGAATATCCAGAGCCTGGATCGCCCTGTCAGGGCTTCCAGCTGCAGGAAATGGAGAAGTTGCTGAAAGTCACGGAACCGGTGGAGCCACCAGCTGCGCCACTGAGCTGAAGTGGTGGGATTTTACCAGGAAAGACGGTGGATTTCACCATTATTTCACCAAGAAACTCAGGGAATCTCAGGGATCACTGTGCCACTGAGAACTGTTTAAGCATAATTATATATAACATAGTGCCGCACAAGGCGGTGGCGGAAGTTCCAAAGATTGGATGGAGAGGTAAGTTGTTGTGAAGCATGGATGGCAGAGCGAACCCACTGACGGACTGAAAGGTGGTTGAGGCTCTGAGTCTCTCTCTCTCTCTCTTTCTCTAACTCTCTCTGTCACATTCTCTCTGTGTCTCTCCATCCCTCCCTCTGTCTATCTATCTGTCTATCTGTCTCTAGCGCGGTGTAATTAGTGTATATAGTCGTTGTACTTGCAGTAGTAGTTCTAGTTGTAGTTGTGGTTGTAGTGCCGTGTAGTCTAGTGTAGTGTTGTGAGGTGTGGTGTAGTTGTAGTCTAGCGTAGTTGTGGTTGTAGTTTTAGTTGTAGTAGTAGCGTAGTAGTTGTAGCTGAAGTTGCAGTTGTAGTTACAGGTGTAGTGTGGTGTAGTTGTAGTTGTAGTTGTAGTTGTAGTGTAGTGTAGCGTCGTTGTAGTCTAGTGTAGTTGTAGTTGCAGGAGCAGTTGCAGTTGTTGCAGTTGTCAGAGAACGTCCAAAAGTGGTCCGAACGTGGTGTGTTTTGACCATTTTGACTTCGAAGTGCTTCCCGCAACAACGGTGCGCACTTTTTCAGCATCTCAACGTTCAAAAGTGCTCCGAAGCTGGTGTGTTTTCCACATTTTGACTTCCAAATGTGCTTCGCGCTACAGCGCCGCTCACTTGAAAATCTCAACTTCCAAAAGTGCTCCGAGCATCAGGTGTTTTTAGAATTTGTTTAGATGCTTTTAGCATTTTGACTTCGAAATGCGCTTCGCGCTGCGCCACAGCCGTGCGCGCTTGTGAACAGGAGCCGCAAAACATTAGAAAAGTACAGTGTTCCGACTTTTCTACCTTTTCGCGTGCCTTGATCTTCTTTCTACTGCTTCTGAGTCTTTCTCTTCTCGGACTGCTATCATCACTGCTGCTGCACCTGTCCATAAGTCGGAAGTTTGACTTTAAATGTTCTTCGATTATTATTTAGTATATCGTATAATTTACAATTAGTGGTTAAATTCATACTATAAACATGTAAATATAGCATTGCGTTGCCAATAATTCATGTAGTTATGCACAACCTTAGGCTCGAAACTTTAGGGATAGTATTGGGAGGTACCAACACATCGTCACTTTAGGGAAATAACTCCCAAATTATGTGATCAGCCATGTTTTCACTCCAGGGTTGACGTTTAATGCAGAATGCAGATGTGGGATGATGTGGGATAGTCATCTGAGCAGTAGTACTGTAGATGTACGGTGGAAATATGTGGAAATCCCTTCAGACTTGCAAACTGGGTTTGTCTAAGTCTAAAGATTCGGGCCCCATAACCTCCATAGTTTGTTATCATTTCTCCATTTAGATTGCCATTTTGGGCTGTTCGGGTGAATTGTTGATTTTCATGGATGTTGCATCTCGCCATGTCTATCTCATAGTTCAGCCTGTCAGATGACTCAGGCCAGCGGTGCAGCCGGAGCCTGCAAAGCCGATTCCAAGAGCAGCCACAGAGCCTTACGAAACCTGCCATATGCGTCAGACATTTTCAGACAACACTTGGGTATGTTTCCAAGCGGCTTAGAAATCATGCATTGTGCGCATTTCCTGTCACAGCAATCACTGTGTATGTTTGTATGCTGTATGCCTATTTCCTACAAATTTCTTTTCTAACAGGAAAGAATTGATTAGGGTGGCGGACTGTCGAACTGTTTGAAGATATGCTTGCAACATGCCCATGTTACTGAGTTGCCTAGTGGGGTGCGGGCAACATCATGCAACGCCGTGCAATGTCACGTTTTCTGGGCCGTTAAGGATAAAGCAGCTGCTTTATTGGAGCGAGCGTCAACTCTTGAAGGTCAATGGCCAGTGGTAGCACACTACCTGCAAGTCTATGCCCTGGAGCTGTTGATCACTGCAAAGCAGGCTGGTCAGTCCAGCCCGCAAGCTGACAACATGATGCCGCTTGGCCACACTTTGGTTTGGATATGTCCAGGATCCATGAGGATGTTAAAGATATCCATCCGTTCACACAGCAAGTGATTTCTGCCAAAATGTCAAGAATGCTCACACACTTGTCAATAAGGCTGACAGCTTTGCAGGCAGCTGAACTCAAAAAGGGCCAGCTGGACCTGACGAGTGGCCCGGCAAAGGCTCAAGAATTTGTCCTCAAGGTCTATGATGCTGCAGTTGCCTCAGATTCCTTGCCAAAGTTGTTGGATGCCAGTCTCTACTTGGAGTCCTTGTACCAATTCTATGGCGCTGCCCGGCCAGTTGAGCTGACCAACAGGGCATCCTACGCACAGCTTCGGGCTGAGTATTTGGCCAGCTGCCAGCAACATGGGAAATCACCTGCAGCTGCAAAACCTCCTGCACTGCCTGTGCCCACCCTCCCTGGTGCATCCACTGCCATGCCAAAAACTGCAGCAGCACCACCTGCTGCTCCAGCACCGGCGGCACCTGCGACAGCACCTGCGGCAGCACCACCTGCTGCGCCAGCACCACTTGCGCCAGCAGCACCTGCAGCACCAGCAGCACCTGCAGCACCAGCAGCACCTACAGCCAAAGCAAAGGCAATGCCACAGACGATTGCCCCCGAGATAGCTGGGATGCCACGAGCCAAACGACAAGCTGAAGCACGGAAGAAGACTGACCAGGCACCGCACCACTGCTTTAGACTTGCTTTGCTTAAACAACCATGTGGGGATGGATCAAAACCATTATGTATATAAATAATTATATATATATATATCTATCCATATTTTGGGGAATACACATCCATTAGCCATTTATTTTAGGGTACACATCCCGGTATTGGAGTGTTGACCCAGGATCATGTTTGATGATGTTTGGTGGACAATTCGTGTCGCAAGGCCTCGAGTGCCTTGAAGGCTGGCCAGGACGAGAGCGCCAGAGCCTACATTAGGGAGGCACTTGGTCTCCTGGAAGGCTTGTGAGGCTGCAAGACGGGTGTCATGAGTCATGATATGAGATGATATGTCACGGGATTTTTTGTTGCCCTCCAAACATGTGGATAGAAAGCAGCAAGCAAGGGAACCAGCGGAAACTAACCTCCAGAATTGTGGACCAGCAACAACACCGCAGACATGAGCAAGGCAAGAATTGGGGTGACACGGTGACACAAGCAACAAACAAGCATTGCAAGACATCATCAACATTAGGGGAATGGGTGTAGCCTGCAACGCGCTGAGAAATGAGTCGAATCTTGGCGCTGGAGTGATTCTCTGAAAGTTAAAAGGCGCATTTTGCACCCCCAAAATCCAGCGCGGAACTCCTCCAGCAGGAAATTGATCGCAAAGGCCTTTTTGAGGGGAGCTCCATGTTGTTTGGAGGGGGGAAACACAAATGCCTTGCAAGTTGCAGCTACCACTTTGATGTAGAAACATCCGAAGTGGATGACATCGCACCTGAGCTTTGCCCTAAGTGAAGTGTGGAGAACAGAAGAAGAAAGCTGCAGACTCCAAATAGGGTCGCCAGCAAAGCACGGGTGCAGCTGCACCAGCCCTCCTTGCACAGAAAGAGTCATCAAGGAGCAAAAAGACACCTGGGAAGTGTGCTGGCACAGCCGGGTTTCCAGGGTTCATTTCACAGATGCTGCTCCTATGCTGCTCTTTTGTTTCCATCCGAAATCACCTGGGGTTTCCATTTGTTGTGTGGCCCCGTAACCCCCACCAACTCCGATTTGCAAATTTGCAGAAAGGGGTATGTCACAGATGTCACAGTATGTCAAAAACAGTCAAAAGTTAAAAGTAGAAAAACGTCAAGACTTGCGGGTCCAGGATGGATCAGGGTCCAGCAACATCCATCAACCCTTATCTTGGAACAGTAGTCAATACAAAACCACAAGCAGTATACCTTCTTAAAGGTCACTAGGTTAACAACATAGCTTAACCATGTTTAGCCCGCCAAACATCGGTGATTTTGGTTAGAGAGTGTTAAACACAATAAAATACAATAAATAAAATTCGATAGTTTAACTAACCAAAAGTAGGTGATTTTGGTTCAACACCCAACATTTGTTCCCAATGAACTCCCCCCTAATTGTGCGCCAGCGGCAAGATAGCCTGCACCATCTGACGTTGATATCTGTCGCTTTTTGGAATCCAACTTAAAATCCATGGGTTGAATCCATATATCTTACATTCTTACTTTACCGGTTACTTTACCGGAGTGGCCTGATTTTTCTTTTGGCCCCAGGCCCACTTATTTTTTCATATTTGTTCTGCGTTCTTCGAAGAATATTGATGTCAAACAAAGGTTGAAAGAGGGGAACAAACAAAAAAGTCATGGTTGGACAAAAATGTGGTTCATACACTCTCCTGGAATCTTTGGGCTAGAACCAGCGGATATCACAGCGAAAAGCCAAATGTCTCATTCTAAAACATCACCCTCTCAAAATGGGACATGTGTGATCATTTGTGGACATTTCCAAGCAGACATGCACCATTGATTACAGTAACTCCTCAATCATCCCAAGGTGATATATCTCCCGATGGCATGGTAGCCCATGTGCCGGGAAGCATCTTGGACGCCATGGCCCGGTGATGTTTAAAAGGGGCCACTGTGACATTCACTGCTGGCATGCTATTTCAATGTCACCCCATATGGTGAAATAGGGTGAAATTATGCGTATTAAATTATGTGAAAGTGAATTTGATGCTGTAGATATTTGCACTGTAGGTTGTTTTTTAGATTTAAAATATGGTCCAATCCAATCAGAAAGGTGGGTAATAGGGAGCTGCTCTATAAATGATAAACATTGGATGATTTCATCTCAGAAGTTGGCAACAGAACTTGGGACCGAAGTACAGGGCATTCCTTTTGCGCGATCGAAATAGAAGAGAATAGTCAACACAAGACCCGGACATGCATGGATCTGGGAGGCTCTGCAACAGGCTGCCAAATCCGCGCTTTCAACTTACATCGGGAATTCTTGACTCTTCTACTGTACTGCCATCTCAGTTGTTGAATGGCATCCCCACATTTTGACTGGTTAGGAATCCCAAAGAGTTTCAATTCCATCCTGCCTTGTCCAGACGTGGGGTTTACGTTGTACCGGTATGTCATACACTTAATATCACTTAATAATTTCTTGAGACATGCCCCATTTATCCCAATCAAATGATATGCCACTCCAAGATAGGTGTGGATAACCGTCCCTGAAAGTGTTTGACTGTGACGAGTTTGTTTTCGCGTTGAGTCTCTACTCACGTGATCGTCCCATGTATCTAGCAATTGGTCGCGAATCATCGTCTTATCTTACAGTCAATACATATAATAATACAATATACATGTTCCTATGAGCCTATGAGCTCCCATGAATTTTGTTCACTGTTATCTTCGGATTAAACCGAGGTCTCTCTCGTCATATGAAATATTGGATATGATGTATATAATTGTATATATATATAGTTATTACAATTAAAATAGTATAAAAGAGTATTATCTAAACATCTCATTTTTTAAACAAATTACCAATATTAAATATACTTCCCAGCGCACCCAGACACCTCAGGTCGCCAGGTTGAGCTCATTGCGCCCGTTATGGGAACCCCTGAGGGGGTGAGGCCGGGAAACCACTCGAAGTCTCGAAGCCATCAGGAGATCTCGGGATATATCATGACTGTGGTTTGAATGAGGTTATTATGGGGTCAGTTGGCGCAAAATGGGGTATATACTTTCAATTGCAATGTTCAAGTGGCGGCTAATTTGATGTAGTTTGATAGTTGGCTGGCTGTATCTGATGAATGCCCTTTGCATTTGATACTGGTAAAAATGCCCATGCCCTGTCCAGGCAATTCCAACCTATATTCCAGGATTACTGATTCCAGGTAAGATATTTCTAAAGGAAAATGTGTGTAGCAGGGGAAATTGTAGCCGGATCTAGCCGGTTAAATCACCAGAGTTTGTCGGGAAAATGTTGCTAGCTGGTTAAATCACTAGTAGATACTAGGAGCCCATTATAAGTTGTTTATATAAATGTATTTAAATGTTATATAACCACAATATAACAACATAGCGGTAGCAGATCCATCGTGCCCCAGCAGACTCGAGCGATGAAAGGCATAGGGTGTCTTCATCGGTAGCCAGCTCTTCCGTGCGAGAGAGGTCTGATGTGCACGAACTATGGGAGGCGCTGGTGGTATGGTTCGGCTGTATTCTTCCTTGCTTTGTTTTAAGGTTCCTCTTGTTTTGTTGACACCCTCGGTCACGCTGCTAATTTTGGGAGTTGAGAAACCTGCAAAAGTCACTGCATGATCACGGGTTTTTGATGGTTTTTGTATGTGTTTGTAGTTCCGGATTCGGGATGCGGGAAATTCCGGAAATGACAGCATGTTTAGGCGAGGTTTCAAACACACGGTGAAATAAATTTGTATACATTTGTTCTGCGGAACTTGCATGCTGCATATGCATTGTAGTTGTGAAACCGAAGACCGAACAACAAATGCAAATGAATGTGCTGGAAATCTGCTTTCCTGCGCAAGAGTTGTGGTCGTCGCAGGGATGCTTTGTTTCTATGAATGATTGTAGAAGAGAGCCATTGAAGTGGAACCACGCAGTTTGCACAGGTTTGTATGGAAATGTTTTGGAGATGCCCTGGCCTTTTTTACAATCTTGCCCTTGCTCATAAGTGACAAACAAGATGACAGGCACTAAAAATTTGAGACTCTAGTACCTTCGCGAAAGTATAGTTTGAGCTAGGGTCATTGCGAACTCTTCCCCCATCCCACACCCCGAGATTTATTCCGGTTTGTCTTGATGTGAAAGGTGGAGAGTCGCCCTAGATCCGTGTTTCTTGATTGGTGCCCTGATGTTGAACTGTTGGCAAGCAAATGCAAGCAACCAATGATTCGCCCTTTCAAAGAATTAACCTTGGCGTGGCGGTGGGAAGGGCACCTTCGGTTGTTTCGGTTTTTTCAGATGGCTTTGCGGTGGATGCGCTGGCAAATGCAGAGCCCTTGGTTTGCATGGGGAACGCGATAGGAAACTACACCTTTTTTTACCAATAAACATCCTGGCTCATTCATCACGGGAAAGTTACCCATGCCAGTGGCCGGGCAGGAGATGGAGGCTATGGAGAACATGGGGACGGAAGATTTGATTGCGCAGCTTGACATTCGATGAGCTTTCGATCCGCTACCACCGCACGACATTGATTATGGCCGAGAAAGAATTTGAAATGTGTTTGAACGAGCCAAACACAGATTTTTTGCCAATGGATTATGTATGTTGTTGTTGGGCGGTTCAGCTACAGTTCGGACCGAATGCCATACATAGAACTACCGTACGACAAGGCACGCTGCGCAGGTTCAGTAGGGGGAAACCAAAACAAACGTCCATTTGATTTGTTTCCCCGAGGTGCGAAACCCAGGACCGAAGTGCGAGTTGCCTGGAGATGGCTCGAAAGTTGATCGGTTCATATTGGTTCCATGTTCCCTCTCAGTCAAGTTCATGCTATTTACATCTATTTACCATGACCTGTCATTGTCTGGCAACTTGGAATTTGGCCCTCCGGCCATCAAACATGGCTTGCTGTAAAATCTCCCATCTATAGAATTTGATTATAGAATTTTACAGATGATTGTTCCCATGAACACTTCCATTTATAGGTGGATTTGGCGGCCATGTTTACACCAAAGCAAGCTCATGCGGCAGGATGGCGCAGCACCGCCGCCACCCGTGACCAAACCACCACCTTCCAGATCCTCCAGAGAGTCGGCTGGCGGTCCCCCTTTGGAAACCTCTCAGGAACGGCACCTCTGCCGCAGTGGAGCTAACTGGGGCATATTGGGTCAGCGGTGAACTTAAGACTTAAGGATCTTAAGGGGCTTTGCAGGGTGAAGCAGGAAGTTTCAAAGGAAATCAGTAATCCAGGGTAATCCGGTCCGGTAATCCGTATTTTGAATCCATCAGAGACTCTGCAATACAGATAGGAGAGCATGGAATTGTCCTTTGCCACATGCAGAGAACACTGTTGGTCTAATGTTGTGAGGGCCTCAGTTAAAAAAGTTAAGTTGTGCATTGGTACTGGTGTCATGCATGTATTTCAGATTCGTATGAGACACTGAATGTACACACGCAGATGCATCGACATCCGCATGACACGCATATTGTCCTTTGTGGCCCCAAAATGTGGGGTCCAAGGACCTGGGCCCTTTGCAAACCGCCATCTTCACAGCACCCCAAAAAGTACCAATAATGGTCCCCTGACCGGTTATGGTTGTTACTTGTATGTTTATGCCTGCAGGTGCCAACCCGTACATGTAGTGAGTTGTTTTGGGCTTCCTCGGGTCATCTCTCCGCTTTTCATCTTCTCTGCAACTTCTTGACGAAGAGCATGCTACATGCTGGTTTGGGGTGCGGGATGGGTGAAGGTAGGGTGGGATAATAACTGTTCATTCGCACTTGCAGACATACGTGATGCTGCGCTGGAGACGGCTTTATAGCAGGTCCAACCATACTTGATGTTCCTCTAGACACTTCTCTCTTGCACTTGCAAATTTGCTGCTACGCTAGAGGCCTCTCTCTTGCACTTGCGAACATACTTGGTGACACCCTAGGGACTTATCCCTACAGTACTGTATATCCATCTATGTGCATATATCATTATACATCAATTATAGACTATAGGTTTGTGGATATATATATATATGTGTGTGTGTATAATTATGTGTATGATTGTATATGTATATAGCTATTTGCTTGCCTACTTACCTACCTACCTAACTACCTACTTATCTATCTAGCATTCTTTTCTATTCTATTCTATTTCTATTCTGTTCTATTCTGTTCTATTCTGTTCTATTCTATTCTATTTCTATTCTGTTCTATTCTGTTCTATTCTATTCTATTCTAGTCTATTCTATTCTATTCTATTCTTTCTATTCTTTCTATCCTATCTATCCAATCTATCTATCTATCGTTCTTTCTTTCTTTCTATCTTTCTATCTTTCTATCTTTCTATCTTTTTATCTATCTATCTATCTAGCTTTCTAGCTATCTATCTATCTATCTATCTATCTATTTATCTATCTAATCTAATCTTAATCTTAATCTTAATCTTAATCTAATCTAATCTAATCTAATCTATTTTTCTATCTCATTCTATCTCATCGTAATCTTAATCTTAATCTTAGGTGTTTTTCTTAATCGTTATCCTTTTATATCTTCATCTTTATCTTTATTCTTATCTTATAGTCTATATCCCCATTGTCCGCAGACTCTGAGCCTGCTGCCCCAACCTCAGCCTCGAGTGCAGCCAAGGCTCTCCACCCACGAAGAGGCGCCTGGGGTGGTTGCGTACGAATGTATGCGGCTCATGATTTTTCATCTTTTTCTAAATCGGAACCCAACCTCAAGATGCAGGACTTTTTTGCGCCTGACAAATTGTTGGGCCATGCCCAGGCTTTGACGAAAGTGATGTCCGCCCTCTCCTCCAAACAGTCCTCCAAACGCAACTCGCGGGCCTCGAATGGGAATTCTGCCAGCCGAATCTCCCGAAACTCCGTGTCTTGGCGATTTTGCAACGGATGGGATGGGCACATGGGATCACATGGGCACTATCAAAGTTATCAAAGACCTGTTGCTGAGCTGGATGATCCATAAATTTAATCGAGTGAATCAAATTTGTACACGTGGAGACCATGCTACACTATAAGTATGATGAGGCCAAGATTGACTGCAAACATCTATTGTTATTATTGTTGATATCAGGCAGAGGCGCCAGCTAAGACAGAAAAATCATTCCTTTATTTCCTTTGGACCCTTAATGGGCTGGAACGATACCAAAGGACACACTGTTTGAACAGTTCCGGCATTCCCAAAAGTATCATGATTGCACGCTGAAATTCCAGCATGCCATATATGTCCATATACATCCATATGTCATTGGCAGATCTGAAAAGGATTACCAAATTTGATGTTCAACTCGCAGGCTCCAGATGGCGAGTCTTGCACTCCCCAAAAGTGGGAAGATGATCCCAGTTGGCCAACACGTAGATGTAGCCCCAATACATTTGGGTGTTGCTGGGTTGGTGAAACCCACTCAGCAATCGCTCCTTTCACAGGCCAACGGCTCAAGCAGCAAAGAGAAGGCCCGGGCCATCTCACAGCAATGGCGGCTGAGATTCCACTTCCATCTGGATGTGTTTGATAGATCTCATAGGAAAATGGGTGATTCATCAGTGGAATTACTTAGGGGCACCCTATTTGTTCAAAGCCATCTCCATGGATCTCCTCCACTCTTCACAATCACAGGTGACCTTTGAAGACAGGGAAGAGAGAGGCTCACACAGATGGAAAAACGGCGCGAGCTCCAAATCAAGGCGCCGCGACAGCTCGGGAGTCAGACCCAGAGAACTGCGATTTAGGCATATTTAGGATATATTTAGATATATTATGATATATTTAGGATATAAACTGATATACACTACTAGTAATCCATGACCCAATACTTATATCAATCTTTGTCATACTAGGGGATGGGATGGACATCCATGGGTGTAGAGGATGGACACCCTGTAGTGGAACTACTTCCTCTGTAGCGTGGGTGATATTCTCAGTAGCACAATGTGTCCTTGGGTCCCTGGTTACTCGGATAACAGGGGTACAGTCCGGGTACAGTAGCATACTGACATCATACTTCGCTTTTCAATCCCGATTCGGGATGATTGGGGCCATAGCAAGCAGTATCCGCGGTGTTGCTGGAGAGTGTATCCTCACTGCTGTCCACCGGCCATCCCCGGCCCAGAGTGGACGAGTTCAAGGATTTTGCACCATGGCGCAGAGGGCAGGGTGCAATGGGTCACAGGAGGCTGTGGCATGCTGTGGCGGTTCAAGAGAATATGCTTTGGGAAGCAGACCTGGCAATGCGAAATTCCGTAAAAGTCCTAGGCATTGGAAGAGAAAAGGGATCATTTTATGAATCTCATGGATAAAAATGGTAAGGTTCCAGTGCCAGGTGCAGGGTACTGTCAAATTTGGTCCCGGACACAAAGTGACGAAAATATGTTCAGCATTTCCCTTGAGAAATGAATGGGTGGCCAATTGCTCCCTAGCTTCCCAAAACTGAGATTAAACCTCGGCAGCGATCATCAGCGCAGAAGTTGGTGTGGAAGCTTTGGCCGGACGTTGGATCGCCCTTTTCCAACAAACTCGCCTGATGCCAGATGTGACGGTTTGTTTGGCCATGGATTTGTTTGCATATCATATCTCGGATAATACAATCAGATATATCATATCATCACCTGGTGATGTGGGTGTTCCTGTTTGAGAGCTGATTAGATACTGAGGGAAATGGCACCATATCATAATGATGCGTGGCTTTCTATGGAAAAGTCCTATCTAGAGTGCTGGCCAGCAACAAGCTTGGTGCAGCTGTAAGAAGATGTAATGTGGGGTGGGACCCCAATCTTTTGGAAAGCCCATTTTGCAAGACATTGCGAGTATTTTGGGCTGTCATCATGCGCTGAGGAACTTTCTAGAAGATCCTGATTTGGTGCGCGGCGGGCGCTCCTATGGGAAGCTTGGCTGTCCTAACGGTCCTGATACGGGTTGGCCAGATGGGCATCTCATGTGTTGGGAGTGGGAAAACCGGGAAAACCATACACATCACATTTCATAGGCGGATCCAGTTTTGATTCCATCAGTGCTACGGGAAATCCATTCGTGAGAGAAAGAGAGACCGTCGCTGCTGTTGAAATTGGGATGTACTTGCACACTGAAAAATCTGACCTCTAGAATTCCATCAGTTGATTTTTTGTATAGAGCCAAAAATTTTCCCTGCCTTCAGTATCCTGCATCCTGAAGAGGAGGATGAAATTCATGGCTTGGACATGATTGGAGCGGCTTGATTCAGCAAATCCGGCAGAAGTATGGCCCATGGTCAACCCCAGGAAATTTACATAATTATAACATAATTACTGTAAACTCATATGCTGGCTGGATTTGGCTGCTAGGTATTACACTTGAAGTATTAGTTGTCAACATGTTATTGCCATGGTGACCCCATGTTACCTGACGTTGCCCTTTTTTGGTGGCAGATCCTGACGATCCGCCCCCTTTCGTGACAGGAACATCTTGTTCTTCGCCATCATCCTCAGCGCAGTGCTTCCGATCGTCCCAACCCCAATTGAGCAGGACTGGTCCCTTGGATTCCACGCTGGGAGTCGGATGGGTTTTGCAAGGGTAGTCATTCCCTTGCAACAAGATGCAAGCACAATAAAGACCCCCCATCAACCCTGCTTCAGTAGTAAATCTGTTTATGGATTTTCCAAGGCTTCCAAGGCTGAGGAACACATCACAGCGCTTGCTGGGACACCCGGGGACACCTCTCAGGTTTTTAAAGCCGATGATGTATGTCCTGTTGAGTCTGGATTCCTTGTTTTTCTTGGAGGCCATCAGGATGGGGGGTTGAACCCACCAAACACTGGGGACAGTTGAGCCACAGTTGAGTAGAGGACATAGAACCACCAAAAGCAATCAAAAGCAGGCATATGGATGGGGACAATTGTTTCTCACTGATCCGAAAAGAAACGTGCGATGATTTGGCGTGCGAAAACAAGAATGGTGTTGGGAGAGTGACCGCCTTGTCAAGCGCTGTCAAGCACCGGGATCTATCCCTGAAAGCATTTTTTGGTAATAAACATGTGGCAGTAAAATGATGGTCGAAGGAGGCAACTGTGAGACTGACTTCCATTTGTGGTCAAATAGATGGCAGATACATGACTTCAATGAACTCAATGACGCTCTTGCAGGTGATATTCAGGTTTTATGGTGCTCCGCATCGTTTGCGATTTTTCGGCAGGACGCCTGAACGGCACAGCTGTGGTTCTTTCTTGTCAATTGAGGTGGAGTCATGTTTGCTGTTTGCTTTAGATCCTTTTAGATGCAGAGGCAACCATGAATCATAAGTTTTTTGTGCTGAGATGTGCTGAGATGTGCTGAGTGAGATCTGAAACTTGATGATGTTCTCAATTGTTCTCAATTGTTTTCATATTTCTCCAAAAAATCTGATATAGTTCCACTGATATCCATTGATTCCCATATGTGTCTGACATAAGTCCGATAGATTTCATGGGGAAATCCAGAAAATTGCCGTCGCTGTGAGTATCCACAATTGGTTGGATATCCTCTCGGTGCTGCTGCCGGTCGCCTTGAAAATTCGCCTTCAGTCGCCACTGGTTTGGAAAACCCTGGGAGGTTCGGGGGCAACTAGCCGTTTTTAGAGGCTGCACATGGGTACCAAATTTATCCAAATTTAGCATATATATAATTAGATGTATGTATATGACCGTTGGCATCCATTTGCCAGAAATAATTGACAGAAGTTTTGTACTAGTTGTTGATAATTAGTGTGGACCTAGTTGTTTTTCCTCTTCGTTATGAGGCGGCACGCAACTAAATTCACCAATTCTGCAAGGCAGCGCTAGCAAACCCGCTAGGTTTGCGCTAGTTTTTTTTTCACACCCATGTTCATGATTGTTCAAGGATATTTTTTTGTTCCTGTATGCTTGTTATTTCAACACGAAGAAAAGTCAAAATGTAACACTTAGCTCCTTAAACCTAAGGATGTCTTAGTCAATTTCTGTGCTACTCAACAATGTTCATATATTTTTGAGGTTGCGGCTCAACTTTGCGAATTTGTACGTAATTTTACCCGCTAGATCCCCGCTAGCAATGCGCTAGCAAAAGTTTCAAAAAACGGCTTTGGTTGACCCGTGACCCAGTCGCCACCAGAGAACTTGTAGTTTATGCTGTCTGTTTGACAAAAGCAACAGTGACAGCAAAGGCAACGACCAGCTCTGCAGATATTCCAGTTCCACCACTAACAACTAGCAGCGGCACCCACTTCATATAGACGCGCGTTAGATTCGCGTTAGCATTTACTGCAGGTTTTAGCTACGGCTTCAAACACGAAAATAAAATGCAGGGTTTCAGACTATCTAGGTCAGTCATGGTTTTAAAGGCACTAAGAAGCGGCACGCAAGGAATTACGATATATTACGATTTATCATCAAAACCAGGAAAAGGCATTTTGGCAAACCGTTATATACATAGTAATTTATCACTATTCTCATTCATTCTTGGGGGACCCCCAACAACCCTGGCTGACTGTGATAAATGAGTATAAATTAGTGCGTTGATAAGTTGAAGGGCAATATATATATACAATTATATACACACATTTTTAAAAAAATGTTCAGCATCCCCCAATTCAACAGCCCAAGGCGGTTGCTAGTACTCGAAGTTGGCATTGCCGCAAGCTGGGGCGATGATCCTGCCATATGGCTTTTGGATGCTCTTTCCCCATGGCCATGCAGTGTGTCCACACTTGGGGTTCTTGCAGTAGGGGTCAAGGCCTGGTGTTCATTCAAGGCAGTCTCCGGCGGGTCCGGGAATTTGGTGACCCTTACAGCACAAAAGTTCCTCGATCTTCCGTTTTCGAAGGAAGCCTCGCAGGAAACGGTGGAAGGAAGCCTCGCAGGAAACGGTGGCTGGGAGACCTCTCTTCGGAAGGTCTCGTTTTACCAGCGCACCATGCTCTTGTTTTGAGCTATGTTCATTTTTCGTGGCAGCCGTGGAACTGTCGGGACATATCGTGCCAAGAGGTCTCTTGCCGAGACCTTGCTAAGAGATTTCTTATACTTGTACTTGTAGAGAGCTTGAACAGAGAGCTTGAATAGAGATCTTAGTTAGAGATCTCTGACAGAGATTTTGCATGTAGATTTTTGATAGCGACCTTGTGCGGAGATTTTGTATAGAGATTTCTTGCAGAGATCAGATCTGGCCAGGATGTATTATAGAGAGTTTGTACAGAGATATTGCCAAGAGACCTCTCGTAGAGGTCTTGAACAGAGACCTTGTGAAGAGAACAGGGGTCTTGATCTTGCTAATATTTTTTTAAGAGAGCTTGAACAGAGGTCTTACTTAGAGATCTCTTACAGGGATCTTGCGTGGAGATCTCTTCTGGACACCTTGGATAGATTTTCTGCAAAGGGATTTGGAACAGCAGCTTCTACAGAGACCCTGTCAAGGAGATTTTGCCCACAATCTTCGGCAGAGATCTTCCAGAATCTACCCTGGTATCTCTTTGTCATGTTTTTGCAACACTGTTTGGGGTCTCTTGCCTGGATACTTGTTATTTCTTTGGTTGGTTCCATTCCCGGTTCTATGGATCCTTTTCCTGTCCTCCTTTGGTAATTTAACGTAGCTGCATACAAAGTCACAAATTTCAATAGGTGCATCATGGTACATCATCCAACTCAATGGGCCATCTTCCAGGGCGTTAAAGATGGCCTAGGCTCAATTTGGCTGCCGATGCCCATCCCGAAGTGGAGGGTGTCGAGCTTGGCCTACTTGTCATGGTGGGGAAACTCAAAGCTGGGACCCACAACTGCAGTCAACCATGGCTAGGAAATCTCCCACAACTGAAGGTTTCAATGGGAAAATACGAGAAAACCATGTAAATGTTCCATGGCCATGTTCGATTACCAGAGGGTATGCGATTTAGCAATGCGAATTCCCCCAGTGACGGATGATCTTCCATCTGATTCAAAGTTGGGATTGTCTATTGACATGTTTGATTAGTGAAGGTAAGTCCGTCAAAGTCAGTCAATGTAATCAAACATCACCCAGTCTGAGCGGTTTCTCACTTTTCAATCAGTTGGATGCATCTCAAAATCATAAAACAGGGAAAAAAAGGATGATTTTTTGCCACCGACTGGGCACGCTATATGTTTTACTCACAGGTATGTGTTTGTGTGTGTTTGTGTGCGTGCACATGCATGCAGGGTATATAATAAATAAATAAATATATATATATATATTTGCATATAATATCATATACTTGCATATGCTTGCATATATGTAACTATATTGATATTGATATACAAATTGTTACATACTCCTGTATCTCATCCCTATGCTCGATGTTGGTCGTATTCCTTTGTTACCCACAACATTAAGTCAACATTCATTCCTGTTAGTTGAATTCATGTTAATTAAGCTCCGCATAATATGAAGTTCTATATATACTTCCCAGCACTGGTGGTGTTTTGGCGGGCTTTGTAGGTGCCTGTGCTTCGCTTGCTGAAGCTTCTTCGGCGTTTTGAGCAGCCCGGCGTAGACCTCGATGCAATGTAGTGTATATATATAGATATGCCCCGAGCACCCCGAAAAAATGAGTACTCAGCTGCCCCCTGCTTTTCTCGTCCGCAATCATGAGTAATGTCACAAGACCCATTTTGTTTCATTATATCTATTGTTTGGTAATGTTTGGTTCATACTACGAGCTTCAAATGGATTCTGAAAGTTTGTGACGAAACTCATGAGCCTTGATCATTCGCTGTATGAGACATGGTGCGCATGACTGGGCCACGTTACAAACCCTTTGCTGCACCTCAGGAATAGCCATCTCATCAAGCAGGCGTTCAGAGAAGCCGTTGGAGTCCCTTGGTCAGTTGGATATGGTGATGATCCGCGGGGTATCTCCCAACCAAGCTGGGATATGGATATGGGTCGAAAAGGGGTAGTTCGTGGTAGTACCAACGTAATCTTTAATAGAGGACTAGACTAAACGTGATTAAACTATAGAACTATGACTAACATATGGTTACAGTGTATTAAATCCGTCATACTCCATCCATTTCCTGGGGATATAGTTTTGAGATATTTTGAATTATTTTGAGCCGTTTCCAGATGGGCGTAGAATGGCATACCCAAGAAAACACGAAACCACTCAAAAATCTCCAGAACAAGGGCTGTAACAAAGCAAAGATGGGTTAGTTGCTATATCCCAAGCAAATCGAGGCATGTCATGGATACCATTGGATACCACTCATTGGCATCAGCTCAGTGTGGACAGCTTTGCCAGCCTTACGCATAGATAGTGTGTTGATGTGGTTTGGCTGCGAATTGCAGTCTTGGTCCCCAAAGTTCAACAAACCCCGGGTTTATCGGGTTTCGTATTGGATCCAATATACAATCAAAACATGTTGATAATGAATTAATCATGTAATATATAATACTTGTATATAATATATAATGTATGATATATAATATATATATATATTAAATAATATTTATATATATATATTTTTTTTGAAGTTGGGTGTTCATCCGGGCAAATTTCATAGGAGTGGACGAGTCGGACGAGGTTTGATCATGTTTGATCCACAAAACACTCCCCAGTTGCGGCCCGTCCCTGAGGCCTTGCCATCTCTCCTGTACTGCATGGTGGGCAGCCAAGTTGGGGTAGGGATTGCTTTGGCCCATCCGGGCACCTGTTTAGCGGGTATTTGTGGTACCTAAGCACCCAACTGTGCCCCTGCTTTGTGCAACTTGTACAGAAACAATGCAGTATAATGCAGTACATGTACTGAAAGACTTAAAATATCTTAAAATGAGGAAAACACATCTTCATAGCTTTTATGCAGACGGGTCAATTACCTTTCGCACCATAATATCATTCGGAGGAAGATCCACTAAGAAGAGCTATTTTGGTCACCAGTTTCACCAGGGTTTTGGTACATACGCACCACCCAGCGGTTTCCTTGATCCGCACCACTCAGATGGTTCTGGTGGTGGGCTTTTCCGCAATCATCTACGTCTTGGAGCCACGCCGCTCGCTGAAAATATGTTGATATTGTCTACCAATACCCATGAAGTGTTTACTCTAGAAGGGTGGACTTCGGAACAGAATAACAAAATATGTCGGGTAATTGGGATTTAAATTGAATAATTGACTCATGGACTTTGTTTTGTTGGTGATGTTGGTTATCTTGGTTTCGATCCGGATCTGGGATGACTGATCCCATGGCTGCCAGGTGGAAACGTGGAGACAATGCCTAGAGCCATTTGGTTCACGATGGTGTCACTTGCCTCAAGCATTCCAGTTTCATGTCAAGGGTGCGGTCAGGAACCCCAGGGCTAAAGGGCCGAGGCATATTCAAAATCACTCAAGAGCGAGTGCTCAAATTTGACCCATAAAGATCATAAAGCCATCTAGATCCAAATTCCTTCCATATCATTCCTCCTGGGCACTAGCGTAGCAGATGCCTAATGGGATTTGTGGAAGATCATGTGGTGAACGCCAAGGACTCTGACCACGGTCGGATATGGTGACGTAGTGCCTGTATCGCCCGGAGGACGGTGGCAGAAGCTGTCACCAGATGCAGATATGGGATATGGGATGATTTGGGGACGGTTTCTTTAAAATGCATGAGACATCATGAGACACTATGATACATCCAATGATCATGAATGGTCATTCATTACTATACATTGCAATACAGTTCCTGCGGGGACCAACATGCATTTACCAACCATTTTATGCTATTCTCTCAACGCCAGCGTTGCCAGGGTTTGATCCGTAGCCATCTGCAGCCAACATTTGGAGGAAACATTGTCGTGTGCGTGCTGATGATTGTGCAACTCGGCTGACCGTGCGACCCCAACCGGGGAGATCGGGGAGCTTCACCGCATTGCAGTGACATGCTCTAAGTCCTCTAAGTCCTCTAAGTCCTGACCGCAGTTTGGTCAGGGTCATACTGTCATACTCATGGACATTTGGGATTTCAAGTTTCAAGACTGTTCTCATTTGGCTAGAATGATTTTGCAGCCTAAGAGCACTTTGCTTCGTGTACTTGCATGTACTTGCTACAATTATGCATTTCCAGTTTCCAGTGTCGTTGCTTGAGAACTGTCGCTTCAGCCTTCAATCATGCCCGTTCCAATCCGCTGGTTGCTAACCAGCATTTCAGGTCGGCAATGTATATGGCAATGCCTTTGGGCATCGTTGCCTGGATTTGCCAAGTGAGTGTTTTATTTTCACTCACATATATCAAATTATGTTTTTTCTATGGGCTGAATCATGTGGAATCTATGGGCCAGTCTATGGAAACTTTTAGCAATCACCATTTTAGGATTTTTATGGGAATGGTTGTTTGTTTGGTCGTTTGACTGGTTGGAAAACCAAGTTTGGGACCGAACATCTTCTTACAACCAAAAACAGCCGTGGTCTCAAAGGAGTGCAGATTTAGAAAAATAGAACTGGTGGTTTCAACAAGATACATATTAAATCAATTTAAAGATTAATTCATATTAATATCTGTTAATGTATGTCAACCATGTTGTTTATCCAATAGAAATAATAGAACTGATGGCATTGGTATTCCAATAATAATAATATGATAAATTATGATGATAGATTCCAATATAATTACCAATGTGGTCTATCCAATTGAATCATATTACCATGTGGTCATCCATAGATTCCATGTTTATCTCAGGTTGGAAAGGCCTTTGGATCCGTTTGGGATGACCGGCATCGCTTGCTGCTAATGCAGCGGCTGCGCACCCGTTTTTCCACCGCACCTCGGCGGCTGCAGCGAATGGGTTGGTTTACCAGGAATGATGGCTGTGTCGTTTGCCTGGATTTTTCATGATTTTTCTAAACCATTCTAAACCTCTAGCCTGTACTAATTAGGAAACTACCATCTAAGTCATCTAAGTATCAGATTATCACCATTTGGGGTGGGTACCCCCGTAATTAATGAACCATGGTTTATTAATCCGGGGTTGACATTATCAGTAAAGCAACAGTAAACCGTAAACCATTCCCAAATTTATCATACATGGTTGGTATAAACCATCAACATATGGATGATTTATTATTGCTTTACTAACACATATATATGTGTGTGTGTGCGTTTGTGTGTGTGTGTGCGTTTGTGTGTGTGTGATATGATTGCGAGAGACCTTTAGGTACGAGCTGAACAAGCTCTCAGATTTTCTTGCATGAAAATGTTACGAAATATTCAAATGTAGCTGATTTAATTGATTTGATGGGTTTAAGTAGGTTCATTGACAATCTATTTGCGTTGATCAATTCAATTAGTTTACTGTGTTTCATTCATTTGCGTGATTTAATCATTACTTGAATTCAAATGTGTTATCAAGTTTCCGTGTGGAGGGCGCACTTAATCAACTGTCTAATTGAAGTTTGTTAATTATATAAATTGTTTTGTTCAATTAGTCTCTTTACATTACATAAAGAACAATGAAGCAAAAAGGCCAAGGGAGACCTTGTCTCAAGGCGATAGAGGGAGAGAAGGAGCAAGCCAAGGAGTAGAAATATATGCTTGTATAGAAAGGAACGATAGACCCCAAAGGTCCCTACCACATGTGTATGTATCACATATGTAGATGTAGAACGATATAAATATGTATATGTGTATATATATATATATTTATTTATTTTTACGCACATATAATACACATATATATATATTACATATACAATGCATGTTTATAGCTAGTTACATAGTGGTTTCAATTCCAACCCTATGATCCCACTTGACGAATGTTTGGGGGATGGCTTGAACCAGAGGACAGGAAAAACTGTCATTCCAGCCAAGGTGGGTTACGATCCACAAGACATTCCTGGCTTATTCTGCACCTCATCCTGCACAGCGAGCTGAAGAGGATGTAAAAAGGCCTTCAGGCACCTGAAAATCTGTTCAGAACTTCCAGCAATCTCATTTCCAAAAACTATTTGAGTTTGGCTAAACATTAACATAGGGTGCCCACAAGAGCAGTGGATCGTCATCATTTTTCCACTAAGATGTCTACGATTTTTGGCAAAGGCAAACCATCCAGTTTGGACCTAGCTATTCGAAAACAACTCCGGCTACACCAGGGGTCAAAGAGGTCAGAGATATAGGAGATCCATATCGCAGATCCAAACCACTTGACGATCATGACATCATGCTATATGAAAAAGTCACTCAAAAGCACATGTTTTACTTATTTTACTTGTATTAACTAGTGGCCCTCCATGCCAGACATACTGTAGGTATTTGTAGGTATCAAAACTCTGCTATTCTTCAATATTTGCTTTCAAATACTGAAATACTATTGACCCATGGACGTCATGTGCCGCAGCAAACACGACCCGTCCGATCCGCGAAGCAGCTGAGGCAGTTATGATGAGAATGGCGATGGCGAGCTGTCCATGGAAGAGTTCCGAATCTCGCCATCAATCCACATCCAGATACATGTAGAAACTGCTTAAAGACCGCAGAATGCCGGGTAAGAACCCCGTCAAATGGGATGGAAGTGCTTGATGTTTTTGCAATTGTTTTGTTAGTAGTAGATGGGAAGTTGCTGTTTGCATGATTTGTTGTTACTCCTTAGGACAGATGCTTCAGCAGTTGCTCAGATGCAACTTACAAGTTGGCCGCACGCGCGGCAACGATGCCCGAAGAATCCTGAAGCCAAACTTGTCTTGGAAACTATTATGATCGTATGATGATGGGGTTCTTAAAATGGGGGGTCCCCAAAACCATAGGTTTCAATACTAAAATGGTCTAGTTTTGGATGATTTGAGGTACCTTGCATTTTAGGAAACCTCCATATGTTCGGTGTTTTCAAAACTCAAGAGAACATAGGTTCGAGGAAGAAACATTGTGTTTCGAGTTAAGCGCGATGTCTTTCACCATTGGCCAGACATAGTATAGGTTTTGTTTAGCACGGGTTTGCAAAGCATGCACATTTGAAACGCCATGCAACTTATTGAACGTATTTCTCTCAAACCCTATGCTTCCCATGAATTGCTCCCCTTCCAAGAAAAATGTAGTTCGACGTAAAACCCGACAAAGAGTTCAGGTTTGGGTGTACCAGGTACTGTAGTAATATGTGCATGCGAAGGGGAACGAGGTAACAGTGTAGCTGCACATGATGAACATGTGTACAGTCATGCATGGACCGCCAATGATATTGGCTCAAGTCCTGCGCGAGGAAAATAAGAACGCTGTCCGCATGCCATGCACTGAGATTGCCCGGCGCTATCAGCATTACTGGTACTACAGACAAAAGGGATAATCCAGAACAAGGATCAATTTGTTCACAGGTTATCAGCCGTAGGGCTCACTTCTCCCGCCGGGAGAGTGGTACCTGCGTGCTGGTAGCCGGGCCGTCTGAGCAATTGATTGAGGACGCAAAGGACCAATCAGCTCATCATCGCAAAGATGCAAGGCGGCAGCGGAGATTCGCGCACCACGCAGTTTACCTTCAATGAGAACGCTGCTATGCCGGTCGAGGAGGTCAATCAATCTTCCCCTGGCGACACGGCAGACAGTGGCGGGATACGCTCTACCCGAACTACACAGTCCGGATGGCAAGTCACATCAAACAGACGAAGAATATCCACCCAAAGTACACCTAGATCTTCTCGAAACAGTGCTCGGAGTGATGTTGTCCGCCAAGGGCATCGACCATCTCGAGGACGTACTACTCCAAGGGACAGATCCACCAGGGCCGTGACCGACCGAATTGGTGAGAGGACCGGGGATAGTCGTGTTAAGAGGAGATCAACGGATACTTCTGTGGCTAGTGAACCTATTGCCATGATAGAGGAACTACGGGCACAATGTCAATCCCTACGTAATCAGCTGAACAACATGGAAGCATACGCTGCATCCAGGGATCAACTGATTCATGACATCGAGATCAGATTCACTGAGTATCTTCGGGAACACAATCAGAATGTATTTGATGAGGTCAATGCACTCAATCATAGATTGTCATGTTCCGCAAATGAGGTTGCAGAATATCAAGCAGAACTAATGGTAGCATCTCAGGAAGACGAAGGTGCAACAATACGCATCCAAGACCTTGAACGCCGAGGTGCCCTAATGGAACATGGTGCACGACGGATCCATCAACGTGGTATGGAGATCCAGGAGGAGTACAAGGATGAAGTACATCACCTTCAAGGACTACTGGGTAATACGGAGGCAAGACTACAACAACTTCATCAAACCAATGTCTTAACCACCGATATTGCCAATCGACTATACAATGAAGGTCAAGAAATGCAAAATGATTTCCAGAACTCAATCATGGAATATCGTAATCGATCTGAAATGGCATCCTTCTCTAGTAATCAACTTGAAGTGATTAGCCAACAACAATCAATTGCAGTTCATGAATTATCTGAGCGAAATCAGCTATTGAGTGAAGCTTTGGTTCAGTCTCGTAAACAGGCCGAGCTGTATGAGAGCAGTATTGATGAGATCACTAGAGAATCTAGGAAGAAGGTGTTCGAGGCAAATCAGGCCAAATTGGAAAGTGATCTGAAGCATCGAAACACTGAACATGATACCGTCAGAAGAATTGCATCATACAGGAACCAAGAGGCCGAAGCAATATCTCACCTGAGGCTTGAATCACAGGCTAGTGCAAACTCGATCGCAAGGGCAGAGCACTATGAGGAGCTCTATGCCAACGAGCAGAAGATGAACTGCGAATTGAAGGATGAGATCAAGTTGCAGAACACGAAGTTACGAAGATCGTTGACTCAGGGTTCTACGACCGACGGTCGTGGCCCCGAAGAGATGCTTGTTGAAGATCTACGTAATCAAGCTAAGATCGCTCAAATCAGGGTTCAGGATCTAGATCATGAAGTTCATGAATGTTTACAAGAGAACTTGTTGTTAAAAGAAAGGTTGGCTGAAGTTGCGGATGTAGGGGCGTCGTCCCTCACCAATGCTGAGGTCCGAACTCTAAGATCTGAACTAGAGAGTGAGCGAAAATTGAAATTGGCGAGTGGTGTTCAACAATATGAGAGATCATGCATGTTCATGGGGGAAATCCAGGATAGGGATGAAAAGATTGGCATCAAGAATTCTGAGATTGTTGACATGAAACGTCACTTAGATGAACTGAGAAAAAGTCTCAAGGATTCTGAAACATCTATGGCTAGGATCAGTCCTGACACACTTCCCTATTCGGCAGGCATTCCCAACTCCGATCTCGCATCCAGACTGGTCATCGACAAACTGGAGAATGACGTGAGTGAGGCTAACTGTGAAAACGCTATTCTGAAATCTTGGGTTTCGCAGATCGACAAGGAGTTGACTTATGAGACAAATGTGGCTCATTCCTATCGTGGGCATGCTGTACCTCCTCAACAACAACAGCATTCTCAATCAAGCAAAAGAATCGCTGATCTGCTGAAAGAGGTTGACAACAAGATCGCTGGCGGAACTGAGAGGGACTATTACAAGCCACCGAGTGGATGGGGCGGTCCGCCTGACCCTGATGGACCTCCGGACCCTTTCGGGCCTAACGGTCCAGGACCACCTCCTGAACCTCCTGGTTTGCCTTCAGTTCGAGGATCACAACGCGATTCAGCAGATGATGTCTCCACAGCGGCTTACACTGCGGAAGAAGTACCGAGAATGTCAAGACGAGAGGCTGACAAAGTCTATGTTAGCCCATGGCCAAAGCAACAGAATCTTGGGGTTTGGCAATCAGATCTCATCAAGAGTGTTGTTCTTTCGGCAAATGACGGGGATAAAGCCGCATGGGAAGCATGGCTACAGCCGGCTATTCGACCAAATCCTGACATCGAGCTGTTGAATGACAGTGGGGGGCAACGGTATCAGTCCATCGACGCCAAGTTGTCAATTGCATTGTCAAACGTGATAGCCCAAGCCGGTGATGTTGCTCGTCATGTAGCGATCAAATTGAGATTGAGAACACAAAGTCATAGCCGAAGAGGAACCTATGTCATGGGACGGGAAATCTTGGCTATGATTCTGGAGCACTTCAGAACCCCAGGTCAACGAGAAACATCCTTCACCATGGAACACATCGTATCGATGAAGTATCTCGGTGACTCGAACCTAGAAGTGTTCTACGAGAAATGGATGGAGATGGTATCAAACATGATGCCGGATGACGTACCTCCTGATGATTGGCTTCGTGACGCTCTATACAAAAAGATTCGAAATTCGA